CCCTAAACCCTAAACCCTAAACCCTAAACCCTAAACCCTAAACCCTAAACCCTAAACCCTAAACCCTAAACCCTAAACCCTAAACCCTAAACCCTAAACCCTAAACCCTAAACCCTAAACCCTAAACCCTAAACCCTACGCATGAGTCTCGGTAGGCGCTTCGGGAGAAGTGCCGTAACCGACCGACTAGCTAAGTCATTTATTACACCCAACCCTAGGTTCTCTGCGTCGTACTAAAACCCGAAAAGTCACTAGCATTCGCATCCTTCCTGTGCACCTGCACGACACCCTACGGCCATCACTCGGCGACCAGCACGGCACCGCAGACTTCCCCCTCGACGCGCCGGACGTCGCCGGACTCTTGCGTCAAAGTTCCTTCTGCAGTGTTCGTGTTGGACGACAAACGACCAGTCGTAGTTTGTCCTCTGTGAAAATAATGGAAAAAATGTCACATCACACAAACGAGAAAACCCCTAAAAAACGCTCGAGAAATGGCACTGTTCGGCGCGTGTTTCCGAGCGTGCCTCGTCGCGGGAACGACGACGCAGGAATCGCGTGCGTTGCGCGAAAATTTTTCACGTTGATTTATTTCGATTTGCTATATCTACGCTCGCGTCGACCGTCGTGTCTGTTTCTTTTTCGCTGGTTCGTCCGGCGAGTCGGTGAAAGCGTCGCGATTCGAATCGTCGCCGTCTTCGACGTCCGCGAGCATTTCATCACCACCGACGGCTTCACCCTTCTTCGTGTTTTCTACGATCAATTCGTCACGGAAACCTTCTTTTGAGAACCCTCCGTCGGCGGTGTTGAGCTCATTCGTGCGAATAAACTCCGCCGCGCCGCTCCAATGAGGATCGTGCATGTGGCGCTTCTTTTCAGACGCCGTCGTTGATTTCCGCTTACCTGTCGTCTTATCCGCAGTGAGCGAGTGCACGGGATAATCGCACTTACGGAATCGGCTGAACATGGACACGTCGTACTTGTACTCGACGGCGGCTGAGCTCAGGACAGTCGCAGCCAGTTCTCGGTCGTCACCGATCAAGTACACTTGCTTCGCCCCGTAGCACAGCGGTACAAGCGTTGAAGGCTCGACCGCTAGCGTAGCCTCGTCGATTATGACGGCGTCGAACGGCGTAGACATCCTGGCGAACATACCCGCGCCGCTAAATGAAAGCGTACTACACACCACGTTCGCTTCGTCCAAAATTGCCTGTTTCAACCTGTCGCGTTCGACGGCCGCTTCGAATTTGCGCACCGAATCAACGTGTGCGCCCAACTCTCCTAATCGTTGTGAAACGAGTGCATCCATGCTGACTTGTCGCACCGAGTCGTGTACGTTTACGCCAACGCGGACGACAGTCGGTGAGTACGTCTCGCCATTACCGTCGACGAGACCGGTCTTGATGATAAGCGACACGATTTCATCTAAAATCTCGTTCGACGGCGCACACACGAGAATCTTTGATCGTCTGTAGGCGTCGGCGCCCAATGTTTGCGCGACGACTCTCACGGCGCCATTGCTCGACGGCTTGGAAGACGGAGACACATTCGATTCGGCGTTTACCGATCCGCTCACTTTCTCCGCCACGAGCGTCGGTGGCGGTGGTGCGTCGCGCGGATTAGTTGTCCGCAACCATGGCGAAGCGCGCATCCAAGCTTCGCGCTTCTCCTCAGCTGTGGCTACCACGCGCGCCTCTCGCATCTTGGCGTACGCCTTAAAATCAACGATCGTCCTCGAAGACGTGCTCGGAACGGAGTGCAACAGCACGGACAGCAGAGGAATGATCGTGCGCGTCTTCCCAGTCCCCGGAGCACCTTGAACGAGCACCAAGGGCTCTCGCGTTAACGCGCTCTCTAACGCCTTGATTTGCGAATCGTTGCAAGAGCGCTCGACGAAAGTTTTCAAGCCGTCGGGCATACTCCACGCGTTGACGGAAGACGGACCGCCGATGCCCGCCGCGGGAGTGCCGTTAAGAATCGTCGCCGCGTAGGGGAACGCTGGAAAGGCGTGAATCGCTAGCCACTCGCGCGTGAACGTGGACAAGTTTGCCAAACTCTTCAGGAACCAACGCTCGCCCTTCACCGCGGTGAGCGCGTTGCGAACGGTGCGAAACCGCTTGTAATCGCTCTCACTATGCACTCGCGCTTCCGTCGTCATTGTTGTATCTGGGAGGTATAGTCGAAGGCGCACTCGAGTTTTCATTTCGCGGCCATCGACGACGGCGAGCGCGTGCGTCAACCTCGCGTCCTCCGTCACCTTCGCGGTCAACTCTTCCTTGCTCAGTAGCACTAAATCGTTATCCGAGAGTCGTTCCGAATCGGTTTCGCTCACGTCGAACGCGACGACGTGAAACTCTTCGTCCCGCTCCGCCGCGCGCGCCGCTTCCGCCTTCACGCTCGTCCCCTCGCCGCTTCGTCTGCGCACGTGTTCGTCGCACTCAGCGAGCACGAACGGGGCGTACGTTCGCACGTACTCTCGTGCGTTGTCGAATCGCAACGGGACCTGCGTCATCGACCTCGTCGCCGTCGTATTCGCACCGCCGCCGCCGCTCGCGAACCAGTCGGCCGGCAGCAGCGCGCGATGGAACGCGGCGAGGTGGGCGTCGACCGCCCACGCATCGTGCGTCGTCGTCGTCGTCGTCGTCGTCGTCGTCGTCGTCGCCATCGCTTTCGCGTCAGTCGGCGTGCACGCGGTCGCCCCGTCGTCGTATGCGGGTTCGCACTCGTTCGCGCTCGTTCGCGCTCTTGCCTTCACACGCCGACGGGGCGACCACCGCGTCGTTCGGCTCGGCTTTCGACACGATGGGACAGGCGGGGAAGAAGAAGCGAAAGTCGATCGGGGACGACGACGACGGGCCGCGACGCGACGACGGCGCTGGCGCGACGGACGTCAAGCGCACGACGGTGAAAAAGGCGAAACGACCGAAAAAGAGAGCGACGACGACGACGGCAGGCGCGACGACGACGACGCAAGCGACCGAGGATATGTCTCCCACGCTTGAGAAGCCGCGCGCGAGCGAGACGGCGAAGAAGATGAAGAAGACGAAGAAGGCGAACGACGATGTTACTGAAGACGGGGAAATTGCGCGAGGAAGCGACGGCGAGGCGAAAGACGCGAAACCGCAGAGCGATTATGGTGAGGCGGCGACGACGGCGGACGACCAGGAAAATGAGGAGGTGCGCAACATATTACGGCAACCGCGGTACTTTGACGATGATTACGAAGCTGCGGCGCTGCGTTGCTTCCGCTGCGGTCAAGGTGGGCATCGCGAGGCCGAGTGCGAGCTTCCGGCGAAGAAGAAAGCGTGTCATTTGTGCGGATACAAATCTCACATCGCGCGCGACTGTCCACACGGCTTGTGTTTCAACTGTCTCACCCCAGGGCACCAGAGCCGCGACTGTCCGTACGCGCGTGGTTCCGGCCGAGACGCTCAAGAGCGATGTTGTCTGAGGTGTGGAAAATCCGGTCACGTGGTCGCTGATTGCGTGTACAGATTCGACGCGAGCGATCTTGCGCAGATTCACTGTTACGTGTGTGGGTCCAAGGGACACCTTTGCTGCGCGCCGCAAGACTCTTTACCTCCTGGACTACCGAGTTGCTGTCGATGCGGCGGCGACGGCCATCTCGATACTGCGTGCGCGCACTCGAGGCGAGGCTTCGGTGGTGGTGCCGCACCTGATTTTGCGTGTTTTCATTGCGGCCAACGCGGTCACATCGCTCGCGAATGTCCGAGTAAGAACAACACGCGCGGCGGTCCAGGAACATCGTTGGACTTTTCGCGCGCGCCTCAGACGTTCAGCATCGGTTCAGGTGGTAGCTGGCGCGGCGGCGGTGGCAGAACGTCAAAGTACGCAAAGTATAGCGGCGGAGGCGGAAGAGGCAGAGGCGGTTGGAGCGGCGGTGGCAGTGGCACGCAGAGACGTTGGTGAGTCATACCGTAGATGAGTAGTCAGCATATGAAATCGCGTAGGAAAATAGAGTAGACGTTGCAAAAGCACAGAAGCGAAAACAAACAGCAGGATTTATAGGTGACGTTGGTTGGCGCAAGGTGTACCTAAATGTTCTATGTGCTAATCTCTAACTCTCAACCGCCACTGCGACTTCCGGTGACGCTTCTTCTTTCTGAACTACTTTTTTCTTGCGCGACGCGCCGAAAGAAGCCGACGGGTCGAGCATGAGCGCGGCGAGCTCGTCCCGCTTTGATGCCTGTTTAGCGAACCCAAAACTATTCACGAAGAATCCCACGACCCCGACCGCTGCCGCGAACAGAACGAGCGCGCGCGAGGTATCAATCTTGCGACCTGAACCGTTCGTGCGCCGCGCCGCAGTCGTCAAGACCTTTGACTCGGGAATTCCTTGCGTCGCAGCTTTGTCGCCGTTCTGGGCCTCTGGCTCGCTCGCAGCGAGCAGTGCGGTGTGGTTGACATCCTGGTCTGCATGGATGTGCGAATGTGTTTGGTGACGCTCTTCTATGCGCGCCGCCACGCGCTCGGCGATTCGTTCTTCGACGATCGCTAGCCGCGACTGCGCCGCGGACGCTCCCCCCAACGCTGGCGCCAGGACGCTTTCGCGCACCACTCCAGACTTGACCAGACCTTCTAACTCCCTCGGCAAAGTCGCCATGAAGTCTACTTTCGACGTCAATACCATGTCCACGTCATCCGCACCACAACTTCTATCGACGGTTTGAAACGCTACGCACGCCGCGCGCGCGCCGCGAAATCGCTCTTCAACAGCTCGCGACGCCTCCATCGTCGTCCCGTGCTCGACTTGCGCGCACCATCGCACGTTCCCACTCTTCGCGCGTTTATCGTCTCCTTCGCGCCAGCGTCGCCACGGCGCGAGCCCTCCGTTCGCTGCTGGTACCACGTAGTCCGTCGCCGGTCGCCGGCGGTCTCGCCGTTCACCGCGCGCCGCCTCCGCGTCCGCGTCCACGAGCACCAGCGTTCGCCCACTCGCCTTCGCCACCGCGGCGTAGCACCGCAAGCGTTCGACGTCGCGTTCGAACGATTCGCTCGCCGGTGCGTGGGCGTATAAAATCTTCGCGCCGTTGTTGTCGGCTCGATGCGCGCGCGCGTCCGCACCGCGCGCGAGCGCGGCGATCGACGCGCACGCGCCGACGCACGCGATTGCGCTCTTCATCGTCCACGCGTGTCGTCGTCGCCGAACTCGCGCGCTCGCGCGCTCGCCCATCGCGCGCGGTCCGATGAGGAAGGTGGAAGGTGTTACAACGCGCACACGACGCGTCGCCGCGGCGAGCGTTTCCGAAGGCGTTTTTTCGAGGCGAAATCGTTCGGCGCGCACTGTCGATCGCGTGGGTGTGACGATGGTGGCGCTGGACGTCGAAGGATTGACGCGGGAAATAGACGCCGTGCGCGACGTCGTCGTCGTCCCGGGCGCGCGCGGAGAAACGACGACGACGACGTCGACGGCGGAGCGAGCTGGGAGTGATGATGTGGGAAGGATTGAAGCGGCGCTCGCGGGACACGAAGGGACGTGGCACTTGCGTGTCAATAGACTCGAGCGCGGTAAACTCGTCGCGTGGTACGCGGTGGTGTATTCACGTCCCGTACCCGTGCGAGCGCAGCCGCACATCGATAGCGCCGTGTTGGGCTTCGCGGCGCCGAGCGCGCGCGTACTCGGCGTGTCGCTCACGAGCGATGGGTGGCTTGAACTCGCGGGAGACGACGCGAGCGGCGAAAACGTGAACGGTAGCGCGGGATGGATGCTGACAAATCATCCCGAGCACGGAACTCTACTCGAACACGCGAGCGGGTGCGAACTGCCGCCGACGACGATGCGTCTGGCGAGCGCCGAAGCGGTGATCGACGTCGACCACACCGCGCTTCCGCTCAGGAACGAAGGATACTTGTATCGCGTTGCGCACGGACCGTTCGTTCCCGTGCGAGCATCGGCGTCGGTGAAATCCGAAATCATCGGTCGAATGCACGAGGATCGACTAGTTCGCGCGCGCGCGCGCCGCGGGGATTGGATCGAGCTGCGCGAGGACGGCGTCGCGGGATGGATGCTGACGCTGCATCCCGAGTTTGGGCGACTACTGAAGCGATGCAACGCGGACGGGAGCGATATTATTCACGCTACGTCGGAGTGATTCTTGCACCGCACATAGTGATGAGTACTCAATACGGTTTACCGCTAAATTTCCCTAGATCTCGCTAAGAAGTTATTTACCCCCACTTCGCTTTCGTCTTGTTCTCTGCAAGCTTCGTCGTCGTGACTTCCTCGAGCATGGCTTTCGTGCACGCGCCGTCGGACGATCCGTGCGCCGCCGCTTGAACGCTCGCCATGAGCTTTGAAATTTCACGACCGCTGAGACCTTCCGTCTTTGCCGCGCCGGCGTCCAGGTCGGCGTCAGTGACATCCTTCACCTCGATGGGGCGCTCGGGAAGGCTTCTGCGGAACAAGCCGCCGAAGAAAGATTTCGCAGGTTTATCGTCGCCGGCGTCCGCACCTCGGACGATGAGCTTGTCGAAATATAATTTCACCATTCGCTTTCGCGCTTCGAGATCCGGCAAGCCGATTTCAACGGACTCGTCCATGCGGTCAAGGACCGCTTTGTCCAAATCCTCCGGTCGATTCGTCGCTAAAACCAAAGCCACGTCGCGGTTCATCTCACCAGTGCGGTACAACAGCGCGTTGAGCGCGGCGCGAGATTCCGTACCGGCGACGTCACTCCCCCGTTTCGCCAAGAAGGCGTCGGCTTCGTCGATGAACAAGAGCAAACCTTTACGACTGGTGGACGCCCAGTCAAACATTTCGTGGAGCTTCGTCACGGCGTTAGCGCCGAGGGGAGCAACATCACCGCCCGTCATCACCGCGTAGTCCAAGCCGCTGTACCGAGCGAGACGTTTGGCCGCCATCGTCTTGCCCGTACCCGGAGGGCCGTGGAAGAGGATGTTTCGAAACGGCGCTGAGTGCTTCTTCGTGTTCGCCGTCGACACCGCCAAACGTTGCACGCGCTCTTGCAGCTTGTTTCCGAGGACGACGTCGCCCAATATTCCGTTCGCTTGCGCCGGAGCCGCCGCAGTGGACGCGGCAGCTGCTGGTTTAGGCTTCCAAAACGACCCGCGAGATGTCTCGCGAATCAAAGAAGGCTGTCCGATGTACTTTTCGAGTTGCCTAAAGCCGAATCGAGCGCCCTCACGCGATGCATACACGCCCGCGGCGAGTGCGGTGGCGCTTCCGACGAACATCATCATGCGGTCGCGGTCGCCGAGGATGGAGTTGAATCCGCCGCCGATCAAGCCGAGCGTCTCGTTGACGAGCTTCACGGCCTTGTCCGTCTCCGCCGTCACTTTGGCAATCATCTGTCGACGAATCACGTCTTCATTCTTTCTGTTCTCCGCGATGCGACCTTCGGCTTCTGCGATTGCCTTCGCTCGCAAGTTTTCGCGTTCAAGCTCGGCGCGGTACCGCTCGGTCTCTCGGCGTTCGCGCTGAATCTTCTCCTCCGTCGCCCTCTTGATAGCCTCTTGTCTTTCCACGCCCTCTTCTTGCAGCTTGACCATTTCCGCGTTCCGTTGCCTGCGCTGCTCGTGCTCGGTCGCCATTCTCTTTCTCGCAAGCTCGTCGTCGTATTGCTTCAACTGCGCCTGTTGCTGCGACCGCTCCTTCTCCACGCGCGATTGTTCACTCCACATCACCTTTTCGCGTTCCGTGGCGTGCGCCGCCGCCGCCGCCGCCGCCTCTGCCTCGCGCGCACGAAGTTCACTTTGTTTCGTTTGTTCTTGCGTGCGCGAGAGCTCCAACACTTTCGTCGCGTACGGGGACTGGTTGATTTCTCTGAGCGCCTTGGCGCCTCGCTCCAGAGCCTCGGGGTCGAACGCCGCGTTGGCGCCACTCTTATTGCTTCGCGACGCCTTGATTTCGCTTTCAAACTTTTGATCGCTCGGTGGAGAGCTTTCCTTTTTCCCCCCCAACCCGAACGGCGCGCACATGGCCGTGGGCACGCTCACGACCGCCGCAAACGTCGTGGCGGCCAGAGCTCGGATCGCGGACGTCGATGACGTCGAGCCCGCGTTCGCGGCGCCGTGTGCGGCCGCATCCGCGGTTTCGCGCGCGGTCGTAGAGAACCTGGCGTCGTGTTTCGCGAATTCTCGCACCAGCGTGCGCACGTTGGAGCGCGACATGGCGAGCGGACGCGCGCGCGCGTCTCAATGGGGCCTCGGTTTTTGGGAGCCACGAACGACGTTGGCGGCGATGGCGACGTTCGATTGTGAAAGGAGTGGTCGCGCGCTGTTCAGACGCGTGATTACGTTACAACGTGAAACCCTCGCCTTGTTGCTTTGCCCCCGGGACGTCAGCGGCTAAATCGGCAAAGATTTCATCCCACGTCGCGCCGCGTCGTTCTTTTCCCGTCTTCTCGACGTCGCCGTCCGCAGACGTCGCCTTCATCATGTTACTCAATCCAACCTCACCGAGCGGCTTCGCCGCGTCCGAGTTGTAACATTCAAACGTCGCGTTCGCTGCATCATCGCGAGTGATGGACTCGATGCAAATCGCCGCGACGTCTTCGCGAGAGATGCGCCCGGAGATTTCGTCGCCTTGGTTGAGCTCGAGCGCGCCGACGCCGCGCGCGGGGTCTTCCGAAAGACCTCCCGGGCGCACGACGGTGTAAAACTGCCCCGGCCGGTCGAAATAAAGCGCGCGCACGGCGTCTTCGCCCAAAATCTTATTCCTCATGATGCCGCCGAATAAGTTGAGGAAGATGTACACGGGCGACGCCGGCTTTGACACCGCGCCCGAGGAGACGATGACGAACCTTTCCACGCCCGCGCGCAAGCACGCGCGCGCGCACGTGATGACACCGTCCCGATCGACGCGCGATGCATCGCCTCCATTCTGCGACTGCGACGCCGCGAACACGACCGCCTTCGCGCCCGAGAACGCGTTGCTCAGCTCCGCCACGCTCGCCGTGGCCACGTTTGCCTCGGCGCCGCGCACGCGCTCGTCCGACGCCCCGCCGTCGTACGTCCCGCTTCTCGTGCACGCCACGATCTCTCGCGCCTCGGTGTTGGCGCGTAAATATTCCACGCATCGCTTGCCAGTCTTCCCGTTCGCCCCGACGACGACGACTTTCGCGTCTCGAAGCGACGCCGCGACGGCGACGGGCGCGCGCGCGCTCCGCCGCGACGCGCGTCGACGCGGCGCGTTCGCCGTTCGCGCGCGCGCGGTGCCGCGCAGGGCGCGCGTCGCGTTCGACGACATCGATCGAACGCCGCCCACGTCGCGTCGCTGTGCCGCCGCGCGCGACGGACGACGCGAGCGCCATCGCGATGGCCGCGGCGTGACGTCGACGCCGCGCCACAACTCGACGGCGACTCGAAGGCGCGCGACGACGCGCGAGGCGACGATGGCGAGCGCGATGCGTGGGGTGGCATCACCACCGTCGCGCGCGACGCGCGCGCGCGCGACGAGCCAGACGTCGACGCGCGCGAAGACGACGACGCGCGCGTCGACATCGACATCGACATCGTCGTCGACATCGTCGTCGTCGAGCGATGTGTTCATGCGTCTGGCGTCGTCCATGGGGCGTGGAGACGCGCGCGATGACGCCGACGCGCGAAGGGTGACGATGCGAGAGATCCTGCGCGGCGCCGATGGACCGCCGAGGATGTTCAGTCCGTTGGTGACGCGCGGCGGCGCGAGACGCGGCGACGCGCCGTTAGCGGTGTACTTGCCGGGATTAGACGGCACTGGATTCAGCGCGGCGTCGCAGTTTGAGTACATCGCCGATGAATTCAATCTCATCGCGCTGAACGTGCCCGCGGGCGATCGTGGTGACGTTTTCGATTTAGTGAAAGCGACGACGGCTTACTTGGACACGCACGTCGCGGCGGCGCGCGCGAACGGTGAGAACGAGGACGTCTATCTCATCGGAGAGTCGATGGGTGGTATGCTGTCTTTGTGCGTCGCAAGTGAGCGTCCAGATTTGATCACGCGCTTGATTTTGGTCAATCCCGCGAGTTCGTTCGATCGAAGCGCGTGGCCGGCGCTCGGCCCGTTGCTGCCGAACGTCCCGAGCGAATTGTGGGGCGCCGTGCCGTACGCGCTGACGCCGGTGCTGATCGATCCCGTACGCATGGCACGCGGTATGATGGATAAAGTCATGTCGTCCGCGGTGTCGGACGATCCGTTGACAACCATCGCGGCGGGGGTGGAAGAGCTCGCCGGATTGCTACCGGCGCTTGGCGCGCTGGCCGAAATCATCCCGCGCGAGACGCTCGCACATCGATTGGATAAAGTCCTTCGCATGGGATGTGAATACTTGAACAGCGATGATTACGCCAAGCTGACAGCGATTGACGTGCCCACGCTCGTCATCGCAAGTGAGAACGATAATCTGATACCGAGTTTGGCCGAGAGCGAACGTCTCAGGAAGTTTTTGCCCCGCGCCAAAGTCGAGGTATTGAAAGGTGCGTCGCACGCGGCACTTCAGGAGCCGGGGGTCAATGTAATGACCATCGCGCGTCGAAATGGGTTCGTTCCAAAGCGTGCAGATGCGCCGGTGATGACGCGTGACGCAAAGTTTGATCCACCGTCGCCGGCGGACATCGAACGCGCTCGCGAAAGTCTCGCAGGTTTGCGAGCGCTGACGTCACCGGTGTTTTTTAGCACGCGACCGGATGGGAAAATTGTGCGCGGTCTCAGCGCGGTACCAATACGCCAACGTGGTTCGCGACCGATCTTGCTAGTTGGGAACCACCAAACGATGGCGCCGGATCTCGGATTTCTAGTAGATGAATTCTTGCGTGAATACGACGTCTGCCTTCGCGGCTTGGCGCATCCTGTGGTGTCGCGCGAAGGCGGTGGCGATGGATTCGGCGGCGAAGACGCACCGCGCTCGTTCGAAGATACGCTTCGTGACGCTGTGAAGAACACGCCCGTGGAACCGTTACTGCCGCGTCGAGAGCCGAAGCCCCCGCGGCGCGCGATGAATATTGTCGGCGGCGGGTCATCATTCACGTCTTTCGGCGCCGTGCCCGTCAGTGGCTTCGCGTTGTTTCGCCTACTAAAACAAGGCGAGGCCGTGTTGCTCTTTCCGGGTGGCGTTCGCGAAGCGTTCAAACGAAAAAACGAAAAGTACAAACTCTTTTGGCCTTCCAAGCCAGAGTTCATTCGCATGGCAATCAAGCACGACGCGATAATCGTCCCGTTCGCGGCGATCGGCGCCGAGGACTCCATCGACATCGTCGCCGACGCCAACGACTTGATGAATAACCCTATCGTGGGCGATTCCGTCCGTAAACGCTCGCAAAGCGTTCCGAAGGCGCGCGCCGTCGACACTCGCGTCACCGCGGACGCGGGAGAAGAGGAGTTATTCATCCAGCCTGTCGTCGTACCCAAAGCCCCTGAGCGCTTCTACTTTCGTTTCATGGCGCCTATTGACGTGAGTGGAGCGGATTTGGATGACGAAGAGCGCGTCAAGGCGATTTACGAGCGAGTATACGGTGAAGTTGAAGGCGGTATACAGTATCTGTTGCGCGAACGCGAGAGCGATCCATTCAAAGAGCTTGCGCCGAGAATAGTGTTCGAAGCGGCGACCTCTACGCAGGCGCCGACGTTTCGTTAATGAACATGGAGGCGACGCTCAAGGATAAGGCGGTTCAGGCAGTTTAGGCGGATCAGGCGGTTTCAGGCGGTTTAGGCGCGTTAGTGCACGTTAATGAGGACAACTTACGGCGAGAGCGAACGCGAGAGCTTGTATTATAACATGTACACAGGGATGAAAAGTGGCTTCCTACAGTCGGCTCTACTTGCGCGAGAGCTTGCGCGAGGCGCACTCTCGACCAATGCACGTGTACCTCTTAAGGAAGTTTTTCAGCTCATTCAAGCGATTCTCGAGCTCTTCTAATGACCCCGGTCCTTTGCTCAGCGCGTCCCGCGCTTCTGCCACGATGGCCTCTCGGAGCGATTCGCACGTGTGTTGGATCCCCTCAGCGCCGAGCGTCGAGGACGCCCCGCGGAGCTTGTGCAAGGTTGCGCGCGCCGTATCGAAACCTTCCGTCGTTCTCTTTTCTTCATCGTTCAAAATCTCTTTCAGTTCGTCCAGCATGGTTTGCGAATCGTCGCAATACATCTCCACGATTTCCTCCATAAAAGTCGGCTCAGAATCCGTCTGCAAATCGAGCAACTCGTCGAACTGCGCGCGGTTGAGCAAATTGTTCACGGGATCGAACGCGTGTTTCTCCATAGCGAGCAACTCGCCCAGTAACGATTCGTCACTCGTCGTTTTCATGCGCGCTTCCAGCTCCTCCACGGTCTCCTCACTCGATGTCTGCTCGTCCGCGTCGCTCTCGTCGCCTCCATCTTGTTTCGCTTCGTCGTCGCCGTCGCCACCCTTCGCGCTCGGTTCCGCGTCCGCTTTACCCTCAACTTCGCCGTCGCGCGCGATTATCTTTGTCTTCGCGTCTTCGCTCGCTTCTCCCGCGCTCGCGCTTCGACGCGTCGACGCGCGCGTCATCGTCCCACGAAATCGCCTCGAATCGTATCCGCGATACGGTTACGACCGATCGATCGCGCGCGCGCGGACGCGGTCGTCGTCGCGCGCGCGACCGCGACGACCGCGCGCGCGCGAGAAGACGATCGCGTTCGCGACGCGCGCGACCGGACCGGTTCGGTGTCTCGACGTCACCGCGTCGCGACACCGGGTGTGTGTGCCAAAGTGCCGGCGATACGCCGACCGGACGCGATCGCCTCGGGGCATCGAAATCGGGTGTCGGGCGAGCCGGGCAAAGGATTCGCTACGTATGAGTACAACCCCGGACGGAGACCGGAGGCGAGGACTACGGCTCTACAGCTTGGCGAGGAAACCGCCGTCGACGGGCAAGACCACACCCGTGATCCAGGCCGCGGCGTCGCTTGAGAGAAACGCCACGGCGCCCGCGACGTCCGCCGGCGCGCCCGCGCGGCGGAGCGGGACGCTGGAGGCGACGATGTCGTCGCTCGATTCACCATATTTCGTGAGACCGGCGCTCATTTTGGTGGGTATGTATCCAGGAGCGACGACATTCACGGTGATATCGAGAGCGCGCTTGCGTGCGAACTCGTCCGCGAGTTTGAGCGCCAGATGGTGCAAAGCCGCTTTACTCGCGTCGTACGAAAACGTCGGATACTTTTGCGGCCGGATGCCGGCTATGGAACCTATGACGATGACGCGCGCGGGATCTTGCGGTGTGCCCGCTTTCATGAGATGGGGCAAGAGCGCAACAGTCAATCGCCACGTCCCCATGACGTTTAGTTGGTACGTCTTCACGAAGCCTTTGTCGTCGTGGCTTTCCAACTCGGCTCCCCAACTCGCGCCGCTGTTATGCACCAACACGTGCACGAGATCGTCTCCGCGCGCGGCGATCGTCGACGCAACTTTTGCCGCGCCATCGGGCGTGCTCAAATCGGCCGAGACGCCAACGATCTCGCCCCCGCTCGCCGTCGAAGGCTTCAAAACGGTGTCCTCCGTCGACCTCGACACCGAGTACACGCGCTTCGCGCCGTGTTGTCGCGCGAACGCGTCGACGATGCCCGCGCCGATGCCGCGACCACCACCGGTGACGACGACAACCTTTCCCGCGGCGTCGAACGCAAAGTTGGACGACATCGCCGTCGCGAGCGTGCCGGCGAGTGACGCTGTGTCGGCAGTTCGAGTCGCGCGCGATGACGGCGAACGATGACGAAGGCGAGGACGACGAGCTCGCGCGGCTTTGCGAGTTGAAAGCGGCGCTGCGCGCGCGATTGCGCGCGATGGCGGGCGAGGAAGGCGCGGCGGCGCTCGACGACGACCTCGGCGACGACGAATATAAACGCATTCTCGAGCAGCTGCGCCTGGAGGACGGCGACGACGACGGCGGAGGCGACGACGGTGCGATGAGCGAACACATGCGCGCCGTGTTTCGCGCGTGCGACGAGGACGGCGACGATTTCGACGCGGAGACATTTGAGCAAACGCTCGCGGGAGCGCTGGAGGTCGACGGCGAGCCGGCGAACGCGAAGAACGCCGACGGAGAGACAGCGTTACACTTGGCCGCGCTGTATGGCAAAGTCGCTTACGTGGAGGTGTTGTTGCGTCGAGGCGCGGATCCTTTAGCGACGGATGAATCGCTCGGGACGCCGCTGCACGACGCGTGCGCGTCGGGGCACGCCGACGTCGCGCGAGCGCTGTGTGACGCCGCGCGAGACGCGGGAACGCTCGCGACGTTGTTAAAGAAGGTCGACGAAGACCAAGAAACACCGTTACATCACGCCGCGCGCGGCGAACACGCGGAGGTGGTGAAATATTTGATCGAGCTCGGGGCGGACAAGAGCGCAAAATCGAGCGTCGGAGCGACGCCGTCGGACTTGGTCGAAGACGACGACTCCGTTCGGGCGTTGCTTGCAACGTAGCGCGAAAGATTAATAACAATAGTACTTGTACCAACATTAGTAGTCAAGTGTTCGTTCACACACCGTACGTGACGTCGCCCTTAGACAAGTACATCGCGTTGTCTTTGGCGTTGAAGACCATTCGACCGCGCCCGATGACGTCGAGACCCAACGCCATGAATGGCGATACGCTCGCACCAAGCGCCGCGAACGCGGGTAAGTCACCGATGCAACACATTCCTTGGTAGGTGGAAGTCAAATCTTCTTCGCCGTCACCGAGCACGCGCAAATCGTACGGCGCCATCGCCATAGCCATGCTTTTGCCGTCGACACCCGTGACTTGCAAGCCGCCGCGTTTGACTTTGTCAGAGTCCGGACCGATCCCTGCGGTGGTGCTCGCCATCCAATTCACGACGCTAAAGAACGAACCCATGTCTACGATGGCGTCGAGCTCGGCGCCATTCAGTGAACAACGCACCGTTTTCAACCCCACGGGATGCTGGTTCAACCGGACGCGCACGAGATCTTCGACCGCCACGGCGCCGTTCTTCACGCTGCCCGGCGGCCAAAACGTAATCACCGACTGTTCAAAGTCGAACTCTACCTCAAAGTTTCCGAGCCAATCGAGACCGAGTAAACCACCGATCGTCGCCGGCAAGCCGACGGCGGTTAAATCGGTGACGACGGCGTCGAGGACGAACTCCTTGCTCCCCAACCGCACCTCCGAGATGGAAACTTTTTGTCGCAACGTCTCCCCGGTCCCGGTCAACCCCCGAACCGCGGCGCCCTCTTTCACTTGGTCTTTGTCCAACATGTCGAGCGCCTTGGGCGTGATCAACGCCGTCGTCGCGCCCGTGTCGATGACGAAATCGCACAACCCGATGTCGCCGCCGACGTCCAACGTCACCAGCGCGTACCCCGACCGTGGGTTCCCACCAATGTTCCCGAGCTGTCGCAGTGGCACCGTGATTGCAAAATTTTCGCACTTCGTCATCCACGTTTCCGCCAAGCGATCGACGAGTTCGTCCTTCTCCAGGCAGTCGTCGCTCCGCGCGCCCAGCCTCGCCAAGTATCCTTTCAGTATTTTCGCCCGCATCGTTCGCGCCCGCGCGCGCCATCGCTCGACCCGCGCGCGCTCGCTCGTCGACGCGTCGTCCGCAACGTCGTCATCGCTCGTCGTCGCGCGTCGCACCGTCGTCCGGCTGCGCGCTGTCGCGCTTTTCGGTGTCGAAGTCGAAGAACGTCTCCGACTCGCCGCGCGCGACGACGAAGCGGCGACGCGATCGATGCGCGTCGTCGTCGTCGTCGTCGTCGTCGTCGTCGCCATCACCGCCGCCGGGGACGCGAAAGCGGCTCGGGGTCGGTGGGCGGTGTGACGGGAGGCGTTGCGATTTGTCGGTTTTATTCGCCGGTCTCACACCGCGACGCCGCGACGTCTTGCGCTCGCGCGTCGCGCGGCATCGGCGCTCGACGCGCGCGTTGACCATAATCACATCGCGCCTGCGCCTGCGCTTCGCGCGGGCGTGCGTCCAAGGGACGCGCGAGGCGACGATGCGAATGGGCTGCGCGGCCGCCGCCGCCTCGACGGTGACGGCGCTCGCGCGAGGACGATGGACGCCGAGGGATGGACGGTGGGCGTGCGCGTCGCGCGCGCACGCAACGCGTCGAAGCGCGCGAGCGCTGGCGGCGAATGGGACGCCGCCGACGCCGGCCGGAGAGGATGGCGAACGGGCCGACGCCACCGACGACGCGCCGCCGCTGCGGTCGACGATTCCCGAGGGCGGATTGAAAATCGAACGCTTACTGGACACGTTGAGCGGGGACACGGATGGGACGATGAGTAATCGAGCCAAGTTTCGCGCGTTACCGATCGATCACGGCATTATGGGGAGGATTAAAAAGTATAGCTTGTCGACGAACGCGTCGACGGCGGGAAGGACGACGCGCGTGCTGCGGAATAGGAACGAAATCAGCGAAGTTACGCAGCGTTACGCGATGTACGACGTGGGGATGTTAGAGGTGAAAACGCAACGTTTGCTTGGTTTTGGAAGATCGAAGCGAACGGCGAAGTTTATTGCAGCCGCGGCGCGAGAGGGGGAGGAGCCGCCGAAGCACGCCGTGGGCAAAGGCGCGAGTAAGATCAAAGACGACGTCCCAGAGATTGCGTTCGCGGGACGATCGAACGTGGGGAAGAGCTCGTTGATTAACGCATTGACGCTGAGCTCAGTGGCGCGCTCGAGCGATGTTCCGGGAAAGACGCAGAGCTTGAACTTTTATTCCATGGACGAGCGCATTCGTCTCGTCGATTTACCCGGGTACGGGTTCGCGTTCGCCAAGCAACACCGCGTAGAGTCGTGGAACGAACTGATGGACAAGTATCTCACTTCGCGCCCGAACTTAAAGCGCGTATACTTGGTCATCGACGCTCGCCACGGAATGAAAGCATCGGACAGAGAAATGTTGGCATTTTTGTCCAAGTACGGCGAGACGCAGTGCGGAGTGATTCTGAACAAATGCGACTACGTCAACCCGAATGAGTTGGCGCGTCGCGCGTACTTGATTCAAGAAGAGCTTCGTTACACCAAGCGTGCTCGCACCATGGTGCTCATGGCGTCAACATCCACGGGTGCAGGCGTCACGGAGATTGCTCGCGAAATTTACGGTATGGCGCTTGACGATCCCAGTGGCGAAGAATACGACGACGACGACGACGTCGAGAGTGAATCAGATGGCGAGTACGGCGAGGGCGACGTTGGGGACGACGACAGTTTCGCCGGAAGTTCAAGTAAAAAGACAGAGTTTTACGGTGGTGAGTGGAAACCCGGACAAAAAGCTTCGAAGAAGTACACGCCAGCGTCGAAGGCAGTGCCGGCTGCCGGTCGTGGCGGTCGAGGCGGTCGAGGCGGTCGAGGCGCGCAGGGCGGTCGTGGCGGGCCCAGCGGTCGAGGTGGGCGTGGGCGAGGCGGACGGGGGCGAGGCGATGATGCACGCGGCGACGAGGCGCGAGGCGGCGGTCGAAGCGGCGGTCGAAGCGGCGGTCGTGGGCGAGGCAAGGGCTTCACGCAAGGCACGCCCGGAAGCAACTAGCGAGATTTATTGTTTGTAACAAACCGAGTGCGCGATACATGTATTAAAACTCCCACGCGTGGTTAAGTTGGAATGTCGGGTTTTGCAAACCTTGCGTAGTGAGCACGGATTTAGCCACGACTTCCCATCCCTTGAGCTCTTCCGTGAACTCGTAGCCGACTTGGAATTCCATCTCGCGAGCGGCGACGCGGGTCAGCGCCTTGGCGCTAAAGTGCTTGGCGAACTGCCGTCGGGCGCTCAACTCCAACTCTACCCCTTTATCCGTCATGAAGTTTGCCGCTAAATCAAAATCACCCTTACGCTGCGCCCAGCCCGCGCGCCAGCACCCTCCCGGTTTGATGTCGAGCTGATCGTCCGCCGCGGTGTGCTGACTGACTCTCTGCACGCGCAAGTCGCCGTACTCCTCGTGCGTCGTGCTGACGTCAAAGTCCAAATGGTCCATGCTCACCGAGTCGTGCACCATGGTGTACTTGGCGTTAATCGACACCCCATCGATGTCCATCTTCGATTCCAACGCCGGATTCCACTTCGTCTTACCGTTCCAAGGAAACGGCGGCGACGGCGCGAGCGCCAGCGTCGGCGCCTTGGCCACGTTGAGTAATTTTTCCAAGTTCAATCTCGCCTTGAACTGCATCAACTCTCCCTTGAACGGTCGCGATTTGAACTCAATCCCAAACGCCCCGATATCCTCTCGCGTCGTGATCTTCGCGCTCTTCAAATCGGGAAATCTCGCCTCCATCATGCTCCTCGCCCCCGCCAAGTCAAACGCCGCCCGCGTCGTGCTCTCGTACGTGTTCACATCGATCGTCTCCTCCACCGCCTTCAGCTTGAACCACGTCGTCTCGCGAATCAAGTCCTTGACGCAATCTCCGAAGCGCTCGTTCAAAGGTTTCAGCACCTTACCCGCCAGCACGTCGCGCTCGCGGTGCAAATCGACAACCTCGCGCTGCAGTCGACTGATTTCTCGCGCCTGCGCGCGCAACTGTCCTTGCAGCAGCCCGAGCGTTTGCGCGGTGTCGTCGTCGATGGACGACGCGCGGGACGCGCGGTGCATCGCGACGGATCGTTTGTCGCGCGCGCGACGCGCGGTGACGACGACACACGCGGGCGACGCGTGGGACGACGACGACGACGACGACGCGCGCGTCGCGTCGCGCCTCGCGCCTCGGATTTGGAAAATTTAAATTTTCCATCCCTGGGAAAACCTGGATCGCGCGTTACGGTTAGGGCTGGGGTTTAGGGCGGGTCGTGAGGGCGCGACGTTATCCGCGTGCGTCGTATGGGTAAACAGTAGTGACGCTTTGCGACGCTCCGATCGCGCCCTCGCGGGACGATCGCTCGCGCGCGCGCGCGCGGCACATTTCAGCGCACCGTCCTCCGCGACGCGCCACGCACGAACGCACGGAAGACTTTACGCCTCGCGAATCCACGCGACGCACGACGCTCGACGACGCACACAGACGCGGAGACGACTAGATACCCATCGACATGATCGCTCGAGTCTCCACGACCTCGACGGTGACCGCGCGCGCGTCCGCGAGACAAAACAAGACGGAACGCCGCGACGCCGCGGTCGTTCGCGCGAACGCTAAGGAACAAGCGTGCGCGGCGGTGCTCGCGATGACGGTCATGGCGAGCCCGTTGGCGAACGCCGCGGTCGAGGTGGCTCAGGTCGCCAAGGGCGACACAAAGTCGCTCGCGAGCGATTTGTTCGCCGAGCAACAAACCAAGTCCACGCCGGCTGCGCCGAAGAAGACGAAGCAACTCGCGTCTCCTTCGATGCCGAAGGCGCCGAGCTTCAGCGCGCCGTCCTTGCCGAGCTTCAGCGCGCCGTCCATTTCGTTGCCGTCCTTCAGCACGGCGAAGAAGACGGACGCCAAGGCGCCCGCGGCCAAGGAAGCGCCCGCGCCGAAGGCGAAGAAGGAATCCGGTGCTGGCCCTAACTTGGCTCTCACCCTGCTCGTTCTCTTCTCCCCTCTCCTCGCCGTGCAAGCGGTCTCTTTCCAAACTTTCGCGCGCATCGCGAAGCAAAGTGCGGGCAAGTAAGCGCGACGAAGTGTTTAGCGCCGAATTCGGCGTATAAATTGGCGGCTTTGATAATATTACATCTCTTATTGAGTACACATGAATACGCTCGCCTCAACTCCTCCCCGGATTTCCGCGTTTCGCGCGGCGAGCCTCGCGAAGCCGCGCTTGCGATTCTCGAAGTTGCCTTTGCGCGCTGTCCACGACAGCTTGAAGCTCATCGATCTCCACGCGAGCTCGTTCGTTGTCTTCTACCTCGGCGATGCGTAAGCGTCGTTCGCAATCCGCTGAATCGTCGTTGCTTTTATCGTGAATACGCGCTTCGGCGGCGAAAAAGTTTCTCACGACGTCGACGGCTTCGGCGCTAGGATCGCGCGCGATGGCGGCTCCGGGCGCTAACTCGCCGTTTTTCAGTAAATGAGCGTGCTTGTTCGCGAATTCGGCTCGGAATTCCGCCTCTGACACCTTGGGAGAATCGACGAATTTACGCTTCGAGCCTGGCCTTGATTGAGCCTGCTCGGATTGAGCCTGCTGCTGGTAATGTTCCGCGATGATTTCAGAATACGATGAGATGTCAAAATTCGTCACGGCGCTCAAACCGCGATCTGCCACACACGCCACGTCGTACGCCACCGCCGCCTCTACTTCGGTATCATAAAGTCCCAAATATCTGTACTTCTTGCCTATCATCTGGCCAATTCTCGCCTCAAATTTCCCCTTGGCGTGTTTAGTCACGCCCCTGAACTTCGACGAACCTTTTGAAAATCCTTTGCTCTGACGCCGCAGACTCAACACTAAGTCTTCCTTCGAAATACTCTCCAGCGCGTTCAACTCATTCGCATAATTACGAAGATCGAAATTGGTTTGTGCTTTCATGCCTCGACATTTGACAGCGATTACGTCGTACGCGATGGCCGCTTGTTCCTCGCTATCGAAACCGCCGAGATAGACCTGCTTGCCCGCGTCCCAGATGTGTGCTTCGTAGCGTCCCGTGCGGCAATGATGCGTAACGCCTCTAGCGTCACTAGTACTTCTTACGTTTCGTTTTTCAACCTTCGCCACGTTCGGGCGAGAGCTCCGTCTAGACGGCGCCTGTCGCCGCTTCGGCGTCTCGAGGTCGAGCTCAGGAAGCCCATGGAATAAATGATCAAAGTCAGCCTGCAAAGCGTCCGTATTCGTGTTATCGAGCATTCCAAAGTCGAATGGAAAGTTCAAAGCACTCGAGTCATCGCTCATGTTCATTCCATTCACGCCTATCACAGAAGTATCCCTTGGATTGACGACATCGTCGAGGCCGCCGAAGAGCTCCTCGTCGACGTACGTCCTCAATTCCGGCTCCAAACTCGTCGCGATTCCTCCGTAATCGTCAGCTTCTGACCACATCACACTGTCTGATCGAGTCCGCGAGTCACCCGATGGCGTCGAGGCGCGTCGCACTCGTTCGCTCGCACGAGATTTGCCTCGAAGGTACAAACTTGTTAACAATCACATCATCGGTCAGTTCAATTTCTACAACGCGCTCGCCATTCCGCCGCTACGTCGCGACACTATTCCTCTATTTCTTTCTCAGCCTGCGATTCTCGCCATTCGGCCGTAGATTCCATCCACTCCTTGACTTTTTCGAACCCATCAGCGCGTCGAGGCTTGCGGCTCGTGGCCACTCGCATGGCGTGTTCTGCGTCTTGCACTGAAAAATCGCAGTCGTTTTCGTACAAGTACTTCAAAACGTCTACGTGACCTTCCTGCGCGGCGACGATCATGATGTCATTGTTTTCGCCGTCAGATCTCTTGAAATCACGCCAGATATTCTCAAAATCGCAGCATTCATAGTTCTCCTTCAAGTACCTCACGCAATCGACGTCGCCGAACGCGCACGCCGTGTGTATAACATCCTCCGTCGCCGGAAACCCACTCTTGTGCAAGTGTTTCAAAACCTTGACCGCCGGGACGTACGCACACCCGTCGGTGGGCTCGTTCGTATCGTGCGGTTTACGCTCAACAGCGCATTTCAGCGCATCTTCGTTGATTTCATCGCGCGACGCCCCATTCGCTAGCGCCCAGCTGATGACACGAATCGGATTCTTGCTCGAAAACGCCGCGGTGGAGAAGATCGATTTATCCCACGCGACGACATTGCGATAGAGCTGCTTATCCTTGATCAACTTTTCTCTGACATCGGCACACACTTGCACGTCACCGTCCACGACTGCCTTGATCATTTCGGACCATTTCTCTTTATTTTCGTACGCCAACAAGTCCCGCTTGCCGTCTGCTCCGATCGGAGGCAACTTGGTTTCCTTGGGCTTGTTGCGCGGGCTCGAACCTTTTCCCCGGCGCGGTAGTCCGGCCGCGATTCGCGCTTCTTCGATTTCTTTTACGCGGTCATGACACTTGATACATGTCGAGAAGTTATGCTCATGGAAATCCATGCCCTCCCTGTTCGTGCGCTTGCAACGATGGCAAAACTTGACGCCGGGAATCGGCACCAGGATGATCTCACCGTTTGGTCCGGTCTTCGCCGTGGTCGTCTTCTGAAGCTTGATACGGCCATTTGCCGTGATTTGACCGTCGGCATTGGTCACAGTCGGTCGACTCTCGATGAGTTTCTTCTCTCGCTTCTTTGTTAGCGCCCCGTTTTCCTGTCTCGCCTTCTCCGTCGCTTGTAATTTCTTCTTGTACTTTTCAAAAGTTGTGTTGTAAAACCTGTTGTAAGCGTCCTTTTGAGTTCGTTTGATGCCCCCGTTCATTTTAGCCAGACGCTCGAGGAAATCTTGAGTCAGGTAATTATGGATGAACCTTCCTTCGCTCACTTGGTAACCACTTTTCTTCAAATGCTTCATGAAGAAATCTTCCTCCTCCTTACTCCAGCAAGGTATCCTCAATCCCTCCTCCTCCGTGTACAGCAAGCACTTTTCAGCTTTGCGTTTGAGTTCGTTTCTGAGGCCACCCTTAAACCACTTCGCCGCAAGCGCTCCCTTCGTCCTTTTGTTCCCACTCACGGCTCGCAATCGCTCGAGAAAGTCCCGGTTCCGGAAGAGCGACGCAGCACTACCGCCCCAGACGCCAGCGAAGTAGTTCATGACGAAATTCTCCTCCGCGACCGTCCACGGGGTACACGTCTTCGTTTTTACGGCATGGTTTGGACTCGAGCGCGTCGCGTCGTCGCCGTCGTCGTCACCTTTGTCGTCCGAGGAGGTTGAAGCGTAATCACGCGAGTCTCTCGTGCGTTTCGTCCCTCCCGACTCGCGGTTTTGCGGGCGCGCGGTCGACGCGAAGGCGCGCGGGTACGACTGCGGCGTCCCGTGCGACGACGACCTCGGCGCTTTCTCCGCGCTCTCTTTCAGCTCGCGTTCGAGCCGTTCGATGCGCTCGTCGCGCTCGCGAAGTTTAATCTGCAACTCGAGCGCCAACACGCGCGCTTGTTCGTGCTTGATTTGTTCATCCTTGAGCGCGAGTTCGGCTTTCATGCGGTCGATGTCGCTCGCGGATGCGTCGATCGTCGATCGTTGCTCCTGCGCCGCGGCCGCGGCACCGCCGGTGAGGTACGACCACGCCATCGCGTCGCGAAGTGCGAACGAGGCTGTCGAGACGAGCGAGACTAATCGTCATCACGACTCCCCAGACTGACTCTGGAGACCGCGGGATCGAACGGGTGACGTTCGCGCGGCGCGCGATCGATGCCACGCGATGCGATCGGCGACGCGATCGAACGCGGCGACGGAGTGGACGCGCACCGAAGATTCAACGCGAAGACTGCTCGATGTCGTTACAAGGCGACGCGCGTCTCTGAAGTGCTCTCGCGCGGCGTCGACTTTGTTCCTAATAAACAAACCGACCCGCGCGTGGTGAGAGACGAAACGCGCGCGCGAACGCTACCGACCGACGACCTCGCGTCGTTATATTTGACTAGCATGTAGTAGTTAACTCCCCACAAAAACTCTCCTCGAACTATTAGACAACCCGGCGTCTCGACTAGATGACGCCGATCCTGTTGGCGACGTCGACGGCGTCGTAGTCATCCGTAAGGCGGCAGTACGCCTTCTTGTCGCCGTTCGGGCGGATGAGCGTGTTCACCTTCAAGCACTCGATGTCGTACATGCGCTTGATCGCTTCCTTGATTTGCCTCTTGTTCGCGCGAGCGTCGACGACGAAGACGAGCGTGTTGTTGGACTCAATCTTCGCCAACGCGTTTTCGTTCGCGAGCGGGTGCTTCAAGATCTGCGGAGAAAATCACGGTCGACAGAACCATCGTCGTCAGTCTTCGCGTTCGCTATCGCGGTTCAATCGATTCGTCGTGCGTCGCGAGGCCGTTGAGTTCTCGCTCGACGTCGCGCTCGACGGAAAACCCTAAAGCCCATCCCAGCGTCGCGCGCGTCGGTCGTCGTACGCACCTGCCAGCGGTCGAGCTTGCACTTGGACGGCACGGAAACGCGCGGGTACGCCGGCTTACGCTCATGCTTCAAAGTGCGCGGCCTATTCACGGTCGGAACGTCGCGCACCGTCAGTCTCATCGTCGCACGAAGGCGCGCTCGGGGCGTCGAACGCATCATTCGTCTTTCGTGCGGCTCGCGTGCGCGTACCTGTGGAACGTCGCGGAGAATCGCTTCTTCAGAAGCTTGCCCTTGGCGCCCTTCTTCACGAACTTCGCCGCCTTGCTCGCCTTGTTCACCTTTTCGTCTGCTCGCGACGCGACGTCGTGCGCGATCCGTCAGTCCAAAGCCCTTTCCGTCGTCGTCGCGCGCGGCGCCGCGCGTCGTTCGCGACGTCGCGCGACGCTCGCTCGCGCGCGCGCGATCCGAGAAGAATCGTCGCGTCGCATCCCGTCGCGCGCGCACCTTTCGTCGGCGCCATCGTTCGTGCGCGCGCGGAAAAGACGGCGCGCGACGCGACGCGCGATGGGGCGCGTCCACGACGCGCCGCGACCACGTACGAAAACCCGTCTCGGGACGCACACCGCACGACATCCGCGAAAAAAAAATCGTCGAATGCGAATGCGATTGCGAATGCGATCGATGCGGCGTCGCGCGATCGCACTCGCGCGCGTGCGGCACAGACGCGCGACGAACCGCGCGACCGGTGCGCCATCATGTCGACGCCGACGCCGCGGAATCGCGACGGACGGCGCGATCGACGACGCGCGAACGCGGACGCGTTCGAGAGCGTCGTCGTTCGTAAAAACGAAACGCTGAGCGCGTTCGCCAAGCGCACGGGGACGCGCGCGGAGGTGATCCTGCTGCTGAACCCGCACGCGTCGGCGAAAGGGTTGATCTCGGGGATGGTGCTGGACGTGCCGCTGAAGGCGAAGACGGAGAAGACGGCGAAGACGGCGAAGAAGGGGCGATCGGCGTCGACGAACGCCGCGGCGTCGGCGAACGACGCGCGGGGAGGCGGGAAGCGCGGAGGCGAGAAAACGACGACGACGACGACGACGACGACGAGTTTTAGTGGGAAACTGTACGAGAAAAGTTATCCCGTGCTGGAACAGCGGAGTAAAGAGTTGCAAGCAGAGTTACGGGCGAGGGTGGAGGAGTTCGGAGTGGCGGCGAAGGGCGAGAAGGCGGCGCTCGCGGGCGAACTCGTCGGAAAATCTCGCGACAAGCTGAGCGCTTGGAGGAAGAAGATGATGTCGGTAGTGGCTAAAACCACGGACGAAGCGGCGGAGAATTTTGGGGCGAGATTCGAAAATTTCAAGTCGCGAGCGGGCGCCAAGAAGCCGAGCGAGGCGGCGAAGGATAAGCGGCAACCGAAAAAGACGCCCAACGCGACGGCTGCCAAGGATAAGGCGAAGGCGGACGCGGCGAAAGAGAAGGCGAAGCAGGATAAGGCGAAGCAGGACAAGAAGGATGCGATAGCGCGCGAGAAGGAGTCGACCGATAAGCCTAAAAAAGTGGAGACGAACAAGGCCGTCGCGGCGAAGCCCAAGCTCAAGGCGGACAGGGCCAAGCCGCGTCGCGAGTCTACTTCGATCAACCAAACGGGTCAGGAGGTCGCGTGGACGTTGCTCTTCAGCGCAGGCCTTGGTGCGATCGGGCACGTGTTGAAAAAGATCGGCGAGAAGTATCACATTGCCGAGAGCGACGACGACGAGGTCAGGGAATTCAATCCGACGACGCTTTGGCAGTGGGCGCGCGACAATGTCGTCTTCCGTCCGTGCCTCGGCGGCGGGATTTGCGTGACAATCCGAGACAAGGACGAGGATCCAGATGCGCCGGTCCAAAAGCACCCCAAGGTTGGATCTCAACTGAATCATATCGCGAGCACGAACTTTGCCGAGCACGCCGCGCCGGTGGAAAAAGCCATGGTGAGGCGCGTGGAGAAGACTAAGGCGCAGTTGCAGACCTTTATGGAAGCGATGAAGATACGCAACATCGACGAGCACACAGAGCAGTTACTCGAGCTTCAAGAAGAGCTCGAGCGAGGGCAGTTTGAGAGCCAGCAAGAGCGTGCGCAGTGCCAAGAAAAGATCGTCGCGATCAAGACGCGCTTAGCCGAAGCGCAAGGGCTGCTGTCGATGTGGGTGGATCACTCCGCGAACGACGCGTACTTGAAGAACTTGAAACGCCGAGTTCTCGCGGCGTGGGTTGAGTTGTTGCAAGAACGTTACGTTCGTCAGCGCATAATGACCAAGGTGTACTTGCGATGGCAGAACATTGAACTCTCGCAAGCGTTTAATCAGTGGTACGAAAACGCTCACGTGCTGCGCGTGCAACGTCTGCGCAAGGAAGGCATGGACATCCAAGATAAGTTGAAGTTGGAGAGACAACGTTTGGAAGAAAAGCGCGCGGCGGATCAAGAAAACAGAATGCGTTGGAGTAGCCCCAAGAACGCCGAGGCCGCGAGGAACGAGGCGCGACGAAGCGCGTTCGAAGAGAAGTTGGCTTCGGCGGCGGCGGATTCGCTCGTGGAATAGCAAGCACATACTCGTTGTATTTATCAACAAAATCGAACATTGACGCTGCAATCTATGATATGTGTGTGTTTCTGTGCGCTTCGACGTGTGAAAGTAAATCATCAATGCGCCGCGAGTCCCCAAAACGACTCGACGTTGGCGCCGCTACGGTGTTGGCGTTCGCGCTTGGGCGATTCCAAAAATTCACTAATCATCGCAAAAGCCGCCGCAAGAGGTGACTGCGGGGCATCATTATCGAATCCATTGCCTAATCGCATCGACGACGGCGACTTTGCGACAATCATTTCCAGCTGTCCCGGCGACATCTCCTCGATCGGCTTCGGCGACGGCGCCTCGCACTCGTCGAACAGCACCCTCCCGCCCGAATCCACCGATCGCGCCCCCCACTTACCACCGTCCATCGCAGTTCTAACGTTTTCTTTATCGCTCTCGTACTCATCCTCTTCGTCTATCCGAGACTCACCGCCCTCGCGCGTCTTCGTCGCTCTCGCCCGACTCGGCGCCGTCCCCGTCGTCCCGCTTCTCGCCTTGGGCGTCTTCACCGCCGGCGTCTTCGCCCCGAGCGAGTTCCGCGACTTCCCAGACTTCAACACCGGGCTCGTTTTGTGTCTCTTCACCGCGCTCGTCGCCTGCGACGCGCTCTTCCGTCGTTTCTCCCCCGTCTTCGCGTTCGACGCGTTTGAATTCGCGTTCGCCTTGGACGCTATCCCGAGTTTACCCTCCGTCCTCGCCGCGCTGTTGGAGACGAAATCGCGCACGCACCGCGCGCATCCGCGATCGCTGTATCGACACTTCGAGCACCCCATGCGCGTCGGTCGCGCGCGGCGCGCGTCACCGTCTCGCGCGCGCGCACCGGCCCATCCGCCATCCGGCGTCGCGCTTCGAGTTTTTGAATTTTCGCCAGCGGAGGGCGAATGGCGCACCGGGCCGTTGCGCGCGCGCGGCGCCGCACTTCGCGGACATGGCGCGCGAGGCGCGGCGGAAGACGGCGCCGCCGCGCGTCGCGTCGATGGACGGAAAGCGCATCCTCGCCGACGGTCCCTACGACACGAGACGAGACGCCGTGGAAGCGCTCACGGCGTTCGAGCGCGAACAAGCGCGCGGAATCGCGGTGAACAAGCGACTGAGCGGCGGGCGAAGGGCGGTTTTCGGCTGCGCGTGCCGCGGTGCGAGGGAAGACGACGACGGCGCCGTTCGTCCACGATGTGAGTTCAGCGCGGTTATAATGAGGCGCTCGGGCAAACGCGACGACGAGAAGTGGTACTTGACGAAGTACGTCGCGCACACGATGGAGACGTGCGAGGGGCGACCGCGCATGACGATCGCACATATTTTGGCCGACGATCGCGTGCGCGATCTTTGTTTGAGCACAGACGGAAAAGTGTCGTGGCGCGCGATCGCGGCGCTCGTCAAAGACTTGCACGGCGTGGACGTTCCCGAGCGCACGTGTTCGCGCGCGCGCGAAGTAGTTTTACGCGGGAATAAAGGGAATGAAGAAGAGTGAAGAAGCGTTCGCTAGAGGCTAGAGAAAACGGGGTAAGAGCACCAAACTAGCATATAGAGGCTGCTTTTTTCGACCTTTGGACGGCTCGATTCGTTCGAATGAATTTCGGCCCGATTTCAGGCGACGGCGTCACGCGCCGCGCGCGCCATTGTGTGACGATTCAGATTTTCGTCATGTGCGGACGGACGTGCTGCACGGTGTTCACCGGCATTATCATCGGCGCGGCAATCACGATCGCTGTGACGTATCCGGTGTTACGGGACGAGTGGTTCGGCCCGGGTGATGACGAGACGGGGGCGCGCGCCGCGTTCGTTGCCTGCTCCGACGCCGGGACGCAATCGCCCGCGGACGTGAGCGAAGGTGCGCTCGCGAGCGGTGCGAGCATTTTGCCGACCAATGCGATTTTGAGAAACGTTTCGTTGATGACGCTGGCGAATGTGCACTACCACTCGCCCGCGGAGCACCGGAGTCAAGGCGAGTTTTCGACGCCGAACGCGAGCGAGTCCGGATTCGCGTGCGACGACGCGAGCGACGCGACGGGCACGGCTCGCGTCGTCGCGACGAACGGCGACGATGTATCGGATGCTCGGTACGCGTTCTCATTTTGCCAAGACGTCGCAGTTGGTGACACGATTGAATTGCATTGGGTGTACTCGACGGGCGCCGCACGGACGGGCGTCTCGGATGGTTTGTCTGGAGCGTTCGCGACGCAAAACAACCCGTATGTGGTTGTTCGCGCGCAAGTCTTCAAAATCACGAATAATCCCTCGGACGACGTCGCTGACTTGTTTGTCTCGTGGAATACGACGTTGGTCTCGGACGCAGTTCGTTATGTCGGCAGTACGACTGGCGACAAGTACGATAATGTCGATCGATGTTCGCCTTTCCTCGTAATTTGGCACGTCGATCGAGAGTGTCATCGAGTGAGCGCTCGATCTCTCGATGAGATGTGCCGCGTGATGAAAGATAACGGACTGTCAGACGACTTAAAGGCGCACGCGGCGCGTCAGCTCGTGCCGAGTTCCTTGACTGCTTCGGCCCTTAGCCTTTCTTCGACGTTTTACTGAATCGAGTCGAGCGCTGAGGCGCGCCGAGTTTCAACGTTTCAATCAACACATGCATTCTTTTCTTCACAACTCATTCGCTATCCGTTCGCTATTCGCTAAAAGTAGTCTACACTCTAATCGTAAGGGCGCTCTAAACCGTAAGGGCTTCCGTTTCCATCTCCTCACGCCGCGAAATCTCGTCGCCGCTGATCGATCGCGGCGCCGATTCGCTTCGCTCGATCGAGAGATTTTGGAAACTCGACGCGACGCGTCGTCTCGCCATCGATGACGATGACAAAGTCTACCGCGACGCATCCTTTGAGTGCGTTCGTCAAAAATGTCGCCGCAAACGCGTTCGCGAGCAATTCGCTGACGTACGCGCCGCGTCCCGCGTCCGTCGCATCGACGCAACTCTTCAGCAGTCCCATGGCTAAACCTTCGAGCACTTCGTCTCGAGCGGCGTAGAGCGTCTCTCGCTTCTCATCCATCTTCAAAGTCGCGAAGTTCGTCGTCAAACCTTCCAAACACTCGTGCTCCCACTCGTTCGATCCCTCTGGTTTCACTTTGCGCGTCATCACGTACTCGACGCACGCGTCGTTCGGATGCGCCGCGTTCCATTCCGCCAATCTTCGCTCAAAGGGCACGCGCTCGCGCGCCCAAGCCGAGTATTTTAATTCATGCGGATGCCTCGGACTCGTCTCCCGCGCCGCATCGAGATCGATCAACACGCCAACGCCGCGCTCTCGAGCGTTCGATTCGCCGCCGCCGTCCGTTCCTCTGGGCTGAATCAAAACGTCCACCGTCTCCGTCTCCGTCTCCGACGCGCGTTCACGATGCGCTAGAATCGTCACCACGCACGTCTGCACGTCCATCCACCGTGGATCTCCCCCCACGCGCCGCAACGCCGCGCTCGCGCTCGCGCGCGCCGCCGCGCTCGCCAACCGCGCGTAATGCCCGTCCTCGTCCTCGAGCGCGAACGCGCGGGCGACGTCGGGCGCACCGCGAGCGTCATCGCCATCGTCGCGCTCCGAGCGCGCGCGACGCGCGATCCCGACCGTGTACACGCCCTCGGGACGTCGTTCGAGCATCGCGCGCGGGGTCTCGGGCGCGTCGTCGACGGCGAATTCGACGTCGTTCTCAAAGTACGCGCTCTTCGGCGGCGCCGCGCGCGCCGCGGGCGTCGGTGTCGACGACGCCATCGCGTCGTCGCGCGCGCGCGCGCGCGGGCGTCGCTTTATGTCGCCGTTCGCGGCTCGGTCGCGGTCTCGGCGCGAACGGTGCGCGCGACGGTCGAGAGACGAATCAATCTTTAACGCTGTGTTTTCATCGGTCTACTTCGCGTCGACGGCGCTCACGCCGTGGCCGTCTTCACGTTATCAGGATCTTTGTAAGTGCCGTCTTCGTTGAGCTCGTTGTCGAACTCGTCGACGAAAAACGTCCTCATGATTTCCTCGCCCGTCTCTTCGTCCATCTCCTCGACGGTTTTCTTGATTCGTCGCGCCAGTAACGCCTTTTTCGAGAGCGGCTTTTCCTTCTTGTGCTTCTTCGACGCCGATTGCGGGCGCGAGTTCGGTTCGCTTGGAGCGACATCTGACGCGTTCTCGTCGTTTTCGTCGTTGATCGGCGTCGACGGCGTCTTGCGCTTGGAAGACGGCGGCGTCTTCTTGGGCGTCGACTTGGGCGTCTTCTTCTTGGGCGTCGACTTGGGCGTCTTCTTGGGCGTCGATTTTGGCGTCGGTTCGGGTTCGGGTTCATCGTCGACAATTTCCATGTCTTCCTCCTCGTCTTCCTCCTCGTCTTCGGACTCGATCGTAATCGCGCGCTTTTTACGCGGCTTGCGCTTCGCGCCGCCGATTTCGTCGTCCGAATCGTCGTCGTCGCTCTCATCCTCTTCGGCGGCTAAAATCGCCGCCTCCGCGCTCGCTGGCGCCTTCTTCTTCGGCGTCGGCGCCTTTTCTTTCTTCACCTCCGCCACCGCGGCGCGCTTCGGCGCTTCGCTCGTCGTCGCCGCCTTCGCCTTGGGCTTCGGCGCGTTGGCGAACATCGACATCAACGAATGGTTCTTCTTCGCGCCCGCGTCCTTTTGCTTCGCCGCCGACCTGCCCGCGGCGGTCGCCCCACCCTCCTTCGGCGTCGCCACCGCAGGCGTCCCCGCGACGCTCGCCTTGGACGCCCCGTTCGTCTTCACCGCCGTCCCGTTCGCCGCTCGCGCGTCGCTCGCGCCTCGTCGTCCGCGTTCGGCGTTTCTCGTCGCCGTCTCGCACGTCACCGTCCCGTACTTATTCTCCCGAAACGCGTTCATCTCCTCGTTCGGCGCGTCATACATCTCGCGTTTTATCCTCTGTTCGTCTTCGTACACCATCGCGCACGCTTCGTCCCCCCCGCTCGCCGTCGTCTTCACCGCGCCCGCGACGCGTTCGTCCGCCTCCGCCTCGCGCGCGACTCGCCGCGTCACCCTCCTCCCCATCCCGTTCGCCTCCGTCGTCGTCCGTTCGCACACCAATCGCACGCGAGTTCCATCCTTTGCTTCTTTCGCGTCTTCGCGCGCCAGCGTCTTCACCGCGTCGACGAACGCGCGGTGCGACACCGCGTCGTCGACGGCGCCGAGCGCCATGCGCATCGCTTTCGGCGTCGTCCCTCGCGCGCTCGCGGCGTCGCGCGCGGCCCATCGCGAGACGTACGCGCGCGCGCGTCGCGCGTCGTCGTCGCACCGCGCGTCGTCGCGCGCCGTCGTCGTCATCGGCGTCGGCGTCGCGTCGACGCGCGCCCAAGACTGCGGTTCGGTTTGAATCTTTCTCGCGTCCGTCGAAGCGTCGTGAATTCGTCGATTTCGAGTCGACATCGCGCGACGCGCGACGCGACGCGCGCCGACGGGGAAGACGGATTCGTGATTCGTCGACCGTCGATGTCGACGACGCCCGGAGCGCCGCCGATGCCGAGCCACGGCGACGCGGAGGCGCTCGATCGGTACAGCGCGCTCGTCCCGACGCTGTTGCTCATGGTGTGCGTCGTCGTGAGCTACGTCATACAGCGGTATAACGTGCGCGCGGTGCAGCCGAGCGGGGCGGCGCTGATCGTGGGCGTCGCGTTCGGCGCCGTCGCGCGCGCGAAGACGGCGCGAGGCGCGGACGTGGCGGCGTTTCAATTTTCGCCGCAGGCGTTCTTTTATGGGTTGTTGCCGATCATCATCTACAGCGCGGGATTGAACCTGAAGCGACGGGATTTCTTCGCGGATTTTTTCACCATCGCGCTGTTCGCGTTCGTGGGGACGGTGATCTCGAGCTTCGTGTTCGGGCTGAGCACGTTCGTGCTGGTGGAGATTGGCGTGATTGCGAGGAAACATCTCGGGTCGAATCCGTTGTTGGAGTGTCTGTTGTACGGGACGTTGATTTCGTCCACCGATCCCGTGGCGACGCTGAGCGTTTTTGCGGACGTCTCGGCGCCGCCTTTGTTGTATAATTTAGTTTTTGGTGAAAGCGTTTTGAACGACGCCGTCGCCGTGGTCTTGTTTCGCACGTTGGCGGAGTTTTACGAGCAAGAGTTTACGGTTTCGACGTTTTGGACCGTCATAGGGCAATTCATACTCGTTTCCATCGGATCGTTGCTCATCGGGATCGCGATCGCGCTCGGTACGGCGCTGTTGCTGAAGACTTTGGGATTGGCGGAAGCGCCGCCGAACGTGGCGGCGTCGTACAACGGCACGGCGTACACGTTTGCGCTGTTGCTCATCTCGGGGTACTTTTCGTACGTCTTGGCGGAAAACGTGGGCATGAGCGGAATTATGAGCATATTTTTCACGGGTATCGGCAACGCGCATTACTCGTACCATAACGTCGGCGAAGAGGCCCAAATTGCTGTGTTTAAATCGTTCGAGGCGGCGGCGTTTTTATCCGAAACCTTTGTGTTTGCCTATCTCGGCATGCAAGTCGCGACGTTTGATCATTTGTGGGATTTTGGGATTTTGCTCACGGGCATCCCTCTCGCCATGGCGGCTCGAGCTGTGAATATATTTCCACTCAGTCGTTTGGCGAACACACTGCGAGAGACGCCTATTCCCCGGAACGTTCAAGTCATGCACGCGGCGTGCGGTTTGCGAGGCGCCGTCGCATACGCCTTGGCCGTAAACATGCCGTCGACGCGACCAGGCGAGCAAGGATCGCGCGCGGTCGAGACCGGGACGTTGGTGATTTGCTTAGTTTCTACCCTAGTTCTCGGCGGCGCCACGCTACCGTTGATGAAACATCTCGGCTTGCACGACCCGAGCGACAGAGAGGGCATGGTGAGCTCGGCGATGAGCGCGACCGCGCACGATGGCTTGGGTTTCATCAACCCATCGCCGCGCGCTCGTGCCGTGCGCGCGCGGGCACTCGCAGATGGTCACCCGATTTGGTACCTTTCCATAGCTTTTCGCGTCAAGGCAAGATTGTTCGAGTGGTGGGACGATTTAGAGAACAATTTTATGATACCGACGTTCGGCGGCGCGCCTGCGCACGGAGCGTGGTCGCCCGTCAACACGAGCGACGCCGGAGGGAGCGCGGATGCTCACGAGACGACGCCAGCGAACGGCGAAGAGTATAGGGATGTGGAGTTGACCCCCATCGGCGATGATGACGAGAAAGATTTAGAAAACTTGCGCGCGGCTGGGCCGTCGAGCGACGACGCGTAAAACTTGTAGTTGTGTTGGATTTTAATTTAAAACTGTGCCAAGGCCAATTAATGCAATAATCGGTATTAAGGGTTGGAATAATGGGGGCGAAATGTGTAACTGTGTCTCGAAAACCTAAAGCTCGCCGCAATCGGCGATGAGAACTTCCGCGGACGTGGCGCCGGATTGCGAGCCAACGGCTTCAACCTTCTTAACGACGTCCATGCCGTCGATGACGGAGCCGAAGACGGTGTGCTTACCGTCCAACCAAGCGGTTTCAGCCGTGCACAAGAAAAACTGCGAGCCGTTCGTGTTCGGTCCGGCGTTCGCCATGGACAAAATCCCCGGTCCCGTGTGCTTCAAGGTGAAGTTTTCGTCTTCAAACTTGTTGCCGAAGATGGACTTGCCGCCCGTGCCGTTGCGGTTGGTGAAATCCCCACCTTGGCACATGAAACCCGGGATCACGCGATGAAACGGAGAACCCTTGTATCCGAATCCAGCCTCACCGGTGCACAACTGCCTGAAGTTCTCCCCGCACTTGGGCGTGACGTCGCCGCGAATCTCCATAGTGACTCGCCCCGCGGCTTCGCCGCCGATGGTGATGTCAAAATAGCACTTGAACTTATCTCGGTGCTTCACCTCGAGTCGGTCCAAGCTCATGAGCTCGATATCAAAGTTCAACGTCTTCCCGGCCAACGGGTGATTGGCGTCCAGCGCCACCTCACTGTCCGTCACCTCGATGATCTCCGCCGGCATGCCTTGTCCGACCATCAGCTTTTCGCCAACTTTGACGAAATCTTCACCCACCGCGTCCACGACGTCCTTCTTCGGCACTCTGAGGATATTTTCCGGTCGCACCTCCCCGTACGCATCCGCGGGCGCGCATTTGATCGTCTTGCTTTGACCGACAGCCAATCCGAGGACGCCCTTGTCGAACCCAGGGATCATCATCCCGCTGCCGACGGTGAATTTAATCGGTTCGTTTCGTTCTCTCGAGCTGTCGAACGTCGTGCCGTCCTCGAGCGTGCCGACGTAGTGAATCGCGACGGCATCGCCCTTCTCCACCGTCTTATCCGAAGCGCGCGCGGAGACGGTGAAACCACGACGCGGCGCGGCGATGGATTGGCGACCGAGGGTTGGTCGGCGGCTCGCGGACGCGGGGCGGGCGTACGCGCGCACGGCGTGCATCATCGCGGTTCGCATGGTTTTTAAGACGTGTGCGCGTGCGCGTGGGTCGGTCGATCGTCGTCCGCGCGAGCGAGTCGCGGAGTGCGGCGCGCACGGCGTCGACCTTCACGTCATCTTCACGTCATCGTCGTCATCGTCGTCGTGAGATAAAAATCATTTTTCGCGGCGGGCTACTTGATGTACTTGTTCAAAAACCTCTTGTGGAAATCGCTTCGAATGGTGTCGTTGATGAAACGCTTCCCAACCTTGGGCTCGTCGCGCGCTTGGTTGCGGAACACGACGTCGTCGTCCCAGCGCCGTTTCGTCCTAAAGTCGCCGCCCGCGCTCGCGCCGGCGCCGCCAGTCGCGAGGTCCAATAACGGGTTCCCCGTCGCTAATTCGTCTTTTTGTCGCTCGAAAGCCTCCGACGCCTCGGCCTCGGCTTTCAAACGCGCTTCTTCCGCGCGTTCGCTCTTGATGCGCTCGAGCTCGGCCAAGAGTGCGGCCGTGTCGTCGTCTGCGAATCGAGAGCGTGGTAGGGTTAGTCAGCCGTCGCCTCGCGTCGTCGGGTCTCGCGTCTCGCGTCTCGCGTCTCGCGTCTCGCATCGCATCGCGCGCCGCGCCATCGTTCGCGAGAGACGAAAACATCGCACACGCACCATCGCTCTCATCATCGCTCCCCGAATCGCTCTCGTCGTCGCTCCCGCTCGCGCTCGCGTCGTCGTCCGCGTCCTCCGCTCGCGTTCGAAACCGTCCACCATCATCGCTCGCCCCGCTCCCCAGCGCCGCGATCGTCTCCTTCACGTCCGCGCCCGCGATCGCGCCCTTTCCTTTCGCCCGTCGTTCCTTTTCCTCGAGCTCAGCGCGCAAATCCCGCGCGAGCAGCGCGTCCGCGCCCGATTGCGATTCGTGTCTCGTCTTCAGCGTCATGAATCCATTCGCGTCGAGTTTGCTGTGCTTGGCGCTCGGTCCGAACAGGCGCGCGCCGCCTTGGTGTTCCTTTCCCTTCGCCGGCGCCCACGTCGGTCGGTGCGCGGTCGTCATCGCGTCAGTGAGTGACGCGTCGAGCGTCGAATTCGTCCTCGCGTTCGCGATGCGCGCGCTGTGCGTCTCGCGCGCCGCCGCGGGCGTCGACGCGCGGCGCGAGCGGTCGAGCGATGCGTCCGGGACGCGCGCGCGCGCGATCTCGCGCGCGCCGCGGTGGCTCGACGACGACGCGACGACGAACCCGGCGTTATCTGGGAACTTCGCGCCGGTGGAGGGCGAGCTCGAGACGCCCGTCGCGTGCGTCGTCGCGCGCGGGCGGTTGCCGGACGATTTGGACGGGTTGTACCTGCGGAACGGCCCGAACGCGCGATTTCGACCGGCGCTCGGGACGAATCGGTATCACTGGTTCGACGGCGACGGCATGGTGCACGCGATTCGTTTGCGCGGCGAGGGCGAACGAGCGGAGTATACAAGGCGGTACGTGCGCACGCGCGGTTTCGAGCGAGAAGAAAAGGCGAACGCGGCGCTGTACACGGGGCTCCGGGATATAAATCCGATTTGGCGGTACTTGCTGCCGAGGTTGTTGGAAAAGATGACCTTGGACGTTCGGCAGCCGGATTCGGCGTTCTTCGTCATTCAGTCCAAGAATACGAGTAGTAACGGATTGACGCATCATGCGGGGCGATTGTTAGCGACGTACGAGAGCGGTTCGCCGTACGAGATCGCGTTAGAGCCGACGCTGCGCACGAAAGGGCTGTGCGATTTCAATCAGACGTTTGGCACGATGGATTATTGGCTGGACAATTTCACCGCGCATTCGAAGACGTGCCCGATGACGGACGAGTTAATTTACATCGGGTACAATCTCGTGGCGCTGAGCGGCGAGCAGGATGGGCAGACGACGATCACGGTTGGCGTGATCGACGGCGAGACGGGGAAACGCACGCACCGGCGGCAATTTAAAGTGCCTCGACCCTCGATGCAACACGACGTCGCCATCACGCCGACAAAGACGGTGCTGATCGATGGGCCGTTGATCTTCAACTTGCCGCGCGTCATCGAAGGCGGACTGCCGTTTAGCTTTGAAAGAGAATGCACGTTGCGTATCGGATATCTCCCACGAAGAGGTGAGGAAGGGCCGTTTTGGATTGACACTGGCGAGACGTGCTTTGCGTATCACGTCGTGAACGCGTACGAAGAAGGAAATATTCTGACGTTGGATGTGTGCAAAGCCGACGAAACGAACGCGTTGGGGATGTGCCAAGAGTCGAACGTGCCGCGTTCAACGCCGGCGAAGAATCCAGTGAACGCCGGTCGCGACGTTGCGGCGTTGTGGAGATGGCAAATCGACACCGACGCTAACGCGATAATATCGAGCAAGCGCCTATGCGAACAGACTTCCGACTTTCCGTGTATTAACCGCAAGTACACTGGCTTAAAGTACCGCTTCGCGTACTCGGTGGCGTACAAATTGGGCACCGAACCAAAGTCGCGCATGGACATTCCTCTGTTCGACGCCGTACTCAAGCACGACCTACAGTCAGGAGTGACGACTCGATACGAATTAGGTGAAGGTGTCACGTGTGGTGACATTATTTTCGTTCCTTCGAAAGATGCCGCGCGCGAAGACGACGGTTATTTGCTCGTGTTGACACACCTCGACGTCGACGGTGAAGAGCCTCGAGCAGAGTTATTAATTTTAGACGCCTCGGGCGACGAACTCACGACGCAGTGCGTCGTGCATATTCCAATGCGCGTACCGTACGGATTTCATTGCGAATATGTACCCGGACCACTTCCAGACTGGCCGCTGTAGTATCTATCTTGTAACATGTTGTATTCGTTGTCGTTTCGCGCGTCCCGAGGCAGCTGCAGCTGCAGAACGCAACTCGCAACATTCTACGACTTCGATTTCGCGTGTAGTTCCAAAAACCCGCATAAGACACATGCTTTCACGCGCGCGTCACGCCGCGAGCGCGTTTGCGCCCGCACCGACGTCGCGATGGTTTGGTCTTCTCGCGCGTTGGAGCCGCGAGGAACTCTTTCACATTGGGGATACGAAACACGAAAACGCATCGAGATTCTCGCACGTCGATGGATTGATTTTTGCGTGTCGTTTTCTCAATATCTTGATATTCACCTCGACGGTGTTTTGTGCGTTCGGCGTTCGCCGATTGGTCTCTCGCGGCGAGCTCGGTTGGATTTTGCCATCTTTCGCCGCGCTCGGCGTCGTCGACACAGTTTCGCGATTAACGCGTTTGCGCGTGACGGAGAAATACGAGCGAGCAGTTTATGATACTTTATTGCTGGCATCAAACCGTTCACTGTGCGCGGAACGAATTGCGCATGAATGGCGACTGTTTGCGCAAAGCGAGGCTGCTTTGGCAGTTTCTGGATCGAGACAGAACTACGTGGATGCGGTCGCTTACGCGGTGTTGATTACCGCTTGCTTCGCACATTCCGCGTATGTACGATACATCGACGAAGCAGATGCATTTTCAGCGCTGATTTTGACTCGAGCATGCGTTCGAGCGCTCGTGAGCGCTCGGCGAGCGAAAATTGACTCGGCACGACGCGTCGAATTTGTAGCTCTCGTGACCGACAACGAACGGAGCTCTCACAGAGGGCCCTCTGTGTCAACATCGGCGCTCGTTGAAAACGGCGGAGAGCTCGTCGCCATCGTCGGCGATGGACGATACGACTTATTTAATCGACTTATTCGAGGCGTCGAACATGCGGACGAAGTTGACGTACTGCTTTCGCCGAGCAAGGAATGGCGCGTGCCCGAACCCGTCGATAGGCGTGTCAACGCGCTGGTGTTGGGATCTGCTTCATCACGCGTAGATGCTCTGAAACGATCGCGCCTGATAGAGTCGTTAGAAGCGGCGTTATGCTCATCAGATCGCTACCTGGAATGTGCGCTTCGCAAGCGACCAAAGGAAACCGCGGACGACGTCATCGCGTGTAGCACGAGCGATGGTGGTGCGTGTGAAATCGGTTTGGAGCGTGCAAGGTGCGCGCACGCTCGTATCATGCTGGCACAAGACCCATTCTATGAAATATACGATGAACGCGCGCGATTGCGAGCAATGAATCGCCTAACAAACCGGCGTCGGTCCTGCGTGTTCACCACGACTGATATCGCCGTACTTCCTTTGTGCCATCGTATCGTCATCACCGAAGGCAACAGCGTCGTGTTCATCGGTAAATGGAGCTCTATGCTGGAGGGTTGCGACGCGCACACAATTCATCGAGCGCTGTCGTCGTCGTCGTCGCGGCGACAGACTGCGCCGATTGACAAGTCAAGGGTTATTCATCCGTCGCCGCGAGAATTTCTCGCTGCCCCAACGAAGAACGTTGCCGCGTCCATGAAAGGTTGGAACTTTCAATCAGTTTCGTTGATCGTCAGTATCTTTGCATGCGTCGGTATCACTCCAGCTATATCACTGCACGCTTTTGAAAGATGGCTCGACGGCAAGCGACGAATGTGGAATCCTTCCAACGCGCTCTTATACGCTGCCATCGGAACGTTTGTGGCATCCATTGCGATGCAACGCATTGTCGCGCATTCGCTGCAGTATTCGAGGACCGCACACGCGTTCGCGCGAGTAATCTACGTCGCACTTGCCGCGGGCTTCACGATGACGAGCGCGGCGGACGCGGCGGTGGCTTTCGCCTTTACCGTCTTCATCGCATGGAGCGTTGATTTCAATCGCCTCGCCTCGCGTCTCAATCGCCAATGCGAAAACGATCACGTGCGACTGGCACATTTCGTCGCGCGCGTATCACAAGGTGCGCGGCAAATACGCGTGTCAAGGTGTCAATATCTATACTGGGATACTTTCAAAAACTTACTCGCGGCGCTTTGCGCGGACAATCGCCGCCGCCGAAAAATTCGCGGTGTACAGCACGCGTGGAGTTCCCTGTGCGCCGTCGTCGGCATCGCGGTCGGATTATCAGCGCTCGACCAAAGCGAAACATCAAGACGAGGCGCTCTTGCATTCATTGGTCTTCAGGCTGTGGAGGTCTTCATAGACCTCACAAATCGCGACTCGCTTTTTGACGCGCGCCGAACGCACACCGTCGAAACGCAAACGGGCGACTCAAGACCGTGGCTCAGACGAACGCGCTCGTCGTCGTGAACTGTATACACTATCATTTTGCTAAATGTTGTAACGTTTATCATTACACAATCAATTCGTATCATATCATGATGCTAATTTGCCGTTCTGTTCACGCGTCGTCGGACTTGTCGCTGAGACCGACGAAGGTGAACGGGACGAAGGCATAGCCGGCTCCTTTGAAGAACTTGTTGTTGAACTCGACCCAGTGCAAGCGCAACGCGTGTAAAAACGCGGACAGAGATTCCATGAGCATGAGCACCCCAATCGTGGCGAACGCCCACACGGCGAAACCCATCACGATGGCGACGACGTTTCCGCTCGCCACGGCGCCCATGAAGACGCGATCCCAAAACACGGCTGAGAGTTGCGCATGCGCTAGTGACAGCGCCCAAAGACGAAGATAAGACGCGGTATTTGACACAGCGCCGAGAACGAATTCAATGGTATGGATCCCTTGATGCACCATGATTTCGCCGAAATCAAATTCTTCTTCCTCTTCAGCCGACGGTGAGCTGTTCTCCGCATCTGACGCTTGCAAAAACGCCTCGTCGTCGTCATCTTCTGCATCAAGCCGCGCGTATCGCACGCCGCCTCGCCGAACCCCGCCTCGGGACGCTTCGTGTCGCTTCTTCAAAATGTACGGTTTCGGAAACAGCATCACCGGCACCGCCACAAAGGCGAGAAACAACAAAAAATTTTGAAAGCCCGCTTGCCCTGGGAACAAGACGTTTTCGGGGCAACCGGGACCGCCGTTTTCGCCTTCGCCGGCGCAATCGACGTTGCCCGGGGAAAGGAACATGTATATCATAACGTGATACAAATCGGCAGTCGAACCAGGCGTGCACCACTTGATGAGGATCAGCAACGACAGGTATCCGAAGAGCGCGCCGAGGAAGATGACTTGCGGGAAAAACTCGCAATACATCGAGAGCTTGTCGTTTGTGTACACCTGATTTAGGAATGACATGAAGATTCCGAGCATCATCTGCGTCACACCCATCAAAATAGACATTTTCATCTTCAGCGAGTTCAAAAACGGCAATTCCGAACGCGAACCGTGCCAGATGGGGTCGACGCCAAAGGCGTACGCGCCGTCGCCGTTATTCACCAGGCCGGTCTTATACGCCGAATCGCACGTCGTAGACGCCGTCGGGTCATTTGGATCGCACACATACTTACTCGCACCGAACCAATTCATTGGTACAGAGAAACATTCGTTGTAGAGTAAACCAGTGTAAATACTAAAAATGGACATGAGTAGGATGGCGTATCGACCGTCGAACGCCATCTGGATGATTTCGTTCAGTCCCGACGCCGCGAGCTTCTTTTCGTTCATCACCAAATATAGCGCGGCGAAGAGCATGAGAAATCCATGGCCAAAATCACCGAACATGACGGCGAATAGGAATGGGAAAGTCACGATGGTGAACACCGTGGGATTCACCTCGCGATAGCTCGCGACGCCGTACGCGTCGACGATGCCTTGGAAGACTGAGGTGACTTTGTTCGTCTGAAAGTGCGTCGGCGGGGATTCCTTGGTTTCTATTTGCTGAAAAATCGTCCCAACGGAAGCGAGCGAGGAATGATTCGCATCCGTCAAGGCGGTCTGCACGGAGGACAGCGCGTAGTCAGGAATCCAAGCTTGAGCCACGAGCACCTTTCGTGTGACGTCGACCGAGCACATGCTCATCGTGTGATAAATAGCCTTCTCGCGCAGAACTATTTGAATCCAATCTTCCAGACTGTCGCCCACTTTACGCAAAACATCGTCGCGATGCTGCGTGGAAGCGTCGAGCGTTGACTGCAACTCGACGAGACGCGCCGTGCACTCGGCGTACATTTGTCGCTGACGTGTGTAATCCTCAGGGAACGGATACCGATTCACGTTGAACGCCTCACAGATTTTGATGATTTTCTCTCTCGCTCGCTCACCCGCGAAAAACACCACGCACACGGTCTTTTCGCACTTTTCGCCCGTCGTGGGGTCGACGACGGTGCCCAGGATTTGCGACTGCTTCAAAAACATGTTCCCTCGCGTCGCGCGAAACAAAATCCGCTCGAACGAGATCACCTTATTCGTGAGGATAACTCCAGTGATGAATCCGAGTCGCACCGCCGACGCGCCCGCGGCGCTGTTGGACGACGCGGACGCGCCGTCGCCGCTTCGCCCGCTCGAGCCCGCGGCGTCCAATTCCGCCATCTCTAAATACGACCCCGACCTCGATCCCATCTCACCGCGCCGCTCCGTCGCCGCGCCCATGCCGACACTCGCGACAGGCAGCAAGCTTTCGCCCCCCCCCTCGACGTCGTCGTACGACCGCGTCCCGCGAAAATCCACGTCGCCGCCGCCGCGCCCTCCTCCGTCCGCTCGACTCTCCTCAAATATCCCCCCCGCCTTCTCCAGCACCAACTGCAGCTCCATCAACTCGCTGTGCGTCCTCATCAGCCTCTCGTAATTCTTCAGCGCTTGCGCGAGATCGCGTTCGAGCTCCTCCGTGACGTGGTCCAGTTCGTCCGTCGTCGTCGTCGTCGCCCCGCTCCCGCGTCCCGTCGCGTTTCTCCGTCTCGATCGCGCCACCGCGATCGTCGCTCGTCGCGCTTCGTCTCGAAAGTACCGCAACCGTCGCAGCAGTTCGTCCGCGCGTCGTATCTGCGTCGAGTACGCGCGCTTAAACGCCGGCGTGTCCGAGTTCAGATCTTGAAACTGCATCACCCCGAGCTCGCCCACGCGTTCGATCGTGTCCCGCGCGGCTTCCTCGGGCACGATGACGCGCGCGAGCGACATTCGCTCGCTCCGAAACAGCTCCATCGCGCGCGCGCGCGACGGGCGAGCGAATCGCGCGACGCGAATTGAGGTCAACGGCTGAAAGTCCCTCCGAGCGTCGATCCCGCGTCACTTTCGCGCGCGCGCGCGGCCGATCCGAGCGCGATGGCGCCCGAAGGCGCGAGACAACACGCGAATTGGTCGCCATACGTGCGTGCGCGACGCGAGCGACGCGCGCGCGCGCGCGCGCGAGGCGTGAGACGCGACGACGCGCGCGGACGCAATCGCGGTTGATGACGCGTCGATGCGGTTTACGTCGCGACGGGACGCGCGCGCGCGAGGCGATGAATGAACGAAGACGCGATGACGTCGATGCGATCGTCCGATCGCATCGACGGCGACGAAGGAAGGATCGCGATGACTGACGACGCGCTCGACGACGCGCTCGATAGGACAACAACGGCGGGACGGTGCTCGCGGTGGCGGGCGAAAATTATGTGATATGCGCGAGCGACACGCGGATGAGCACGGGATACAGCATCTTGACGAGAAATTACGAAAAGGTGGATCAGATGAGCCCGAAGACGCTCATGGCGAGCGCGGGGTTCATGGCGGACGCGCAGACGCTGAAGAAGACGCTCAAGGCGCGATGCAAGCAGTACGAGTTTCAAAATAAGAAGCCTATCGGATGCGTGTCGTTCGCTCAAATGCTGAGTAATACGCTGTACTACCGAAGGTTTTTTCCGTATTACGCGTTTAACATCGTCGCGGGGTTGGACGCGGAAGGGAAAGGGGCGGTGTTTACGTACGACGCCGTGGGCTCGTACGAACGGACGAATTATTCCTGTCAAGGTTCGGGACAGGCGTTGATCATGCCGGTGTTGGATAATCAGCTCAAGACGGTTTCGCCTTTGGTGCTGCCCGCGGTGTCGAGCGCGACGCCGTTGAGCGAGGCGGCGGCGATCGAGCTGATCAAGGATTGCTTCGCGACGGCGGCGGAGCGCGACATTTACACGGGCGACCGCGTGGAGCTGTGGATCATGAACGCCGACGGCGTGCGCAAGGAAGAGATGCCGCTGAGATTGGATTAGTCGTACACACACAGTCACACATTTGTAGTCACATCGAAAGTTTCTTAGACGAAATTTCAAGAGACGCGGTCCAGGGCTTACTTAGCTCTGGACGGAAAAAATACTGAGGGCGGACCCAAGATAGCACTATAACGGATCCAAACACTACTAAAGCGGACCCAAACGATGTTACATATTTAACAAGATCCGACCAGCGATGGACACTTCGCGTCGCGCCTCTGCGCACGCCGACATCACCGCGCGCGTCGACGCGAAGGATGCCATCGAAACAGCGTCGCGATGCTTCTCTCCCGCGCACCGGCGTGATCGTCGCCGGCGAGACGGGAAAGGCGAGAACGATGACGACGACGCGTAACACCCTATCGAATGTGCGTCCACGGCCGAGAACGATGACGACGACGCGGAACACCCGACCGCACACTCGACGAAATGTGCGCGCGGTGGTGACGATCGGGCGCGCGCTCGCCGTCGCGCTCGCGTGCGTGACGGTGTCGATCGCCGCGGTGGGGACGCTCGGGGCGTACACGCACGTGGATGACCCCAGAGTGCCGCACCCGGGATGCATGAGGTACAGCCATCGCGGCGTGACGGACCGCTTCGATAGATGTCCCGGGATCATGATGCGCGAAAACCCGCGATACGCGAACTACGACACGCAAATAATGCAACCTTTTAACTTGCCCAAGTTTCAGAGTGCGCTCACGGCGTATGTGAGCGAGCATTACGCTGGAGACGCCGATTATGACGCGTGCGTCATCACGGGCGCGGATGACGACGGCAATCGGAACGAGGTGTGGAAAACGTACAGCCCAGATTACTTCGGTAGTCTTCGACTCACTTACACGTGTCCTTGGATGACTGAATCAGTGCTGAGACCGGCTTCCGGATACGGTGATCCGAGCGATACGACTACGTTCGTGATGGACATGCGTTACGCGGCGTTTTTGATGATAAACGCGCGCGTGCAACGGGATTTGCAAGCTTGGCTGACGAGACATGCGATCAGCGATGCCGATATCGCCAGTGATACTAAAGACTATCTATTCGAGTTTTTCCGTCTTTACTATCGCGCGGGGGATGTGTCGAAATTAGGCAAGTTTTACCGCAAAGGTTTGTCGATCAGCGCTTCGACGAAGAAATGGATGGATCGATTTGAACAACTTTCCGGTGACAAGCACCTCGAGCTCCAAATCGACGAACAAGCCGCCTTGGACGATTTCTTGCTTTCAAACGCCGCGACTGGGTATGCGCCATCGGGTTGGCCGATCCGTGACGTGGTCAACGATCTGGAGGGATACAACGCAGCGCTCGAGTCGGCCTACGACGCCCATTACTGGAATACGGAGAGTTCTCGTGTTTCGACGTGGGCGTCTACGCACTCGTACAGCGTGACCACTCCAGAAGCAAGATTGCAATCCAACGACGACGTGACCAGTACGAACGCTGCAGTGAAAGAACGCTACATTACGACGAAGGTGGACGAATGGCAGTCTTCGCAGTGCACAATAAACACGTACCTCTGTGATCTTTCACTAGATTCAGAAGCTGCGGCTGCAGATGTTTGGTCGTTCAACCAAAATGTCAATATATCTGCCGATGAAGTGTACCAACAACACGTTGTAGACACAATCGAGGCCTGGAAAACGACGAATAGTTATTCATTCTTGACTGATTTGGATGCGCAGCTCGCGCAAGACGACTTGGCGACTTTTAACTTGGAAGCAGAAGAGAGGTATCTCGAATATCACAACGCAGTGCTGGCACCTAATGCCGCCGCCGCCCTGGCTGCCGCACCGACGCCGACGCCGACGCCGACGCCAACACCGAGTCCGCCTCCGAGCCCGCCTCCGAGCCCGCCTCCGAGCCCGCCTCCGAGCCCTCCTCCGAGCCCTCCTCCGAGCCCTCCTCCGAGCCCTCCTCCGAGCCCTCCTCCGAGCCCTCCTCCGAGCCCGCCGAGCCCGCCTCCGAGCCCGCCTCCGAGCCCGCCTCCGAGCCCGCCTCCGAGCCCGCCTCCGAGCCCGCCTCCGAGCCCGCCTCCGAGCCCGCCTCCGAGCCCGCCTCCGAGCCCGCCTCCGAGCCCGCCTCCGAGCCCGCCTCCGAGCCCGCCACCACCGCCCCACTTTGCGCCATTCGTGCCGCTCGCGAGTGTTCCGGAATACGACGAGCACGAATCGTTCGAAATGGAACCTTTCGTCGTGTTTGTCGCTAACCCATACGTCGTTCCGGTGTATGGGCACCGTAACAATCACACACACATTCCCATTCTCCCAGTTCCATTGGCGAGTATTGTTGATGATGTGGCTGACGACATTACGATGCCGGCGTATCTGTCGAAGTATCATCGCAATAGTCTCAGCACCTATGGAGCTCAATGGCATTTCAGATACGGCAGAAACTGCAAGGCTACGTGCGCCGGGTCTCGAACGCAACTCGACGTTCAAGGTCCTGTCGGCGCGCTCTGGAACTGCGATTCCGATGACTTGGTTTGCCCTCAAGACAACGATACGAGCGAGTTGGAAGGCATTCTTGAGGCGCTCTCAGCTTCAGATCACAAACATCCGAGTTGTCCGGCTGCTGATCCATGCATGGTCGTTCCTCCGCCGTGCTACTACGTCAGTACGGAGTGCATTCCACAAAGCGTAATAGAGTACACACTGAACAACACGTCTACGCGAGAAGCCGAGGAAGGCGTAGACGAGCGTTATCTTCACGTCCCGCTGGCAGTCGATGATTTGACGCAAGTCAAGCTCGTATCACAGAGACCACCTCTTGGTAACCGCATGAGGTGGCCGTACAGCAGAGGTATCGCCATGACTCCGATAACCGGGCGCGATGGAAATGATTACTATCATACATGCACTTACGGCGCCACACTAAGTGGTTGGTCTGGTTCCGTCGCTTACGGGTTCGCGCTGGCGGACGCCGAAGGCAATCACGTCTACGATTCGGGACACATTTTCGGTCACGAAATGTGGCAAGCCTACTACGGAGAGACTGCGTCTCCGGCGTTCACGTCCGACTGTACGGACGTGCAGGCGGGAAAGTGGAGAAATCGAGTGCAGTACCACACCCCGAATCTCGCGTCGCAAAATTTCGTCTTCGGAACGTGTGCAGGACAGTGCTCTGCGATTCTTGGTTCGGTGCCAGAAGACCAGATCGTTGCTCCTATTGGTTTAAGTAAAGGGCATCTGCGAGATAGGCTGATTGAAGCGAATGATGCAGGACTCGGCGCCGCAGAGAAAAACGTAATCACCGCTCACGAGCTCGTGCGAAGAGCAGCGGCGGCTACCGTCGCGCTCGGCGTGAAAGAGCTCGGCGTGAAAGATGTCGGAGTCAAAGATGAGCACCACGAAAAAGCGCGTGGTGACGCCGTCGACGACGTACAAGGTAAACACGCTTCCCTCGGCGATGTGCGCGATTTTGAGCGTCCATTTGGTTCGTTCGTCGCGTTCGCGGCTCCATTCGCTTTCGTGTGCGTCATCGTCTTAGCGGTGTTTAAATCGCGCTCGATTCTCGACTTCGCTCGTGAGCGTCGCGAGCGCCGCACGCCAGAGGGGCGCGCCGAGCGTGCAAATCTCGTCGTGTGAACGAGTACGTTTTGTATGCAATCGAGCATTGTAAGTCACATCGATAACTATTGACATCGTCGCTCAGACCCGGCGCTCGAGCCAAGGCCAGACCCGCGGCATGTCACCGGTGAAGCTCTCGGCCATGCATATCCGGGCTTCGTCGTAGCTTTCAGCACCGTGCACGTTGCGCAGCGCCTCACGACGAATACCACCGAAATAAATCGGCCCTCTGCCTCGTTCCATGCCCGCGATCTCGGCGATTTCTTCAACCTCATCATCGATTGCGCCTTCGAGCTCAGCCATTTCTCGTTCAAACTCCCGAGAGTGTCCGTCTAGGAGATATCTGAGTTTTGCAACGTGCTCCGCGACGCGTATCGCCGTCCAACTTTTGAGTTTCCCGGCGATAAATCGCTTGCTTATTGGGTATTCGTCGATGCGATCTTCGCACCCATGAGTCTGGAGAGCCGCCTTCACATCAGCCCTGCGCTGCTTCGCAGTTTGCTGCAAGTGTTTCGTCTTGTGCCAGAGTTCCAGATTTAACGCGCGCGTATGACGCTCGATGATTCGCCACGATTCGACAGGTAGCGCGTGGAGCTTATAGACGAGCAATCTACAGCTGATGAGCTTTCTTCGGTTCTTCTCGATCTTGGTCAGTCGAACCATTGCGTCGAAGAGGCGCGTTGTGAAGGAGCGCGCGCGCGGCGTCGCGACGTCGCGACGTCGTCACTCGTCTGGCGGCGTCGCGACGTCGTCACTCGTCTGGAAGTCATACAGTCATATTACACAATCATGTCATACAGTATCGTCGAATAATGGTCGCGTTAGCACGCATCAATGCGACCGCTCACGCGCTCGCGGGGCGCAAGAACGTCTCTCTGAACTCGCGCAGCAGCGGATGACGCGGCAGCAACGCGGCGACTTCTCGATCGACGTCTCGCACGCTCAGAAAATTATATTTGTGCATGTTCATGATGTTCACGAACTTGTCGTGCTCGCGTGCTCCGTGACATTTCAGTTTCTTCAAGAATAACACCGCTTTTTCTCCTTTCGTGAGTGGAGCGGGCGGCGGCGCCGTAGGCCACGGCCAACCCCCCACAGGGAAATCTCGCCAGTGTCTCGCGACGCTCGCCGCCGCCGCCGCGAAGGTCTCCGCTCCAGTCACATCCCGCGTCGCCTCCGAACGAATTCGTTCATACACTATTGAGTCATCTCTGACGCTTTCGACACGTCCGCGCGCCATCACCAACTCGTGAAGGCGTTTGTTGATCTTCGCCGCCATCGCGCCGATCTCGCGTTTGAACGCACCGGAGTGCTCGAGCAAGTACTTTTGCCGCGCCATTTCATGCGCAACTCCGCGTGCCGTCCACGATACGTGCGCGGACCCTCTTATGAACGATTGACAGAGCGCGTGCGCGTGTCGTTCGGCGCACCCGACGCGTTCGAGCGCGCGGCCGAGGTCTCGCTTTCGCCCTCTCGACGTCTGCGCGAGATGTTTACAGTCCTCGTAGAGTTGTTGATTGGCCGTGCGAGTTCGAATCTCTATGCATTGCCGCACCTCGCGCGGTAGACACCACTCGCGGTAGACACGAAATCGCGCGAGTAGGAGCGCATCGCGTTCTTTTTGAGCTTTGGTGAGACGCATGCGGCGAGAAGTGCGGACGCGCCGCGACGACGGAGTCGAGACGGATGCGAATAGTAGTGTTGCTTAGCGGATGTTACAACGAACATGCGACGACGCGCGAGTGCGGTAACGACGGGAAGTGATATTGAATCAACTCTCGTCCTTCATCACACCGAGCGCGCGGCGATCGCGCGAATTGAACAAAAAATGACGTCGCGACGAATCGCGCCGCTTCGATCGACGTCGATCGAGCGCTTAAAAGATCGACGCGGTGGCGACGAAGAAGAGCATGGCGAGCATAGCCATGCGACCGTTCACCAGTTCCGCCTTGTAAGTGAACACTTCGTCCAACTTAGCGCCGGAGTACGCGTTCATGGCGGCACCGTTGACGTTGTCCGGGATGTAGCCCGTCGGGTTCACCTTTTGCACGACGCTCGCCGCGCTGATGGTGGCGATGACGAAGACGACGGCGAGGGGAACCTTGGCCATCATCGTGAGCAAGTCACCGTTGAAGGTGTTCATGACGGCGAGAACGAAACCAACCATCTGCGTTGGCGTAAACATATTCGTCAGTCAGTCTTCGCGTCAGCCGCGTCGCGCGCGTTCGCGCGCGCGCGACGAGATATTTCCAGCGCTGGCGTCTCGAGCGCGCGTCTCGCGTCCCGTCTCGCGCCCCGTCTCGCGCTCGCCACCGCGCGCGCGCGTCCGCGTCCCCCCATCGCGATTCTCGACGCATAATCCCCATCGAACGACGCGACTCGCGCGACTCGCCAACGCACCGCGCATCGACCGTTGATCGTCTCCGCCAAGCTCGTGAACCCGCTCTCGCGGTACAGCGTCTCCCCAAACTTTTCGCTCAGCACCAACTGCCCGAGCTCCGCGCCCTTCGTCTGCGACCCGAGGATCGCGAACACATCGTCCAACTCCTTCACGCCGAGCGATTTCACGAAATCCGGCGTCGCCCCACCGTCCGCCTTGTCCATCATGTCCTCCAGTCCGCCGAGCCCGATCTCGCCGCCGGCCATCTCTTGATTCATCTGTTCGCCCTCTTTTTCCGCCCGCGTCGAGCGCGTCGCGCGTCGTCGTTCGACGCGTCGCGCGCGCGCGACGATCGCGCGTCCGTCGGCGATTCGGTTCACGGCGCGCATGGTCGTCGGCGTCGCGGTGTGTCGCGACGCGCGCAATCATGCACTCGCATTCGTCGACGTCGACGTCACGCGGTCGGTCGATCGATCGGTCGAGTGCGCGTCTACGTACGGGATTTTAATGTTATGGGTTCGCGTAACGACCCGCGCGGGATCGCATCGAATCGACGACGACGACGACGGCGACGGCGCGCGGCATCGAGCGACGCGACGTCGCGTCGCGTCGAAACGCGCGGAAAACCCGTCGCGCGGACGCGACGCGAGCGGCGCGGCGCGAAAGCGAGGCGGTGGACGGTGAATCGTGGTAAAGCGCGAATCGAGGGATGATGACGACGGCGACGACGGCGACGACGGCGACGCGGGCGGCGGTGCGAACGACGACGGCGCGGGCGAGGCGACAGACGCGGGCGATGGGGCGAAGGGTGGCGGCGCGCGCGGTCGGGATGGGGGAGACGCGGACGACGGGACGGCGAACGGCGCGCGCGGGGACGACGACGACGACGACGACGACGACGCGCGCGGTCGCGGCGAGGGAGAGAAGCGCGACGCGCGCGCGAGGGACGACGACGGTCGTCGCGCGAGGGTACGCCGGGGGTGGATTTAACATCGTTCCCGTGCCCGATCGCGTCGTGGCGTTGGTGCCGTACTTGTTGCCGTTGTTGAGCGCGTTGCGGTACGGGCGCTTCTTCTTCGGCCAGTTTCCAGCCGCGGTGGTGCTGTTGAAGCCGTTGATGCCGATTTTGCGCGGGGTGGCGATGTTGCCGATGGGGAATCTCATAATGTTTTTCGCCATATATCTTGGGATCGCGAAGAATCAAAACTTGTCGCGCTTTTGCCGCTTCAACGGTATGCAAGCGATTTTGCTCGACATCGCGTTGATTTTCCCGTCTCTCCTCGAGGCGTTGTTCGGACCGGGTATTTTGGGCATCGGTTTACCGGGAATCGTGACCATGATCATGCACAACGCCATCTTTGTCGTCACTCTCGCCGCCTTCGCGTTCGCCGCGGTGGGTTGCATGAGCGGTCAATACATCCGATTCCCGATCCTCGCGGAAGCCGCCGAGGCGCAGATGGGGTACTAATAAACCGTTTTGATGGGAATCGACAGTTGGCCGGGGAGAGAGGCGCGGGCGGAGGCGGACGCAGCGCACTATTACGCGATGCCAATCGAAGCTTTTTAATAAAATGAAACAACAACTTTTTCTTTCTAGTATCCGTCGGATTCGTCGCTGGGCGAGCGCGGCGGCACCGCAAAGCCTCGATCTGACGTTAAGGACGACAGGCGCGCCGCCTTGTATCGCGTCGCGCTTTCATCCGCGTCCGGTGATGATCGCTTTTGACGCGGCGCAGAGGTGTCGGCGACGTCTTCATCTTCAGAATCTGGTACTTCATCATCGTCGTCCCCTTCCGTATCAGCGACTGGCTCATCTTCTTCAGATTCTTCCTCGGCTTCAGATTCTTCCTGTTCGGATTCTTCCTCGGTGTCTTCGTCTTCGGATTCGCTCTCAAGTTTCTTCTTCTTCTTGGGCGCTTTCGCGGCAGGTTTCACAGCTGCGCGCATGGGCGGCACGCGACCTTCCGATGGCTTCGCAGCGATCAGAGTACTCGGTCGTTGATACGCCGGCATCGCCGTCGCCTGCGGCGCAACTCGCGGCGCGAGCGGACGTCGCGCCGGCGGCACGAATCTGGTCGGTGGGCGCGTCGAGTGCGACGGCATCGTCGGCGTCGGCTTCTTCTCAGACGCTTCCTCCGACTTCTTTTCGGGTGCTGGAGCTTTCTTCGATTCATCAATAGCCGCGCCCTCAACTTTGAGCGAAAACACGAAGGATACGTCCTCGCCCGCCGACTTTTTCATCATATCGTCGGGAACTTTGTCCATGCGGTGATGGTGCGCCCACTCGTCGAGCTTTTGTTCGTCTGCGTCGTCGATTTGTTCCTCCCATTCCTTGTATTCCGCGTCCGGGTCGCACCCGAGGTCGTCACCGTTCCGCGCGGGGCATCGCTTGCAACCGCACGTGTCGTGCGTATCCGAGTACGTCGTGCAGTCCAACGAAAACAACTTTCGCAACTCGTCCTTGGACATGACGGATTGTTCGAGTTCCCCCGAACCGTTGACGACGTTTTGCAAGCTTTCCTTGGACAGTTGACGCTGGAAAACTTTCTCCTCGATCGTGCCCGCGGCCAAAAAGCGATACAAGTAGCACTTCTTCTTTTGACCGTCGCGCCAGCACCGCGCGGCGGCTTGCTTGTCGTTGGCGGGATTCCAGTCGGGATCGAATAACACGAGACGATTACCTCCGATGAGGTTGATACCGCATCCGCCAGCCTTGGAAGACAAGAGAAACACAAAAGAATTACTCGTGGGATCATTGAACTGTTTGACGAGCTTTTGACGCTTTCCGATAGACGTCGAGCCGTCGAGGCGCACGAACGGGTAGTTTCGCTCGCGGCACATGTTGCCCACCAAGTCGAGAGTTTGCGTGTAATTGGAAATGATGACGATACGGTCCTTAGTCTCGGCGCGCAAATTAGCGAGAAGACGCGCGAGTACAGCAAACTTTCCACTGTGCTCTTCCCAGCCGTGCATCATGCCACCGCCACCGCGACCACTCCGCCCCCCGCCGCCGTCGTACATTCCGGGAGTAAAAAATTCCGCGCACGTGCTGAATCCGCTCGCCGCTTGACCAGTGTTCTTTGCGCCATTAATCATGTCGTAAATCAATTTCGGGTGATTGCACAACTTCTTTAACGCCGTGATTGCGGGTAACACGGCCGTCGCCTTTCCAGTCAACGCCTGATTCGCCGCCTTTGACGTGAGAAAGTGCTCGTACAGCGCCTGCTGAAGCGGCGAAAGCTTACAGCACACGACTTCCACGACTTTCGGCGGAAGGTGCTTACTCAAAATCGTGTTCGTGCGACGCAAGATAAACTTGTTGACGAGATCAGAGAGCTCGCTATTCGCCTCTTGCGCGCGTTCGAGTTCCTTTTCCGTCGCGTCTGGTTCGCGTCCAGCCAAGATGGGTCGCTCAAACTTCTTCGCGAACTCGGGAGGGGTGCCGAGCAAGCCGGGATTGCAAAAGCCAACCATCGAGTAAAACTCATCCAAGTGATTTTGCATGGGTGTCCCGCTCAGCATCACTCTTCGCAAGCACGGTACCGAACACAACGCCTTGTTCGTCAGCGTCTCGCCGTTTTTCAGGCGATGCGCTTCGTCGCACATGATCAAATCCACCGCGCCGTCAAAGTTGAAACGGTCCGAGTGGATCCTAAACGTTTCGTAGCTCACAATCATGACTTGCGCGAGATGTCGCGGGGCGAGAAATTGCTTCACCGAGCTCACGACTTCAGCGCGAGTGGAGTCGCAAATGGGCAACGTTTTCACGCGCCCATTCAACCACTTGTTGCACTCGTCGTCCCAGTTGGACACCAGCGACGTCGGACAGACGATTAACGCGCGCTTCACCGCGGGCGTACCATCGATACCTTGCTTCAAGAGCGTCCAGAGCAGCGTGATCCCTTGTAATGTCTTACCTAAACCCATGTCATCCGCGAGAATGCACCCTTGGCCTTCGAAATCGCGCAAACCCATGACGCACTCAAACATAAACTTGACCCCCTCGCGTTGGTGCGGTCGCAACCATCTCGTGAGCATGCGATCGACCACGATCGGTTTCGCGCTCGCCCCACCGGCCGTCGCGCTCGTCTCTCCACCATCACCCTCGCGATCCGGCTCCCAAAGCACTAAATCCTCGATCCCTTCCGGCAATACGATCGCCTCCTCCGTCGCCGCGCACTGCGTCGGCTTCGGCAACGCCCTCGCGACGTCGCTCGCCTTCGACCCCCACGGCACGAACACCCGTCGACTCGCCAACCGTCGCTCCAATTCCGCTGTTCGCACGAATCGCGATCGTTCGACGCGCGCGTTTCATCGTCAGTCTTCGCGCGCCGCCTTCTTCCCTCGGGTGCCCGGTTTCCCTCGCCGACGCGAAGATTCAAACGCGTCTCGCGCGCCTCCATCCCATTCGCATCGCCGTCGCATCGCATCGCTCGTCCCGCACCGCTCCGATTCGGCGCGTTCGGAAACGGCGATTTAAACGCCCGTTTCAGCGTCACCGCCGGGTCCTCCACCGTCAGTCCCCGCACGTACGGTCGCGCGCACGTCTCCAACGTCCCGTTCACGAGCGACGCGATGTTCGCCGCTTTCACGTCCCGTTGCGTCACGACGACGTCGTCGTCGTCGTCGTCGCCATCGCGCGCCTCGTATGATTCGTCTCCTTCGTCTTCTTCTTCGTCGTCGTCGTCGTCGTCGTCGTCGTCGCTCGACCGCATCGCGTCGTCGTCCGCGGTCGGCCCGGCGACGCCGCGGCGACCCTGCGCGGTCGCGCGCGCGGTGATGGGGCGCGCGTCCCTCGCTCTACGGCTCGTGATTTATTCGAAAAAGCGCGCGTTCGAGCGCAAAAGTTCTCCATGTAGTAAAAGGTGCGCGTCGAAAAAGGTGCGCGAGATAAACCCTACGACGCGCGCGCCGCGCGATCGACGCGCCGGCGCCGCACACGTCGTCGCGACGGACGGACGGACGGACGACGGAGGATGCACCTGCGTCGCGTCGCGCGCGCGCTTCTGACGCGCCGCGCGGCGTCGCGCGCGTACGTCGCGAGCGCGTCGCGATCGGAGAAACAGACCACGGGCATCGTCGGGCTCGACGTGCTCGACGACGCGAAGGCGACGTACGAGGCGATCTGCGAGGAGGTTTTGCGCGAGGTCGAGGTCGGGATCCCGAGCGATGCGGGGTATCGCGAGGCGGTGACGAAGCTGTACGCCGAACGGTTGGCCAAGGTGAGGGCGGGAGGGAGCGTGAGGGAGATCGAGGACGCGATCGGGGAGGGGCAAATCGAGGAGATGTACGAGGCGGCGAAGGACGAGTTGGCGCTGATCCCGAAGATGCGCGCGTGGAAGCCGTGGGATTTTGATCACGAGATTGAAATCATCGAAGAGCCGAAGGAGAATCCGTATTTTGCGGAGGCGGCGAAGGAGGATTGATCGTCGTCGTGGGTGTCGCGTAGTGTAATAATATGGGAGGAATGGGTGAGAGAAGGCGCGTCGTCGACGGCGACGCTGGACTCAACTACTAAAACTCGTCTAATTTCTACGCCGGGTGCTCGGCGGTAAAGTTGACGACGCCGCGACAGTTTGCGGCGCCGCAGTTGCATCGTAACGTCTGATCGGCGCCGAGTCTATACTCGTACAAAATTTCCTCGCCGGGCTGGATGTTTCGCGACGCGAATAAGCAAATGTGGTTGTCGTTCGCGGCGTACACTTGTCTCGAATGCGCGTTCGGTGCGCACGAATGGTTGGCCAAGTTTGCGAGATTTCCTGCACACGTGGCGTCTAAGCGCACGGGTTGATCGTCGCCGCCTAGCGCGAAGATGTACGTCCCGTTGCCGAAACAGGTGTCGTACACGTCGCGCTCGCGAATATCGGCAACGACTGGACGCACGATTTCGCCGACGTAATCGATGATCATCTCGCCTCGCGCGTGCGCGCGTTTTGCGAATAAACCATAGCCGTGAATATACGATTTCCCCAGCGTCAAGCGATCTGAAATCGTCGCCTTCATGCGCTCGAAACGCTCGTTCAGATTTCGCGGCGGATCGGCAAGTGCGACGGCTCGAAGACTGAACGATTCCAAGCGACTCGTTCGCGCGCCCGTGACGAGATATGGTATCGAATCCTTTGGCGACACCGTCAACGCGCGAGCGTACGCGCCTAAAGGGTCAAACTTGGCGCACTGGAGTGGTTTCGCGTCTTCGTCTTTGTCTTCGACTTCGCGCGAATCCACAGTTGGCCTTGTCTTCGGTGTCTGAGTTCGCTTCTTCGGTGTCGACGCGCGCCGTTTGCGCTTGCGACCTCGCCAGTTTGCGCACGCGGGACAACTCGGAAACAAAAGTGTGTCGGTGTTTCGCAGAGGCTGTTCGTAACCCACGATGAATTTGCGAATGCCCGCCTGTTTCAGCTGCGCCACCGTGCGCGAGTGCGCGATGTATCCACACTCCGCGTCTCTCGCGCAGTACACGTGAAACGCTTTTTGACACTTTTTCGTACCCATGCACTGCGCGCACGCGCCGTAACTTTGCTCGCACACCGCGCACGTTGCTTTCAAACTCTCCGCTGGAACCATGTTGACGCCTTCGATGGGCTCCGCGACGCCATCAGGATGCGCGAACGTGCATTCCGCCCACAACGCGCATACGACGTGGCACCACCTCCCACACAACGTTGGTTTCATCGCACCACCCACGTTCGGACACAGCGCGCACCGCGGCGGCGTGCGCAAGCCGAGTTCGCACGCTCGACACAGCCAACGCCCGCCCGTCGGCGCAGTCGTGACGCCGTAGCAACCCATGTGAACCAAAATCATGCACTCATCGCACTGCACGAGCACATCTTGGTCAAACTCTCGAACAGAATCACACACATCGCACTTTTCGACGCTGGGCGTCCTGAAGATGCTCGGCGTCTCGTCGGCGCCGGCGTTTTCGATGGCCTCACGCCGGCGCCGTTCGACCACCTCAGCCTCGCTCATCCGATACCTATTTCGCACCGTCGGTCGCACGTATCCCACGACTTTATCCATGTTCGGCAGCGCGCTCAACCTTTGCTCTATGCTCGGATCGCTGAACCCAAATACGTCGTCGTACGACGGACACGTCGTACGACGTCCCGTGGCCCGGTCGACGAAACGCTTCGCCTCTCGCGTCGCCGTCCCGGGATGATGCGCCACGAACGCTTCATCGTCGTAATCGTGCAGCACGACTCGAAACAAAGGTCCGAAACTCGTCGCCTCGATGCTCGCCGTCGTCGTTCCGAGGCTTCCGTTCGCCGCCGCGTCCCGGCGCGCGCGGTAGCCGTCGCAGAACGCGCGCGCGCCGTTCGCGTACCGCGCGTCGCCGACGACCGCGCGTCCGAGCGACAGCACGACGCACGCGCGCGACGACGTCGACGCCGTGGCGTCGCCGGCGTCCTCCGCGGCGCTGTCGACGTCGTCGCGCGTCGCGTTTGACCTCGACCTCGTGGGACCGACCGGCGTCTCGCGCGCGGCGTCGCGCGCCTCGCGCGGTGCGGGCGCGTCAGACGACGTCGCCAGCGCCTGCATCGTCGACGCGGCGCGGCGCGACGCGCGACGCGCGCTCGTGTGACGGTTCGCGCGGCGCGACGGTTGACCGGTACTGACCGGTACAAACCCGACCGGTACAACGACGCGCGTCCGGTGACGCCTGGACGGACCGCGGGCGATGGCGGCGTCGACGACGCGAATACGGACGTTTTTACGCCTGCGACCGCGTCGCGCGTCGCGGTCGGCGCGCGCGGAGGCGTCGATACGCGCGCTCGAGCGCGACGAAGAGGAAGACGAATCGACTCGCGCGCGGGTGGTTGAGTGCGCGCGCGCGGCGTCTGAACGACGCGCGGGAGCGAAGGATGCGAGACACGTGTTTGCGTTCGATGATGTGTTCGATGAAGACGCGAGTCAGGCGATGGTGTTCGATGCCGTCGGTCGCGACGTCGTGGAGGCGGCGCTGGGCGGGTACAACGCCACGCTGTTCGCGTACGGGCAGACGGGGAGCGGGAAGACGTACACGCTGACGGGAGGACCGGCGCGGTACGAGGATCGAGGCATCGTCCCCAGGGCGCTGTCGTTGATTTTCGAACGCATCGCAAAGATCGGAGCGGACGAGGATGCGAAGTTCACTGTGGAGGTGAGTTACGCGGAGATTTACATGGAACAAGGGTACGATTTACTCGCGACGACGTTGGACGAGCGACAGAGCGCGGCGCGAGGATACGCGCGAGCGTCAGAAATCCCATTACCAAAGGTTCGATTGATGGAGGACGAACACGGGTGCATGCACACGATGGATCTGACGACGCGCGTCGTGTCGAGCGAAGCCGAGGCGCTCGATTTGCTCTTCGTTGGCGATAGTAACCGAGCGGTGGCGGAGACGCCGCTGAATATGGCGTCCAGTCGATCGCATTGCATATTTACCATCACCATCACGCGGCGATCGCGCGGGGCGGACACGTTGCGTCGGGCGAAATTGAATCTAGTGGATTTGGCAGGGAGCGAACGGGTGAACAAAAGCCGCGTCGACGGCGCGACGCTGCAAGAGGCCAAGTACATCAATGTCTCGTTGCACTTCCTGGAGCAAGTCATCGTGGCATTACAGGAGCGCGCCGATGGTAACGAAAACATTCACGTGCCGTACAGAAATAGTTTGATGACGACGATGCTACGAGACAGTCTCGGTGGGAATTGTCAAACCGTTATGATTGCCACAGCGAGCGCGGACGACGGCGCGTTCGATGAGAGCGTTAGCACGTGTCGATTCGCCCAGCGCGTGCGTAAGATATCGAACGAAGTCTTCATGAATGAAGAACTCGACGTGGACATGCTCATCGCGCGTTTGAAGGAAGAAAATAAACGCCTACGCGTGGAACTCGCATTGCTTCGGCGAGTGGAATCGAGCGAAAACGACGCGCTTGAGCTCGAGCTAAGCGCCGACGTGCTCGAGATTTTGCGAGCAAACGTGCGTATGTACGTGGATGAAGATGATTACGTGCTCGAGTGTGGATCAAGCGTGGCAAAAATTAGAGCCGTGCAGCAAATACTGCGCGACATGTGTCGGAGCGCCGAACGCGCCGGCGCGGTGACGGGCGCCGCGTCACCGCCAATGGAACCTTCGGCGATAGATCAAGGCACCGCCGACGCCGCTGATGCCGTTCATGAAGACCCGAACGAAGAGATATTTACGAAATTTTGTCGCGACATCTCGCGCGTGGCGCCGATGCTTCGACGTAAAACGGATGAGTCCAAGGCGCTCGCCGCCGAGGCGCGAACTCTCGCGCGACGCATGAACGAGCTCAAAACCAAAATCAACACCGATCGCGGTGCCCTGGACGCTCTCAAAATCGCCCGCATCATCGACGTTTCAGCCACGCCATCCGCACGCGAGCTCGACCTCGAGGTTTCCATCGACGACGGTTTTCGCGAGCACGCCTCGGCGCGCCGACGCCTCGAGCGTCTCCGCGACTCCGCGCGAGACGCCAAAACCACCATCTCTAACCTCAAGCGCGAGCTCGCCGCCGAATTCGAATCCTCGCTCGACTCGTCGCGTAAACCGTGATCGTAATCATAATCCGTTCGCCTTTCTTACGACGCTCGCTCGCGGGCGACGAAAGCCGCGCGTCTACTTCCTCCTTGTTCGACGTCTTCTTCCCCCCGAACAAGCTCCCGAACACGCTCCCGCGCTCACACGCGCACCTGTCTTCCACCGCGACGCCCGCGAGCGCGGATTCGATGTGCATGCCGCATCCTGAGCGAATCGCGTCCGCGGTCAGTCGTTCGGTCGAGCATTCGTCGCGCGCGGCGTCGTCGTCGTCGCGCGCGCGCGCGCGCGTCGAGGCGTCGATCGCATCGCGCGTACCCGCCCACGTGGGTTTATCGCACTTCGAGCACTGCACGCGTCGGCACATCGTCGCACGAGGCGCGAAGAAATGCGTCGGGGTGCCGAGCTCGCGCCGACCTCGGTGGCTTTTTTTGGCTCTCGGCGCGGCGCGACGAAGACGCGCGATTTGTTGAATCGTAAACTGTGAATTGTGATTGTCACCGCGGCGAACTCTAAAGCGCGCGATCTTCGGGGAGTTTGCGATCGACGTCTTCGTCGACGAGGGCGACGATCGGCTTGGATGGGACGTCGGGGAGGGGATGGCCCCAGACGGCGTCCGCGCGGATGGCGCCGTCGCTCGCGTCTTCGCGGGTGAAGACGATGTTGCGAGCGACGGAGTTGGACGTGCCGGGGACGCAGTAGCTGGGTAAGACGAGCGTGGGACGTTTGTCGCCGTCATCGGTGCCGGATGGAAGGAGGCGCTGCGAGCACAGAACGGGGGAGAATAACACGGCGCGGTAGTTGCGAGGACCGTCGTCGGTTTGCACGCTCATGGTGGCAAAGTATCCGGCGTCGAAGCCGCCAGTGACGACGCCGGTGACGTATTCACCGAGCATGGCGAGATCACCACCGCGAAAGTCACCAGCGCCCGCGGCGTGCTCGACATCGGCGCGAAATTGCATGTTCAAATGCGCGGCGGCGACACGGCGAAGACGCGTCACTTCGAGATTGTCTTTGGAAGATGTCGACGGTTTGGCGTCTTCTTTGTCAGGATGTTCCCCCTCGCGATCTTTGCGTTTGCGTGCGGAAGGTGGACCTTGAGCCATCTCCAACCACTCATCGTGCTCTTCCTTCGTCAGATTACGCCAAGCGGCTTGGAGCGCCTTTGTGCACTCGTCGTGTCCCATGCCCTCGTAAAGCTTTGCAGATTTGGTCAACTGGAACGTCGCGTAAACCTTGAACGCAACGTCGACGTCTACGCTCAGAGGTTTGGCGACTTTCGTCGAGGACGGCTGTGGCTCCTTCGCTTCGACTGGCGCCGGTACTAGCTGCACTTTAGATGCCGGTTGTTTTCGTTCTCGTCGTTCTCGATACTCTTCGTCTCGCAAACTCTCCGGCAAGGGGATTCTTCTAATTTCCTTCCCCGTCGCCTTTTCCTTCAAAATTGAAAACTTTTGGTCGTCACTCGCGATCCATTCGTACGGCACCTCGACACTCTCGGGCGAATCACTTCCAGCGATCGTGGGCGCCTCTTGATCCGAACTCGTTTGGAACGACGGCATGCGCTCCTCCGGGTCCATGTCTTCCCACTCGTCGTCGTCTACTGGGGCCAATCGAACGCCTGGGATGGGGAACTCTTTCGCCGCGACCGCCACCTCTCGCGTCGTTGACTTCTTCGTGGGCGACGCAACGACTGGCTGTGGGCTCGGCGTCGACTTTTCCACGGCGCCTACCTCCTCGTCGTCGTCCGGCGGTGCCAACTTCACCCCCGGAATCGACGCAGCCGTCGCGGCGACTTTCTTAGGCGCCGGCGCCTCCGGCGTGGGTGTATTTTCCGCCTCCTGTCGTGTTTGCTCGTCGTTGACACGATCGGATACGTTTACGGGTCCTGAGAACAAGTCGATTTCGTCTTCGTCCACGTCGTCCGGCGGTGCGAGCTTCACGCCTGGCACGGGAATGTCGCGCGTATCCGCGCGCGGCGGCGCGACGTTCGCGGACTCTTTAACTACTTGCACCGATGAGCGTTTTTCGACGTCTATCGTTGCGGGCGCCGGTGGAGACGATGTTTGGTGCGCATGCACTGGGCCTTTCACTGCACGCTTCGGCGGGGGACTCGACTTTGAAGCCGGCTTGGCGACGTTCTTCTTAGGATTCGGCGCGCGCGTCTTCGGCTTTTTCGCGAGAGGCGCGGCGACGACTCTCATCTCGGTTCCGCGCGTCCTGACTCCGCGCTCGAACTCCGCCGTCGCTTCTTTCGAGAAGAAATTAGGCGTCGATGGTCCTTTTGAAAGAGTCTTTTGCGCCGACGGTGCGGGCTCCGAAGGCTTCGGTTCCGCCGCCTTTGCTTTCCGTCTCGCCTCGGGCTCCGCCGCCGCCGCGACGTCTACCGCCGCCGCGACGATCTCCATCGACTGACGCGAACTCTTACGCTGCATCTCTTTCACCGCTGCTGAGTGCTTCTTCTTTGGCGGTAACCCCTCTGGGTGTTCTTGTGAAAAGGATTTTCGAGTCGAGCGCTGCGGCGGCGAGTCGTTCGGTTTGCCCTGCGTCGCTTTTCTCGCCGGGTGCGTCAGGAGCTGCAAACCCGTTAAAATGTACATGTGATCGAACACGCGGTGCGACTTGCCGCTGTCCACTCCTTTCAAGTTCAGCGTCATCCCTCCGAGGACGACTAAACCGTCGCCGACGACGGTGGCGGTGTGCATGAAGCGCGCGTCCGGCTCTTGCGATGGCGGCTCCACCGGGCTCCAGCACAGCTCCGTGGCGGACCACGCCCAGGTGTCGCTCAACGACACGCTATTCTTGCTTAACCCACCGAACACGATCATCGTATCGCCGTCGCTCAGCGGCGTCGCCGTGTGACACGCGCGCTCGCACGGCCAACACACGTTTTCGCTGTCTTCGCCGACGTACGCCGCCGCGTCGGGTTCGCGCCAAACCTCGTCGTCGTAGGGCATGTAGTACGTCTCCCTCAAAAACTCCGTCCCATTATCGCCACCGAAACACACCAACATCGTACTCAGCGCGCTCACGGTGTGAAACGCTCGCGCCGTCGGCGCCGACCCGTTCATCTTCACCTCTCTCCAAATCAACGAATCTAAATTCAACTCGTACGCGTCGGCGAGATACTTCCCATCCTCTCCCACCCCCCCGTGCACGAACAACCGCCCTCTCGCCGTCACCGTCGCCGCCGCGCCCGCGCGTTTCGTCGGTCCTCGTCCCTTCGTCGCCAACCGCGTCCATTTCCTCGTCTCTCGATCCATCGCCCGCGTCTCCCCGTGCATCCTCCCGCCGTCATCCGCGCCACCGAACGCGTACGTCATCGCCCTTTTCCTCCCGAGCGTTCGTTCCGTCGTTCCATCGTCGTGCGCGTACGCCGCGCCTTCGCTCGCCGTCGGCGCGTCGCCGCTCGTCGTCAGCGTCCTCGCGTCCCACGTCCCTATCGGTCCGTCGCGTCGCGCGCTCGGCGTCAGTCCCGATCCGCGTTCGTTCGTGCGTTCGTTCGTTCGTTCGCGCGTTCGTTCGCGGGTCGTCGCGCGTCGTCGCACCGATCGTCACCGACGCCGCGTCGCGCGCGCCGCGCCCTCCCGCGCACGCGACGACGTTCTCGCGCGCGTCGTGCCACGCGACGCCTCCCGCGCGCGCGAGCGCCGATCGCGCGCCGCGCGGCGCGACGCGCGCCCAGCCGACGATGTCGCGCTCGCGCGCGCGCGTCGCCGTCGGCATTCGACGTCGCGTCGCGCTGTGCGCGCGCATCGAATCGTTGACCGATCGACACGTCGACGTCTCGCGCGATGGCGCGCGCGCGCGCGACGCCCGCGAGCGCGTGGACGCACGACGCGCGGAATCGCGTCGCCGTGGGGCGCGGCGTGCGTCTCAGGTACGTCAGTCGCGCGGATGTGAAATTCATGCACGATGAAATCTTCGAGCGCGAGTGTTACGGGTTCGACGCGATCGCGGACGGGGCGAAAAGGACGGGCGTCGTGATCGACGTCGGCGCGAACGTTGGATTGAGCGCGCTGTGGTTCGCGGCGAGGAGCGACGCGGTGATCGCGTGCGAACCGATCCCGAGGACGTTCGCGGCGTTGGTGGAAAACGTCGGCGCGCGGGAAAACAGGGGAGGCGAGACGACGACGAGGGACGCGGCGACGACGTGCGGCGTGCGAGGGGTGGAGATAAAAGGCGCGGCGCGCGATGGGCGCGGGATGGCGACGGTGTACGCGCACGACGTCGGCGTGGGGGGGGAGAGGCGGGACGCGGCGGATTTCGTCGAGTTTCCGCGCGCGGCGGGATGGGCGACGCGCGAGAACGCGAGAGACGACGCGGAGACGACGGAGAATTTGATCGCGTACGTCTTGGACGCGCTGAGGGGCGACGGTGGTGGGGACGATGGGTTGGAGAGTAACGTCGTCGTCGGCGCGGGACGTTGGTTGAGAGCGCGCGTCGCGGACGACGACGACGACGCGACGCCGCTTCGACGTCTCGCGAGCGTCATCGCGAGCTTCGTTTTGCGCGTCGCCGTGCGGTGCGTCGCGGCGTACATGCTGTCAGGCGCGCGCGTGGTGAAACGACCCGTCGTCACGGTCTCTGATCTCATCGAAGCGCACGGGCTCGATTCGGTCGATTTGTTAAAGATCGACGTCGAGCGCGCCGAGCTCGACGTCTTGAACGGCGTCGACGAGACCGACTGGGGCAAAATCCAACGCGTGCATCTCGAGTGTCACGACTCAAATTTCGATCGCGCGGTCGAAGTGTTAAAGTCCAAAGGCGCGTTCGACGTCGTTCGCGTCGACGCCTTATTCGGCTCGGCTCGTTTGCGCAACATCCGCGCCTCCAGACGCGTCGCGTCGTAGGTCCACATCCGTGTGATTCATTCACTCGCGCGTAGAAGCATACGACTATTCTTCGCGCTCGCCGCGCGCGCGCGTCGTCGCGTCGTCACGCGCGCATCGTCGCGCGTTCTTCGCGTTCGCCGCGCCTCGCGCCGTCGCCGCCCGCCCGCCCGCCCGCCCGACCGACCCCTCGCGCGTCACACGCGCGCGCGAACGCGCGCGATGCCGCCGAGTCGCGGTCGCGCGCGAGAACGCGCGAGAACGCGCGTCGCGACGCCGGGCCCGTCGCCGTCCGAGCCTCGCGCGCGCGGTGACGCGCGCGAACGCTCGGAGGATGACCGTTCGCAACTAACCGGTAATTTGGTGTCTCCGGCACCGAAAACGACCGCGCGAAGGCCGCCGACGTCGGAAACGCGCGCGCGCGGGGGGCTGAAATCGCGGTCGCCTCCGCCCTCGCCGCTGAAACGCGCCGTGAAGCGCGTGCAGCGCGCGTTGCCGCGATTCGTCGCGGTGTACGCGCCAAAGTTGCCAATTTTTAGCAGCGCGTTCGTGCTGCTCGCGTACGCGGTGCTCGTTCCAGCGTTCGGTAGGGCGTATCACATGGTGCGAACGGAAGGGACGATCGTGAGTGATGTCGCGAGCGAGACGTGGGAGATGGGGACGCGGTTTAAGGTGTCGTGGGATCGAGAGGCGCGCGCGTTGCGAGCGTCGTACGCGGGGGGCGCGGAGAGACGAGAACGGAATTCGGTGTGGTGCATGATGCGAATAGGACGAGGTGAAGGGTGCGAAGGACAGAAGACGTGGGATGCGTGGAGCACAGTGCCGGGGAAACCTTTCGTGCGCGTGGCGAATGGACCGATCCGCGTGCATCAGTTAATCTCGGGGCACTTTAAGATTACCATGAAGGCTATTCTGAAGACGAGCATACAGACGATAGATGAGATTGAGCACGACGCACAGGCGAATAAGCTGGTGATGCGAGGAAAACTCGTGAAAGAAGACGCGAGACTCGATCGATGGTTGACGAAATTGGGGGATTTGAGCGCACATTTACGCGAGCGCACGGTGAAGAGGCAGGCGTACGTCGCGCAGAGTAAACTCGTAGCTTCGTACGAGTTTACGTTAGAGTGCGATGGGGAGGATCGATTGGCGTTCGCGATCGATTGGGACGACGAAGTTCCCGGCGTCGTTCGCGCCGGTCGCCGTCGAAGAACGGTCGGGTTGAATCAGCTTGATTTCGTCTACGCCATGGACCCAGACGAGCGCGTGTACGGGCTGGGCGAGCAATTTTCTTCGTACAATCATCGCGGGCGTCGAGTGCCCGTGATTACGGGCGAACAAGGCATGGGTCGCGGAGTGCAACCTTTATCATTCATGTTTAATTCCGTCTTTCCAGGGTCGGCTGGGTCCTGGCACACGACATACACGGCGATTCCGCATTACATCACGCACAAGGCGCGATCGGTGTTTCTGACGAATTACACCTACAGCGAGTTTGATTTCACCGAGGAAGAAAGTGTCGTTATTCGCGCCGCGGCTCCGAGTGGATTGATCACCGGACAAATAATCGGTGGGTCTAGCATTCCTGACGTTTTACGGGCGTACACTGATTATGCCGGACGCATGACGTCGCTTCCGGAATGGGCGATGAACGGCGTCATTCTCGGCATGACGGGTGGTCCACAGAAAGTACGTCAAGTGTACAAAACATTGGGCGAAGGCGGTGTGAAAGTGGCTGGATTGTGGCTCCAAGACTGGGGTGGCGTGCGCAACACGTCTATCGGGATTGAACGCGTGTGGTGGAATTGGCGTCTCGACGAGACGCACTACACGGATTGGGACGCGCTGCGAGAGGAAATCAAACCAAACGGCACGCACCTTCTGACATACGTCAATACCTTCTTGATGGATGCGAATTCCGACAAAGGATTACTTTATAGAGAGGCGAAGGAGAAAAACTACATGGTACGCGATGTCAAGGGTGAAGTATATAGACTCGGCTCGGAACCGGGCGTGACATTCGGTTTACTCGACTTGTCCAATCCCGAGTGCGTGGCGTGGATAGAGGATATCATTGTCGACATGCTGGAAACGACGGGCGCGATGGGCTGGATGGCGGACTTTGGTGAATATCTCCCTTTCGACGCGGTTTTGCACTCAGGGGAGTTGCCCATCGAAGTGCATAATCGTTATCCTGAGGATTGGGCAGAGGTGAATCGACGAGCGATGCGGCGAGCCGGTCTCGAGGGCACAGGTTTCTTCTGGAGCCGCAGTGCGAGTACGAAGTCCCCGAAACATTCCGCGCTTTTCTGGCTTGGCGATCAAATGGTCTCATGGGACGCGTACGACGGCATCAAAACAGCCGTGCTCGGCGGATTATCAGGCGGATTGTCCGGTCTTACGTTGACGCACAGCGACGTCGGAGGGTACACCGCCCACCCGCTCAAGCATCGTTCGGAAGAACTCCTGATGCGATGGATGGAGCTGAACGCATTCGCCGACGCGATTTTTCGCACACACCAAGGTAATCGCCCGCATCACAACGCACAGCCATGGAACACGCCAGAGTTGGTGGAACATTTGAAGTTTTGCGTGGATATTCACGTCGCGCTCAAGCCGTACAAAGTCGAGCTCATGCGAGAGGCCCAAGCCGTGGGGCTCCCCATGACTCGTTCGATGATCATTCACTACCCATACGACACCAACGCCGCCAATATCGCCACGCAATTCCTCCTCGGACGAGACATTCTCGTCGCCCCCGTGTTGGACAAAGGCGCCACGCACGTGCACGTTTATCTTCCGCCCGGCGACGTGTGGGTCGACGCCTGGACGACGCAAAGAGCGCCCGTGCAGCCCGACCTCATCGGCTCTGACGAAGGTGGCCGAGGGTCGTGGATCACTGTTGACACTCCCATGGGTTGGCCCGCCGCCTTCGTCCGCAAATCCGCCGGCAAATTCGCGCTCCGCGCCGCCGCTCGCCTTCGAGACGTCGCCATGGAAAAAGGCGGCGTACCTCCGAAACGTCGTCTCCGCGCCATGGATCCTGTCGACCGCATCGTGTTAGGCTTTTTATAATCGATGAATTATAATCGACAAACGAGTCGCGTTTTCTCACCAGCACCGCCGTCGCAATTCAGCGTCACCCGGGCGCGACGGGGTTTAGGCTGTCGGTGTAACACTAAAGAATTTCCTTCCTCACAACGAAGCGCGCGCGACGACACCGCGCTCGTCGTCAAAAAAAGTCAGAAAGTTAAGGATGGCATCGCGCGGTGCCGAACGCGCGCCACTGCTCGCGGGCGCGTCGCGCGCCGCCGCCGACGACGTCGAAGGAGGCGCCCAACACCCCGCGATGATCCGGCCGAATCATCGCTCGAAGGCGTGGACGACGAAGCTCGCGATAGGCGCGACGCTCGTCGCCGTCGGCGCGCTCATCGGTGGCCTGACGACGTCCCGCAACGGCGCGAGCGGGTCGTCGACGTCGCTGTCGTCGTGGTTGGCGGGCTTCGCGGCGCCGTCGAGCGCGGAGGCTCGCGAGGGCGCCGGGCGACCGGGACGCGATGTGAAAATCACGCTCTTGACGGCGTGTTCGCCGCACGATATGATTCGAATGAATCCAGGGACGTGGCATCACAGAGTCGGGGCGAAGGTGACGACGAAGGATCACGATAACGAGATGGCGTTTAGGATGGCGCACCACTTGCGCGAAGATCCGCTCAGGTGCGGGACGTACACCGGTACGGTACGATTGCGCGCGGGTGTGCAGATGAACTTCTGGCTGTATCCGATCAAGAACGATGCGAACGAAACGTTGGTGTACGATGAACAGTTTGAATTCGCGCAGAGCGACTCGGGATGCCGCGACGAAGGCAAAGGAGGCGGCGGCGATCCCAACTGGGATCGTTGCAGTCCAAAGTTCTCGCCCGCGCCTCTCGCGTTGGTGGGCACCGGTACCAACGATGGGAATTGCGTGCGGCGATTCGATGTGTATTACGACGAACCCGATCCTGGGCACGAGACGTTTTTCAATCGTATTTACGACGGGCGTCAGACCACTTTCGTGTGGGGGTCGTGCGGGAACGCGTGCGCCGACTACCAGCCGCCGCAATGTCCGGTGTGCGCGATCAACGAGTTCGTGCAAGGACACAGGTGTACGCCGTGTCCGCCCGGTTCGACGCACTACGCTGGAGCGCAACCCGCGGGCCCGGACTCACAGTGCGCTCCCATTCGATGCGGTCCGAACGAACTCGTGAAAAATCACGAGTGCGCGGCGTGCCCGCCCGGCACGACGAACGATCAAGGCGACAGCTGTATGGAAGCCGATAGTTCCTGCGATCACACGTTGTGTGGAATCCATCAAAAAGTTTCCAACCACGTGTGCGTCCCATGCGAACCTGGCAAAGAAAACGCCGCGGGCGACGACGCGTTCGGCGACGACACTGAGTGCACCGACATCGTTTGTGGGTCCAACCAGTACGTCAGAAACAACATCTGCCGAAACTGTCCAGCGGGAACAACTCGACCGATGGGAGACATCGCGTCGGCGGAAGACACGACGTGTATCCCGACGTATTGTGGCGAACACGAACGAGTCTCGTACCACGTCTGTCGCGCCTGCGCGGCTGGGACGGAGAACGCTGCGGGCGACGACGCCTCCGGGCAAAACACTTATTGTGAAGCGATCATGTGCGGAAGTAACGAACGGGTTCAGAACCACTTGTGCGTCGCGTGTCCGGCCGGTTCAACATCGCCCTCTGGCGCAAACGCCGCCGGTGGCAACACTGCGTGCACGCCGACGCTCTGCACCGAACACATGCGAGTGGTTGGTAACGCGTGCGTGCCTTGCCCGGCTGGCTCGGAGAACGCCGCGGGTGATGACGCAACGGGTGATGACACTACGTGTGATTACGGTATATGCGAAGAAAATCAGCATATCAAAAATCACGTCTGCACCGACTGTGCGCCGGGGACGCATCGAACCGCTGGCGATATCACGACGAGCGCCGACACAACCTGCCCCGCAATCCTCTGCGGCGTCAATCAAAGAGTCTTAGGCAACCAATGCGTGGGTTGTCCGCTTGGAACGACGAACGACGCCGGCGACGACGCTTCGGGCAGCGATACCGAGTGCGATCCCATCATTTGCGGGTTGAATCAGCACGTCATATCTCACGCGTGCGTCGCGTGCCTTGACGGCTCTGCGAACGAAGCCGGCGATAACGCCGCTTTAGGCAACACGGATTGCGACGTCCAAATGTGCGGCACGAATGAAGCCGTGGAGTCAGCCGTGTGTCATAAGTGTCCCGACGACGCATCTCACGAAGCTGGAGATTCCCCGACCGGAGGCGATACCTCGTGCGATGACCTCTACTGCCACGTTAACATGAAAGTTCTCAGTGGTGCGTGCGAGGCGTGCCCACCCGGGACGGTGAACGCCAATAACGATCCGGTGAGCGGTGGTGATACGACGTGCGATCCGGTGCTTTGTCCCGTCCACATGCGAGTTCAAGACAACGCGTGCGTGCCGTGCGACGCTGGCATGGAAAACGCTGCGGGCGATGACGCGAGCGGGAAAGACACGACATGTGACATCGTGCTCTGCGAAGAAAACCATCGCGTGTCTGGCGGTGCGTGCGTGCCGTGCGAGCCGGGTGAGTCGAATGAAGCCGGTGACTACATGCTCGGCGCGGACACCACGTGCGAAGCGATCCTTTGCGGCGTCAACCAAAAAGTCTCAGGCAATGAATGCGTATCGTGCGAAGCTGGGACGACGAACGACGCTCAAGACGATGCAAGCGGCGATGATACCACATGCGACCCCGTCGTGTGCATCGCGAATCAATACGTGACGGAAAATACGTGCGCGTCGTGCGCTGCGGGAACGACGGCGCCGCCGGGCTCTCTCGCGAACGGCGACGACACGACGTGTGCGGCGACGCTTTGCGCGACAAACGAACGCGTCGACGAGAATCACGCGTGTGTACCGTGCGACCCGGGGATGACCAGCGCCTCCGGCGCCGACGCCAGCGGCGCGCCGACAACGTGCAAAGCTATTCAGTGCCTCGCCAATCAGCGCGTGCAAGATCACGCGTGCGTATCGTGCGATCCGGGCTTCACCGTCGCTCCGGGCGGCGACGCCTCGGGTGATGATACGACGTGTCAGCTCGACAAGAACGCGGCGTGCCAAACGAATCAGCACGTCGTGGACGGCGCGTGCGTCCCCTGCCCCCCGGGAACCACCAATCGCCCCGGCGACTATTACACCGGCGAGGACACGACGTGCGACGCCGTTTTGTGTGGCGCACACGAGTACGTCTCTTCGCACGTGTGCACGCCGTGTGCGTCCGGCCGAGAAGCTCTCGGTGGTGCGGATGCGAGCGGTGATGATACTGTGTGCGGCGATCCTATTCCCGCCACCGCCACCAAAGTGACGCCGGAATCGGCGCAGGACACGTACACCGCGCCGCTTTCGAAATCCGGGAGTGGCAAGGTGACGATGTCGATCCCCGGCGACCCGGGCGCCCCAGTTGGAGAGTTTTCCCTCATCGCAACGGCGTACGGCGCCGAAATCAAACAAGACGTTCGTCAAGTGTCGTGGTACGCGTGGAGGGCGGCATCTCGCAGCCTGAACGTCCACTCTCAGTGGGACAGGAGCAAAAGTCAACCATGGCTACAAAACGCGAACGTTGCGTATCTCTTCACCTTGAGCGAGCTCGTCGGCCAAGGAATCGTAGTGGGTATGGGCGACCACAATACCAGGCTCCATAGTCTACCATGGTACTCGGGCAGTTCGATGAAGACGCTGCCCGCGACGCAGTCGTACAGCAAAAAAGGCTTGGCGACTGGAGCGCATCCCGTCATTTTGATCAACACTTACACGCCCAACAACTGGCCGGATACGTTTGTGTGCAACGTGTTCAAACTCAGCACGAAAGGTGGGACGTTCAGAGTGCGCGTCGGACGCGCGGATAGCCACGGTCATGGTTGGGGCGATAACGACATTCGCGTCGTGTACGCGGCGTTCAAGCCAAACGCCCCGTCGTTGACGAATGACATTCTCGCCGCCGGCGAGATTCAACTTCCGAAGCCTCTCCCGATCGGCAAAAAGACGTTTTCAAACGTGACGCTCGAGCACAACTTGAACAGGCTCGACTATCAATGCCTTGCGACGGTTCGAATCGACACCGACAAGGACCCCACTCGCTCCATCGCTGTCGAATGTCAAGCCGGAACCGCGAACACCATCACCTTTATGGCTGCGGATTTGGAACTTCGCGCTTGGGACACATACGGGCCGGATGTGTTCGTGTCGTACATGCTCATCCCACTCGTCGGTGCGCCGGTAATTAAACCCGATCACTTTTCGGGCGTTCCGACGATCGTCGGTTGAGAGCGCTTTAATTTCAGAGTTTTAATTACAGACCCTAAAGGTCGAAATCGCGCAGAGCTTCGAGCGCCAGGGCGTAGTCTGGCGATAAACGTAACGCCTCACCGTAACACCCTTTCGCTTGTTGTAAACGCTCCTCTTCATCGTTCACTTCACCGAGAGACGCGCTCAGGCGTAACGCGTCTCCCCAAGAGACGTAAATCTTTGGCGAATCGCGATCGATCGCCGCCGCGGCTTTGAACTTTTCCGCCGCGGCAACGGCGAGAGATTCAGCATCCATTGTCGCGCCTTCACTACTGAGCACCAACTCGCTCCTGAGCGACAACGCGGTGCCCCATCCCGTGAGGGCTTTAGCTTTGATTCCGCTCGTATCGCTCGCGACGCCGTCTGGAGAAACCTTCATCTCCTCGGATTCCGCCTCTGCTGAGACTATTGCCGCCCGAAAATATCGACCTGCTTGGACCAAATTTTCCTCTGCAAGTTCCAAGTACATTTCCGCCGTGCCATCCAAACCGACATTCACGCGCGCATCGCGCGCGCTTGCCGCTTCGCGTAAAGCGAGCTCGGCGAGCACGGCTTGGACGCGCCCTCGTGCGAGGTGCGCATTTCCTAAATTCCCGACGGCGCGCGACGACGAGTCTCCACTCACTGCGAGCTCTAAAAATTGAATCGATTCCGCAAACAGCTCATCGCCTTCTTCGAGCATATCCACGTCGTTTCCAGCGCGTCGCGCCACGTCTCTCCCCGCGCGCAAAGCCGTCAATCCCTTTTCAGAATTCTCCGCGATTTCGTTGGGCGTATCCGAGGATTCTATCTTCTCCTTCAGTTCTGCTTCGTACTTGGCCACGTTTTCTGCGTCTGCAGCACCGACGAAGGGATCCCAAACCTCTTCGTCGGGATCGATGGTAGCAGAAGAAGAAACTTCCCCGTCTTCACTCGGTGGAGGCGGTGGTTTTGAGTTCAACAAGGCTTGCATGTTGGCAAACGCCTCCTCTCGCGATACGTTGGCATTCATCGCCTTTTTCTTGGGTGAATCTCGAGTGGGCGTCGACTTTTCACCGACCCACACCAATTCTTCCTCTGCCGCCTCGTCGGACACGATGGCCGCCTGCCATTGCATCTGTTCCTCCACCTCGGACGAGGGCTCGGCAGCTTTCAACTTGTCCTCCGCCCACTGCTTCACCGCCGCCGCCGCTTCGGCGCCGCCCGCGCCTCGACCAGAGGACGATTCGTCTCGTCGCTGCGACGTCTCCAGCGCCATTTTCAGATCGGCGACACTGTCCACGATGCCCTGAATGTCCCGCGAAATTTCTTGGCGTATCTCGACTCGCAAGTCTTCCAAGTCGTCCTCGACGACGCGGTCGGACGCGTTCACGCCCGCGTCGATGGCGTCTAAACGACCAATCATCGCCTCCCACTGACTTTCATCGAGCTTAGACGCCAGACTCTGCACTATAGTATCCTCTGCCGTCACAGCATTGATAGATCCCAACAACTGCTCCACCGCTTCGCGCACTTTGGCGCTTGTGCTATCGGCGACGGCGGTGCGCAGCTCGGCGAGTTGTTCGCTCGACAGCGTCGCCGTCGCCGCGCTCGTCGCGTCAGAATCTCGCACGACTCCCTCGACGACGTCACGTATCTCCCCAGCAAGCGATTCCATGGGTTCGCGTAATCCTGCGGTGTCCTTTTCCACGTTTTCCACGAGTTCCCACAGCATCGTCATCTCCTTCTTCAACTCCCCCGTGGCGCTCTGCGCCGTGGATCTAAACTCGTCGCGAACGCTCGCGATTCCCTCCCGAGCGTCCACGCGCGCGGCGGCCAAGTCTCTCGCCAACATCCCCGCCACCGCTCCACTATCTCGCGCTGTCGCCGCCGCCGTCTTCGCCGCTTCAACTTGCGCTCGTTCCACGCTCGATAATCGATTCGCGAGCGCCTCGAGCGCGGGCGTCACGTCTCTTCGCACCGCCGCCGCCGCCAGCGGCGCCGCCTGCGCCGTCGCCTCCCGTATCGTCACGTTCCGGCTCGCCTTCGCTCGCAACGCCAGCATCTCATCTCTCCTCACCAGCGCCAGCGCCGCTCGCCGTTTCCTCACCCGTCGCTCCCTCGTTCTCCGCGCCAGCGCTCCCACCAGCGGCAGCGTCCCCGCGAGCGCGCCCAGCGCCGCCTCCCGCAGCGCCACCGACGCCAACCCGCTCGACACCGCCCCGAGCGTGCTCAACCGTTCAACCACCGTCAACCACGCCGTGAGAGACATCACGGACATCTCTCCATCGCTGACGTCGTCGTCATCGAAATCCAACGCGCCGTCGTCGTCGTCTTCGAACGCCCACGCGCTCGCCGCCGTCGCCGCGCGCATCTTCTTTCCCTTCGCGTCTTCATCCTCGTCCCGTGAAGCGCTCGACGCGAGCGCGTCGAGCGCGAGAAACGCGTCCGCGTCGTCCGCGTCGTCCGCGCGCCGCATCGCGCGTCGCGCGACGCCGCGAACGCGTCGCGAAGCGTGCGTGCCGCGCATTTCAACGACCGCTTCGATTCCCTCTTCGCGTCCTCGCGCGCGTCCGCGCGTCCGCGATCGCGCGCGCGCGCGCTCGGCGCTCGGCGCGACATCGCGGGACGCCGTCGCGCGCGTCGCGCGCGCCGTCGCGCGCGCCATCGCGCGTCTGAGTGCGGATTACGATTCGAATGAACGATTCAATCTTCAAATCGTCACACGTCGACGCCGCGCGCGCGCGCGGGACCGCGCGCGCGCGCGAAACGACGGCGGTTCGAACGCGCGCGATGCCGGCGACGCGACGCGCGCGAAAGGCGCCGGCGACGGCGCCGGTGAGCGAAGATGCGCCCGCGAGCGATCCACCGTCGGCGACGTCGGCGGGCGACGACGACGACGACGCGTCGCGCGACGACGAGAGCGACTCGGACGACATCGAGATCGAACTTCGCGAGGACATCGACGTCGTCGCCGAGCACGAGCGCGCGGAGGCGGAGCGGGAGGAGAAGGAGAAGGAGGCGGCGGAGGCGCGCGCCGAGGCGGCGGCGGCGGCGGCGGCGACGAAGGACGAGGAAGCGGCGGACGGGGAGGAAGACGAGGGCGAGGCGATGGATGCGCTCGGCGTCGGGTCGAGAGGGGTGGTGGACGTGTACTCGCTGTCGAATTATACGTTTGGGACGAAACGGGCGCGAGGAGAGAAGGACGCGACGGCGGCGGAGCGACTGTTGCGAATGCGCGCGCAATACGAAAAGGAAGGGAAACGGCGGAGTGTGGGGGCGATATGCATGGTGAGCCAACACAGGACGCCGCACGTGTTGCTGTTGCAGATCACGCCGACGAGTTTTAAGCTGCCGGGGGGACGGTTGCGCGCGGGCGAGGGCGACGTCGAGGGGCTGGCGCGAAAGATGCGAAACAAGCTGCAACCCGAACGCGACGACGGGTTGGAGCAGTACGAGTTCGATATCGGTGATCAGGTCGCGACGTGGTATCGCACGTCGTATGAACCGCAAATGTATCCGTACTTGCCCGCGCACATCACGAAACCGAAGGAGGAGTACAGAATGTTCGTCGCGCACTTGCCGGAGAAGTGCTACTTCGCCGTGCCGAAGAACTTAAAGCTCCTCGCGGTGCCGTTGTTCGAGCTGTACGGGAACCCGGGAAAGTACGGCGCGGAAATCGCGAGCATCCCGCACTTATTATCTCGCTATCGATTAAATCTAGAGTAGTCAACGCGTGTAGTCGCATCACAAAGTCAAAGTCAAAAGTCAAACCGGCGCACGCGGCGTCGGCATGTGCAACCGACCAGCGAGTCGCCACCGCGCGTTGGGAATTTTCAGCCCGTGTTCGAACACCCAGAAGTCTTCCACATCCAAAATCTCATCGGGATCACCCGCCACTAATCGTCCCCGCGCGTCGTACGCCGCGAATCTTTGCTTCCCTCGAAACCGCGTCGTCAACTGCGCGAACCCCGGTCCATTACTATCGTTCGCGTTCGCCATGATCAACCGTCCTCGCACCACCTGACACTCATCGATCGATTCCAAATTCCAATCCACTCGCGCCCACCCCCCCCGCTCGCGGCTTTTCCGTTCCCTTTTCAAATCGCTCTGCGTCTTATCCGTCGTCGCGTGTCGCGTCTCGTGTTCCAGCGTCTTCCCGTGCCCCACGTTCGCGCTCGACGCGTTTATCATCTTATACATTTGTTTCGCCTCCTGTTTGAATCCCTCGAGCGTGAATCCACGCACTTCTTTCGCGCATTTCGACAGCGCGTACGCGTCCTTCGCTCGGCTCGTCGCCGCCTCGTACGCGTACCGCCATCCCTTGCTCGTCGTCGCCCACTCCGCGAGCGTCGGTCGTCGCGGCGGGCCGGCGTACGGTTCGGCGATCAGGTTCGAGCTCGTCTGCGCGACGCGCACGCCGCCGCCGCGCATCGACGCCGTCTGCGCGGGCGGCGTCACGCCCTTGAGCGACGCCCGGGCGTACGTCGCGCGCGCGACGACGCGCGCGTCGACGCGCGGCGCCGTCGAGGCTCGCAGCGCGTCGCGCGCGACGCGGAGGATCGCGCGCGCGGGCATGGCGACGATCGTCGGCGCGCGCGGCGCGGAATGACGATTCGGCTTCCCTCGCGCCACTGCGACGCGCGCGGAAACGAATGGAAACGCGCGGCGCGGGCGCGCGATGGACGCGTCTCGACGCGCGCGCCGTCGCGACGGAGGTGTCTCTCTCGGGCGCCGCGCGAACGCGCGACGCGGGCGTCGAGGGCGAGGACGACGACGATGATGATTGGGTCGTGGTGCGCGCGCCGGCGCGGCGCGACGACGACGACGGAGAGGTCTCGAGCGAGGTCGCGGACGACGAGGCGGAAGACGGCGACGGCGACGGCGACGGCGATGTCAACGTCGAGACGATGGATGAGGACGAGGGCGCGGACGCGCGCGGGAAGAGGGAGATGGATGCGATGGATGCGATGGCCGAGACGGCGGACGCCGAGACGGCGAGAACGATTCCGCCGCTCCCGGGGGAGGACGCTGCCCTGGTCGCGGAATATTACGCGCAGTTTCAAGTCAGAATGGAGCTTGATCGGGCACGGCTAGCGCGGCGCGCGGCGGTGCGGGAGGACGAGGCGGTGTCGGCGAACGACGACGACGACGACGACGACGACGAATCCGAGGATTCGTCGTCCCAAACGGAATTCGGCGAGGAGAGCGACGCGGAGGACGACGACGCGGAGGACGACGACGCGGTCGAGGTGATCTCGAAATCAGATGTCGACATACGAGATAACGCATTCGATCGATTGCGTTTGAAAGCGATCGAAGCGTACCGTGAGCTCGAGAAGCGAATCTATCGAGTCGCGCGAGAAGGCGCCGAAGCCATCGCACCGTTGAGTCGAGATTTGTGGGATCGCTTTGTGCGCTGCACGAGACGGATGGCGCGGCGCAAATTCGATCTACAAAAAGAAGCATCATCGCTCACAGACGTCATCGTCGTCGTCACCGCGTCCGGAATCGCGTTTATCGTCGCGCGTAAATGCTTCTCCGCGTTGATGGCGAGAAACGATCGGGCCGAACGCGCCGCTCGATCCGTCGAAATCGATCTCGCGCGGTGCTGGCACGACGCAGGAACTTACGGATACTTTGTTTAGTCAACCCGATACGAACGCCACGATACGATGATGAAAGATGAGATTTTAGATGGTGCACCATCCAACGACGAGACTTCGCGGGCTATGGCTTGACAATATCGATGCGACGGCGAACAAAAATAAAAACGCTCACTCGTCGACGCACGCGGTTGTTCAGCGATGACAAACTTTCTCGATGCGTTCGAGTCATACTTCAGGCCGGAGGATGATCGATTCGCTCTTTGCTTGGCGGAGAATCAGGTCCCGCCTGAGTGCGCGCTGGCGCTCAAGCGCTTGTACAGCCTCTCGTTCGGTCCGTTGGCGGCGGCGATATACTTCATAGTCGTCATGTGCGTCGAGGGCAACGCCGAATTCGTAGGAAGTGCAGGTTTAGCAATTTTAACCACCATCATCTGCAGGCAAGCGAGCTTCTTACCGCGCGGCCGCTCGCTCGGTTACGCCTCTCATATGCGGAACGCTATGGCGATGTTCATGTCGCTCACAATCTCAAAGGGCTTTGCGATCATGTACTCCACATATGATGCGTGTAAGATGCCGACTGAAGCGCTCGGTGAGCTCGAGTGCTCGCATTTGAGATGGGCAACGACCGCCGTTATCGCAGTCTTCGGGTACATCACGTACGTCGCCTCGCTAGTCTTCACGCGACTTGCCGAATCCTACATCCTCGTCCACGCGGCGATGAGAAAAGAGGAAGTTTAGACACAATCGCGCGCACTCGATATTAGTCGTATTACATCATCACCAACCTTTACTTACACCGCCTCGCACTCCTGCGCGGAGTCGTCGACGTCGCAATCAAACATCCCTTTCGCGCTCGCCGTTCGCGAATCGTCGCCGCGCGACCACGTCCCGTAATCCTCCGCGAGCTGATTTAAAAATCTCGGCACCACCTGCGCGACGACCTGGTTCACCACGAACCGCCCCGTGCGCTCGGTGGACTTGATCGTGAACGGAAACCACCCCGGTACGATGATGTACACCCGCACGCTCGTCTCGCTCGTCAACTCCTTATACTCCCCGCCCCGCGACTCCACCACCGCGCGTTCCTCCGCGCTCAACGCCTCGCTTTCGACGTCGCACCACGTGACGTTGTTCACACTCACAATCTCAAACGCATCGCTCGCGTATTCCACTACTCCGCTCCCCGTCAACTCCATATCCTCCACGCGCACCTCGCACCCGCTCCCGTCGTCTCGCACTCGCACCTTCGCCTTCAATCTCGGCCGTAACGACAACCCCAAAAACGCCAACTCGCTCAGTTCCACCTTGAACGTATCATCGCTCACGCGTTCGACCGACTCTCCGTCCAGCGTGCTGTACTGCGACGCCGGCAGCGACATGTACGCTCGAACCGCTCGCGCCTCGGGCGCCTGATGCACGCGCCGCGACGCAATCTTCGTCGCGCTGAACGACGCGTGTCGCCCCTTTCGTCGCAGAAACGCGTCCAATCGCTCGTTCGCGTCGTCGTTCGCGTCGTCGCTCGCGATCTCGTCCACCGCGTCGTTCACGTCGGGCTCGCGGAGCGCTCGGAGCGTTCGCGTCGTCGCCGCGCGCTCGAGCGCGCGGCGACGACGCGGACGATGACTCGCGCCGTGCGCGCGCGTCGTCGTCGACGCCGTCGCGCGCATCGTCGTCGTCCGTCGCGCGCGCGCCGGCGAGCGGGCGGGCGCGAGAGCGCGCCGACGAGTGACGACGAGGCGATGGGAGCGACAAAGATATCTTTCGCGGCGACGGTGGATATGGCGGCGAACCGACGAAGGCGTCGAGCGTTGAAGTTTGGCTAATCGGCTAGTTCGCGCGCGCGGCGAGCGGGTCGTCTTCGTCGACCGAGCGGTACGCTTTGTATTCGTCGGTGTTCTGTATCCATCGCACGACGGCGTGCCAGCCCAAAGGCGAGGACGGTTCGCGGTTCATGACTTGTTCGATCGCGTCTCGCGCGTCGGCGTCGGTGAAATCGCAGTCGTTGTCGTAGAGGTACTGGAGCACGGGTAAGTGGCCGTTTTTGGCGGCGATGAGCATCAAATCGTTGTCTTGACCTTGAGGATTTTTGGACGTGGGCCAATCGGCGAATCTGAGCCCGCGAATGTTTTGGTGCATCCACTCGAGGCAGGCGAGATTGCCGAACTCGCACGCGCAGTACATGGTGTCGTAATCGATGCGCACGCCGTGCTCGTGTAAGAACTGTAAAACGGTCAAAGAATCGGTGTAGTTGCCGTCTTCATCTCGACGTAACTCGTGATCGACGCGTTCGCACGCGAAAAATGCGGCTTTGGCGTCGCGTCGCGCGCCTTTGCTGAAGGCCCACGCGAGCGTTGCGATCGGTCGGCGTCCGTCTCGCGAGCAGCACGCGACGAGCTCGTGATCCCATTTGTACGGGTTGGAGAACTTTCCCTCGTGTCTCACGAAGTATTTGCGCAACTCTTCGCATCGCTCGAGATCACCCGCATCGACCGCCGCGTGCATGACGGTGTAGCACTCCGCGAGTTGCTCGTCGTTCAGCTTGCGCTTCTTCTCCCTCGCCGCCGACTTCTTCCCGACCTCATCCCCGAGTCTCTTCGCCATCGTCGCCACTTTCGGCGCGTACTCCCGGACGGGCAATCGTCCTCGTCCAGCCTTCGCCTTCGCCGCCTTCGCCGCCTTCGCCGCCTTCGCCGGCGAAATCGCCATCTTCTTCGCCGCCGGCACGCACTGCCTCTGCAAAAACTTTTGCATCGTCTTGGACAGAAATCCCTCCCCTCGCTCGACCGCGTCCACGTCCTCGTCGTCCGGCGTCACCTCGCGCGTCTCGTCATTCGTCATCGACGCGCTCGAGACCCCGCCCGCGTCCGGCGTCGACGGCGTCGCGACCGCGCGCGCGAGCGCCTCCTTGCGTCGGACGAGTCGCGCCAAATTCGCCGCCGACGCCTCGAGCTTGCGCTTCAGTTCGAGCGCCTCGCGATCGCGCGACGACGCGCGGTCGATCGATCGACGCTCCCGTCGGCGGTCCATGCGCGACGCCGCGTCGACCGCGTCGCGTCGACGCCGAACGCGTCGCCGAACGCCGCAACCGTCTGTCGGCACGTCTGTCGGCACGTCTCGATCGAAGATTCCGTCTCACACATAACGCATACCCGTATGTCCGATGTTTGCATCGTCCTCGATGGGGCACCGAGCGCCCTGAATGCGGCGATGGAGACGATAAAAAACCGCGACGGCGCGCGCGCGCGGCGCGACGCGCGCGAGAGCGCGACGCGGCGCGACGCGACGCGCGCGATGCCGTCCGCGAGCGCTCGAAACCGGGGAAACTCGGCGTCGGCGATGGATTACCTTCGACACACGCGCCCGGGGTTCCCGAGCGGGCTCGAGGTGCGACGCCGCGCGCGCGCGAGGCGAGACGCGCGACGACGCGGACGCTATCCGAAAGATTAATCGAATCGAAACGATTCGAACGCGAGCCGCGATGACTGACGACGCGCGAACGACGCGCGAACGAACGAACAGGTGGTGGTGGTGAGCGAAGCGGGCGCGCATCTGGAAGCGGCGGTGAAGATGCTCGAGGGGGCGTCGTATAGGGTGACGACGATGCGAGGGATGGAGGAGGCGGCGCAGTCGCTGACGCGAGAGCCGGCGCCGAGACGAGACGTGATGCTGGTGGAGGCGAAGATGCTGCGATCGTGCCTGGAAAATCCGCACTCGAGGTGCGCGCGGATGTTTCCGATCGTGGCGAAGAAGGTGGCGATCGTTGTGTTGCAGACGGATGATAGCGACGCGGCGGAGCGGGAGTTTATCGTCCAGGCGATTTCGATGGGGGTGGTGGACGTGATTCGATATCCGCTCGTGAAGCAGAATACGGCCAATTTGTGGCAGCATACGGTTCGGAAGATGATCAAGGAGAAGGACGACCCCGAGGTTTTAGAGACGCTGAAGCGATCGTCGAGCGCGACGAATGTGCACAACTTTACGAAGCCGTTTTGCCGCGGCATGAACGTGCTCGACGCCGTGGCGTACGGTGAGGCGCAGTTGCGTTCGCCGACGCCACCGATGAGTCTGGATGCGATGAACGCACGTCAAGCGATGCTACTAGCCGAGACAGAGACGCGTAAGGTGCGCGAAACGTCGATGAACGCGGCGTCAAAGTTGAAAACGAAGAGCGCAAAGCTCAAGCGCGCGCCCGCCGCGGCCGCGAAGAAGCAGACGGGAGCGACCGCGGTCGCGTACCAACGCGCTTTCGACCAAATGCTGGGCACGTCACCAGACGAGTTACAGTTCTTCCACGGCAATACTATGAATCGCGCGTTGAGCATGCCTGACATGCGGGAACTCCCGCTTGGATTGCGACTCAACTACACGGACAGTTTCACAAAAAATCTCAATCAGCTCGAGTGTGTGGTGGACTCGAACGCGTTGCGAGCGGCGACGCAGGTAAACTACGACGAAGGCACGTACCCAAGTACGTTGTCTGATCGATCGATGAGCACCGGTAACGGCGACGATATGGATGCTCTCGACTACGTGTTGATGAATTCGAGCGAGTTTGGCGGTCCGGATGACGGAACGTTGTTCACTTCGTTCTCGTGATCATGAGCTGCCGCTGCTGCTGCTGTATACAAGTATTTAACGACTTCTCCTTCTTCGCAACACGTCATCAAGCGATTCTTAGGATCACTTTTGTTCAATAAATTCTTTTGCGCTGCCAACCAACCATCATCGCGCCGAGACAGAGACCGAGAACGAGAACGAGAACGAGGAACTCGCTGGGGACCACACTCGCGCGCGCGACGACGTTCGTGACAACGATCGAACCACACGAAAGTGACGTTTTCGCACTCTCACGCACTCTCACGCACTCTCACGCACTCATGACGCGCGCGTCTCATCTGCGCGGCTTCCTCGTCGCTTTGTTTTCTCTCCTGGCGCTGCGCGTCGACGCGCGGTACCGAGGACGCGCCGTCGGTGGACGCCGAATCTCTGGACGTGGGATCGGACCTCGCGCCGCCGATCGCGTTGGTATCGGTCGAAAGTTACTCGAAAGTTACGACAGTAACGACGCGACAGAGGTTGCGCCCGTGTTGCGTGAAGATGGTCACTGCGTCGTCGCGTACGATCAAATCGCGCGTCGACCTGAACTGTCGGAATTGAAACAAGTCATAGACACGCTGCCGAGAATCAAGGACAAGCTGCAAGACCCCACGAGAGTTTTCACCTTGTTCTGTCCGACGAACGATGCGATCGAGAAGCTGCGAGCTTGGGAAGATTGGGAAGCTGCGCGGCGCGATCTCGTGGACGCGTTTGGCTCCACGCGATTGATGAGAGCCTACCTTTTGGCGTACCACGCCGTGCCAAACGCCACGTACACGATGTCACAGCTCGAACAACTTCGTGGCGACGATCGCTTTCTCGAAGATTATCTCAACAACGTCATGCCGCTGTACGTGGTCGAACAGAAGGCGAACGGTGTGGTAATCTCAGGACTCGGGTCCGACGCGCGAATCGTCGAAGCGGATATTCGCGCGTGCGGGGCCATTTTGCACTCGATCGATCACGTCTTGCTCCCGTTCGACGGCGACGACGAGTTCGACGGCGAACAGGTATCAGCATTGATCTCGGCCACGGACGCGCTTCGCAAGCGATACGGCCAACCGCCGCTCACCGCCGAAGAGAAGACCTCGATTCAGTCTTCCGACGACCCAGTCGACGCCGTCGGCGCCGTCGACATCGAATCCGTCCCGTCGGCGTGGACCGAAGCGGCGTACGAATACGAAGACGACGATTAAAAGAGTCACCGAGTACTTTTACCCTTTGCGATGATTCATTCACCGACATTTCATCAGACGCTCGCCGAACGCTCCGAAAACCTCAGTCCCGCCCGCGTCGGCGTCCCCCACACACCGGCGCGCGTCCTCGTCGTCATGGCGAGCGGCCTTCGCACGCTCGCGCGCGTCACGCTCGCAAGGCACCCACGCGCGTGTCCTCACGCGTACGGACGCGTGCTCGCGAGCGCGGCGTCGAATAGAAAGCTCGCACTGGCCACCCCAGTGACGGACAGAAATGCGCCGACGATACCGTCTGCGCGGACGTGCGGGGCGCGAATCGCGGTGCGAACGCGCGCGACGACGTCGTATCCGTCGTGCGCGACGATGAAAACTATGCCCAAGCCCGGAAAACGACACGGAGACCTGCCGAAGAACTTTGAGCACCAAAACGTGGAGGAAAACCTGTACGAGTGGTGGGAGTCGCGCGGATACTTTGCCCCGAACGATGAGACGGCCACGGGACCGCCGTTCGTGATCCCGATGCCGCCACCGAATGTCACGGGAGCGCTGCACATGGGACACGCGATGTTCGTGACGCTGCAGGACGTGATGACTCGAAGCGCGCGAATGCGTGGTCGCAAGACGCTGTGGCTGCCGGGGACGGACCACGCGGGCATCGCCACGCAATTGGTCGTGGAGAGAAAGTTAGAGAGCGAGGGAGTGAAACGAACGGATATGACGCGCGATGAGTTCGTGGAGCGAGTGTGGGAGTGGAAGGCCGAGTATGGGGGACGGATTCAGCAGCAGATTAAGAGGTTGGGGGCGTCTTGCGATTGGTCTCGCGAGAGATTTACGCTCGACGAGGGGTTATCTGAGAGCGTGCTCGAGGCATTCATCACGCTGCACGATCGCGGTCTCATTTATAAAGGAACCTACATGGTGAACTGGGCGCCGAAGTTGCAAACCGCGGTGAGTGACTTGGAGGTCGAGTACACCGAAGAGCCGGGGACGTTGTACTTTTTCAAGTACCCGGTCGAGGGCGGCGGCGCGGACGACTACCTTCCGGTGGCAACGACGCGTCCGGAAACGATTCTTGGTGACACTGCAGTCGCGGTCAACCCAGAAGACGATCGCTTCAAGCACATGATCGGGAAGAGATGCGTCGTGCCCTTCACCAACGGTCGCACCGTGCCCATCATCGGCGACTCGTACGTGGACATGGAATTCGGCACGGGGGCGTTGAAGATCACGCCGGGACACGACCCGAATGATTACGAAATCGGCAAGCGTGTGGGCTTGGATTTGATCAATATTATGAACAAAGATGGTTCCATGAACTCTAACTGCGGCAAGTATGCCGGCATCGATCGCGCGGATTGCCGAAAGCAACTCTGGGCGGATATGGAGGCGGAAGGTTTAGCAATCAAGGCGGAGCCGTATACGAACCGCGTGCCTCGCTCGCAGCGGGGTGGCGAAATCATCGAACCAATTGTTTCTGAGCAATGGTTCTGTAAGATGGAAACCATGGCGGAGCCCTCGCTGAAGGCTGTGGAGACTGGCGAACTCACCATCATCCCGCAGCGTTTTGAGAAAATTTACAAGTCTTGGTTGACGGATATCCGAGATTGGTGCATCTCGAGACAGCTGTGGTGGGGTCATCAAATCCCAGTGTGGTACGTGCACGATTCTGAAGAAGATCTCGCGCGTGCGAGAGAGGGGGAAGGTAAAGGCACGAATAAGCGATACGTAGTGGCGCGAAATGACGCCGACGCCGCAGAAAAAGCGAAGGCGCAATACGGCGAAAACGTCGTGTTGTACCGTGAAGAAGACGTGCTCGACACTTGGTTTTCTTCTGGTCTGTGGCCGTTCAGCACGTGTGGGTGGCCCAACGAAGAAGCTCCTGACATGAAAAATTTCTTTCCGGCGAGCGTGCTTGAGACTGGGCACGATATTTTATTCTTTTGGGTGGCGCGTATGATCATGATGTCGTACGGGATGACGGGGAAATTACCCTTCCACACTGTCTTTCTCCACGGCCTCGTCCGCGATTCGCAAGGTCGCAAAATGAGCAAATCGCTTGGTAACGTCGTGGATCCGTTAGGCGTCATCGCTGAGCAAGGCTGCGACGCTTTACGATTCACGCTCGCCACCGGCACCACGCCCGGTCAAGACTTGAACTTGAACCTCGAACGTTTGGCGTCGAACAGAAACTTCACCAACAAGATTTGGAACGCCGGTAAGTTTGTGCTGTATAGTATGGAGGACATGACAGACGATGAGCGCATGGCGCTCGTCGACGAAGGTGCTGCGCTTTGCGCCGATGAAGCGTCAATTGCCGAGCTTCCGCTCGCCGAGCGTTGGATCGTGAGCAAATTGAACGCGACGGTGGATCACGTCACCGCCGCGCAAGACAAGTACGACTTTGGTGAGGCTGGTAGATCGACGTACACGTTCTTCTACGACTCCTTTGCCGATTGGTTCATTGAAGGCGCTAAAAGTCGCACGTACGGAGACGATGCCGACGCCGCGCGAGTCACCAAAGCGGTGACGCTGTACGTTTTGGATCAAACGCTTCGATTGCTCCACCCATTCGTGCCGTACGTGACGGAGGAAGTTTGGCAAGCGCTTCCGCATCGCGGCGAGGCGTTGATAGGCCAAGACTGGCCCGCGCTTGAAGCTTACGTGGACAAATCCGCAGTGTCGACGTTTGAAAACTTACAATCGATCGTCACGCGTATTCGCAACGCGCGCGCCGAGTACTCGGTGGAGCCGGCGAAGCGTATTCCCGCCGTCATCGTAGCGACGGATGCCGAAGCGAACGCGGCGTACAGCGCCGAGTTGAATCTTATCGCCACGCTCGCGCGTTTAGACGCCGAGCAAACGTCCGTCGCGAGCGCGCCACCCACCGAAGTCGCGAGCGCGCCGGAGAATTTCGTTCAAATCATCGTCAACGAAAGCCTGGAGGTGTACTTGCCGCTCGCGGGTCTCGCGGATCCGGTTAAAGAAATCGCCCGCCTCACGAAGCAAGAGACAAAGATGCAAAAGGAAATCGATGGGCTGGCTGATCGCGTCAACTCGCCCGCGTTCGTCGACAAAGCCCCCGCGGCGGTCGTAGAAAAAGCGCAGAAGGAGTTGAGCGAGTTGCAAGAGCAACTCGCCGTCGTTCGATCTCGCATCGAACAAATGCAGGCGCTCGTCGCCAAGTGAGCGCCGCGCGCGTATCGCACGCCACCCCCGTATCGCGCTGGCACACGTTGTTAATGATCGCACATAAGATCCTTTAGTCATGGTTATACACGTCGTTTCATGAATCACAAAAATTCCAAAGGCGGATACTAAGAATACTCAACTCGTTCAAAAATGTGCGCGCCGCGCGAAATCGGCGTCGACGCCGATCTCGCGCGCGCGCGATGTATTACGCGTTATTACCCGCTCACCCACTCGCCGAGGATGCCCGTCCGGTGCTCAACTCTTGCGCCTCGAGCAAGAGAAGAGAGTTGAACGACCCTCGATACCTCCGCCCCGCGGCGCCGATGGCCCCCGCGTCTTCGTTAACCTCCGAGCTATGCACCGTCACCACCGCTCTCGGCGACGACGGCGCGTGCGCGCGCGTCCGCGTCCTCCCACACGCCATCATCTCGTAAAGCTCCCCGTCCTCGCCTCGCACGTAGCTCTCGCTCTTTTCCCCCGCGTGCACCGCGATCGCCCGCGCCGGAATCGTCCGCGCCTCCTCCGTCGTCAGCGCGCTCAAAACCTCCGTGCTTCCGTGTTGTCGCCCGAACGTCCGCGCCTCGTCGGCGTCGTACATCATCTCCCGTCCGTGGCCGCCGTGACTCGAGCTTCCGTAATTCCCGGACCGCTCGCTCGTCGACGCGTCCCTCGCGCGTCCCGACGCCGACGCGTCGCCCCCCCTCGCGCCGTCCTCGCTCGTCCTCGCGCTCGCGCTCGCCTCGCGCGTCTCGATCGCCGCCGTCAGCGCGCTCGCGCGCTTCCCGAATCCAAACACCATCGTATGCGCGTCCGCCGTCGCGTCGCGTGCGTCGTCGCGCGTCGCGTCGCGTCGTCGTCGGCGTCCCCGCGCGACCCTCGTCCGACCCTCGTCGTCGTCGTCGTCGCGCGCGCGTCCTCGCGGTCTCGCGGTCGCGCGCGCGCGGGCTCGGTCGCGCGCGTCTCGCGCTCGAGCGCGCGTCGCGCGGTGACGACGCGACGATCGACGGACGCGTCCTCGACGATCGCGGAATGGCATGGGCGAAAAAGTGCACTTTTTGCGACAAAATCGAGTCGAGACTGAAACGCCATACGATTGACCGATTGAAAGATCTCGCCGACAGGCGCGCGAAGGCTCACGACGCGAAGGCGGCGCGAACGTCGGCCTCGCGTCGGCGGCGCGCTAAATCTCGCGCGAGAACGACGGCGTCGATGACCCTGTCGCGAACGCGGGGATTGGGACACGCGAAGAGGCGCTGGGGGACGTCGGGATCGACGACGCCGAGGAGGGCGCGGGCGACGCCCGACGCGAGCGACGCGTCCTCGACGGGCTCGAAGGACGCGATCGCGGCGAGGGGGACGTCCAGGACGGGGACGGAGGGATCGGCGTCGGAATACGCGCGGAGGGAGTGGGCGTCGAGGACGAGACGGACGTCGAGGACGTCGTCGGGAGGGGCGTCGTCGGAGGCGAAGAGGAAGCGCTCGTCGAAGACGCGCGGCGACGGGACGAAGTGCTTGACGATGCCGTGGGAGGTGGCGTAGACGTCGTTGTGCGGCTCGTTGGCGAGCGCTAAGCCGACGTAAATGGCGGCGGCGACGGCGTAGTCCTTGGACAACGGTGCGAGCGACGCGTCTTGCGGGTACAAGCGCGCCATCGACGCGTACTCGACGCTCAGCGCGTACACGGCGGTGCCTAAATTATACGCCGCGCGATCGAAACTCGGATCGAGTCTGAGCGCGCGTCGAAACTTGCGCACACCCGCGCTGAGCGACCGCACGCGCTCCTCTCGAGCCCTCTGCGTCGCCTCCAAACTCTTCGCCGCGCGTTCGAAATCCACGCACGCCGCGCGACTCTGATACGCCAAACCGAGATTATTCAACCCTTGCGTCGCCTGCTGCGTCGACACCGTCCCGCTCGCCGTCGTTCTCGACGCTCTTTCGTACTTATCTATCGCCTCGTCCCACAGTTTCCTCGCCGCGTCTCCGTCGCCTCGCGTCGTCGCTCGCTCCGCGCGGTCGCCCAACGCGATGCCCCAGTTATACAGCACCCCGTGTCGCTCTCCGTCCATCTCCGCCGCCCTACCGTACGCTTCGCACGCCCGGAGCGTTAATTCCTCGCGCAGCGCGCCGTCGTCGCCTCGGTTCTCGCATCGTTCGGCTTGTTCCTGCAGCACGCTCGCGTATTCGTACAACCGCGCCGTCGCGCGCGCGTCCCCGCCCTCGGTCGCCGTCTCCGTCCGATTTCGCAGCGCTTTTCGCAGCGCCTCGGCGCGAGAGTTCAGCGCGCGGTCTCGCGCGCTCTCGCGCTCGCGTCCGATGCGCGTGGCGACGCCGCCGGGGACGATGCCGGCGTAGCGCTTCGCCGCGAGCGTTCGCGTCGATCCGATGTGGCGCTCGTGCAGCGCGCTCGCGCCGGTCGGCGTCGACGACGACGGCGACGCGGCGCCGGCGTCGGCGTCGGCGTCGGCGTCGGCGCGCATGGCGCGCGCGAGAGTGCGGATGCGGAGAGGCTACGGTTAGGAATTGGATTGATAAACGACGCGACGCGGACGAGCGAGACGCGAAGGCGAACGCGGCGTCAGAGCCCGGGCCAAGAGCGCCTCGGCGATGGAAGCTCCGCGATCTCTTCGCCGCCGGCGATGTGGAACAGCTGCCGCGGCGTCGGTGGATCGATGGCGAGGACGTCCATGTCGTGACGAACGCCGTCCTTGACGACGTACATCGACGTCGGCGAGATAAATTCTAAGGCTGGATGCCACGTGCGGTTGTTCGCGGCGGTGCTGTGGATTTGGATCCCGGTGACGACGGCGTAATCAGATTTGGTCACGTCCACGGTCTCGCCGATGAGCTTGTCGAGATCGCGACGGATGACGCGGTCGGCGAGACGCGTGACGTCGGAGAGGGGCAAGCCTTTGTCAGGGATTTCATCCTTGTTCACCGCGGTGATCAAGCGCCTGGTGAGGATGGAGAACTCCGGATCGAGCGGGTCGTGTCCGCCCTCGTCCAAACCCATCTCCAGCGTGCCCTCTTTGTACTGCTTGAACATCGGTTGCATCTTCACGAGCGCCCCGCACGCGCACGACTGTCCCCGACGCCCCGCGCGCACGATGCTCCCCACGCGCCCTTCCGCGTCGATCGCGATGTGCGGCATGGCGAACAGCACGTACCGCTCCTTCCCGGTCAAGTGATCGGTGGGCGAGTGACTCAATCCCGCCCCCAACCCCGTGGTCCCCGCGGAGATGATCCCTCCCAACCCGTCCAAATCCATCGAATATCCGAAAATGTCGTCGATGGCGTTCTTCAGCGGAAACGTGATCTCGTCCCGACACAGGCTCGTCAGCGCGATGGAATTATCCGTCGTGAACCCGAATCGTCGCAGCATCACCTCCGTTCGGAACAGGAAATCGTCCATGCCGATCGCGTTCGGGAACTCCTTCGTCACCGCCTCGACGCGTTCGCGCAGGTACGACACTCGACTGTGCTGCAGCTCGGGATCGATGTCGAACCCGCCGTACTCGTGAAATCGCGGGCCGTGCGGCGCGACCGGGTGTTGCCCTCGCATCGGGCCCTGCGCGCGCGGCATCGCGCGCGTCGTCGCGTCGCGTCGCGCGCGACTCGTCGCGTCGCGCCGTCGCGCCGTCGCGCGCGCGTTCGCGTCCCGTCGCGCGCTCGCGCGTCGCGCCGCGCGCGTCGGCGCGACGGCGGCGGACGCGGACGCGATCGTCGGCGCGGTGCGCATCGCGCGCGCGCGTGTGCGGGGACGCGCGCTGCGGCGCGGCGAGGTTTGGCGTGGAGGTTTGGCATGGAAAAAAAGCGCGCGACGGGGGCCTCTATGGCAAACAGTGCGAAGGTGGATTAAATGAAGGCGCGAAGCGCGCGTCGAGTCGCTCACGCGCGGTACACGTGCACGCGACCGCTCGCGGTGCCGGCGGCGACGTAATTGAGCGAGCGATGACACGCCAGACGACTGGCGATGGCGGTCATGTGGTCGGGAGAGGCGTAACGCGCGAGCGACGCGCCGGTGGCGGGGTTGAAAATTTCGACTTGACGCGTCATGGAACCGCACAAGACGCCGTCGCCGGCGGCGGACCAGACGGCGCGGAAGGGAAGGACCCAACGACCGGTTTGATTGTTGTGCTTGATGGTGGCGGTGGGCGCGGCGGCGGATCGGTCGGGGTGCCAGACGCGGAGGGCGTCGTCGTAACACGTCGTGAGGAGCGCGCCGGAGCCGTCGGGACACCAATACGCCGCTTGGGACGATTTTCGATGGACCAGATCGTGCGTGGACTTGGCGTTCTTTTTCAACTTTCGCGCGTCCCAGACGCTGACGAGCTGATTCGTGGAAGTGGCGAATCGGTGCTCGTTGCCGGGATCGATGTGCACGGTGTTGATCTTCTTCTCGTGAATCGACAGGCTCGGGGACGTGAATTTACCCACGCGCAGATCCAGTTGATGCAAGTTACCGACGTTATCGCACACCAATGCGGTGTTGCCGTCGGCGAATTGGTCGCACGCCGAGAATTCGTCCTCCTCGGAGTAGACGGTTTCCTGAAACGAACCGGTTTGCGGATCGAGGACGCGAACCGCGCCGTCGTACGCGCACGTGAAGAGCTTCCCTCGCAAGGCGCCGCGGCCCCATTTGCAGTGCGAGATGTACGACCCGTGGGCTTTATAGTACAACACCCCGTCGTCCTCGTCCTCCTCCTCCGACGTCGTCTTATCGACGCGCCACAAACCGATGTGTCCCTCCTTATCTCCCGACGCCACGAGAAGCATGGACTCGTCGGGGGAAAAGTCCAAGTGCGTCACACCCTTGGGCACGCACTTCGCGACGTCCACGTCGCGCAGCGTGAGCTTATTCTTGATCATCTCTCGCACGCTCGCCGTCGCCTCCTTCGCCTCCTTCGTCTCGCCGACGTGCGCCCCCATCTTCGTCTTCAACTCCTCGATGAACGCCGCGTCCGTCTTCTCGCTCCCGTTTTCACTCCGCATCGCCACCTCACCGCTCGGTCGCGTCCTCGTCGGCGCCGCCGTGAGTTCGCCGCTCGGATGATACGTCGCCCCGTTCGCGAGCACCACCGTCCCGTCGCGCCGCTCTCGATCCACCCCGCTCGCCAACTCCGGCGCGATCTTCCTCGCCCGGCTCGACCGTCGCGTCGGCACGCTCGGCGCGCTCGCTTTATCCCGATTTCGCTTCCCCGTGATCCCTCGCGACGACGCCGCGCTCCCGCGAGACGCCGCGCCGACGCCCGCGCTCAGCGCGTTGATGTTCAACGCCTCCATCCTCGCCTTATTCCGCGCGATGTGCGCCTCTCGCGCGCGTTCGAACGCCGTGAGTCCATCGTTCGATCCATCGTCGTTCGCGCGCGCGTCGTCGTCGTCGCGCGTCACCGCCTCGGTCTTCATCGCGTCGCCGCTCGGCGCTTTCGAATCGTCCCTCGCCGCGTCGCTCGTCGTCGCGTTCGCGTCGACGTCGCGCAGGATCGCGCGCGCCGCGTCGCGACGCGGTCTCGGCATCGCTCGTTCGACGCGTCGCCGCGATCGTCGCGCGTCGCCGGGCGACGCGGAGTGCGGCGGCCGGCCATCCGTCGACGTCGACGCCGCACTCGCGACCGCGACGCGACGATCGCGGCGACGCGTCGCGGACGCGTCGAGAGAGGACGACGCGCGCGCGCGATTTCGATGCTTCCGCGCGGCGCGCGCGTCGCGCGCGCGTCGGCGCGCGCCGCGCGACGCGATGATTTCGCGCGCCGCCGCTTCGGCGCGGCGAAACCGACGGCGCGACGACGCGCGACGACGACGCGCGACGAGGGGGCGCCGCACGCGAGCGTGATGATGGACGAGGTGCTGGAGGCGTTCAGGGACGTGCGCGCGCGAACGCACGTGGACGGGACGCTGGGCGCGGGTGGACACGCGCGAGCGATGATCGAGGCGCACGAGGAGATGGAACACTTCGTCGGGTTCGACGTCGACGCGTCGGCGCACGCGCTGGCGAGGCCGAGGCTGGAGCGGGCGAGGGCGGCGACGCGAGGCGACGAGGCGACGACGACGCTGCGGTTGAGTCTGGTGGAGGCGAATTTTAGACGGATGCGCGAGGCGCTCAGAGCGCTCGACGTCGACGGGGTGGACAGCGTCGTGTTAGATCTCGGGGTGAGCTCGATGCACCTCGATCGCGCCGAGCGTGGGTTTTCGTTCATGAACGATGGACCGCTGGACATGCGCATGGGGGAGAGCGCGACGACGACGGCGGAGGAAATCGTCAACGCGTGGCCGGAGGAAGAGATCGGTAGGATTTTGCGCGAATACGGCGAGGAAAAACACTGGCGATTGTTGGCGAGACGGATATGCGAGAGACGGGCGGAGAAGGAGATTAGGACGACGCGCGAGCTCGTGGACGCCATCGGCAACGTGCCGGGGAAGTGGGGGTCGATTCATCCCGCCACGCGCACGTTTCAAGGCATACGAATCGCGGTGAACGATGAGTTGGGCGCCGTCGAAGACGTCATTCCGGCCGCGATCGAGGCGCTGCGACCGGGCGGACGTTTAGCCATCATATCGTTTCACAGTTTGGAGGATTCCATCGTGAAGAGGCGGTTTCGCCACTTCGCGGGACGCGCGGAACCGCCGAGCGAGGAGGTGAATCGATACATGCCTCAACCCGAGGCGCCGCCGAAAATCGTGAAATTGATCACGCGTAAGCCCAAAGTGCCGACGAGCGCCGAGATCGACGTCAACGTGCGAAGTCGGAGCGCGAAGCTGCGCGTGTGCGAAAAGTTGTAGCAGAGCGGCGGCGTCCACGTCGCGGGCGCGCGGGGAACAAAACGCGCCGCGGGCGACGAAAACACTTGTAATGTATGATAGTGTGTGTAAAGGATCGTATGATAGTGTCCGGACCGTAAAACGACGCGCGCGGATCGCGTACATGCCCGTCGTGCTCGTTTCTTTTTCGTAACCGACGGTGTTTCGTATCATGCTGTAACACGGGTTGCGGGCGAGCGGCGCGATACGTCTCGACGATGTTCAATCACCCGCTCGCGCGCCGCCCGCCGAGCCCCCGGCGACGCGACGGCGCGACGGTCGGACGTATCGGGCGGGAAAAGTAAACGTTCATATTGTGATGACAAGTTCGTGCAGTCATCGTAAAGTGGTGGCGCGTCACCGCGAGTCAGTGCCTCGAGCGGTGCATGCGCGACAGTGCGACGGCGCCGCGGGCTCAGTACTCCGTCTCTTCGACAAAATCTGAAACACCAGATTGCGATGATGATCCAACTTCTTCATAATCTTTTTCAAGCGCCGCGAGATCTTCCCGTGCCTCTGAGAACTCGCCCTCCTCCATGCCCTCGCCGACGTACCAATGCACGAACGCGCGCTTCGCGTACATCAAGTCAAACTTGTGGTCGAGTCGCGAAAACACTTCGGCGATGGCCGTCGAGTTGGAAATCATGCACACGGCGCGTTGCACCTTGGCGAGATCGCCACCCGGCACGACGGTCGGCGGTTGGTAGTTGATCCCGCACTTGAACCCGGTCGGGCACCAATCGACGAATTGAATCGTGCGCCTGGTCTTGATGCTCGCCACGGCGGCGTTGACGTCCTTGGGCACGACGTCGCCGCGGTACATCAAGCAGCACGCCATGTACTTGCCGTGACGCGGGTCGCACTTGGCCATCATGCTCGCCGGTTCGAACGCGCTGTTCGTCACCTCCGCGACGGACAACTGCTCGTGGTACGCCTTCTCGGCGGAGATCACCGGGGCGTAGCTCGACAACATGAAGTGAATGCGCGGGTACGGCACCAAGTTGGTTTGGAATTCCGTGACGTCGACGTTCAACGCGCCGTCGAATCGCAGAGACGCGGTGAGCGAAGAGATGACCTGCGCGATCAAGCGGTTCAAGTTGGTGTACGTCGGGCGCTCGATGTCCAAAGACCTGCGGCAGATGTCGTACACGGCTTCGTTGTCCAACATCACCGCGACGTCGGTGTGCTCGAGCAGCGCGTGCGTGGACAGCACAGAGTTGTACGGCTCCACCACCGCGGTGGAGACTTGCGGCGAGGGGTAGATGGTGAACCCGAGCTTGGACTTTTTGCCGTAATCCACGGACAAGCGCTCGAGGAGCAACGAGCCGAGACCCGAACCCGTGCCGCCGCCGACGGCGTTGAAGACCAAAAAGCCTTGCAAACCCGTGCAGTTGTCCGCCAACTTACGAATGCGATCGAGGGCCAAGTCCACGATTTCCTTGCCGATCGTGTAGTGACCGCGCGCAAAGTTATTCGCGGCGTCTTCCTTGCCCGAGATCAACTGCTCGGGGTGGAACAGCTGACGGTACGCCCCCGTGCGCACCTCGTCGATCACCGTCGGCTCGAGATCGAGAAAGATGCATCGCGGCACGTGCTTCCCGGCGCCGGTCTCGGAGAAGAACGTGTTGAACGCGTCATCAGACGCCCCGATCGTCTTGTCGCTCGGCATTTGCCCACTGGCGATCGAAATCGGTCAATCAGTCAGTCGCTCGGCTCGGTCAACGAAAGCGGCGCTATTTTCGGCGTCGCGCGCGCGTCGCGCTATCCCTGAACCACCCGCCCGAACCCGCGAGCGTCGCGCCCGCGGATCCCGACATCCATCGCGTCCATCGCGTCGCGTCGCGTCGCCTCTCGCTCGACGCACTCCGGCTGGATCCCGTGTTCGAGGCAGTACAACTCCCAGCACGAGTTCCCGGTTTGCACCCCGGCTTGACCGATGTGAATGGAGATCACCTCGCGCATGTCGTCTCGGCGAAGAATTCAAAGTCGTTGGAACGCTGGAAGTCGCGCGATGCGGTCGGCGCGATGCGGTCGATCGAGCGGGCGTCGAGCGAGATGAGGTCGCTGCGATGGCGCGCCGGAGAATGGCGGACGCGCGCCGGACGCGAACCGTCGCGTTGACGCGCGCGGGGTCGTTTTTTACCACACACGGCGTTTTTTTGTGTAATATATGCAGAGTACCCCTACGCTTGAGTCGCGACCCGTCCCGTCGACGCGAGGATCGTGGACGATGAAGATTCGGACGCGCGGCGGCGCGCGGACACTTCGCGACGCGTCCGATGCAGCGCCCGACGGCGGTGCGCGGCGGTGGCGCCTTCGGCGCCCCGCACGGGGCCCCGTTCGGCGGCGCGCACGCCCCCACGAGGCTCGGACGCGCGTTTCGAAGCGTAGACTTTTATCGCAAACTCCCGCGCGACATGACGGAGGGCACGGTGAGCGGGAGCGTGATATCCATCTTCGCCGCGGTGTTGATGACGTTTCTGTTGCTCAGCGAACTGCGGAGTTACTCGTCGAGCTCGTTCGACACCAAGGTGGTGGTGGATCGGAGCGTGGATGGGGAATTGCTGCGAATCAACTTTAATCTTTCGTTTCCCGCGCTGTCGTGCGAGTTCGCGAGCGTGGACGTCGGCGACGCCCTGGGATTGAATCGGTTCAATCTCACGAAGACGGTGTTTAAGCGGGCGATCGACGCGGACATGCGAGCGATCGGGCCGCTGCAGTGGGACCGAGCGGTGGACGAGGTGCTCAAGGCGAGCGACGAGGAGACGACGCGCGCCGAGGAGAGGGTGGCGCGGCACAAGGAGGCGCTCAAGGTGCTGCAGGAGTCGAATAGGCCCGCGGATGGGCACGCGCACGTGGTGTACGAGATCGCGGATCTGGACGAACTGCAAGCGATGGTGAAGGATCCGACGCACGCGGTGGTGTTGGTGAATTTCTACGCGCCGTGGTGTCCGTGGTGTCAGAGGCTCGAGCCCGTGTACGAAGCCGCGGGGCTCGCGGTGCACGAAAAGTACCCGCCCGGGACGAAGTCGCGCGTGCTGTTCACGAAGATTGATTGCGTGGTGCACGAAAAGTTTTGCATGGCGCAAGTCGTGACGGGATACCCCACGATTCGCATTTTCACTCACGGCACCGACATTTTGATGCACGAGGGCAAGCGCGAGCACGCGTTTTACAAGGGTCCGCGCACGGTGGATGGGCTGACGCAGTTTGTGGACACGCTCGTGCCACCGCCGGAGCCGGTGGGTGAGTCGAGCATAGAGGCGGCGCAGGAGGAAAACATGAAGCTTCGGCTTCCGGCGAGCGTCGATATGCAAAAGCGCATCATCGGCCCGGGGTGCGCCATCACCGGTTTCGTGCTCGTGAAGAAAGTTCCCGGGCACTTGTGGATCAGCGCGTCCTCTCCGGATCACTCGTTCCACGGTGAAACGATGAACATGACGCACGTCGTCAACCACTTTTACTTTGGACATCAACTCAGCGACGAACGTAGACGTTACCTGGAAAAGTTTCACGCCGGAGAAAAAGCGGGCGACTGGCACGACAGACTCGCGAGCGAGCGCTTCGTCTCCAACGCCGCGCACGTCTCTCACGAGCACTATTTACAAACCGTCCTCACGACCATCACTCCGCGCGGGCGATACACCCTTCCGTTCAGCGTGTACGAGTACACCCAGCACTCTCACGCCGTGCACGAACCGCTTCCAAAGGCAAAGTTTCATTACCAACCGAGCCCGATGCAAATCGTCGTCTCCGAGGAAAAGATGGCGTTTTACTCATTCATCACCAGTCTCATGGCCATCATCGGCGGCGTGTACTCCGTCATGGGCATCGCCGACGGCGTTTTGTTCAACTCACTCGCCCTCGTGCGCCGCAAGCTCGAGCTCGGCAAGCAAGGTTAACCGACGATTTAATAATCACGCTCGTCTCGCCGCGCGCCTTCGTCGCCGAGCGCCAACCGTCGCGCGCCACAATGGCCCCGCCGCCCAAACGCACGCGCCTGGCCGAAAAGCCTCGCGCGGGGACGTGCGCGCTCGCGGACCGCATCGCGCGATGCGCCATCGATGCCTACGCCGCGCAGCGCGCGTCGTGCGGCGTCGACGTCGCTGAGTTTCCCGTGCGCACCGTGCTCGCCGCCTTCATCTTACGCGACGACGCGCGCGATTCCCTGCGCGTCCTGTCGCTCGGCGTCGGCACGAAAACACTGGGACGGTACGCGTGCACCACCGGACGCGCGCTCGTGGACTGCCACGCGGAGGTGCTGGCGCGGCGAGGGTTGAAGAAGTTTTTGCTGCGGGACGCGCGCGCGGCGCTTCGCGGCGGCGACGCGAACGACGGCGATGTCGTCGTGCGGACGCGCGAAGGCGACGTCAAGGTTAAGGATGGCCTGAGCTTACATTTATACGTCAGTTCGGCGCCGTGCGGAAACGCGTGCGTGCGGCGGTGGGCGAAAGGACGGTCGACGAAACGACGGGACGAGCTCGGGACGGCGAACGCGCCGAGCGAACCGCACGAGACGTTGAGTCGATCGGCGACGGATGCGGGGCAGGTGGCGCTGTGCGTCAAAGTCATCAAGGCGAGCAAAGACGAAGACGTCCCTGAGGTCTTGCGCGATATGGTGACGCGCGGGGAGCTCGCGGCGGGGACGGCGCCGGCGCGCGGAGACGGCGACGAGGCGTTGACGTGTAGCGACAAGTTGTGCGTGTGGAACGTGGTCGGGTATCAAGGCGCGCTGCTGCGACGGTTCATGCGCGAACCTTTGTACGTGGAGACGATTACTATCGGACGAAAGTTTTCCGAGCCGCACTTGTGTCGAGCGATGTGTTGTCGCGTGGATGGGTTTCGCTCGTCGTGCGGCGGCTTCGCGACGACGCATCCCGCGTTGATGGAAACCGCCGTGGTGTTCGACGACGTACCGATGGACGTGGAAGAGGGGGCAGTGTTTGAAAACCCGTTCGCGATGATATGGTGCGACGGCGACGACGCGGCGGAGGCGTTGAACGGGAAAACGGGGACGTTTCTTCACGAAGACGCGAGCGCGCCTTCGACGTCCAAGGCGGCGCTGTACGAGTTGTATTTAAGTCTGCTCGGCGAAGACGTCGGGGATTCGCCGACGTTTACGCTTGAGGCGTACGCGCGCGCGAAGCGCGAAGCCGACGAAAAATACGACGCCGCAAAGACAGAGTTATTCGAGCACCCAAAAATGTTCGAGCCACGACGAGGCTTTGACGGATGGCACGAGAAAAAGTCAAAGCGCTGGTCCGGGTATAAGCGAACCGCGTCGCGGAATTAGGTGATACTGTAGACAGCTTTTAGTTATTAGCACTCCTTGAGAATTACAAACAACGACTAGTCTCTCACGGCACGGCTGAGAACGAACACTCACCCGTGGCGGGGATGTACAGCAAGAACGACCCGTCGTCGGAAAAGCATCCGGGATTCGCGAGCGAAGTCTCCTCAAAGTTGGCCAGCGATTGTTGCTCGGTTCGATCGCCTAAGAAAATACAGTTTGGCGCCGGATACAACCACAACGAGTGGTCGTATTCCCAATAAATCGGGCTTTGTGTGATCGGTAACGGGCATAAGTGCGCCTGCTGCACCATGGTAGCCGCGAGATGCTTGAACACCGGGCGGTTCGCCCACTCGTCGCCGGGCGCGATTTCCGGCAGTTTATCGTCGTCGGGCGGCATCAAACAGTTTCTGCGCATCTTCGCCTGCAAGTCGTCGCGAAAGAACACGAGATCTTGCGAAAAGTATCTAATTTTTGCCGGGTTACTCGCGAATTGCGCGCGCGGAACCTTCTCCAGCAGAGAACCGATGACGGATGATTGCAATCCCGGGCGCGGAAGCGCGGCGTTCAAACCGGGATCGCCCGGACCAGGGATGAAGACGAACCGACTTTCCTGTCGCAAGCGCGGATATTCCTCCAGCAACTCCGCGAGTTTGTCAAAGCCTTCGGTATACGCGCGAAAGTCGTAGTGCGTCGGGCCGAACGGTTTCGATGTGAAATCTCCCATGAAGACAATCAATCCCGGCACGTCTTCCTCTTGCGAGTCAAACGCGTCAAACATTTTTGCCAATCTATCAAAAGTGCGTGGTTGGTCGAGCCAAACGTCCGACAACACGATAAACCTCTCACCGACGCGTTCAAGTTCCTTCTCTTCGAGCTCCTCCAGCTCGTTCGGTCGCAAGATGTGCCCCGCGCCGAAGAAATCCAAAGCGTTCGTCGCGTTTCTCGTCGCCGCTCGCGTCTCCGCCGGGGGAAACGTCAACGCCATGACCTCAAACACCCCGTCCGGTCGCACCTCACCCTGCGCGATCACGATGCAATTCTCCGTGAACAACCCCGCGCTGCGCTCGCACGCCGTCAAATCAACTCGCACCGTCCCCGTCAAATCCTCCATGTAAAACCGTTCGTCCTCCAATTGACTCAAACATCCCATGATAAACTTCGTCTCCTTGCTCACCCCTAACAACGACTGAATCGACGTCAACTCCGCGATGCCCTCGGTCGAGGACGTCTGCAACGTCGGCTTCGCGAACTGCCTTGACCGCGACAAGCGCTGCTGCAACAACAAGAACCGATCCCTATACAAGTCGATTTTCGACTCGGCGGCGCTCTCAATCTTCGCCGTCTTGCTCGCCTCATCAAACATCCGTCGCTGCGAATCATACGCGTATCTTTTCGTCTTAAACGCGTCACATATCGTCAAACCATCGCTGTGCACCATCGCCGCCGCCGTCTCCGTCATCGCTTCGCCCTCGTCGTCTTCGCCGCCGTCGACGTCCATCTCTCGCGCGCCGCGCTCGACCGCCTCGATCGTCCCTTCCGCCAATCCTCTCTCGATCGCCGATTCAATCGTCGCTTTTTGCAGCACACCGCTGGACAGTTCCGTGCGCGATAGCGTTTTCAACACCTGGTCCACCGCTTCGCGCTCGCTCGTCGCGGGCGCGACGTGCGCGACGTGTTTTAAGACGGCGCGCATGGCGTCACCCATCAGGGACAAACCGTGGAGTTTGAAGCGTTCGTTCACCATGGACGCCAAAGCGCGGTCGTGCGTCGCCGCGGGCATGGCGGACGAGCGCGCGCCGCGCGGTGCGCGCGATGCGGCGCGACGCGCGAGGGAGTGTGCGGCGCGAGCGAAGCATCGGTGGCTGACAGCTGAAAATTTTGAAAAAAAAATTTGAATTCTATTACAACGCGGACGACGACGACATCAGAGGACGCGTCACGAGCGTGTGCGCGTGCATCACAAATGAGCGTCCTTGACGCGCCATTGCTTAGACTCTTTGATTTTTTCGTACTTGGCGAGCCAATCTGGGACAGCCTGACCGGCGTCTCGAGCGATTTTGCACAGCGCCGGGGTGCAGGGCTTGTCGTAATCGACGTTCCAAAACGTGACGGCGGCGCCGAGTTCGCCGGCGCGGCCGGTTCGACCGATTCTGTGGACGTAACTCTCAACGTCGCGCGCCATGTCGTAATTGATGACGTGGGTGACGCCCTTGATGTCTAAACCGCGCGCGGCGACGTCGGTGGCCATCATGAGCGGCGCCTTGTTTTCGACGAATTTGCGCAGAGACGCCTCGCGGTCGGCTTGAGATTTATCGCCGTGCACGGAGACGGTGCCGAAACCTTCCGCGGCGAACGTTTTCGCCAGATTTTCGACGCGACGCTTGGTATTCGCGAACACGACGACGCGAGACTCGTCTGGAAACTCGCAAATGAGATTGTACAAGTGCTCGTCTTTTTCGTGGTCTCTCGCCTCGATGAAGCGTTGCGTGATAGCCTTGTTCGCCGCCAGTTCGCCGTCCGACGCGCCTTCGCCGATGAAAATCTCTTCGACGCACGATTTATCTTGATTTAAATACCCCGCCGCGAGCTTACGCACGGATTTCGGCCACGTCGCCGAAAACAAGAGCGTCTGCCGCTTCGTCGGCGTCGCGCCGAAGATTTGCTTAATCTGCGGCTCAAACCCCATATCTAACATCCTATCCGCCTCATCCAGCACGATCACCGAAAGCTCGGCGAGCGAAAGCACCCCCTCTTGACTCATCAAGTCCGTCAATCGCCCCGGCGTGCCGATGACGAGGCACGGCTTTTTCGTTCGCAACGCGTTCTTTTGCTCGTACGCGCTCGCGCCGCCGTACACCACGACGCTTTGAAACCCATGCGCCGCGCCGAACTTCTCCGCTTCGGCTTGAATCTGTATCGCCAATTCCCGCGTCGGGGCGACGACGAGTCCCTCCACGCCACCGTGTCGCTTCATACCGTGAAACATCGGCAACAGAAACGCCAACGTCTTCCCGCTCCCCGTCTTCGCGACGGCGACGACATCCTTCCCCGCGCACGCCGCCGGCCACGCCGCCGCCTGAATCGGACTCGGCGACGGAAACGCGCTCGACAACCGCGCGACGATCGCCTCGTCGAACGGCGTCTCCGCGAACGACGCGAACCTCGCGCGCTTCGCGTTCGCGTCCGCGTCCGCCGTCTCCCCCTCCGTCCTCGCTTCCCTCTTCGCCCGCTTCGCCTCGCCGCCCTCGACCGCGCCGTCGCGCGACGATCGTTTTTCTTTCTTCTCCTTCTTCGCCTTCTTCGCCTTCTTTTCCTTCTTCGCGCGTTTCTCGTCGCTCATCGCGCTTTCGGCTCGCGGCGGCGGCGGCGATGTCCCGACCGTCTCGCGTCGCCCTCGCGCCCTCGCGCGTCCCGTTTCTCGCGCGTTCGCGTCCACGAACGCGTCGGCGCCGCGCGCGCCGTCCGATCGGCCCTTCGACGCGTCGCGCGCGCGCGCCGCGCGTCAGTGTGCGACGCGTCTTCGTCATGTCGACGTTGCCTCGCGCCGCGCCCGCGCCCGCGCGCGCGCGCGCGCGCCGCGCGACGCCGCAGCGCGCGGCAACGCTTCGCCCGCGCGCGCTCGGCACGCTGTACGACGTCCCGGTGTCGAACAACGGCGCGCGGTGTCGATTGCTCGCGCGCTGGCTCGGGCTGTACGACGACCTCGTGTTGACGAATCCGAACGACGCGTTCGCGGACGGCGGGATCAAGTCCGCGGCGTACGCGGAGATTAATCCGCAGCTCAAGATGCCGACGCTCGTCGCGGCGAACGGGCTGCGCGTGCCGGAGAGCGAGGTGATCAACGCGTACCTGATGGACGCGGCGAGCGAGGGGGCGCGGAGACTGGCGACGCCGAAGACGATCGAGGGACGGACGAACGGGGCGCTGGCGACGCGAACGCACGATCAGTACTTGGTGCCGATACAGGGGGCGATGTATCGAGGGCCGATGGACCGAGCGACGCGCGCGACGCAGTTGGCGGAGATCGCGAGGCAGTTGCGGATACTGGACGAGATTTGCGGACGCGAGGACGGCGATTACGTCGCGGGCGAGACGAAGAGCGCGGCGGACGCCGCGCTGTTTCCGACGCTGATTTTTTGTGATTTTTTGTTGCCAAAGTACTTCGGTTGGAGCGAGGGCGCGGCGCTCGGTGGGGCGAATTTGCGTCGGATGTACGAGGCGGTCAAGCGCGACCCGGACGGCGCGAAGACGTACGACGAAGTCCGAGGGGGTCTCGAGGCGTGGGAGAGCGCGGGGAGATTTGAAAAGGTTGGCATCGTCGATGACGTCGCGGATGTTTCGTTTCAGTGGTCGTTTTAATTGTCAACTACTAATATTACACGCGTTTTCTGTTCGCGCCGCGCGTCACGGTTGAGCGCCTCGCAAAAGCGCTTCGCGCTCGCGAGCGCCGCCGCGTTTCTTGTCGCGATCGAAGCAAAACTGCGCAGCCACGACGAGCATCAGGCAGATGACACCGTACAGAAGAAAAGCATCCACGCTCGTGAAGAAGTTGTACTTCACCGGGGCGACGAGCGTGGCACCGATCGCCGGCGACCAGTCGCTCTCCGTCCACAGCGGCGCCGCGCGCTCGAACGGGTCTTTGGGCTCGTTCACGATCCAAAGACCCGTCGAACGATCAAAAGCTAATCGCGTCGAAAGCGCTAACATATACTTCGACGTCGCAGCATGACACTCACCGACGCTCATCGGCGTGCGGCCGACGCATACGGTGTTTTCGGCGCAAGAACCGTCTCCTTCGCACATCTTGGGCGAAACCGTGTTCGACGTGGCGTCGGCGAGATAATTCCACACGAATCTTGCCAGGGCGTTCTTGTCTTCGTGCGACTGCATATCGCGAGAGAGTCCTTGCAGTGCATCGGGGTAACGAGACGGCAAGGCGACTGGGTCGACGAAAGATTCCCCGAGTCCGGGCGCGCTCGCTTCTTCGCCGTACAAAAACTTCTTGCCGAGTTCGCATCTCTCCAAACCGTAGTTTTCATTCGTGAGACACTTTGCGAGCTCTTTCACCGCGAGCTTACCTCCCTCGACATCCAAGCGCGGGGCGTCGACTTTGTCGTTCGTCGCGAGGGCGCGCACGAGACGCGCGATGACGTGCACGACAGTTTCCATGCGCTCGGCGTCGATGGCGCGAAAACTACCGGCGTCCAACGTCGTTCCACTGAGCTCGTCGATTGGAGCGTCGGGATCCTCGGATAAATACGCCGTTTCGTACTCATTCGCGAGGAGCGCTTCGAATGTCGGCGCCGCGGTCTCAAGAATCCGGGGTACACCCAACGCCGCCGTCTCTTCAAACTCAAACGTGTTCGCGATTTTCTCAATCCGCTCCAACATTTTCCCCTCGTGCGCGCCGTGGACGTAAATCGTCGGCACGCGTTCGCCCACGAAGGATTCAGAGAAACCGAGCGGACCAAGTTCTATGATGGCGCGAATTTTCTTCCCAGCCAAACCGGGAAGCTGCGACGTTTCGGTGGAGGCGAGCATCTCGCGCGCGATTCGCTCAGAGCCGAGCTTACCGAAATCTTCACCACTGAGCGCCAGAAACGCCACGGGATGGGCGACGTCTTCCGCGTCCATCTCCTTGAACATCTTTTGCGTCGACTTGGCGGCCGCCATTAACGCGACGAGGCCAGTCATCCGCGCGTTCACCGCGGGCGTCGCGTCTCTAAACAACCCGTTCGCGTCCAATCGCGCGATGACTAAAATCACGCTCTTGCCCGCGTGCGGCCCGTCGGTGCGCCCCCACATCGGCGGCGCGGTGGCGACCACGCTGTACCCACCGATCGGCAAACACGATCCCGACTTCAGGCACGTCAACGACGTCGGAGGAGCAAGCGTCGGTTGCTTTCCCAATCCATTCATGCGTTCATCCGTTCGCACCTGCCACATATCCTTCTCCCTCCCAGCATCGGCCGCGATCACGTTATCCAGCGATCGCTTCCTCGCCAACAACGTGCTCTCGCGATCTAACAACATCATCGGCACTCCTCTGAGATCCATCCCCATCGCGTCGACGCCGCCCACGAAGCCTCCCGTGACGTTGGTTTCGTGCGCCGGTCCCGGCGCGTACCCTCGCGCCCACTCTCGCTCCTCCTCGCTTTCGGGCGCGATCGCTTCCACGAGTACCGCTTTAATCCGCCCTCGCAACGCCTCGCTTCGCGCGTCGTTCGCGACGAACGCCTGCCGCATTAAATTTTGCCACGCCGCCGGCGTCGCCACCAACACCCTCTCGCCGTCCAGCTCGATCGTCTCGTTCCCGTCGGGTCGAAGCCTTAGCAGCGGCGCCGACGTGATGGCATCGTTCGAGCATCCCGCGACGCCGTCCGCGCGCAGCCGCGTGACGCAGAACGCGCCTCGGAGCGCGGGATTCCGAAACGCGCGAAGATCGGCGAGTCGCTTGAACGCGGTGACGTTCGTCGCGCACGCTTCTCGCGCGTCGGACGCGCGCGGGAGCGTCGCGCACGTCAGAGCGAAGAGCGCGAAGAGCATCGCGCGCGCGCGCGTCGACGCGCGACGTCGCATGGCGTCGCGCGCGTCGCAGTCTACGGCGACGCGACGCGGCGCCGAAGGGTGTTCGGCGAGCGGCGCGCGACGAGAGCGAACGAATCGACGACGAGCGATCGCGCGCGACGAATCGTTGAATCGCAACACCATGGTAATACACGCGCGATGACTGATAAACACCGACGCCGACGTCGCGACGCCGACGTCGCCATCGAATCCTCTCGCGCCGCGTTCGCTCGCCCGAGTCGACGCCGAAATCGAACCGTCGACGACGGTTCGCGCGCGCGCCGCGCCTCTCACGCCGTCGTCCCGTCCTCCGCCGCGCGCGCCGCCGCGTCTTTCTTCGCCTCCTCCCTCGCCGCCTCCGCCGCCGCGCGCTCGTCTTCCTCTTCTCGCACGCTCAGCTCGAATTCGTATCGCGAGTCCTCCAAGCCGAACCACCGCGCGAGCTTCGCCTCGAGATCCCAAAAGCAATCCTTGAACCGCTGCGCGCGTCGCTCGCTGATCGACATCGTCGACACGTCGATGGGCTTCACGACGTATTGCTCGTCGTCCGAGGACTCGAATCCATCGTCGTTCGTCTGCGCGCGCTCGGCGTCCGTCGATTCTCGCGTCGCGGACATCGCGTCTCGCGGGCGATCTTTCGCGCGCGCGGCGTCGCGCCGGCGCGGTCGCGCGCGCGGCGCGGTCGGCGGTCGCCGGGCGACGCGCGCGACGGTCGCGCGGGTCGGGCGCGGCGGTCGAGGGCGCGCGCGACGCGCGACGCGTGAATTCGGTCGAACGCGTCGACGTGTGGCGTCGCGCGGCGTCGCCGCGGCGTCCGCGCGGCGATCGAGCGCGACCGCGATCGCCGCGGCGGCGTCGCGCGCGCCGCGAGACGCGAGACGCGCGCCGCGAGACGCCGCGCGCGCGGTGAAACGCTTCGTGTGACGATTCGCCGCGAGAACAGGAATCGTCACATGTCGCCGCGGCGCGATGGCGTGTTTCGCGTGCGTCCGCGCGCCGCGAGACGACGCAGAGCCGCGGGAGAGCGAAAAAGAAATCTTTTACGACGCACCGTCGTCGTTCGAGCGACGCGCGCCGTGGTGGGCGCCGACGTTGGTGAAATCGTCCGAGGTCGAGGAACGAAGGCTGGAGACGGACGCGAACGCGACGGCGACGGCGACGGCGACGACGCTGGCGACGACGCAGCCGAAGACGCAAGCGGACGATGCGTTTCACCGCGCGCTCGCGCGGGCGTCGTCGGAGATGGAGGCGGAATCTCGAGGAGGGTCGTTCGCGGCCAAGGCGAGGGCGTACGCGAAGGCGGTGACGGCGATGGCGAGCGTCGCCGCGCGCGGTGGCAGGGTGGACTTGACGTCGTTTCTCGGGACCCCGATTCGATGGTGCGCGAGAATATCTCTGCTGCGAACGGTGACGGACAGCGCGAGCTCGGTGTCGAGCGACGCGCCGTCGCGCACGGTGCGATTTTTTGAGATGTTGAGACGCGTCGACGCCGAGCGAGACGACGCGGTGACGCGCTTCGCGGGCGTCGCTCTGGCGATGATCGCGGAGATCGAGCCGCCGGCGTCGCTGAAAAAGCCGCTCAATCCAGTGCTGGGGGAAACGGCGATTCATTCGGTGGTTTTCCCGAACGAGCGATTCGAGAGCGTTTGGGAACAAGTGTCGCATCATCCGCCGATTTCGGCGCATTGCACTCGCGGATCGAACGTCCGCGTGGAGGGTGAGTTGCGACCGAAACCGCACCTCGTCGGCGCGCACATCGAAGTCGAGCTCGAAGGCGAGGCGAGAATTACGCTGATCGATCGCGACGAGACGTACGTGAGCGATTTACCGTCGTTTGAGTGGCGATTCGTCCCGAGGTGGCATTCGCGAATGACGCGCAAGCGAAAGTGGTCGATTCGATGCGAAAAGACGGGTTTACGAGGCGAATTTACGTACGCCGCGAAGCGTGGTGTTCGCGGTGTCGTATACAGTACCTGGAGCGGTGCCGCCGTCTGCGAGATCGATGGGCGATACGACGGCAGCGTCGTCGCGAAGAAAATTTCGAGTGGCGAAGCCGTCGCTCGTTACGATTTGGAAGACGCGAAAAGGTTCCGAGGGCAAATCGTTCGACACACGCACCTCGACGACGAACGAGACACCGAAGTCGTGTGGAAAGAGACGTTTAAAGCGATGGAGGAGAATCGATGGGACGACGCGAAAAACGCGAAGAAGCGTGTCGAGGAATCCGAAAGAGAAAAGCGACGCGAGCGAGAGGCGCGCGGCGAAACGTTTGAGCCTCGATTCTTCACGCTCGACGAGCGACTCGGACGATGGGTTCGCGACACTCGCGCGCAAGTGGTGCTCTATTGAAATCGCTTCGCTGCTACTGTTTGATGAACACGCGCACTTGTGATATGATGTACTGTACTTTTCGGTAATGCTCCCGAATGAAACACGGGATTTCGTAATCATAGTCCCGCTCGCCCTCTTCGAAACCCCGCGTCTTCATTTCCGATACTAACTCTGCACTGTCTAAGCGCTCGCGTTTATCTGGCGTGTACTCGTCCAACCAGGACCACGGCGTGCAAAACACGACGACGGCGCCGGGATTGCACACCGTCGCCAGTCCATCCAGGCACGCTCGCGGCCGAGGCAGTCGACACAGTAAGTTGGCCACCAACACGGCGTCAAATTTCCCCAGAGTTTTCCAGTACTCGAGCGAGCACGCGTCGCCGACTTCAAACGTACACTTTGTCATTGGTTTGAAATCCACCAAGTGTTTCTCGGTCGCCCAGCTCTTGAACCAATCGATGAATGGAGCGTCTTCAAACCAACTCAATTCCATACTTTCCCGTTTACCGCCTTCCATTGGAACATCTACACGCCTCTCTTTTTCATCGCGCATCTGCTTTGCCGCTTCGATGAAGGGTGCGCTACTATCAAATCCAACGACTTCATCGAAAACAAACTCTGCGTGCTTTACGCGCTCCGCTAGTTCGTGATGATATTCGAATTCGTCTAGTTTCCCATGACGCGGTAGGTATCCCCAAACATCGGGCCAGCCTGCTATTCTCTCGCCCCGATAGCTCCAAAACACCTTTGATAACAAATGGTAACCGCAACACGTCCGTTCGTCATATCCGAAGAAGGTCTCGTAACATTCCCGATGTATACATCGTTTTCTCGCCAATTCGATCGTCGCGCCGCCCACGGCGCAACCGACGTCGAGCGCTCGCATTTTCTCGCCTTCGTCCGAGCGGGACAGGAACTTGGGGCTCGCTCTCAGCGCGTTCATCAAGAACCACGTACAGCGCACGGGAAACGGCACAAACTCATGACACCCTTCACACCCTTCCTTTTCTACAAAACCGCTTGCCGGCAGCGTTCCCGCGAAACGCGGTGGTCGACCGTGTTGAATGTCTCCGTCGTAACTGTCACTTCGCGCGTAGTGAAATTCCAAATACTGCGTCAGCGCGTCGTCCGTTTCGTACGCGCTCGCCCCCCCCCGCGCGCCGCGCGCGTCGTCGGATCGCGCGTCGTCGTCGTCTTCGCGTTTTACGCTCGTTTTACGCTTCATGCGTCCGAGCGCGCGCGAATGAGGCGAACGAACGCGCGCATCGTCAAAACAGTTTCAAACCAACGCTACGACGCGACGACGCTAGGACGACGAAAATGCACTCGAAAATACACGCGCGACGTCCGCGAACTCGAACGCGCGATTCAACTTGACCCACTCGCACGCCTTGCCCGCGCACGCGATGAACACGGCGCCGATGAGCGCGGGATAGACGGCGAACCACCATCCCAAATCCGCGAACGCGGGCGATTCCACCGCCGCGAACGCCACCGCGCCCGCGGGCGGATGAATCGCGCCCAGACGCATCATCACCGCGAGCGACGCGCCGAGCGCGACCGCGCGCGCGACGTGATTCGCCCCGAACGCGCGCACCGACAGAACGCCGATGAGCGCCGAGCACGTCGTGGCGACGATTAAATTCCACCATCGCAGCGGCGGCGCGTCGACGACGCCGAACGCCAGCACCGACAGGCTCGCCCACGCCCCGATCATGAACGGCGCGCGCGCCATCGCGTTCGCGCGCATCCAACAATCCACAGCGCCCAACGCGTACGTCGTCGCCGCGCAGAACGCGCATCCGTAGACGACGTCGCTGAACGGCCGCTCGCCGACGACGCCGCCGTCGCTCGACGGCAGCGCGAGTCGAGCCTTCGCGTCCCTCACCACGTACCGCGCGCGATCGAGCGCGCTCGATCCGCGACCGAAACCGCGCGCGTCGACGTCGGCCCAATCGCGCGCGACCGCTCGGTCGTCGTCGTCGCGCGCGCGCGCGCGAGGCGCGCGCGGTTTTCGTCCAACCGTCGCGCGCGCTTTTTGATTCGCAAACTTCGCGCCGTCTTCGCGCGTCGCGTCGCGCGTCGCCGACGCCGCGATCGCGCCGGGAGGGCGCGCGAAGGCGCGGAGCATCGCGCGACGCGATGCGCGCGCGCGCGGGCGCGGCGTCGCGTTCTGCGCGCGCGTCGTCGTCGACGACGCCAAAACCTCAAACGTCGACGCGCGTCGTCGTCCGCCGCGTCGCGTCGTCGCGCGCGATGTCGCTCGCGCGCTTCCGACTCGAGCGCGAGCTCATGCGCGCGCGATTCGCGTCGAGCGCGCGCGCGAAGACGGCCAGGGCGGCGCGCGCGGGCGCGGAGACGGCGAGCGCGGTGGGGACGCGGACGCGCGTCGCGCGCGCGTTCACGACGGCGCACGGCGCGCGATGCGCGCGCGAGCGCGCGCGAGGGATGGCGAGGGTGGACTCGACGCGCGCGCGCGCGTCGTCGTCGTCGAGCGAGGCGCTGGAGTGGCCGAGCCGGGACCGGCTGGCGGGGACGCTGCGGGACGGGGACGTCGGCGCGGAGGCGACGCTGTGCGGATGGATCGATAAATCGCGCGATATGGGCGGGATCGCGTTCGCGGACGTGCGCGATCACAGTGGAATCGCGCAGATCGTCGCGGACGAGGACGCGTCGGCGGAGGTGCGGGAGACGTTCGGGAACTTGAGACAGGAGTGCGTGGTGCGCGCGCGAGGGACGGTTCGAGCGAGGAAGAGCGTGAATAAAAAGACAAAGACGGGGACGGTCGAGCTCGTGGTCACGGAGTTGAAGATTTTGAACTCTGTGGGGAAATCGTTGCCGTTCGCGGTGTCGGAGTCGAGCGGGGAGAAGGAGGAAATCAAGGAGGAGACGCGTTTGGAGCATCGCGTGTTGGATTTGCGTCGACCGCAAATGGCGAGGAATTTAAAGCTTCGTCACGATACGCTCCGCGCGTTGCGCAAGGTGATGGAGGACGATTACGGGTTTTTAGAGGTCGAAACGCCGATGCTGACGCGAAGCACGCCGGAGGGGGCGCGGGATTACTTGGTGCCGAGTCGTTTGCAGCCGGGGGGGGCGTACGCGTTGCCGCAATCACCGCAACTCTTCAAGCAAATGCTCATGGTTGCGGGCGTCGATCGATACTATCAAGTCGCGAGGTGCTTCAGAGACGAAGACTTGCGCGCCGATCGTCAACCGGAATTCACGCAGCTCGACATCGAGATGGCGTTCACGGATGACGCCGGGATCATGAAGCTCGCAGAGGATTTAATGCGCGCCGCGTTCAAGAGCGGCGTCGACGTCGATTTGCCGGCGAGTTTTCCGCAGATGACATACGCGCATGCGATGGAAAAGTACGGCAGCGATAAACCAGATTTGCGATACGGGTTAGAGATGACCACGCTCGACGACGCGTTGGCGGGATGTGAGTTCAAAATCTTCGCCGACGCGCTCGCGGAGTCCAACGGCACCGTCAAGGCGCTCGTCGTCGACGACGATAAGAAAATACCGAACTCGAAGCTCAAACCGAAGGGTGATGTGTTCAACGAAGCGCTCGCGGCGGGCGCGGGCGGTTTGGCGTTCGCGCGCGTCGCCGATGACGGGAAATCGCTCGAAGGTGCGAAGGGTTTGGTCGAAGGGACGGCGGCGCACGCGGCGGCGATGATCTCCGCCTCGGGCGCCAAGCCCGGGGATTTGATGCTCTTCGCGGCGGGGAACAAGGCTTTGGTGAACAAAACCCTCGATCGCGTTCGACAGTACATCGCGAAGACGTACGACATGATCCCCGAGAACGCGCACGCGGTGCTGTGGATCACTGAGTTCCCGATGTTTGAGTTCAACGAGGACGAAAACCGTTACGAGGCGATGCACCACCCGTTCACGGCGCCCAACCAAGACGACGCCGCGGCGAATCCGGATGATTTAACCGGTGCGCGCGCGATCGCGTATGATTTGGTGTATAACGGCGTGGAAATTGGCGGTGGATCGCTGCGTATTTATCGTCGAGACGTGCAAGAAAAAGTCTTCCGCGCCATCGGTTTGAGCGACGAAGAGGCGGAGAACAAGTTCGGTTACCTCATGGAGGCGTTCCAATACGGCGCCCCACCGCACGGCGGTCTCGCGTTCGGGCTCGATCGATTGGTGATGATGCTCGCGGGGGCAAAATCGATTCGCGACGTCATCGCGTTCCCGAAAACCGCCGCCGGGCAGTGCTTGCTCACCGAGGCGCCGGGACAAGTGAGCGACGCCCAATACGCCGATCTGCACGTGCGATCCGTCGCGCCGCCGCCGAAGACAGACTAATAACGAAATCGTCTTCTCTAGATTGAAATGAAAGAAGCGTAATTTTACAACACATCGCCAAACTCTCGCGCGTCACAAAGTGAGATGGCGTATCGAGCGCGCGCCTCGCTGAACGCGTCAGCGCTTTCGGCGCGCGCCGTCACGGCGCACCATCCCACCGAACGACACCGTTCGACGACCGACGTCTACACCGGCAGCGCGACGTACATCGCGGTGATCACCGCCACCGCCGCCGCGCTTTTACCGTTAAAATCGTTAACCTTTTTACGAATCGCCGTCGCCACCGACTCGTCCTCGATATCTTGCAAACCAGTGCCATCGACGTCCCAAACGCCGGCTTGCGCGATGTTTCACAACCCCGTCTTCGCGCTTCCCACGAACCCGAGCGCGAAGAACAGCGGCACCGCGATCGCCAACCGTTCGACGCGCGTCGCCCCCAGCGCCAGCTGCGCCGCCGCGAGCGCCGCCGTCGCCGCGCCCGCCGCCTTCCCCACCTCCATCCGTCGTCCGCGTTCCTCCGCGTCGATGTTCGTCAGCGTCTTCGCGGCTTCATCGCGCGATCGCGCGCGCGCTTCCTCGCTCTTCGTCGCGCTCGCCGGCGCGTCGCGCTGAAACACGCCGTAGTAGATTTGTTTCCCACCGCCGCCCCGGTACAAATTGGCGAACAGATCCCTCGCGCGGTCGTCGCGCGTCGCGCGGGTCGGCGTCGCGGCGCGCCGAGGCGTCGCGCGCGTCGCTCGCGCCGCGCGCGGCGTCGCGGCGCGCGGCGTCGCGGCGCGCGGCGTCGCGAACGATGGACGCATGCGGCACAGAGTGACGCCGACGCGACGAATCGCGCGTCGTCGCGGCGCGCGGCGCGTCGATGCGCCGCGGCGCGCCGCGGTCGATGCTGCGCGCGATGCGCGCGCGAACGGCGCGCGCGACGCGCGACGCGCGCGCGACGACGCGACGCGACGGGCGGAGCACGACGCGCGACGGCGCGGTGGCGGCGCGACGACGCGACGCGCGCGGCGTCGCGACGAAGGCGAGCGCGTCGACGTGGTTGTGGGCGTCGGAGTGTTACGTCCGCGGACCGGGCGTCGAGGGCGTCGACGTGGAGCGCGCGCGCGCGACGCGGGAACGCGTGGACGCGGGACGCGCGGCGCTGAGCGTCGCGCCGATGATGGAGTACACGACGCCGCACTTTCGCGTCATGGCGCGGTTGATGTCCAGGCGCGTCATGCTGTGGACGGAGATGGAGGTGGATCAGACGGTGACGCACAGCGCGCGAGATGGGGATCGGGTGGATAAATTTTTGGATTATCCCGCGGCGACGTTTGGGACGGTGCTGCAGTTGGGAGGGTCGACGCCGGAATATTTAGGACGCGCGACGGCGATCGCGGCGCCGTACGGGTACGACGAGATAAATTTGAACAGTGGATGCCCGAGCCCGAAGGTGGCGGGGAAGGGGTGCTTCGGAGCGGCGCTCATGGCGGAGCCGGGGTTGGTGGCGGAGTGCCTGGCGGCGATGGCGGAGAACGCGCCCGAGGGGACGCCGGTGAGCGTGAAGTGTCGAATCGGGGTCGATGACGTGGATTCGTACGACGATCTGTGCGATTACGTCGAACGCATCGTCGCGGGGAGCTCGACGCGTCGATTTTACGTGCACGCGCGCAAAGCGTTGCTCGCCGGATTGTCGCCCGCGGAGAATCGAACGGTGCCTCCGCTCAAGCACGAGTGGGCGTACGCGTTGGCGAGAGATTTTCCCGAGTGCGAGTTTCACTTGAACGGTGGATTAAAGACGCTGAACGATGTGAAGAACGTTCTCAAACGCGGGCCCGAGGACGGAGGGCCGATCGTGGGGGCGATGATTGGTCGACAGGCACACGCGGATCCGTGGGGGTTGCTCAGCGCCGCGGACACCACGCTCTTCGGCGAGGCGTCCAACCCGAGCGCGTCCAGGCGCGACTTTTTGAACAAGTACGCGGTGTACGCGGATGAAACGATCGGTAGATACGGTACCGCGAAGGATGGGTATCGCATTCCGAGCGTTCGTCACATGATGCATCCTATTCAAAATTTATTCCACGGGTGCGCCAACAACAAGGCGTGGCGGCGCTTGGTCGAGGAAGATTTACAAAAGCGTTCGAAACATCCCGACACGACGGTTCGATCGGTACTAGACGCGACGCTGATCGCGATTTCGGACGAAGATTTGGACGCCCCACCAATTGCTGCCGTTGGCGACGCGTTCGACGTAAATCGCGCGTGGGAGCTGCCGACGCGAGGCGGCGGGTTCTTGGCGCGCACGGCGTGAAAGAGCTGACGCCCAGTCGCTTGTACAAAACAAATATTTAGCTGGTGTATCGCATTAACACATCGTTGTCATTCACCTCCGAATCACGCCTGCGCACTCTTGTACGCGCGCAAAATTTCCGTCGCCGCCGCGAGCCCGTCGCACGCTGCGGAGACAATCCCGCCGGCATAGCCCGCACCTTCGCCCGTGGGATACAACGCGCGACACGACACGGACTCTAACGTCTCTTTGTCGCGGTCTATGCGAACGGGAGACGACGTGCGCGCCTCCGGCGCGTGAATGAGCGCCTGTGAACCGGCAAATCCCGGGAGTTGCTTATCGAAACGCGCGAGCGATTCCTGAATCGCCTTCGTCACTTCGCGTGGGTACAACTCGTGTAACGGTCCCGGCACGACCCCTAGTCTGTACGAACTCGACGGAAGCGTCGACGCGTTCGAAACGGTTTCGCTCAAAAAATCCTCCGCCGTCTGCACAGGGACGACGAGTTTGCCTCCGCCCATTATCGCCGCCTCGCGTTCGATGTGACGCTGGAATGAAACCCCACACAACGGTTCGTAGCCTTCGTCCGCGAACGGCTTCGCGTCGCGTTCGGTGATGGTGCTCACCAATCCGCTGTTTGCCCACTTGCTCGATCTTTTGCTGAAACTCATGCCGTTGATGCACAACTCGTCCTCTACTGTGGACGTAGGGACGATTTGACCGCCCGGACACATGCAAAAGCTGTAACACGCGCGTCCAGCGGCGACGCCGTCGGGAACAGTGTTCGCCACGCGATAATCCGCCACCGGGAGCGGGCCTTTACCGCCGTCGACGTATCCGGCGTACTTTTCGCCATATTGAATCGTGTCCAACATTCCTTGCGGATGTTCGATGCGAAAACCCGCCGCGAAGGATTGATACGTCAGTTTCACGTCTTCTTCGTGTAAGGCTTCCATGAGACCTCTGGATGAGTGCCCGGCGGCGAGCACGACGGCTTTGGCGGCCACCACGGCGCCGTCGGCGAGCGTCACACCGCACGCGTCCCCGGTGTTCGGATCGCGGTTCACCCGCGCGCACCGCACGCCGAATCTAAACTCCACCCCCAGTCCCTCTAAATATTTTCTCGCCGTGCGCAAGATTCGCACCAAACGATCGGTACCCAAGTGCGGCTTGCCGTCGACGAGAATGTTCTCAGGCGCGCCGAATGCGACGAGCGCGTGCAACACCGCGCGGACGCGTTCGCTGTTTCGACCGATTCGCGTCGTGAGCTTTCCATCCGACCACGTGCCCGCGCCACCTTCGCCGTAACACAAATTCGACTCTTCGTTCAACTGTCTGCGCGCGAATAGCGCGCCGATGTCTCGTCCGCGCTCTTCCACTGGCTGCCCGCGCTCGAACACCGTCACGCGTTCGCCCGCCTCGGCGAGCGCCAACGCGGCGAACAACCCGGCCGGCCCTAAACCGACGACGACCACTCGATCATCATCACCGTCGCTAAAAACAGTCGTTTCGCCGGTCGCCCCCCCCTCGCGCCGATCCGGCGCGCGTTCGAACGCGTTTCGCAACTCGCGAGCGTTTCTCGCGATGTCCGGCGCCGCCTCCGCGCCGCACCGTTCAATTTTTTTCGCCCGCGCGCGTATCGGCCTCTTCGTCCCGCCGCACGCGACGATCGCCTCATCCGTGACGTCCACGACGTAACTAAATCCCGGCGGATCCGTCCGCGCGTCGCACGTCTTCCTTCGCACGCGCGTCCCGCTCGCGCTCGGCGTCCGCGCCGTCCCCAAAATCTTTTGCACCGCCTCCAGCACCGCGGGCGACGCCTCGCTCGAGTCCTTACCCAGGTCACGATCGAGCGGCACGTGCACGTCGTACACGCGCCACGCGTCGCCGTCGTCGTCGTCGTTCGCGCGCGCGGGCGCGCGTTTCGTCTTCGCTCCGGCGCCGCCGCCGCGCCTCCTCTCACCCTTCGGCGCCGCGCGCGTCGTCACCCGTCGTCGCCGCGTCGCGCGCGATCGCGCGCGCGACGCGCGCGCACCGCCCGCGCGCGCGACGGCGCGCTCGAGCGTCGATCGCGTCGCCATCGCGGCGCGCGGCGCGACGAAGTACCGCGGGACTAACGACCGCGTCGCTTCACATCACCGCGTTCGCGTCGCGTCGCGCGCGCGTCGCGCGTCCGCGTCGCGCGCGCGTCTCGAGGTTCGCACGCTCGCGCGCGCGTCTCGACGCCCGCGCTTCGGCGACGCCGCGCGACGCCGCGCGACGACGGCTTTGAATTCATCGTTCAAATCGATGTTCGCGCGCGGCGTCGCGACGCGCGTCGCGCGACGCGCGCGCGCGCTCGACCCGCGACTCGCGACGGTCGATCGTTTCGACGCGCGCGGCGTCGCGCGACGCGCGCGCGCGTCCGCGGCGTCGCCGGCGACGGCGTGGGACCCGCCCGCGGCGACGGTCGACCGGTTCGACTCGCACGCCATCATCAAGCAGCTCGCGAAAGCGGGCGGGTTCGGCGAACCGCAGGCGGAGGCCATCGTCGCGAGCGCGCTGACGTCCATGACGCGCGCGGGATTCGTCGCGAGAAACGAACTGGAGCGAGAGTTGATGCACGGACGCGCGGAGACGCAGGCGCTCAAGCAGGAGGTGGCGTCGTCGCTGCGCGAGGCGAGCGCGTCGATGAAACACTCCACCGAAACCCTGCAGGCGGAGAACGAGAAGCTGCGCGCCGATCTCAAGTATAACATCGATAGGATCACGCAGTCGCAAAAGTTGGACTTGAATCTGGAGAAGGGACGACTGCGAGAGTTGCACGGGATTCAGGAGAGTCAGATGAAAGAGGTCGAGGCGCGCGTCGATCGAGAGTTGCATCAGATGCGAACGCAGATAGAGGCGGCGAAGACGGAAATTATTCGATACAGCGTGGGGACGCTGGTATCGCTCGGCGCGCTGTCTTTGGCCGCGATTCGACTCGTCATGTAACGCGACGCGATTCGACTCGAAGCGCGTCCCCGACCGCACAGCGCGCGGTCGATCGAGCTCGCGCTCGACCGCGCGCTCGCGCGATGCGCGACGACGAAGACGCGTACGATTTCGATCCCGCCGACGTCGCGCGCGCGCAGAACGCGCTGCTGCGCGCCGCGCTCGCCGCTCGAAACGACGAAAAGTGCGCCGAGGCGGCGGCGACGTCCCTCGCCCCGTGGGCGCCCACGGAGCCGCGCCGACGCGCCGTCGCCTTCGACGCGTGCGCGCTGTCGTCCTCCGACGTCCTGTACGACCTCGGATGCGGCGATGGGCGCGTGCTCGTGGACGCCGCCAAGGCGAGGGGCTGCCGCTGCGTGGGCCTCGAGCTCGACGACGCGCTCGTGCGAGACGCGCGCGAACGCGTCGCGCGCGAGAATCTCGAGGACTTGATCACCGTGCACAAAGGTGATCTCACCGCGTTGACCGCCGAGGCGCTGGCGCGCGGCGTGCTCGATTCACCCGCGCCGACGTGCGCGTTCGCGTGGCTCACGGGCGCGGGCCTGCGTCGACTGTCGCCGACGCTGCGGCGCGCCTGGGAGATTGGAGATTTTCGCATCGTCACGTGCGTCGACGCCCTGGACGCGTGCGTGGACTTCGAGCGCGACGGTGCGTTCGCCGAGCCCGACGATTCGACGCCGTGGGAGGTTCGGCGCGATCGCGCCGCCGACTTCGGCGTCTTCGTCGTGCCGAGGCGCGCGCGCGCGCGAGCGTCCGTCGAACGCGCGAATTGAAACGCGAATTGAAACGCGAATTGAAACGTAAATTGAAATGCGAGTTGGAATTGAAATGCGAGTTGACGGCGCGGCGCGTCGCCGTCGACCGATCGCCGCGCGCGCGTCGCGTCCTTCGCGTCGTCTCGCCGCGCTCGCGCTCGCGACTCGGCTCGAATTCGCGTCTCGTCGTCACACCCGCGCGCGCGATCCTCGATCCGTCGAGGCCGCGTCGCGATGCAGGCCAACGACGCGCACATGCAACAGTTCCTCGAGGTGCGCTCGATTCGCCGCGTTCGCCGTCGCGCGTCGCACGACTGACGTTTCATCGCGCCGCAGGAGGAAAAGCGCAAGGCGGTGTTCAACGAGGTCGTCGCGAAGCTCACGGAGACGTGCTTCGAGAAGTGCGTGACGTACGCGCCGGGCGCGAAGTTTTCGTCGAGCGAGTCGAGCTGCCTGACGAACTGCGCGCTGCGGTACCTGGAGAGCGGGCAAGTCGTGCTCGGGAGGCTGCAAAACATGGGAGGGTCGTAGCGAGACGCGACGTAGAAGACGAAGCTTAGGTTTTGAATGACGCATGAAAGAGACGAGCGAGCTAATAGAAGGCCTCGGTGTCGGCGTGGTCGGCGATGTCGTCGTCGTAGCCGTCGTCGTCGTCGAAACCGGCGGCGCGGGCGTAGTCGTCGTCGCTGTCGAGCTCGTCGTCGTCGTCCGCGGCGCGGTCGACGGCGTCTTCGTCGGCTTCGTCGTCGTCCTCGTCCCCGGCGCGCGCATTTTTGGACGGCGATCGCGCGCGACGCTGACGATCGCTCGCGCGCGATTGGAGACGACCGCGCGACTTGCCCTCGACGGCGTCGCCGTCGAGCTCCTTGGCCGCGCTCGACTCTTCTAAACGCGCCAGACGCTCGAGACGCGAAATATCACCCTTTCTCTGTTTCGTCGACGCCGTCGCCCCTTGATCGTCGCGTTCGCCGTCTTCGTTCGCCTTACCGCGCTTCTTGTCTCCACCGCTCGCGCTCGCGTCGTTCGCGGCGCGTTTCTTACCCTTTCCGTTCGGCGCGTTCGCCCTCGCGCCGAACGCCGCCTCTAATATCTCCCTGGGCACGATCCGCTCATCCGTCACCTTTAAATCCTCCAGCGTGAACGCTCGTCGCATGCTTCGTATCCATCGTTCATCGATCGCGTCCTCGTCGTCCTTATCGCCCCTTTCATCGTCCTCGTCCGAGCTCGTCCCGCTCGCCTCCTCGTCCCGCCATCGCGAGACGTCGCCCTCGCGCGCGCGGCGCTCGAGCTCGTCGTCCCGATCGCCGTGATGATACGCCGACGCGCGGAAGAACCCTCGAATCGCGCGCGACAGGCGCACGAGGCGCAGTTCCTCGGGCGTGGCGTCGGTGAAGGGCTTGAGACCGCGCGGGAGCGGTGGGTACAGCGGCGGCGGCTGCGCGATTTGCACCGTCGGTTCCGCCATCTCGCCCTCGCGCGCGGGCGGAAACGGAATGTGGCCGGGAATCAAAAGGCTCGGTGGCTCGGGCGGGGCCTCGGGAGCGGGCGGCTCGGGCGCCGCGGGCGTGGACATGGTGCTTCGCGTTGTGCGGCGCGCGCGTCGGTTTACAGTCGGTTCCGGAGCTAGTCTAGTGCGTCTCCGGCGCACATGCGAACGTGACATTCGACTCGATCGCAGAGCTGCGCCTTGGAACCGGCGCACGAAAGGTTGTGCGCGGCTAAGAATCGTTTCAGGGCGTCGGTGGTGAGAGACGTCAGGGCGTCGGCTTTCACGCGCTCGATGACGAACGCGTGGTGCGGCGCGATGGTCATGATGGGTTCGGGTCTGTGCGCCCGCGCGGGCGGCGAACGAGGTTTCGGAGCTTCGATGGCTTTGCGCTTCGCGCCGATCGTGGCGCCCGTGACGTCGACGGCGGGCGCGGCGCGGCCGTGCAAGTCGTCGATGGCGCGAGACGCGCCGAAGCACTCGGCGTCGAAACCGGCGAGAAGGGCGGGGATGCCGGCGCGTTGCCATTCATCCAGCGCGGGTTCAGTGTCGTCGTGCACGGGTTCCATGACGTTGCGCTCTAACGCGCACATTTCCAACACGCGATAGTGCGTCTGGAGCGCCGGATTGGGCGTTTGCTTGGGATGCCATTGCGTGAGACGAATGGCGTCGATGACGCTTCGCGCGGCGGTTATTTGCGCTTCATTCGCGCGCGGGAGCGGTGCTTTTTCAGACGCAACCGCGCGCTCTGGGTGCCGCGTGTCGTCTCGAAAAGGTAGGTAAAAGACGTGAAAACCCTCGGGCGGTTCCAAGCGAGAGACGGCGTCGTCGGCGGCGGCGATTTCATCCGCGCTCGGCGCCAGTTGCGGCAGAAGGGCGACGTAGCGAAGCGCCGAGCGCGTCGAGCGCGAAAGCGCGCATATCGCGACTTTGTTCTCCTCCACGCACGCGCGCAACAGTCCTTGGAACGCGGCGCACCCTTTCTCTTCACCGGCGACGAAGTGTGACTTTTTCAGGCACAAATCTCTCGTAATCGTCTTGGCGTCCACGAAGCCGACGAGGTGAAATCCCACGGTGTCCTTTGCGTTTTCTACGCCCGGTATTTTCACCGTTTTCACCTTACCGAGCTCTTTGTTCGAAAAAATCAACTGCTTGCCATCCATCTCCAAGAAACTTTTGGTCGGTTTTTCGATCGGCGCGCCCACGGCGTCGCTGTACGTCACTTCACGACGAATTTCTCCTAAATCCTTCCCGTCGACGAGAATGCTGGCCGATTTCTTCGCCTCGCTCACCAGCGCGTAGACGTCGATGGGAATACCTATTTTCCCCGGCACCAACCACAGCTTGGTTTGTTTCAATCGCCTGCGTTTTCGCGCCCGCTTCAAAAACTCGCGCTGCAACTCGGTGCCGTCTCGCACGACGACGAGCGCCTTCTCCCCCTCCATCGCCCCGCAGTGCTCGGCGGTGAAGGCGTCGTAAAATATCGATGAATCAAACACTCCGTCACGCGTGAGCGTCAAAACTTCGATGCGTTGCCCCATCTGCGCCATCTCCTTGGCGCGTTGAATCAACTTGGCGCCCGAGCTCCCAGATTTCAACGGCGCCGCCTCGTTCGTGAACAAATACACGCTCTTCCGCCCCGCTCGCTTCGGTCCGTTCTCGAGCATGTGCGACGCCGTCCATAACCCCTTCGTCAGCGCGTCCTCTTGATTGAAAAAATCGCCCGTCCCATCGTCGTCCTCGGGTTTCAACTCGCCGAATCGCTCGCGAAATTTGTCGGCGCCCTTCTCCCCGTTCGCGTATTCGCTCAATTCCAGCGCTCCCGCCGCGCTCGGGTTCTCCGCCCTTCGCACCTCGCACACGCGTTCCATCCCTATCCCACCCACGCTCTTCCCGGTGTTGTACGCGCACACGCCCAGCACGTCGTCCGGCGCCACGACGACGCGCGCGCGCGCGAATTCAAAGCACGCCCGCGTCGCCGCCGTGAACGCGCACGCCCCGTCCGCGCGCGTCGCGTCCGCCTCGAACATCGCCGGCGAGCAATCGATCAGCATCACCACCGCGTCGCGCTGCGCGTCCGGGTCCCACGCGCGCGCGCCGTCGCCGTCGCCGTCGCCGTCTTCCGCCGCGCCATCGAATTCGAAATCATCGTCCGAATCGTCGTCGTCGCGCGCCATTTCGCCCGCGCGCGCGTCCGACGGGCGCCGCGCGACGTCCCCCTTCGCTCGCGCGCCGCCCTCGCGCGCGCGCGTCGCCGTCGCGCCGCCGCGCGACGTTTTCTGCCGCACTCTTCGACGCGCGCTTCGACGCATCGTTTCATTCGTCATGCGCGTCGCCGCGCGTCGCGCCGACGCCCTCGCGTTCGCGCGCGCCGTCGCGCGTCGTCCTCGCGCGTCGCTCGACCGTCTCCGGCGCCCGCGCTTCGGCGCGCGCGCGACGGAGACGCGCGCGAAGAAGAAGGGCCTGCTCGGCGACCTGCTCAACGTCGCGAGGGACCGCGCGCGCGACGAGGCGACGTGGTACAACGGGCGCGCGCCGCTTCGACCGGGGACGTACGCGCCGCAGAAGACGGTGCCGGCGTCGATCGAGCCGCAGCCGCCGTACGCGAGGGACGGACACCTGCCCGAGTACGACGACGGCGTCGTGCAGGTGCAGACGACGGCGGCGGACGTCGAGGGGATGCGACGCGCGGGAAGACTCGCGGCGGAGGTGCTGGACATGGCGGAAAAGATGATCACGCCCGGGACGACGACGACGAACGACATCGACGAGGCGGTGCACGCGATGACGATCGCGGCGGGGGCGTATCCGAGCCCGTTGAACTACGGCGGGTTTCCGAAGAGCGTGTGCACGAGCCTGAACGAGTGCATCTGTCACGGAATCCCGGACGACACGGTGATCCTGGACGGAGATATCATAAATATTGACGTCACGGTGTACCTGAACGGGTATCACGGCGACACGTCGAGGACGATCATGGTGGGGAACGTGACGGAGGAGGTGCGGCGGCTGGTGGAGACGACGGAGCGAGCGCTGGACGCGGCGATCGCGATTTGTAAGCCCGGGACGCCGGTGAGGAAGATCGGGGCGACGATTCATCAGATCGCGGACGACGCCAAGTTCGGGGTGGTGGATAAGTTCGTCGGGCACGGCGTGGGGAAGGTGTTTCACAGCGGACCGACGGTGCGGCATCATCGCAACAACGACCCGGGGACGCTGCGGGTCGGTCAGACGTTCACCATCGAGCCCATGCTGACGATCGGGACGACTCGAGACAAGATGTGGAAGGACGGATGGACGAGCGTCACCGCGGACGGGAAGTGGACGGCGCAGTGCGAGCACACGCTGCTCGTCACCGAGACGGGCGTCGACGTCTTAACCGCGTCGCCGTATCGCGCGTCTCTGTCCGAGGCGTGACCGCGCGCCGGACCCTCGTCGCGTCGTCGCATTAATTTTCTTCATTCATAATCCCGCGCTTTCGCGCCTTCGTTCGAATCCTCGCGCTCGCCGTCTTCGTCGTCGTCTCTCGCGTCCTCCGCAGTCGTCGCCTCGCGCGTCCGACTCCATGTCCGCCCCCGCGCCCGCGCCCGCCCCTCCCGACGACGACTTCGTCGACACCTGCGACGGCGAGCGCGTCCTCCGTCGCGCCGCCGCGCGCGCGCTCGCCGACGGGCTCTTCTACCTCGGTTTCCTCGCGTTGCCTTGGCTCTGGGTGTTGAACGCGTGGACCTTCGCCCCCCACGCGCGCGACGCCCGCGGTCCCGGCCGCGACGCGCGCGTGGCCAAGCGCGCGCGCGAGTCTCGCGCGCTCGCCGTCGCCGCGTTCGCCGTCGTCGCCGCGTGGGCGGCGACGTTTTACTTTGGCGGCGCGCGCGTCGTCGGGACGCGCGCGTGGGAGCGATGGTCGGCGACGACTCGACCGCGCTGACGCGCCGCGCGCGCGCGTCGCGATCGCTGTAATTAATTCTGTGTATTTCCTAGCGTCCAGCGCCGCGCGCGCGCGCGCCCCGTCGACGTCGCGTCAGAGCGCGCCGCGATGGATGCCGTGGACGCCGTGCTCGCGCGCATGCGCGCCGACCAGGGTCTCGCGCGCGACCGCGCCGTCGACGCCGACGTCGACGAGGCGGTCGCGGCGTCGCCCGCCGCGCTCGCGCGCGAGCGCGCCGCGATGCGCGCGCTCGCGGGGACGTTTCGCGAGGAGACCGAGGACGCGCTGGGACGGCGGTGGTACGCGCACTTTGAACGGTGGTTGTGCGCGCGACGCGACGCGACGCGAGACGGCGACGCGATCCCGAGCGCGAAGAGACGCGACGCGCGCGACGGCGGGCTGGCGCGGTCGCTGGCGAAGGCGGGACGGACGACGGGGGAGATGGCGACGACGACGCGGCGGTTGGCGCGGGCGGCGGCGAAGGCGAGGGCGAACGCGAGCGCGAGGGCGAGCGATGGGAGGAAGAATCGCGTGCGCGCGCGAAGGATCGAGGTGGGTGGAAACGGGAAACGGGCGGAGAAGGTGGCGCTGACGTGCGGGAAGGTGACGCTGGAATTGAATTTGAGACACTACGAGACGCTGAAGACGCGATGGCGCGGCGACGCGCGGCGCGACGAGGATGGGTTTCATCGCGCGGTTTTTTGCGTCGTGGCGAGGTACGCGACGCTGCAGGGGACGCATTATAAGGCGGGGAACATGCAGGCGGCGATTCCGCCGCGCGTGTTCGAGACGCTCGAAAAAAGATTCGACGTGCGATGCGAGCTCTTCGCGTCGCCGCTCAACGCGCACTTTAAAGAGTTTTGCAGCGCGAGCGCGATGACGGATCGCGCGTTCGGATCGCTCGGAAACGCGTTCGACTTCGAGCCGAGCGAAGGGAGCTTCGAGTGTAATCCCCCGTTCGACGAGGAAATCATCTTGCGTTTGGCGGGTCACGTCGAGAGGCTTTTGTCTCGCGCGAAAAAACCGCTATCCTTTTTCGTAGTCGTTCCACTTTGGCACGACAGCCGCGGCTGGATGCGACTGGCGAAGAGCGTGTACTGCGTCTCGAACACAACGCTCGAGGCGAAGGAACACGCCTTTGTGAGTGGCGGGCAGCACTCGCGCATCGATCAACTCACGCCGAGCGCGGCGCCGACGTCTGTACTTTTTCTTCAAAACAAAGCCGGAGAGAAAAAGTGGCCCGTCACGCCCGAGGGCGTGGCGGCGATTCGCGAAGCGTTCGCGCCGCCGAAGAAGGAAGCCGAACGCGTGGAGAAGTGGGACCCGGACGCGACGTCGTGGTCGTGCTCGCGTCGTTTGCCGAAGGATGCGAATTCGTGGGTGTACAAAAACAAAAAGCGCGACCAGAGCGTCGACGAGTCGCCGGCGAAGAAGACGAAAAAGAAGAAGAGTGCCGGCGGCGGGCTCGCGGCGAGCTTTTTCCGCGATTAGATCATAGGTACGGGATTTCGTATTGTAAAATAGAACGAACACTCTAACGCCATAGCACCAGTACTCGCACTCAACGCTCGACTACAACTCGAGGGACATTCACCCCTCGACGAAGAGAAAAGAATGGTGAACTCACTGCTGGGCGCATTGAACGCCGGGTTGTCCGCCGCCTTCGTCGTCGGACTCGTATTGGCTTTGTTGTCTGCTCTCGGCTTCGCGACGACGCTTTTCTTGCTCCATATCAACCTCGTGCATGTTAACCTCTTCCACATTTTCACTCTCCATGTCAATGCTAAGCTGCGGTCGCGCGGGTAAAATCTTTTCGAGCGCCTTGAGATCGTCTTCGGACAAGTCGCCCGGAGCCGGAAACTTGACGGTGAAGTGGATGAACAAGCGACCCTTTTGGAAAGGCATGGTGTGCTTAGGCATACCTTCGTCGAATACAGCCTTGAATTGACCGGGCTTGATGACTTCGCCCTCGTGGGTGGAGATGACGAGTTGACGGCCGTCGAGGTGATCGACGGTCATCTTCATCCCGCACAACGCCTCTACGAGGGAGATTTCTTTTTCCATGAATAAATCGTCCCCCTTGCGCGTGAACACCGGGTGCTCCTTTTGTTGCACGACGAAGATGATGTCACCCGGCACGGTGTCCGGCGCTTCGTCAGCTTCGCCTTGGAAGACCACTCTTTGGTTGTGCTTCATGCCCTTTTCGATGTGCACCTCGAGCACCTTCTTTTCTTGAACAACCTTTTGAGCGTGGCACTTCTCGCACTTATCCTTCTCGCTGATCGTCTGACCCGTGCCTCGGCAATCGTTACAGACGGTCTGCATTTGCTGCACCATCCCCGGCGCGATTTGTCGAACGACAACCTTGACGCCCGCGCCTCTGCATCCGTTGCACGTGCCGCTCGCCCCCGACTTGCTCCCTTTCCCATCGCATTTTTGGCAAATCACATTCTTCGACAGGCTCAGCTTCTTCGTCACCCCGTTGTACAAATCATCCAATCCAAGTTTCAACCCATGCACGACGTCCTCTCCCTTTCGCACGCGAGATCTCCCTCCTCCTCGTCCGCCGCCGCCCCCCGGCCCGAACGGATTCCCTCCGAACATCGCCTCAAAGATATCAAACGGCGATCCGCCTCCTCCGCCCATGCCTCCGTCCTTCAGCGCGTCCTCACCGTATTCATCGTACAGCTGTCGTTTTTCGTCGTCGCTCAGCACTTCGTACGCGGCGGAGATCTCTTTGAACTTTTGTTCGTCGCCGCCTTTATCCGGGTGATGCTTCACAGCCATCTTGCGGTACGCCTTTTTAATCTCCGCCGCCGACGCCCCCTTGCTCACGCCGAGCAGGTCATACAGCTTCGTGTCGGTGGACTGCGTGCGTTCGTCGTCGCGCGCGTTCGTCAGTCGTTTTCCGCGTCGCGCGTCGCGCGCGTCGGGGCGTCGTCGCGGCGTCGCCGCCGCCGAGTTTCGCGAGGCTTCGAACGCGAGATCGCGCGCGGGGCGCCGCGGCGAGGCGACGCGCGCGCCGCGGCGAGATCGCGATGGGCGAGGCGCGCTTCGAGGCTATCGGCGCGCGCGCGCACCCTGCGTCCGGGCTGGCGGCCGAACATGGCGCGCGCGAATCTGACGCGCGCGCGGCCGCCGTCGCGTTGACGGTGACGTGACGGGATAAATAAAGAAACTCGGACATTTGGTCATACAGTGAGGATTATTTGTTCGATGTGCGTGCGTGCGGGCTGTGTGCGCACGGCGCGGGGAAGGATCGAGACGCTCACGCGGAGAAGCGCGAGAGAACGTGGGCGCGGCCGAAACGCTCGGTCATCACGGCCATGATGCGCGCCGCGGTCTCTTCAACTCCCTTGTGCGTGACGTCCAAGACTTTCCACGTCGGGTTTCGCCGGAATAAGGCTTCGGCGAGGTCGAGCTCTTGGCGAACCACGGAGAGGTCCGAGTAGGAGGAGCGGCGCGACGCCGCGCGATTGGAGACGCCCGTGGCGTCGCTCCTGGCCTGGGATTCGGCCTCGGTGACCCCCATCGTCCTGAGGCGGTGCGCGCGGATGGCGTGGAGAACGTCGGGGGAGATTTTGAGGCCGAAGATGCGGTTTGGATCGACGTCGGCGATGTAGGACGGGATTCGTAATTCGCCGTTGACGGGGACCAAGGGTAAATTCGCGACTTTGTATCCGCGCTGTCCGAGAAAGATGCTCAGCGGAGTTTTTCCGGTGCGACTGATGCCTAGAATGAGGATATCGGCCTCTTTCCACTTCGCGCTCGACGCGCCGTCGTCGCACTGTCGAGTGTATTCCACGGCTTCGATCATACGGTAGTAATCGCTCGACAACAACGCCGCCGACACGCTCGCGCTCGACATCGAGTTCGTCGATCCGCTCGAACGAATCGGTCGCTTGATCATCGGTAGATTCATCGAAGGCATCTCCAAATGCCCCTCCATTTGACGCAAAAGTGTGCCCCAGACGTTGACGGCGTCGACGCCCGCCGCGGCGGCCATCCGCGCCATGCTTTCTGACATCTCAACCTCCGCCAGCGTGTACACGATCATCGCCCCGTCTTCTTTCGCCTGAGCGACGATGGTCGCGAGCTCTTTATTGTCGTTGATGAATCTGAAAACTTCTAAATTCGTCGGATAGGAAATATCCATGCACTTTTCAAATTGGCCGAGCGCAGCTTGCACCGCCTGCGTCGCCGTGGCGCCCGTCGAATCGCTCACGACGAATATGGGTTTCGGCAATTTGCTATCACTCGGCGCCGCGGTCATACCCTCTGGTATCGGCGTATCGCGCACGAACTTGCTCACCACCTCGCGCACCGATGCGGTCGAGGTGGACGTCGTCGTCTCCGTCGTCGTCTCCGTCGTCGTCTCCGTCGACGAACCTCCTCGCTTCTTACTAGACAACGACCGCGCGCGAGACAACTTCCGCAGCGCCGCCGTCCCTCGTCGCGCACCCGCGCGTCGAACCTCGTCTGGATCGCTCGCTTGCACCGCCGGCTGCCTCAACGGCCACGTCGTCGCTCCGTTCGCGCTCGCCCGCCTCAGCTCGGCGAGATCCGCCTCGGCGCGTCGCAACCCGTCCCGCAGCGCCCCCGCCTTGGCCTCCGCCGCCCGCAGCTCCGCCGCGAGCGTGCTATTCTCGACGTATCCATTCCCTGGCATCACGCGCCGCAGCGCTTCACCGCTCACCGTCACCTCCAGCCCCGTCACGCGATCCAGCGTCTCCCCCGTCGGCGCCCGCCACAGCCGCGACACCTTCGTCTTATCCAATTTCGCTCGAATCCGCGCCCGCTCGCGCGCCATCCGCGCGTGCGCGTCGCTCGCGTTTCGAGACATCGTCTCCGCGTCGCTCGGCGCGTCGCTCGCCCTCGTCGCCGCGTCGTCGTCGCGCCGCGCGTCGTCGCGCGTCGACGTCGCGACGGTTAGAGGCACCCCGTTCGGCGCGTCGACCGTCGGACCGCGCCCCGGCGCGCGTCGACCGCGTCGATCGCCTCGCGGTCGCGCGCGCGGCGTCCACGCGCGCGTCCGCGTCGCCCGCGCGCGCATTCGATCGCCGCTCGGCGCGCGCGCGCGTCTGCGGGCGTCACATCGCGTCGACGACGCCGTCCGATGTCCCGGTCGTGGCTCGATGATTTGCGACGCGCGTGCGCGGACACGCGCGCGGACGCCGCGGCGCTCGACGCGCGCGCGCGAGACATGGGCGCGCACGCCGGCGCGCGGCCGGACGCGGTGTGCGCGCCGCGAACGGTCGAGGAGGTGGCGGCGATCGTCCGGACGTGCGCGAGGCACCGACGACCCATCGTCGCGCGCGGCGCGGGCACGGGGCTCGAGGGCGGCGCCGTCGCGTACGGCGGAGGGTGCGTGTTGGACACGCGAATGTTGCGCGCGATCGAGATCGACGAGGCGAACATGTGCGCGAGAGTCGGCGCGGGGGCGCTGAAGAGCGAGCTGAACGCGGCGCTGGCGAAGCGCGGATTCGCGTTCGGGCCGGATCCGAGCTCGAATCCGACGCTGGGAGGGATGGCGAGCACGGGAGGGAGCGGGCTGAGCACGCTGAAGTACGGAACGACGAAGGAGAACGTGCGAAGCATGACGGTGGTGACGCCGGATGGGGAAATCATTCGGACGCGCGCCGAGGTTCGGAAATCGAGCACCGGTTACGAGCTGAACGCGCTCTATTTAGGCGCGGAGGGCACGCTGGGGGTGATCGTGGAGCTGGTGGTGAAGATTGTTCCGCTGCCGAAGCGGCGATGCGGCGCCATCGTGCGATTTCCGACCGTCGGGGCGGCGGGGAAGACGGTGGCTGAGGCGACGGCGGCGAATCTGTCGACGTTGCTTCGATGCGAGTTGATGAACGACGAAGGGATTAAAGTGACGAATGTGGTGTTTCAAACGTCTTTACCGTGCGTGCCGACGCTGTTTTTAGAGTTTGTGGGGAATCGGCAGGGCGAGATGGAGGAGGATTGGGAAAGTTTTCTTCGCATCGCGAAGTCGAACGGGAGCGCGTCTCACGATTTCGCGTCAAACGGCGAGGAGTTGGACGAGCTGTGGGACGCGAGACGTGGATGTTATCTAGGCGCGATGCGCTATCGCGGATTAGAAGCGGGGACGAACGCGAAGGAGAGCGTGTACGTTGGAGACGTGTGCGTTCCGGCGTCCAAACTTTCGGCGTGCATCGCGGCCACGGAGCTCGAGTTCAAAAAAGCGCGGTTTCCGTGCGTCATTTGCGCGCACATCGCCGACGGCAACTTCCACTGTCTCATACCCTTTCAAGAGCACGAACGCGCCGCCTTGTTGGCGCTCGAAGACAAAGTCATCGGGAACGCCATCGCTATGGGCGGCTCCGCCTCCGGCGAACACGGCGTCGGCATCGGAAAACAAAAGTACATCATCATGGAGCACGGTGTGGCGCACGTGGATATCCAGCGCCGAATCAAGCGCGCGCTCGATCCGCTCAACATCATGAATCCCGGGAAAATTATATCGTGGGATCCAAGCGAAGCCGAACTCGCGCGACCTCGCCTCTCCAACCTCTAACGCCGTCGCGCCGCATTCTAGCCGCTCGCGCGAGCGCACACATTGTATTATACTTGCACTTCCGCCTGATCCATCGCGGCACAACTCGGCGCGCGCGCGATGCGACGCCGCGCGTCGACACCGCACACGCGTACGATGCGTCGTGCGCTCGCCTGCGCGCTCGCCGCGGCGCTGTGCTGCGCCAGCGCGCACGCGAGCGCGTCGACACCGCGCGCGTCCGGTGCCCCCGGCGCGCGCCCGTGGATCGTCGAACGCGCTGAACTGCACGGCCTGAGCACGAACGCGCTCGAGGAAGCTTCGAGCAACGTTGAAACGATCGTCTCGCGAGATTGCTTCCTCGTGGCGAAGGATGGGGCGATCGTGCACGAGTCCTACTACGGCGCGAACGACGCCAACACCCAAACGACGACGGATGGCGTCGGCGCGCTCGCGCTGGTCGCGGCGGTCGGCGTCGCGGTGCAGCAAGGATTGTTTGAGTTAGACGCGCCGTTGTCGAAGTACGACTTGCGCTCGGTTGAGGAGGCGTTCGGGGCGTACGCGGATAAGGTGAGCGTGCGACAGCTGTTGGCGCAGACGCACGGCGGCGGTTCGCGCGAACCGGGGACGACGTTCGAACGCGACGACCCGAGAAATGATGGGTTCTTGGATATAGTCGGTGACATAATTGAGTTGAGAAGTGGGATGAAGCTCTCGGAATGGGCGCGCGTGAATGTCGGGGAAAAACTCGGCGCGCCGGAGATGTTTGCGAGCTCGTCTAGGGCGGACGGGAACGACGGCGCGTCACTTTGGAGAGATTTGCGAATGTCTTGTCGCGACGCCGCCAAGCTCGGACAGTTATTCGTGAACCAAGGAAGGTGGACGAGCGTCGATGGGAGCACGCGACAGATGTTTGATCCCACCTTTGCGGTATCGGCGTTGTCGGTGAGTTATCCGTCGCTCAACCAAGCGCACGGCTTGATGACGTGGCTTCACGTCCCGGTGAGCGCAACCGGGACGCAATGCTGCGCACCGCGAACGACGAAAACGTCGTGCGGAATGAGTGCAGAAGCCATCAGTGGGCCGATACTCGGGAGAAACGCTCCGCACGCGCCCGTGGCTGTGAGCTTGGGCGATGAAGGATCGATGATTTTCATGTTGCCGGAGACGAAGACGGTGGTGGTCACTCTGGGACGCACAGCGCCCGGATCACCTGCGTGTCCAGTGGCACCCTCGGATGTCGTCGCCAAGGTGGGTAGCGGTCGAAGAGACGATGCGTATTTGATGCGCACGATCTGGTCTGCCATGGGCGGCGCGCTGAAGCCGGTGGAGTTGGACTCGCCGACGAAAAAGTCAAAACGCACCGCCGCGCTCGAGCATGACTGGCACAGATGGGAGGAAAAGAAGGCATCGAAACATTCAAAAAAGCATAGCACAGATAGCGACGATCGCGTGGCGAGCGAAGGCTCGAGCGAGGGCGCGTCGAGCAGTATTCTCGACGCCGTGCGCGAAGCCATCACGGAAGTCATGGGGGGCGAGGCGAAGAAGGATGGATTAATTCACGACGATCACGCGACGTACGAGGCTCCCGGCGACGCTGGCGAGATGAAACCGACGACGTTTCGGTTACCAATGCCAAGTCCTGGCGACTTAGCCGCGGAGGAGTACGAGAAGCGTCAGATTGAATACGCGCGTCAAATGCAAGAACGCGAGTACAAAAAGTTTGAAGCCGGAGTGCAGAAGGATTATCGCAAAGCGTTGAAGCAAACGCGCGAAAAATACCAAAAGGCTATGCGTGCGGCGCAGTCAATTACAAATGTAGCTCAGCGTGCGCAAGCAGAAGACGTCGCCGCGGCAGAGTACCTCGAAGCTGTCAACAAGATTGAAGAGACGGGTAAGCAGGCGTTACAGCAGTTGGACTCTTGGCGTAAGGCGACGCTTCCTCCGTTGAAGGGCGATGAAGACGTCGGTTTCGGCGCGTCAAAGAACAAGGGAAGTGATCTCGGCTCGGTCGCCGCACACCGTGCGAAACCGAACGCCATCGACGATCTTTCCTCCGTCATGAGCGGCGTCTCTGAAAAGATGCGCAGCATCGGTCTTCGCGCCTCGGAGAAAATTGATTTCGAGGACAATAGGCGTGGCGACACCAAAGAAGACGCCGATGACGGCACGTTTTCCTTGCCAAAACTCGGTGATACGCACGTTGTCCCGCATTCAATGCGTGGATCTTGCGTGTGCGGGTGCCCGAACACGAAGACGTCGCAAGCGACGTGCTTTGACGTCGACGCCAGCGCGCTCGGATCGTCCGAGCAAGCCGCTGACGCGTGTTCCGCGATGCACTCGCGCGCTGGACTTGGATGCCCGCACACGGGCATTGTGCAGCAGTGTGGTGAAGTGATCGGCAAGCGAGGTTTTGCGAGTGACGATCTTGAGTGTAGACAAGTTCGAAAATGTCCGCGCTCAAAGGAAGACGCGGCGAAAACGGCCTTTTTGGCGGCGGTGTTTGATTGCACGCCGACGAGGTTCGCATCGTGCTCATTCGTTGCAGAACCGTGTGCGCACTCGCACGTGGTAATCAAACCAGTTCTTCAAACGGAAGACGACGCGTCCGCACTCGCCCGACCGCAACATTTGAGGCGCGCCGCGCACAGGTTCCACGAGCACCAGCACGCGCACTTGCACGGCAACGCCATGCAACGATGGTTTCAACAATCGTCCGCCGAATTGAGCGTTGCCTTAGCCGTCGTCATCCTCGCTTTGGCCTTGATGACCGTTGCGAGCAAGTGGCCGACCGCGGTGACGGGCGGCGATATGTTCTTTGGGCAGTTACCGCCGAGACAAGTTCGAAGAATGTCGCCGGGCGTCGCGGAACGCGCGCCGCTGCTCGCCTCAAAGACGCGTCAACCGCACGTGCGAAGCGTCTCGGTTTCATCCGAAATCCCGCCGAGCTCGCCGAGCTCGCCGAGCTCGGATGAAGACGAGTCGCCGGTTCGACGGGATGTCGTGCAGCGATTTCCGCGTCCGATCAAGGTGACGCAACCGCAAACCGGCGAGGCGTACGAAGAAATCGTCAAGCCGACTCGCCGCGTCCCCGTTTCGGAAGTTTCCGCCGACGATGACGACGACTCGGCGGTGTGATCGGGGTGCGACTGGATATAGGTAGCCAACGAGTGTACTGTAACGTATTCAACAAAATATTTAGATCGCGTCATAAACGAAGCCGCGCGAAACCCATGGCGGCGCGCGTGAGAGGAATCCACGATCGTCGAGCCGAGGCGAGCGCGACGCGCGACGCTCCACCGCCGACAACCAAGGGAGCTCCGGACGCCATGTTCGAAGCCTCACCATCGTGTGACACCGATGCGCGCGCGTATGCGTGATACCCACGTCCCAGACGCGTGGGCGCCGCCGCCGCACCGCCGGCGAAGGAGCGGAAGAGGCGCGCGTAACGCTGTTCGCCGCCGAGCTTGCGCCGCTTCGCGTCGGCGTCGTCCCCGCCTCCGCCCAAACCCCCACCACCGCTCTCGAACCGCTTCGTCGCAGACGTGGACGCATCGCCGGACATTCGACTCGGGCTAAGCCCGAAGTCCACCGCCATGTTGGCCAAATGATCGGCGTGTTTGTTAAACTCGCGCTTGACGTGAGAGATCTTAAACTCGGTAAACTTTTCCTTCAACTCGCACGCTTCGGCGTGCATGGACTTCAAATTCGCCGACTTCAGCTTGAACGATCCTTCAACTTGATTCACGATGAGTTTACTGTCCCCTCGCACCTCAATCTTCGTGATCCCGAGCTCCACCGCCTTGCGCAACCCCAAGCACAGCGCCGCGTACTCGGCTTCGTTCACCGTCCGCTCGTTCCCCAAATACTCCAACAACTCCTCCACGATTCGATCGTCCCGCTTCCTTCGCAGCAGTGCCCCCGCCCCCGCCTCCCCCGGATTCCCACGACTCGCCCCGTCGAACTCCAACACGTACTCATCCTCGCTCCGATCCTCCTTCGGCGCGTTCGCCGCGCTCGCGAGCGCTCGCACGCGCGCCTCGATCCCGTCCTCCGCGTCCTCCCCCGCGCGCGTCGACATCCCTCGTCCCCCCGAAGTCCCGCGCTTACGCGCGCTCACTTTTTTCTCCATCACTCGCGCGTCTTCGTTCGCCGATCTCGCGCTCTCCGTCGCGTCGCCGTCGCGAATTCCGTCGTCGTCGCGCGTCGCCTCGACCGTTCGAGCCGTTACGCCGCCGTCGGTCGCGTCGTCCCCCCGATGCGCCTCCAGGTACGCCCGCGCCTCGTCCAGCGTCGCGAATTTCTGCGCGCGCGAATTCGAGTGCGAAAAATTAGTCTTCGCGCGTTCGCGCCGTCGCGAGGGCGCGTCGCGCGTCGCGCGCGCCGTCGTCGTCCGATGTCGTCGCACCTTGTGCATCGCGCCCCCAAAGTTTTGCACCTGCTTCTTCGCGTCGTCCCACGTCGTGTACACGCCGCGCGCGCGCCCGCGCGCGACGGCGTAGAAGGATTCTTTTCGCGCGCTTCGCGGCATCGCGGAATCGCGACGCGATCGCGACGCGCGACGGAGTGACGCCGGAACGACGACGTCTCGCGACGATGTCGGGACACCGGGACGCGGCTTCGCGACGGGATCGGCGCGCGCGCGGGGCGATTCGGGACGCGCGCGCGCGCGCGCGAGCGCGCGACGGTGTGCGTGAGGTCGCGGGCGCGCGCGCGACGACGCGGGCGCGCGGGCGGCGACGCGAACGTCGCGCGAAGGGTGGTTTCGGAAGCTGTCGGGAATGTCGCGACGCGACGACGCCGGCGCCGAGGGGACGTCGGCGCGCGCGTACGCCGCGCACTGGGACGGGGTGTACGATTCGGCGTCGCAGCTCGCGCGCGAGTGGCACGCGGCGTCGGAGGCGTGCTTCGAGGTCGCGGATGGGTTTCTGCGGGCGGCGGCGAGCGCGAGCGCGGCGGGCGCGGCGGCGCTCGTCGACGTCGGGTGCGGATCGTCGAGCATCGGCGTCGACGCGGCGGATGAGTACGGGTTTAGGGGTGACGTCGTGCTGTTGGACGTGAGCGAACGGGTGATCGAGGTGCTGCGGGCGCGGTACGCGGAGGACGCGCGGGTGCGGTGTCGCGCGGCGGATTGCCGGGACTGTCGAGCCGACGTCGCGGACGGAAGCGCGACGTGCGTGATCGATAAGGGTACGTTGGACGCGCTCAACGGAGACGAAGATAAGCGCGCGCTCATGGATGAGATGTTGCGTATGACGAGAGAGGACGGGATAATCTTGAGCGTGTCGTTCTCAGCCGTGGCGAGATTTGTATTTCTAAAACGCGAGACGACGAGGCTGGGGTTGGATTGGCGGTTTCGCGTCGTGAGCGAGGGCGATCCCGCGCGCGGACACTCGGCAATTTTCGTGAGCGTGCTGTACAGAAGTTCGAGCGCGTCGTTGTTTCGCGATGTGCCGTTCGAGGACGACGCGTTGACGCGAACGCTCGTCGAGCGCATGGAGCGAACCGGGAGCATCGTCGACGACGAAAGCGACGACGAGGGACGTGTGACGCTCGATTTCACGCGAGAGGAAGAGATTTAGAGAATTAGATGAACCGGTAGGCCGCGAGGTGCGCGCTTAGAGGCATCGCGCTCCGAAGCGATCGTCAAAACAACTTTGATATTAAAATTAAAAGTCAAAACATCGCGCTCGGAGATGAACTCGCGCGGCGTCGCGTGAAATCAAAAGAATGAAAACCTACGTCGAGCGTTTGGTCTTTCTTCATCCTTCGTCACGTCGCGGCGCGCGCGGTTCTTTCCACTCCGAGCTCGTTCTAGTTCAACCGAAGCGCGACTCGATTCCGCGCTCACGCCTTCATGAGCGCGTCGATATCCGCCGTCAAGTTTGCGTTTTCAAACTTTGGCGAGTACCGCTTCGCCGGAACTCCATCCTTGCCGATGAGGAACTTTTCAAAGTTCCACGTCACATCCGCCCGTCGCACCGGCGACCACTGAATCGGCATGGAGTTCGGTTGCGTCTTATAAATGTGATCCGATCCCAGTCCGCCCTTGTCGTCCGCCGGTTCGCGAATCGAATTCTTCAAAAACGTCCAAAACGGGTCCTCTTCGTCCCCGTTGATCGTCATCTTCCCCGTGATCGTGAATTTCGGTTCGTATCCATCTCCCGGTCGCACGTACTTCAGCGTGTTCAGCAATTCAAAGTCTTTATCGTAGCACTGGTGTCCGAATTGGTTGCACGGCACGCCGAGGACGACCAAGTCGTCCCCGTACTTTTCCTTCAGGGCGTTCAACTGAACAAAGTCCCTGACGGTCGTGCCTCAGAACGTCGCGACGTTGTTGATGAGGACGACTTTGCCCTTGTATCGGCTCAGCGGGAGGTCCTCGCCGTCCGTGGGCGCGTCGCGCGCGCCACCGCCGAGCGTCTTGAGCGTGAAGTCGTAGATGGTGGACGCGGCGCGGACGCGCACGGAGGCGCGCGCGGACGCGCGGGCGGCGCGCGGACGCGCGGGCGCGCGCGCGAACGCGGTGTTCGCGAGGGCGTGTCGCGAGGCGAGCATCGGAAGCGCGCGCGCGAGTGAGGTGGACGTCGAGCGATGAAGTTGCCCTAAGACCTCGGGAACCGCCCCCCTCGAGGCGGGCGAGCGGCGGCGAGAGAGGCGGTCTGGAGCGGGCGGCGAAGACGCGGTGACGATGGGCGATGGGAGAGGGCTGTAAAAATAATACAAATCGCGGTGGTGACCGGGGAGGGTGAGGCGAGGACGACGAAGACGTCGAGAGAGGGGGGAGACGCGTCTCGCGGCGAGCGCGAAATCATCGCTTCTTGGTGGATTTTTTCGAGCTCGAAGTCTTCTTGAGCTTTTTGCGAGGTTTGAGGGCGCTCGCGAGGTCGGTGCCGTCGCCAGGGAGTTCGTCCCACGCGCCGAGTTTGTTCTTGTTCTTCTTTTCAGCCTTGGCGAAGAGAGCGTCGATGTCGTCGTCGGCGTCGAATCGCACGTCGTCGTCCGAATCGTCGCGCGGCTTCTCTGGCGCGAGTTTGGTCGGTTTCGCGCGCGACGCCTTGGAAGTCGATGGTGCGTCGGCGTCGTCCACGGCGTCGGCGTCCACGGCGTCGGCGTCCGTGGCGTCGCTGTCTTCGTCCTCCGCGCTGTCGCTCTGCGGTTCGCCGTTCGCGGGCTCGGCGTCGCCTTCGACGCCGAGGTTTTGTCCGGGCTTGTAAAATGCGTCGAGCAAATAGTCGTCGTCTGGGGCGTCTCTGTATCCGTCGTAATGCGTGCGCACTTTATTCGCCAAGCGATCGGCTTCGAAATCGGCGGCGGCTTCCTTGAGGAGTTCGGTCCACTCGCGCGCCGTTCGCGAAGCGTTCCGCACGCATCGCTTCAAGTCCTCGCTCGGCACGCCGTTTCCAGTCTTAGACAACGCGCAGACTTCATCGTGCGTGTTGACGACGACCACGATAGAGGCATCCGCGGTGACTTCCTCCTCCAACGTCGGATCCGCCACGGCTAACCCGGGAACCTCGTCGAAGAAGCAATACGTCGACGCGATGGGAAAGTGATGCATATTCAGCGGTATCGCCTCTCGCGCGTCCGCGCTGTGCACGGTCACCGTTCCAGTGTTCGGATCGACCGCGCATTCGGGGCGACGATACGTCATCAACGATCCGCACGCCGCCAGACTCGCGGCGCCCGCCAAGTTTCCGTCGTGCGCCAAAATCGTCACCGCGCACGTCACCACCCACACCCGCTTCCCCGCCAGCACGCACAGCGACTCCACGTCCACCGCTCGCGCATCCTTCAGCCCGCGCTCGAGCAGCGCGCCCAAATCCTTCGCTCTCTGTCGCGTCTCTCGATTCGCTCGTCCCTCGCGCGCGAACCCCTCGCACGCCCCGCTCGAAAACTCGCAATCCACGCGCAGGACGCCCTCGGACGACGCCCCGGCGCTCTGCGGCCGCTCTAACATCGCGCTCGTCGACGCGCACGCGATCGTGCGCCCGAGACGGACGACGCAGACGCCCTCGAGCGGGCCGAGTTTGATTTCAAAGTCGGCGCCCGCGCGCGCGTCGTCGGGCTCGCGTCCGTCGCCGCGGAACGGGCCGCCCTCGTCGTCGCCGCGCAGGGCGTCCACGATGAACTCTCGATTGTTCAGGCACACCAGCGCGTCGGCGTCGGTGGTGAAGGGACGCATGACGACGAGTGCGGCGGCGAGCGAAGAAGAAGAGGCGAGCGCGCGAGCGTCGCGGCGTCGCACTACACGTCACGGGCGCTCGGGATGATTTCTATGAAGGACTCCGTGGAATCGCACGGAGACGCGCGAGATGGTTTTCGCGATGGCGAAGACTCGACGGCGGCGAAGGAGGCGGGAGAGGCGAAGGAGAATTCGGCGGCCCACGGCGACGATTCGGATTCGGCGTTCGTCGCGGCTCCGACGCCCAATTTGGCGTTGAGCTTCGCGCGCACCGACGCGAGTTCGCGACGAAGGGTGGCGTTTTCACGCCCGATGTCGGCCTGGAGACTCGCGAACTCGCGCTCGCGGGACTCGATTTCGGCTTCGGCGGCGCGCTTCACTCGCGCGAGTTCGTCGGCGGCGCTCGTCGCCGTCGGCGGCGGCGCGGACGTCACGCCCGCGCTTCGAAGCGTCATCTCGCGAATTTGCGCGAACAGCCCGGCGAGTTCGGCTTTGGTCTGCATCTCTTCGTTCACCAGCCGTTCGGTGGCGATTCTCGCCTCGGCGGCGCGCTCGACTCGAAGACGAAACGCCTCGTCTTGCGCCTCTTGTGAGGGTACGCGCGCGAGTCGCTCCCGCAAGTCGGCGATCTCGCGCTCGAGTGAAACTTTCTCGAGAAAGTATGTCTCTAATTTCCGTTCCGCCGCGTCGGCGCGCGCCTCGCTGGCGCTCAAACGCTGTTCCAAACGATCAATCTCCAACGTCCGCGTCTGGTCGGCGACTTCCACGTCAAACGCTCGCTTCGCTTCGAGATCGCGAGTCAACTTGCCGATCGTCTCGTGCTGCGACGCTATCCTGTGTTCACGAACCTCCGCTTTCGTCTCTAGCGAGCGCACGCGCTCGCTCAGCGCGCGCATATCGCCCCGCAAAGCCTCCTCCCTCGCCGCGTTCGCCGCGCTCGCCTCCGCCTCGACGCGTAACCGTCGCTCGTACGACTCCCGCGTCGACGCCAAACTCGCACTGAGACTCTCGATCGCGCGTTCTTTCGTTTTCAACGCGTCCCGCAGGCTCACATCTCTGGCCTCGACCGCCGCCGCCGCCCGTCGCGCCGCCGCCGCCGCGAGCGCCTCGCGCTCCGCGTCGCTCGTCGCGCGCGCCGCCGCAGATCGCGTCTCCGCCTCGTCTCGCTCCAGACTCACCCCCACGCGCTCTGCCTCGCGTTCAAGCATCTCTAACCGCCGTTCGAACGCGCTCGTCGCCATAGACGCGTCCTCCGTCTCCCTCCCCGTCGCCGCGCCGCCGTCGGTCAACGCGTCGCCCTCGCCGTCCTCGCGCGCGCGCCCTCGCCGTCCCGCATCGCTCGCCTTCGCCCGCGCCGCGCCCTCGGGCGTTCGCAGCACCTCCGCCGCGAGCTCGCGTATCATGCGCGACGTCGGCGACGCGCCCGGCGCGTCCATGTCGTCGCGCGCTCGAGTCAACGCCCTCGCCGGTCGCGACCGTCGCGCGGAAACCTCGCGCCGCGGGCCTCGTCGAGCGCGCGCGCGCGCGCGACGCGCGCTCGATCGCCGTCGCGCGTCGCGAGCGACGGTCTCGAGCGCGCGACGCGCGTCGCGCGCGAAGAGGCGAGGCGCGACGCGTCGGAGTGCGGTCGATCGTCAAAACGACGATTCAAATATTTGAATTCAAACCTCATTCGCGCGCGCGGCGACGCGCGATCGACGCGCGGAGTCGCGGCGACGCGCGCGGCGCGCATGATGACGGCACTGTTAGCCGCGCCGACGCGCGCGACGGACGCCGTCGCGGCGCGCGCGCGCGAGGCGTCGTCGATCGACGACGGTGAAGACGTCGATCGAACGACGACGCGCGACGGCGACGAACGCGCGAGCGACGAACGCGCGGACGCGGACGACGCGAGCGCGAGCGGAAGTCAACCGATGGGGAGCCTGGAGAGCGAATCGAGCCCGATGGGGAGCTTGGCGAGCGATGAGGAGGCGGACGAGGACGACGAGGACGACGGGCGACGCGACGCGAAGAAGGAATGGACGCTGGAGGAAGAGAGGATGTTTTACGAGACGTATCTGAGCACGAATGGGAACATGAAGAAAGTGTGTGATGCGATGGAGCGGGCGCCGTACGAGCGGGATCGGAAGTTGGTGCAAAAGTTTCGATTCAACGCGACGCGGCGGTTGCAGGGGTGCCTGAAGAGTTTGAATTTGAGCTTGGATACGAAGGACAAGAGGGAGGTTTTGGAGGCGTTTCGATCATATTGGAAGTTTCGCCAGGCGGCGGGGTTGGAGGGTGAGAGTGTGCGGGCATTTGGACAGCGATTGGGGTCGAAGGTGCACGGGCTGCAAAAGAAGTGCGCCGAGGCGCTGCGGAGAGACTTGAGCGCGACCGGGCTTCGGCCGGAGTGGCGGAATATGGGCGAGATGGAGGCGAGCGGGCGCGGGAAAGGTGACGCCGTGGCGAAGACTGACGTGACGCACGATGTAGTGGATGAGTTCGGGGAGAATATTGAAGGGACGGACTCGGTCATCGTCGAAAACGGCAAGCCTAAATTTGTGGTGCAAATGTTCCCGCTCAACCGGGAGACGTACGACCAAGTCGCCGGGACGAAAGGGTTCAATCCGATTTTAGAGCTTGCGTTGAGGCAAAGGAAGACCGTGTCGTCTCTCGCGTTGCACTTGAGCGAGAAGTGGGTGCATGCGCGGCCGACGCCGAGTCATATTTTACAAATTTACCCGTTTTCAAGCGCATCCGGCGCCCTCGGTCCTTGGAACGTCAAGTTTGGCGACTTGAAGATGACGGACCTGTTCGCTTCTCTGGACGAACCGAGGTGTTTTCGGTTGCGATATGCGTGGGTGCACGAGACTAAGGCACGCGCGCCCGGTCAAACGCCGCCGAAGACGGTCGAGAAACGCAAGTCTAACGCGTTCAGCGGCATCTCCATCGGCGCCGTCACTTTCGATCCGATTCCCGGCGACACGCCGGCGACGAAGACGGTAAAGCAACCGTTAGACATTGGGACCGGTGAGCTTACGATGGGCGACTTCGCCGATATCGGCGACACGAATCCTCCACCTACGCTTGGTTCCCGTGGGCGTCAACCGCTGGCGCGCGTCAACTCCCAGCCCGCGGCGCCTCCGCTGAGCGACATTTTCCGCTCGCCCAAGAAGTCGAAACTTATGCCACACTCCGACGCATCGCTTCTCGGTGTGCTCGATGGTATAGACGACATAGAACCAGGAATTCCTGATTTTGGCGGTGGCGACACGCTCAACGCGATGGGTATGGGTATCTCCGATTCTCTGTTGGGTTTCGAAGCGGGCGATTCGCAATTCTTGCGCGACTTTGCGGCGACGCGTTCGCGCGCCCCCGGCGTGCGAGAAAACGGTGGCGAAAAGGGACCGACCACGTTCACGGGCATGTTCAAGCGCTGATTCGATCACACCTGTTCTACTCCTACTCTACTCCTACTCCCGCTCGCTCTTCATCTAGTTTTCGCGACGACGACTGTACAGTACATCATCTCATCAAAACAACACGTCGCTCCTGAGCACGTACTTCGTCCCCTCGCGCACTTCCTCCCCCTCGTGCTCGGGCATGTCCGCACCGTGCCTGAAATAAAGCGCCCGTCCGATCTTCGGTCGCACTCGACACCGTTCTTCTCCGACCTCGTCGTAAAAAATAGTCGACCCGCCCTCGACGTCTTCGCTCAGATAAAACAACGCCGTGTACTTACTTCGTCTCCCGAGCGCCGTCACGCGCTCGTCGACGTGCGCGCCGAAGTGTTCGCGCGCTCGATACCGATACACTCGTATGTTTGGATTCAATCCCACCGCGTCGTCGATTTCAAATCCAAACGTCGCCGCGACGTTCGCCCTCTCGTACAGCCGTCGCGCGAACGCCTCGCTCGTCTCCGCGAACCGTCCGTTTCGTCGCCGCGCCTCGCCGTGCCGCGGTCCGCGGCTCGAGCTCGCCGCGAAGTCATCGCCGATCGCGTCGACGATTCGCGCGCAGTCTCGCGCGGTGAGGGCGTCGTCGACGACGATGATTTCGTTCGCGACGAGGTGGCGGGGACGGATCGGACGCGCGTCGGCGCGCGCGTCGAGCTCGGGGAGCGTCGCGCGAGGCGCGCGGGCGGCGCCGCGGGTGGGGGCGCCCATCGCGCGCGCGCCGACGGGCGAGGCGCGCGCGCGCATGTGCGGTAAAAATTGTCTTCTCTTATTGTCACTATTTTAACTGTTGACGCCGCCCGCGCCGTGACCGGCCGGGCTGCTCATGATGGGCCGGGCACGGCCGCGAGGCAGCGATCGACGCGATCGGTTTCGCTGGCGTTCGGTCGGGAAATAGTATTAAAAATGAAATAAATCACGCCGGCGACGCGGCTTGGACGAAGGCTCGGCGTAAGACGCGAGCGATGCGGTGCCGAACGCACGCGCGGACGAGCTCCGGCGCGTGCGAACGCGCGTCCGGGTCGAGCGCTCGTGCGTCGATGATCGACGACGAGGTTTGAGTTTTCGAAACCGCCCTCGAGGCGTCGTCGAGGGTGTGTAACCAAGCGCTGGCGCGCTCTTGCTCGCCGTCGACGGACTCTTCCACCGTCGCGAAGACGCGCGCGGCGGCGGCGGCGGCGGCGCGCCGTTCCGCGGGCTCGCTCGGGTCGTTCGCGCACGCGCCCGCGTCTTTAGAAAGACGAACGAGACGCCGTTTGGTTCGATTCGCCGAACTCAAACGTCCGTGCGCATCCGCGGCGACGATTTCAAAGTAGGCGCCGAGCGCCGACGCGCGGTTCGCGTCGTTCAAACCGCTCGCCCCGCGTTTGCGCGCCAGGCGCATCGACGCGTCGTCGAAGACGTTACCATCATCATCGACCGCGTCTCCGGCGTCTCCGGCGCCGTCGATCACGTCTTCGTCGTCTTCCTTCTTGATCGTCGTCGCCTTCGTCGCGGTCGCCGCTTCGCGCCAACCCGGATGTCTCGCTCGTTTATGCGCGCACAAACTCGAAGCGCTCCCGTAACTCTTCTCACACCCTCCTATCCCACACACGAATGTCTTCTCGTACACCGCCAGCGCGCGCCGCGGCGCTCTCTCGCGCGCCCGCGGCGTCATCGCCGCCGCGAACGCCGTCAAATCGTCCGCCCTCGTCGCCGCTTCCGAATCCCTCGTCTCCCGATCCGCGGCGGCGTCAAACAGCGCGTCTAATCGCATTCCAACCACCACCGCCTCGCGCGCCCCCCCCGACGCGCTCGCGCTCGCCCCTCTCGTCGACCGCGTCTCGTCGTCGCCGCCGACTTTGAATTTCAAACCGTCCTCGCGCGCCCCGCGCCCGCCCTCCCCCCCCTCGCGCGTCCTCGTCCTCGTCGTCGCCCGCCGCCGCGCCTCGCGAATCATCGGCGTTCGCACCGCCGTCTCGCGCGCCGACGCCGCCCTCGTCGCCGATCCTCGCGCCGTCGCCGTCGCGCCCTTCGCCTCGTCCATCGTCTCGCGTCGCGCGCCCGACCCGAGTCGCGCGTCGTTCGCGCGGTCGCGCGTCGTCGTCGCGCGCTCGATCGTCGTCGACATCGCCGCGAGCGCGCGCGCCGCGTCGCGCTCGACGTCCATGACGCGTCGCGCCGTGACGCGCGTCGCGCCGCGACGCGCGCGACGCGCGACCGCGCGCGGCGACCGACCGCGCGCGGCGCGGCGCCGTCGACGACGATCGAGCGCGCGCTCGACCGCGACGTCGCGCGAAAAAAAATAGTCGCGCGCGCTCGAGCGCGCGCCGACGCGCCGACGCGACCGTCGCGCCGGCGCGCGCGCGGAGATCCGCCTCGGAAGACGTTTTCGATGCGTTTTTACGTCGAGTCGCGCGCGCGTCGACGGCGCGCGCGCGACCGCGCGCGCGCCGCGTCGGGCGAAAAAACGCGACGACGCGAAAAAATGCGACGCGCGCGCGATGGTCGGAACGCGAGGCGACGCGGCGAGGACGTCGTCGCGACGCATTTCGTCGCGCGCGAATCGCGAATCGAACGATGTCGATCCACGCGTGCGCGCCGGTGACGAACGGCGTCGGGAAACGCGTGAAGGACGCGGTGAAACGCGTCGGCGCCGCGGGCGGGCGCGCGCGGACGCTCGCGCGCGTCGGCGACGACGACGACGACGATGAGGATGACGGTTCGGTGACGGCGCGCGACGACGACGACGACGACGACGACGACGACGGGACGTGGCTCGCGCTCGACGGCGCGACGACGACGACGATGACGACGCGAGAGATGCGCGAGACGCGGTTCGGTGGGGCGCGCGCGCGCGAGGTGCTGGCGGTGCCGGTGCGAGCGCGAAGGCTGGCGGCGGCGCGGGACGCGACGGCGAGCGAGCGGGACGTCGTCTTCGCGGTGAGACTGCGCGACGAGCGCGACGGCGCGCGAGGGGGGAGGCGGCGACGCGCGGAGACGCGGGACGCGGACGCGGGCGCGGCGCGAGTGGGGCGGATTCGGGAGGATCCGGGAAGAGACGCGCGGTGGTTGTTTCCGGCGAGACGCGCGGCGAGCGAACGCGAGGGAGGATCGGACGTGGACGCGGACGCGATGCGGGCGATGCTGGCGTCGAGCGGTTCGGGAGGTGAATGCGCGCGCGGGCCGATGGTGTGTCGGGGGTACTGCTCGAGCGCGTGGTCGATCGAACGCGTGCGCGAGGCGTGCGACGTCGACGCCGTCGTCGACGTGCACGTGTGCGCCGAGCGCGTCATAGATTTAGCCGGACACCGCGCGCCGGGGACGCCGAGAAACTTTCAGTTCCGAAAGATGGCGTTCGGTGAGTTTCTCGATCGCGTGAGCGAGCGCGCGGGACGCGAACCGTTGATTGGGGAAGGTGAGCGATATTATTTGAGAAGCGTCGACGGTAAGGCGCGCGCGGACGTGCGTCGAACGCATCCGGGACTCGCTCGGGCGCTCGAGCTCGAATGCGTGTGGCCCGAGACGCGCTTTCACAGCTCCGTGTTGCGAATCAGTTCGTCCGAGACGACGCTCCAGACGCACTTTGACACGCACGATAACGTTCTGATTCAACTCGCCGGCGAAAAGGAGGTGACGTTGTTTCCACCAGAGGTGGACTCGTACATGTACGTCCAAGGCTCGAGTTCGCGCGTGAATTACCCAAACGACGCGCCCGGAGAATTTCCACTGTTCGATAAGTACGCCAAAGACGCGGCGTTGAAAATCAAGCTTCGCCCGGGCGACGCTCTGTTCATTCCCGCGTTTTGGTTTCATCACGTCTACGCCTCGGGCGACGGCGCGTCCGTGGCGGTGAATGTGTTCTTTCGCACGTTTGAACCGAGCGCGTACAATCCGAGTGATATCTACGGTAATAAAGACTTGGTTGCGGGCAAAGAGGCGTGTGATCTCGCCTCGCGCGCGGGGAGCGCGTTGGACGAGTTGCCCGAACCGTTTCGCAGTTTTTACGCCCGGCGCGCCGTCAAGGCTTTGGCGAATCAACTCGCCGTGCGCATTAACGAAGAGTGGTGATGGCATAAATTTGCGTTACAATGCGAAGCGCCGGGACGGGCGCGTCGTCGTGAAGTGTCGCGTGGATCGTCGTCGTCGTGCCAGTGTCATCGTCATCGTCATCGACTCTAACTAACTCATCGGCGGTGGCGCGCGGCGGGGGATAAAATCATGGCGAACTCGTTCATGCTGCGGGACACTCGACGGCTGGCGCTTCGGACGATGTTCTCGAACGCCGCGAGCTCCTTGACGTGCGTTTCGCGGAACATGCGAAAGGCGACGAGGGCGAGGAAGGAGAGACAAAATCTCGCCTTGACGTTGACCGAGGCGAAGGCGAAGGCGCCGAGGAGTAAACCGCCGATCCAACGCTTCGGCGCGCTCAGCGCGTTGAAGCGAGAGGACGTGAAAATGTGAGCGGTGACGTAGGCGTTGGTGATCGAGTATCTATACGCGTCGAAAAATGGAGGCACGGTGAACGCGCCGACCCAGAGCGTCGTGGCGACGGCCCACGCGGACATGACGTGCCCGAGCGCGCTGACGGCGTACAACGCGAGAAACGTTCGAAACACGGCGCTGTTGTCCCGTCCCGCGAGCACGCCTCGGTGTCTGGACGCCCACGCGTTGAATGAAATCGCCCACCGCTGCGCCATATCTCCCACCGCGCGATCGTTCAGCTCTAAACCGTACGACAGTCGCGGAAACATCACCGCCCACACGTACTTGTACGCCAAGTACGCCATCGACGCGTACGCCGTCAAACTCACCCCACTCACCGTCGACCGCGGCGCGAGACGCACGAACAACAACATCGTCATCCCAATCGTGAAATGAATCGCCGATCGCGCGGCGTCTCGCCACAACAACACCTCCAGCACCGCGCCCCGCGCTCCGTACCCCTCGCTCGCCTCCGCGCGCCGCCGCGTCTCCCGCCGCATCGCCTCTCCCACGCTCTCCGTCTCCGGCGTCTGCACCACCCCGCACGCCACTCGCTCGCCTCGCATCTCGCCGTAATACGGCGTCAGCGCCCGCTTCCGATCGAACTCCTCCGTCATTCGTCCTCCGTCCGTCGTCGTCTCCGCCGCGAAGCTCGCCGGCGTCGCGTCCTCCGTCCTTCGCACCGTCCCGAACGCGTCCAGCGACTCCACTCGCTTTCGCAGCGCCGCGGGCGTCTCGACGAAATCATCCCGCGCCCATCGCGCGCCCCGTCGCAGCTCCACCGTGGACGCGCGCGACGCGCCCGAGTCCCCCCGTCCCGCGCTCGCGTCGTTTCGCAAATCCGCGAACGGTCGCCGTTCGCGTTCGCTCGACGCGCCGCGCTCGAGCGTCGAGCGCGAGGTCGACGCGAAATTTTCAAACATCCCGTCGTCGCGCGTCGCGTCGTCGCGCGTCGCGTCGGTCGCCGCGCGATGTGACGCGGGAACCGAACCGACGAAATCGTTCGCGCGTTGGTTCCCCCGCGCGTCGATCTCGACGGGGTCTTTGTCATTCTCTGGTAAATGGGTATGCGTACCGTCATTATATGGACTCTGAGGCACTATAATACGTCCAATGACGCTATATAAAAATGTGAGCGATGTGGGCGCGCGCGCGCGGGACGGCGCGCGTCCGCGCGTCCGTTCGCGACGCGCGCCTCGCGCGGCGCGACCGCGCGCGCGATGTCGATCGCGGGATTCGATCTGTCGTCCATCGCGCGCGCGCTGCCGCTGGATCGCGCGAAGCGCGCGTCGGCGTCGGTGAATTTATTGCTCGCCGTCGCCGACATGAAGCGCGACAAGCGCGACCAGTTCGAGCGCAACCTCGACGCCGCGGTGCGAGTCTACGGCGGCGTCGGCGTGGTGTCGCTGAAGTTTAACACGCTCAACGGACGCGGGCTGACGATGCTGACGGAGGCGGTGAAGACGGGCAAGGGGGAATTCGCGGAGACGCTGCTGACGCGATACGGCGCCGACCCGACGGCGGAGGCGGACGGCGCGTGCGCGCTGGCGATGGCGCTCGCGGCGAGGGAAGCGTTTTTGACGTTTGGTGAGATTCTGGAGGCGCACGCGACGAGGGTTGGGTTCGAGAGCTTGGAGGCGTACGTGCGCGAAAAGTATCCGGCGGGCGCGGAGGCGTTGGCGAAGAGACGCGCGGAGACGAAGATTCGAGGGCGGTCGTTGAGCGAGGTGAACGAGGACGCGGCGTCGCTGAAGACGGTGTCGCGAGTGGAGCGCGCGCGATCGACGACGACGTCGTCGTCGGTGGAGACGGTTCGGTACCGCGCGTTGGGGAGCGGCGAGGCGACGACGGAACTCGCGATGCCGGCGAACGCGGGCGAGGAATCGGAGGGGGAATCGGAATACTCGATGCCGACGCCGGACTCGACCGTCGTCGCGGTGGAGTACCTGCGTCAGCAGATCGGGGTTCTGCGGGAACTGGACGATCGAATCACGGAAATCGAGTTCGCAGACGCCGACGCCGACGTCGACGAGATGGACCGTTTTCGCCATGCTCTCTCCGCGGCGGAGGATGAGTTAGTCGAGAGCATGGATGATATATATATAGACCACGACGAAGCGTTGCCGGCGATCGTCGAAGAGTACAAGCGTCGTGCGCGAGAGAGCATGACAAGGTTGAACGATCGCGTCTCGTCGTTGTTATTTCGCAACCGCCCGGCGCCCACGCGCGCAGACGCGCCGCCGGCGTTTTTTTCGCCTCAACAGTGACTACGGATCGTGTAACTGTGTAACTATACTTCAGTCCTAGATCTAATCAGCTATCGGTTTCGCGTTCGCCCGCGGTCGTCGCTGGCGGCGAGATCGGTGGATCCGCGCTCGGCGGCGGTTGACTTGTTCTGGCCAATTCCTCCAAACCGGCGCCCAATATGCGAAACGCGCTCGTGGACGCTTGACCGACGAATCTACCAACCTGACCGGCGAACGCCGACACTTGACCAGCAGTGATGGAGAGCGACTCTTCTTCCTCGGGCACACCCGGACGAACCGAGCGCGCGCGACCGAACGAAAGCGTCGCGATTTCGCGACTCGCCGGCACCGGTCTCGAAGACCACGGCACGTGCACTCTCTCACGGTCTCTCTCGAGCTGATCTTCGACCTCGACGTCGACGCGATCGATGATATAGTCAAGAACATACGCCACGTCTTCCTCGGCGGTGTACTTTGGCGACTCGCCGCCGTGCATGTCCTTGACGGCGGCCGCGATTTCCTCTTCGTCGTTGGGATTGACGCGCGTGCCCATGATGAGATGCTTCGCCATGTTCATCGCGTTCGGATCCGTCCCCACGTCTCGCCGCGCCAACAGCGACGCCGCGACTCGCGCTATGTTCACCCCCAACGACACCGTGTCTTCGATTTGCTGACTGAATCGAACCCCGTACCGCGCCCACGTGGCGAAGTGCTCGCAGTTATTCGCCCGCACGCAATACGCCCCGTATCGTCCCTCGTAGAACCCCTGATCCACCGCCAATCGACACCGATCGACGATCTCTCCGATTCTCAGCGGCGCGTGCGTCGCGTCGAACCGCTCGTTCCCGCACCTCGGGTCCTCGCCGACGTCCGCCAGCGGGCTCAGCACGCACGCCGCGTTCGCGTCCATGTCTCGATTCCTCTCCCCTCCCTCGTCCTCGCCGCCCTCGGGCGCCCCCCACAGGTGCACCACGCACTCCACCGCCGCGTCGACGTCGTCGCCGTCCCGCATCCACCGCCAAATCCCCAGCGCGTCGTCCGCGACGCCGACGCGTCCGACGTACACCGCCCAGTGCTCGAACCCGACGTCGAAAAACTCGCGCGCGACGCGATGCCAGAACACGACGTCTCCCGGTCGTCGCGCGCGTCCTCGGCGCGGCCACGCGCGTCCGCGCGCGCGGCCGCGCGGCGCGCCGTGCAGGCGCGCGCGCGACACCGTCGACGCATCGCGCCCGGTCGTCCATCCCTCGCGCGTCGCGTCGCGCGCGCCGTCGCCTCGCGCGCCGTCGCGCGCGCCGTCGTCGACGCGCATCGTTTCGCGTCGCTCGCCGCGCGCGCGTCGCGCGAGGCGTCGGCGGCGGCGCCGCGCGCGGCGATTTGTGACGACGCGGGCGCGCGCACATCGCGACGCGCGACGACGCGTCGCGCGGCGCGCGCGACGCGGATCGCGCGCGCGACGCGACGCGGATCGCGCGCGCGGCGTCGGCGTCGCGCGCGCGCGCGCGACGACGCGCGCGCGCGCGCGAGAGGGGAGGTTCGACGGTCGTGGAACATCTTTCGACGCCATGAGCGACGACGACGACGACGCGCGCGCGCGACGGCGCGACGGCGACGGGAAGGGCGAGCTGTCGTATCATTATTGGCACGGTCGGAACGCGGGAGAGGCGCCGGCGGCGACGGCGAAGGTGCGGAGCGGGGGAGCGACGACGCGAGCGCGACGACGACGACGACGACGACGACGACGAACGACGACTGACGAGGAACGACTGTTGAATGACGCAGCGAATCACGAGCGAGGAAGCGGCGGCGTTGACGAGACAAGTGTCATCGACGCAGATATCGGCGTGGAACGCGGCGGGGACGTGGGAAGAGCGAGGGCACACGGATTGGGCGCGCGCGCGCCTGGAGACGCTCGTCGTCGAGCGAGGAAAGTTTGACTTGGACGGCGCGTTCGCGGGCGTCGTCGCGCGCGTGGTCGGGGTGAAGAAGTGCGAAGGCGATGCGAGCGTGGTGATGATTCGAGGGAAACCGCGACATGGGTTTGATTTCGAGACGACGCTGGAGTGGCGCGCTTCGTTCGCCGAAGAAGACGGCGAAGACGGCGAAGACGAAGACGGAGACGAGGCGGCAGTGGAGGTTCAGGGTACGATTCACATCCCTGAGTTCTCCCGCGATTGCGCCGAAGATGAGGAGTGCGCGTTTGAGATCAAAGTCGAAAACCGCAAGAAGGAACATCGCGAGCGCGAGGACGCGTGCTACGCGGCGCTGAAAAAGAGCTGCGAAGAATTCATCGTCGGCGTCCTTCGACAGATCGACGACGAATTGTGCGAGCGCGCGTCGAAATAACGTAACGCGTAGACGGTTGTAACGTTCGAAAAGGGACGACGACGATGGCGCGGGCGAGACTCGACGCCGCGAGCGAGCAAAACGTTTTGGTTTTCTTGTCATTGCACTCGGCGCTCGAACGCATACCGAAAAATTATCTTCCGCGCGAAAGCAAGAGCTCAGCCTGCTCGAATTCCGCGAACACGCGATCCTTTCTCTTCGCCGGGAACGGGTACTTGGTGCCAAAGTTGTTGAAGTGACCGCTCACCGCGTTCAACGCGCTGTACACCTGACCGTACGACGGCTTGCCCGTCGTCTTATTATCTCTGCGGTACTTCGCCACCCACGCGTTGGTCATGTTGCGCGTCGTGTTAATAGACTCTTCGCGACCTTCCGTACCGGGCGCCATCTCCAACGTCTGCTTCACTTGCTCGATGATGGCTTTCGTCTCCGTCTGGTACTTTTCCTCCTTATCCCCGCCGAAGAAACCCGCGCGCGCCTGCGAACGTCCACGCGCCCGTGCCGTCGTCGTCAGTCATCGAATCGCGCGATCCGCGGTCGAATCATTCGTCGCTGCCCTCGCGCGCGCGCGTCGCCGCGTCCCCGCGTCGCCGCGCGTCGCCGTCGCGCACGCCGAACCGTCCCGATAAGGCGTCCCCGCCGTCCCGACCGCGCGCGCGGCCTCGCTCGCGTCTCCCGCGCGCGCGCGTCGCTCGCGCGTCATCGATCGCGCGCATCGCTCGCGCGCGCACCTCTCGCGGGGCGACGAGCGTCGCGGACAGCGCCGCGAACGCGGCGTTGCGAACGAACTCGCGGCGATCCACGTTGACGTCACCGTCGTTCGCGCGCGCGTGGACGCGCGCGGCGGCGCGAGACGCGCGCCTCGCGGACGCGGCGGCGCGAACGGACGGTCGCGCGATCGTTCGGGGGCGGGCGGCGGCGAACATGGTCGCGCGCGAGCGGGCGTGCGGTTCTGGGGATGGGCGCTAGGGAGAAGTATTGAAATACGCGCTCGAGCGCATGTGGTGCAAGCGAGACGCGGCGCGCGGACTCGCGGCGAGCGTGAAATTGACGCCGGAGACGTGCGCTAACGAGGCGCCGACGCGACCGGTGGCGGACCACTCGAGCTCGGGAGCGAGCATCGTCGTCGAGCGACCGCTGCTGCCGCCGTCCCGGGTGACGGAAAGCGTGCTCTGAAACGCGTTTTCGATTCGCGTGCGTTCGCGAGGCGCGAGCTCGCGGAACGCGTCGGAATCGTCGACGGCGCCGTCGACGACGTCGAAGAGATCGTCGGGGGACGTCCATAGATTCGCCAGGAGCACGACGCGATGCTCGTATAAGACGTCGATGAGGTTGATGAACCGCCGCGCTTCGTTTTCGCTCGCGTCGACGGGCAGTCTCGGGACGTCCTCCACGCAAATCACTTTGAATCGCTCGGCGAGCGCGACGTAATCGCTCGGCGCCGCGCGCGATCGCCGCCCGCAAATATCATCGAACGTGAACCTCGCGTGCGCGCCCACGCGAGCCTTCGCGCGCAGACGGCCGACGTCGGCGTCGACTTCGCGTTCGCCTTCGGCGTCTCGCGTGAAACGATCCCACGCGCGCGACAGTCGCTCACGCGTCGCGTCGTCATCGCCGACGAAGATCACTCCATCCTCCACGTCTTCATCGCGCGCGCGCCGACGATAATCCACGCTCTCGCGCGCGTCCAAATCCACCACTTCGCACCGCGCTCGCAACCCGTCCGCGAATCCCGCGAACGCCGCTCGATTAATCCCACCGTAATACAATCTTTCCGGCGCGCAATTCGACGTCGTCACCAGCGCTCCGCCGTGCGCGAAGTACGATCGCATCAACCTCTCGATCACCATCGCGTCCGCCACGTCGCTGATCTCCATCTCGTCCAGGCACAGCACGTGTTGCCGCGTCTTCGTCGCCATGTTTTTCCCCAGCGTCCACAGCGGATCATCCGCCCCCCCCCCGCCCTCGCCGCGCGCCTTCATCGCGCTCTCGTGCAGCGCTCGATGTATCCTCGCCATGAACGCGTGAAAATGCGTTCGCTCGACCTCGAGTCCGCCCTTTTCTCTCGCGTCCTCGCTCGTCGCGTCCGCGAGCGCCGTCTTCCCTCGCCCGACGCCTCCGTGCAGGTACACCCCTCGCCCCGCGCGCGTCCCGAGGCGCGCGCCGTCGTAGAACCGCTCCAGCGCGTCCAGCGCGCGTCGCTGCCCGTCGTCGCGCGCCTCCGTCGTCGCGCGTCGTCGTCGTCGCGTCGCGTCGTCGTCGCGCGTCGTCGTCGTCGCGCCCCGCGCGTCGCGCGTCGCCGCGCGCGCGCGCCGAGCCAGCGCCGGCGCGACGCGCGACGACGCGCGCGACATCGCGCGACGCGATCCGGCGCGCGTCGCCGTGTGCGCGCGTCGTCGCGCGTCGATTCGTCGAATGAGGTGATGATTCGTTGGCGCGAATGCGTCGATCGGCACACGACGACGCCGTCATGGCGTCGCGCGACGACCCCGCGGCGCGCGCGCGGAGCGCCAACGATGTCGCGCGCGCGGGCGTGGATTGGAGCGCGCTGGAGGCGTGCGACGGCGTGCGAATGTCGTGGAACGTGGTGGCGAATTCGCGAGCCGAGATGACGAAGTGCGTCGTGCCGTTCGGCGCGGTCGTCACGCCGCTGCGAGAGATCGCGTCGGAGGTCGCGCCGCGCGTGCCGTACGAGTGCGTGCGGTGCAAGGGGTGCGGGGGGGGGCTGAACCCGTACGCGAGGGTGGATTTCGCGAGCAAGATCTGGGTGTGCTGCCTGTGCCACGCGAGGAATCACTTTCCGCCGCACTACAACGCGCTGAGCGAGACGAATCTGCCGGCGGAGCTGTTCCCGAGCTACACGACGATAGAGTACGCGGTGCCGCGAGCGGGACAGGGGACGGGATGCGGACCGGGGTATCTGTTCGTCGTCGACGCGTGCGCGGAGGAGGAGGAGTTGACGGCGCTGAAGCAGGCGCTGACGCAGGCGCTGAGTCTGTTGCCGGAGGACGCGCGGGTTGGGTTGGTGACGTTCGGGACGCACGTGCACGTGCACGAGTTGGGGTTCGCGGATTGCCCGAAATCGTACGTGTTTCGGGGAAATAAGGAGTTTACGCAACAGCAGATTAAGGACCAGTTGACGCTCGGGGGCGGGCACCGGCAGACGAACGGTCGAGCTCCGGGGATGGCGGGCGCGCAGCCGGGGATGAACGGCGCACACCCGGGAGCGATGCCGACGAGCAAGTTCTTGGTGCCGCTGAGCGAGTGTGAATTTCAGTTTACGGCGATTTTGGAGGAATTGCAGCGAGACGCGTTCGCGCCGTTGCCGTCGTGCCGACGGTCGCGATGCACGGGCACGGCGCTCATGGTGGCGTCTTGTCTGTTGTCCACGTCCGCGATCGGGATGAACGCGAGGGCGATGTTATTCACCGGCGGCGCGGCTACGGATGGAGGTGGAACGATCGTGGCGAAAGATATGGAGCAGGCGGTGCGATCGCACAAGGACATAGTCAAGGGCGCGGCGCCGTTTTATCACAAGGCCAAAAAGTATTACGAACAGGTGGCGATCAACCTGTGCGCGAATGGACACGTGTTGGACGTGTTCGCGTGCGCGCTCGATCAAGTCGGACTGGCGGAGATGAAAGTTTGCGTGGAAAAGACTGGCGGGAACGTCGTGCTGGCTGAGTCGTTTTCGCACACCGTGTTCAAGACGTCGTTTCAAAAACTTTTCGCCCCAGACGCTGAGGGTGGATTGGGAATCGCGTACAACGGACAGTTCGAAGTAATCACGAGCCGCGACGTGAGGACAGCGGGGGTGATCGGACCATGCGCTGCGCTCGATCGAAAAGGTTTGCCAGGCGCGACGAGCGACACGCCCATCGGTAGCGGCGGAACGACGGCGTGGAAGCTTTGCACACTCACGAACGAAACGTCTCTGGCGGTGTACTTTGATGTTGCGAATCCGGGTGGGAAAGATCAACAGCCGATGGCCATGCAAGGGCAGCAAGCGCAACAGTTTTACCTGCAATTTCTGTGCACGTACACGCTCCCCAGCGGCGAGACGCGCATGCGCGTCATCACGACGAGTCGTCGTTGGACCGAAGGACAAAATTTGAACGACATCGCCGCCGGGTTCGATCAAGAAGCCGCAGCCGTGCTCGTCGCTAGGCAGTTGTCTTGGAAGATGGAGACTGAGGAAGAAACGGATTGCCCCGCGGCGACGAGATGGCTCGATCGCAAGCTCATCCAGCTGTGCCAGCGCTTTGGCGATTACAGAAAGGACGATCCGCATTCGTTTCAGCTCATGCCGCAATTTAGCATTTACCCGCAGTTCATGTTCAACTTGCGACGATCGCAGTTCGTGCAAGTGTTCAACAATTCGCCCGACGAGACGGCGTATTTCCGCATGATTTTGATGCGTGAAAACGTCTTCAATTCGTTGGTGATGATTCAACCCACGTTGACGGCGTACTCCTTCAACGGTCCTCCCGAGCCCGTATTGCTGGACGTGTGCTCGATCGCCGCGGACAAAATCTTGGTCCTCGACGCTTACTTCAGTGTTGTCGTTTTCCACGGTATGACGATCGCGCAGTGGCGAAAGGCGAACTATCAAGATCAGCCAGAGCACGTGGCGTTCAAAGACTTGCTCGCGGCGCCCAAGGCGGAGGCGGAACAAATAATCGCCACTAGATTCCCCGTGCCGCGTTTGGTTGATTGCGATCAGCACGGCTCTCAGGCGCGCTTTTTGTTGGCCAAATTGAATCCGAGCGCGACGTACAACTCGAGCGCGACGATGGGTGGCGGATCGGACATCATTTTCACGGATGACGTGAGTCTGCAAGTGTTCATGGATCATTTGAAGCGCTTAGCGGTTACCACTAACTGAGATGACTAGAAACGTTGTAATGGTTGTCTAAAATTAGCTAATCTACAATCCTATCTATAGTCCAAAGCGTTTTCTTCCCGGCGTCCGGCCACCCGCACCGCGCCGAACGCTCGATGGGGGACGCGACGTTCCGTAATCTACGCGCGGCGTCGTCGCCGCGCTGCGTTGCCCCGGCGTCACGATTTGACTCCTTTGTCTCGCGCGGCGATCTTCTTCTCGCGTGCGCTGCGCTTCTTGCAGCTGTGCTTCCTCATCGCGTTTAGCTTGCATTTCAGCCTCCATCTTCGCCTTGTCCTCTTTGCGCTTCGCCTTTGATTTCAACATGCTCGAATGGCTCTCCTTGAGCGTGAAAAACATCGGTCCGAATTCGGCGAGCCAGTGCGGTTCGACGGCGGTGACGCATTGCATGTATTCTTTCGATGTCATGATGAGTTCGTGGTATACGACGTAATCAGGAGTGTAACCCAGACCATAAAGCGCTGAGCTCGGATGAAGGTGGCAAGGCATACCATTGCGAGCATTGACATACTCACCGACGCCTTTCAAACGCGCCGCTTGATGAAAGTACGCGGCGGCGATGGATCGACGGCAGACGTCCCAATCTTGCCCACAGCTCACGAGCGGGATTTTCTGTTGCTTCATGATATCCATCAATTGCGCGCGCACCTCTCTACCTTTCTTCAGACCTTTGCCCTGAATGAAATGCTTGTTGCACCAATCGTTCCTGTACCCGTTATTTTTCCATTGCTGGTACACGTTGAGCAACGTCAAGTGGTCGCTTTCGGGAACGAAGAACTTTTCGCGCGCGGCGTCGGATTCTTCCTCTCGATCCTTCGGCCTGAACCACACTGACGGAACCGATAACATCGCGACGACGGTGAGCATTTCGTTCGAGCAGCCCGTTTCTTCCGCTTTGATGAGCATCTGCGCCAGCGGCGGGTCGACGGGAAACTCAACCATCTTCGAGCCGAGTTTCGTGAGCCCGCCAGTGTTGTCGAGCGCGCCTAAAATCCACAGGGAATACATGCTGTTCAAGATATTTTCTTGGGGAGGAGGATCCATGAAGTCAAAATCTAACAAGTTATCCACGTTGAGCGACTTCAAAAGTAACACGACGTTACCCAAGTTGGTGCGTTGAATCTCGGGAACCGTCGAGACGAGCATTTCGTGCTTGAACGCCATCTCCGTGTACAGGCGATAGCACGTCCCTGGTCCAGTACGACCGGCGCGGCCGCTGCGTTGATTCACCGCAGCTTGCGCGCAAGGGAAAACTTGCAAAGCATTCATACCCATTCGAGGATTAAACACTGAAAGTTTGCAATAACCACTGTCGATGACGTACATGACGCCGTCGAGCGTGAGCGACGTCTCCGCGATGTTCGTACTGACGATGCACTTTCGGTTACCATCCTCTGCGTCTTGAAAAATCTTCGCCTGCAAATCGCTCGGGAGTTGTGAGTAGATTGGTAAAACGTTCAGCGGTGGACACGTGCCTTCGCTCATCAACTGCTCGACGCGCTCTTCCAACGTGTACGTCACCGTCTCGATTTCTTCTTGACCCGTCATGAAGATCAAAATGTCACCCGGTCCCGACGAGAGATGCACAGTGAGCGCTTGCTTCACCGCAGCTTCGACGTAATCCTCCACGGGTGTCTTGGAGTACAGAATATCGACCGGGAACGTGCGACCAGGAATGTGGAAAACCGGCACCGATCCAAAGAAGTTACTAAACTTTTCTGCGTTCAACGTCGCCGACGTGACGATGAGCTTGAAATCGCGACGGCGCGCGACAACTTTCTTCAGAATACCGAATAGAACGTCAGTGTGTAACGATCGTTCGTGCGCTTCGTCCATGATGATACAGCTGTACATGTTAAGATCAGGTTCGCGCAAAGTTTCTCGAAGAAGCACGCCATCCGTCATGTACTTGATAATCGTATCAGGCCCCGTGCAGTCCTCGAATCGAATGGCGTAACCGACTTCCTTACCTAGTTCACAGCCCATTTCCTCGCTCACACGCTTCGCGACGCTCATTGCAGCTACACGACGGGGTTGAGTGCAACCGACCATCCCGAATGTGGAGTAACCTTCCTCGTGCATGTATTGCGTCATTTGCGTCGTCTTACCGCTTCCGGTTTCGCCGACGACGACTACGATTTGATTTTCGCGAATGACATGCATCAAGTCTTCGCGACAACCGTACACAGGTAAGAACTCACGCTGTTCTTTGATCGTCTTCGTCTTCGCGAACTCGCTTTGTGCGCTCGCCTTCGAACCTTTCATGTGCTCGGCAAACTTGGCGCCAGCCTTGAAATCGATTTCGCCGTCCGCGCCGACGACGTCTGGTCTGTCGTCATCGCGACCTTTCGCCGCTTGCGCGTTTTCCGCGGCTTCCTTGTTTTCAGCTTGTGTCGTACCCGTGATCGATCCCATCTTCGACCCTTTCATTTCCCAAAATCGATCCCGACCTTTGTTCTCCTCTCGCTTCGTACGCACTTCCTTCACCAACGCGCTTCCTTTGCGCGCGATTTGCGCCATGTCGCTCGTGACGTCCTTCACCGGTACGACAGTCTCTTGCTGCTTCGTGAACACCATACGGCCGTCTAAGAATGGCGGTTTCGTGTCGTGCACGAGCAAAACCGCGCGGTTTTCTTCCATGTCATCAAAATCCAAATCAATTTCCTTGGTGCGAATCACACCGGACGTCATCATACGATTTTCTTCCCATTGATTTGAATCGGCGTTGAGTTGACTGACGCGTCGCGACGCAGCCATGGACATGAGCGACCCGTCGCGTCGAGTCAACCTTTTCGCGTATTCTTGTTCTTTGTTCGCGTAACGCGCCTCATCCCGTGCGTTCGTGTTAAAAGGGTTGTGCGCGTCGCCGTGCGCGCCGCCGCCCTCGTCGTCGTCGTACCACGCGCGATCCAAAACCTTCTCCGCGTCGTCATCCGGGGCTGGCGCGTCGTCATCTTCGGCCGCGACGGCGGTACCTTCGGTAACAAACTTGTTTGCGTTCGCCATCGCCCCCGTGGCCCAGGCATTGGATTTCCAACTCGGCGTTGCCGCGGGCGTATCCATCTCAAAGCGCAACGAATGCGACCGTTGACTGCTCGACGCGTTCCCGCTCCACCCACCTCCAGACCCACTCCGCGCCGTCGCCGGTTGCGCCGCGATATCATCCCACGATCCATGTTTCGCGAACTTCGGCGTCATCATCCGTCCGTCTCGATCTCTCCTCGGCGTCTCCTCCCACTCGCCGTCGTCGCCGCGCCAACTCCGTCGCCGCCCGTCCGCATCTTCGCCATCCCGTTCATCCTCACGTCGCGCCTGCAACCCCCGTCCAAACTTTCCATCTTTTCTGCGTCGATCGATCGCTTCCTTGGCGTGCGCGTTCAGTCCTCCCGGATGCGACGGCGTTTCGTCCCGGCGCGCTCTGAATTGTTTCCCGTCCCGCTGTCCTCTGCTCTCGCCTTCTACCCCGCGCCTCGCGCGCGCCTCTCCCGCGTCGTCCTCGGCGTCGAGTGAGAACGACAGCGCGCTCTCGCGCGCGCGCTTCTCGCGTCGCTTCGCGTGCGCGAGTGCGTCGAGTCCCAAGCGCGAGGTCGATCCACCGGGACCGCGCGGATTGGTCGCGGCGTCGCGCGGCGCGCGGAGCTCCAAGCCGCCCACGAGCGCGCCCGCGCGGTCGTCGTCGTCGTCATCTCGACGCCGGTCGTCGTCGTCGTCGATGCCGTCGGCGTACATCGCGCGCGCGTCTCGAAATGGCGAAAGTGGCGGCTGTGGGAAGCTTTAAAGCGCGCGAGACGCGACGATTACAATGCGCGCGCTATCGGCGCTGCGAGGCGTGCACGCGCTTGGCGATCGTCGACGAGATGCCGGGATTGTCTAATCCGGTGGTCTGAACCACGCGTTGAGATGGGACCATGACTTGATTGGTCGTGCGCCAGGGCTCGTGGATGGAACCGTCGGCGAGAGAAATCGAGCTCGCGCCGCGGTAGCGTTCGCGCTTGAGCGTCGCCGCGCACGACGGGCCGAATCGGCGACCGATGGTGTTTTGCAAACTCCCGCGAGGACGGTTTCGCGGCGCGTCGGGGGCGTAGGGCATGAGCGCTTTTCGGGCGGTGCCTTTGCCTCGACCGCCGGCGTCGCGCGCGGCGCCGAGAACCTTCTGTTGCGCGCTCGCGGATGTCGTTTCGGCGACGAAGACCGGCCTCGCGCCGTACGCGTTCGCGGCTCGGTACCCTGTCTTTTTCACGTAGTGTGGGATGGCCACGAGGGATCCGCCGCGGCGTTCGAGTCTCTGGGCACTTCCAAGAGCGCTGCGCGAGAACCGCGTCAGTCAGTCGAAGCGGCGTTTGACTCTTTGGAGTCGCGAGGCGAGACGAGGGTGGCGCGCGCGCTCAAGACGGACGCACGCGCGAGACGCACCAATTCGACGCGGGCGGCGGCGATTGCGTTGTTTCGATCGTCATCGCGCGCGCCCGAGTGAGGCGGGACAAAAATAGTCATCGGTCTATTCTGAGAAGGTTGTTACAAACGACCACGATGGTGTGCAGATCGCGAAGTTGCCTTCGCGACCCGGGTGTTCTATGTTCTGTCTCATCTAATGTTCTACTTAATTTGACGTCGCCGTCGATTGGATTTCAGCCTTGCATCCAGGACATCCCGCGTGCGCCGTCTCGTCGAACGCCGCCTCGAGACACGCGGAATGGAAGTGATGACTGGATTCGCACGCGTCCCAGGCGTACGTCATCTGGATCCTCGCGTCGTCTATGGATAGACCGCCGAGCGGTTCTTCGCACAGTGCGCACGTGACATTCGAGCCGAATGATCCTGGTTTCAGTTCGTTGTACGTTCTCCTGTACTCGACGGCAGACGCGTGGTTCTCTGGCGTGCGCTCGAGGTCGTTGTCTAAAATGTCTCCGAGATGCGCCAAAAGACTCAATTTTATCGCCGCGCCCTCCGCGTCGGTCTCGAACGAGCTTTCGCTGCGCTTCCAGTGCGAATCGAGCGTCGCTATCGCTTCCTCGAACGTTCGCACGGCTTCGTCTTGGTACTTTTCCAAAACAAGCGGCCTCGACAACAAACGCGTCTCGCCGCGAAGCGTGCACCCGTGCTCCTTGAGCGCGTACACCTCTTGATTTTCGTACCCACCCAAGTACCAATGCTCACGAAGCATCAGGGGTACTGTCGCGTCCCTTTTCGAGGACTCCTTCTCGTCATTCAACATCGCGACGTACTCGCGCGTGAGTCGTAAGACTTCGCGCGAGAGCGCCACGGCGCCGTCGACGTCGCCTCGAATGCTCTGCGTCCACCGCATCCTTCGACACGCCTCAGTCTCGACGGGCAAGATTCCTTCATCGCGCGCGAACTCGCGCGCGAGTCCGTAGTGCTCCAGCGCCGCCACGTGATCGTTCACCGCCATGGAATAGTAATCTCCAACCGCCAAGTGCGCGCGCGCCTCGGAAATCTTATCGCCGTTGTCGTACGCCAACTTGAGCGTCGTCTGCGTGATGCGTTCAAACTGCGACGCATCGATCCCATCGTGCACGGCATCGCGCTCATACACCGCATACATCCTCCGCAGCGAGTTAATCTCGATCTCCGCCACGATCAACGCCGCCTCGCACTCCAAATTCTTATCTCCCCTCTCCTTGGCCAGATTCGCGATGCGCCCAAACGCCCGCGTCGCCACGTCGTACCCCTGATCCCCATCCAGCGTGCTCAGCGTGTTCATCGCGTCGTGATACATCGCCCGCACCTCATCAAACTCCGGCACGCTCCCGCTCCTCGACACCGTCGTCGTCGACGCCGTCTCCTCCTCCCGCGTCGCCTCGCCCTCGCCTCCGCTCGCCTCCGCGTCGCGCGCGTCGCGTCCCTTCCCTCCCTCCACCGCCCGCGCCCGCGCCCGCGCGCCCGCGATCGCCACCGCCATCACCGCGCACGCCCGCACCGTCGTCCCGAGCCGCCATCCCTCGCCCATGCCCGCGAATCCCCCCCGAACGCGTCGCGAATCGATGAATGAATGAATGAATGAATGAATGAATGAATGAATGCGCGCGCGCGCGACGACACGACGCGGTATTCGCGGTCTCGCGCGGTGTTCGCGCGGCGTTCGCGCGCCGCGACGCCGCGCGCGCTCGCGATCGCCCGCTGCGCGCCGACGCGGGATTCGCGCGACCGCGCGCGCGCGTCTCGCGCGCGGCGCGCGCAAACCCTCTCTTTGCTCGTCGGTCGACCAATCGTTTCGCGGCGCGCGCGAGATCTCGCGCGTTCGGCCGATCGTTTCGCGGCTATGTATTGTATACGTGAGATCTCACGTATATAACATGCGATCGGGGCCATCATACATAATAACGCCGACGCGCGATCGCGCGATCGGACGACCGCGCGCGTCGCCGATGGCGGTGCTTTCCGTGACGCCGCGATCGTGATTGAAACATACCGTTCGATGCACGCGATGTATGAAATATCTCACGTATACAAGTAGTACATGTATGTATACGCGCGCGCGTCGGGGACGCGACGGGTCGAGGCGGTCGGTCGGTCGCCGCGGGATTGTCGGCACTGTTATGGGTTTTCGTGCGTCGCGGCCCGCAGACGCCAACCGTCGCGACGCGCGCGGCGCGGTGACGCGCCGACGACGGCGCGATGGCCGGCGCGCGTCGTGCGCGCGACGACGCGCGCGCGTTCGCGTCCTATACGACGACGACGCGCGTCCCGGACGACGACGCGACGCGCGAAGACGACGCGCGGGGAGACGACGGCGGGACGACGACGACGACGACGACGACGCGAGGGGCGACGACGCGGGTGCGGTGCGACGCGAGAGGCGCGAACGTCGACGAGGGCGACGACGCGAGGGGCGCGGTGACGACGGCGCGGTACGCGCCGGCGTGGGCGGTGGGAGGGGGGAAGGGACGCGCGCGAGACGCGGGACGCGCGCGAGACGACGGCGACGACGACGACGACGCGCGCGAGGGCGCGAGGGGGAAGAAGAGCGCGGGAAAGAGATCGGACGCGGCGTTCGCGGTGACGGTGACGCGGGCGCTCGAGCGCGGGACGCGGGGGGTGGTGCGGGTGTGGAGCGACGCGGAGGCGGGCGGGAGGTGTCCGAGCGAGGCGAGGTGGGACGCGCAGGGCGACGCGGAGCGGAGAATGGGGAGGGACGACGGCGATTCTGCCGAGTTTCGCGCGTTTCACGCGACGGTGAGCGCGCATTCGCTGACGAGAGAGGCGGAATTGGAGCTCGGGAGCGTGCACAGGGATTTTGGGTTGGAGTTTCGGCAAAGCGTGACGACGCGGCTGGATTCGGGCTTCGCCGCGCCGACGTCGCAGTCGTGGTCCATCGGCACGCCGGTGAAGCCGTTTGACGCGTTTAAAATGTTACACGGCGCTGAAGACGACGACGTGGAGAAGTCGGGCGAAGCGAAGGCGCGCAAAGACGACGAGCCACCGACCGCGCGAACGTCGAGCGCCAAGTTTGCGTTTGCGAGAAACTTGGCCAAGCCGTCGCCTCGCCTCACGTTTACGGCGCACTCGAAGCCGCCGTCGAACGCGCGAGCGCTTGATTTAAACTTAAGAGCGACGTCGAACGCGCTCGACGCGCACGCACTGCGCGTCGTCGCTCGAACTCGTCTCGGGGAATCGCGCGCGCAAGTCGCGGCGCGCACGAAATTTCGCGGCGGCACCCACGGCGTCGACCTCGAGCTCGGTCGTGATTTCAAGCCCGCGTCCTCGACGACCACGATCAAAGCCATCATCAAGGCCTCCGTACCGCTCACGAAGTACGCCCTCAAGCTCTCTCGAGACGGAAAATCCCGTCTCGCCCTCGAGCTGTCGCCCGCCGAGTGCGTCGTCGACGCGCGACTCCGGCCTCGCGGCGCGCTCGAGCTCAGGTTCGGCATCAAGCACCCGTGCGCGTTACCAACGACGGCCAAACACCATAGCATTAGCGTAGGTCCTAGAAGACGCGCGGCGGACGACGGCGGCGACGCTTTCGTCGCCTTCGCCGTCGCCTTCGCCGCGTGACGCTCGGCGAATTCGACGTCAAGAGTAAACGCGCGCCGCACTTCACCGCGCCCCGCGCGCGCGCCCCGACACCGACCCGAACGAAAGCGCCGACGCATCGCGCGCGTCTCGATGCGTCGCGAGTCCCGCTGAGCGCATGCGCGACGCCGATTCGCCGCGCGCGCGCGACAGCGCGAACGTCACGACGTCGGAAACGACGCCCGCGCGCGCGCCCAAGCGCGCGCATCCCACCGCGGGATGGCTCGAGCTCGAACGCGCGCTGCGCGTCGTCTACGGCGGCGTCGTGCGCGAGCTCGCGCCGCTGGGCGTGGTCGGGATGGCGACGTTTGACCCGATGGCTGGGTTCGTGCTGTGGAGCGAGCAGCGCGAGGCGGAACGCGATCGAACGAGGACGATGCGAGAGCTGTACCCGAATGAGACGATGAAACCCGAAAGCCCGGGTGAAATTGAACTCGCGTCGCTGCGAGTGGCGGTGAAATACGCGATCGGGGCGTATGGGACGGCGTCGAGCGTGCTGAGCGACGCGTCGTTTCGGGACAAATTGAAGAGTTTAAAGGCTGCGGGCGGCGGCGGTGAAACGCGCGGAATGGGGGATTACGAAGCGATGCACGCGAAAGCGACGGAGGCATGCGCGAGGAGCTGCGAGATCGAGACGAAAGATGTGGTGGATGCGGAGTGGAGTGGGACGGAATTTTCGCCGAGCTCGTTCGTCGCCGTCGATCGCGCCGCGGGCAAGGTGGTGCTTTCTGTGCGCGGGACGTGGGAGTTTCACGACGCGTTAACGGACGTGAGCAGCGAAAGTGTGAAGTTCTTGAACGGCTGGGCGCACTCTGGGATGGTGGCATCGGCGTGGCAAGTGTTAAAGCGCATGCTTCCCGCCGTGGCGCGTTCGATGCGCAAGCTTTCGGGATACGAGTTTCTCGTCACCGGTCACAGTATGGGCGGCGGTGTAGCCGCGTGCGTCGCGATGCTCATGCATAGTACGGATAAAGATATCGAGTCGCTCGCGCTAGAGGGATTGAGCGATGTCGTCGAGGAGGAGAGAAGAGAAATATTGCGACGACTGGCGTCGTGCACGTGCGTGTGTATCGCGGCGCCGAGCGTGAGCAGCATGGACTTGAGCGAGGCGGCGAGCGATTACATCACGTGCGTCGTCGCCGGCGCTGATGTTATACCGCGATTATGTCACGCTTCCGTTCGCCGACTATTACGTCGGTTGAACCACGCCGCACCGTCGCACGCGATGTTGCGCGCCGTATCCTCGGTGCTCGGCGGCAGGGACAGGCCGGCGTTGGAGCGAGAAGTGAGCGCGACCGAGGAAGAAATCACCGAGGTAGCGCAAGATTTAGACAACGTTAGCAAAGATAGTGAGTTAGCAAGTGGCGCTGGAGCGCGCGACGTCTCGAAAGCTGCGTCGGTGTCGCCTCCTAAGAAGCGCGGGGACAGTCGGCGCAAATGCCAAGGCGCTTGGGGCGAGGTAGAGGGCGTCGTCGGCCTCGAACTTCGTGATCACGCGGCGAGCGATTTCATGGTTCAACCGGGACGAGTTATCCACCTCAAGCACGTGCGTTCAGACGCACCGACTGCGGAGTATAAACACCCCACGGCGTTCACAGACGTCGTCCTCGACCCGTACATGATGCTCGACCACATTCCGGGAACGTACCAAGCCGCGGTGAAGGCGATTCACGATCGTGTCAAAGCCGGTGGACAATCCTGGGTCGAGCACGATGCTTCCAATCGCGATTCCGACGACGAAGACGAGGAAGACGCCGTGAGCGCGTTTCTTCACGCCCAAGACGTCCGCTCCGGCGCGCGCCGAGGATGGCGCTCCGTTCGCAACTTCCTCGGCATCGACGGCGACGAAGACGACGACGCGTTCAAGCGCGACGCCCACGACGCCGGCGCCACCGCCCCCGGTCCACGACCATCCCATCACGTTCCCGACATCGGCACCGATACCGACGACGACGACTCCATCCCCGACTTTTACGGCGAAGACGCTCGCGCTCGCCGCACGCACCATCCTCGCCGCGCGTCCGCGCCCGCCGACGACGCCGCGCCCATCGCTCCCATCGCGGACGCCGTCGACGCCAATCCTTTCACGCGCGCTTGGGACTGGCTCAAGCGTCAGGCCGCCGACGACGACGCGTAGTTTCCATCGAATCGAATCGTATCCGAACCGCGGTCAACGCGCGTCCCGAAGCAGCCCCTCCGAGCGACCCGCTCGCCGTCACACCATGCCTCTCGCGCACCGCGCGCCCGCCCGCGCGCCCGCGGCGGGCGCGCCGAGCGACAGGGCGCTAGAGTACACCATCGTCGATCGCTCGTCCGAGGTTCGTCGCCGTCGCGCGCGCGCACGCCGCGTTCGCGACGCATTCGCGCGCGACATTTACGATGAATTTGAAATCGCGCGTTGACTTCCGAAAGAAACGAAGGACTGACGACTTCGCGCGCGCAGGACGCGAATCATCGCGCGGAGGAGCTTCACGTGAAACATGGCGAACGCGCGCGCGGGTGGTACACGGAGAGAAACGCGGGATTTCCGGCGTACGTGACGGCGCGGTTGCGGCGAGCGAGCGACTTGAGGCAGTTACGGTTGCTGTCGCACGAGTCTAAGATTGCGATCGCGGCGCACGTGCACGTGACGACGAAAGATGGACGCGTGAAGAAGTTGGGGACGTTGAGATTTGAGAGCAACGCGGAGTGCGGGTACAAGGCGAGGGAGTTGAAGACGGTGCACGTGAACGTCAAGGAGGCGACGGAGGTGCGGTTGGAATTTCCGGGATGTCACGAAAACGCGAGGAACGATGGACGACAGATTGGATTGATGGCGCTAACGCTGATCGGGGAAGTGAGCGAGCGTGATAGCGCGAGTGAGGCGGTGACGGCGCGCACGCCTTTGCTGGGTCATCGAGTGATGTCGGCGGCTGGGGACGCGACGACGGAGGTGGACGCGTTGACGGCGGAGAAGATTCGAGAGGTGATGGTTCGCAAGGAACACGCGGTTGATGCGGAAGATTACGACGAGGCGAAACGTTTGCGTGACGTTATCGCGAAGCTTCGTGAGTTTGGGGTGAAGGTGAAGGTGTTACAGGAAGAAAAAATGCGCGCCGTGGACGCAGAAGATTACGACGAGGCGAAACGGTTGAAGATTGAAATCGACAAGATGCGATCGAATGGGTACGACGATGCGTTCACCGCGGCGTCTTCGCCGCGTTCGAGCGTGCGGTCACCGAGCTCAAGCGCTCAGGTGACAGAAGAGGTGCGAGTGTTGCCACCTCTGGGGTCACCTGTAGCCGCGGCGCCGTCGGCGCGAGCCACGTTTTCGTTCGACGACGTGCCGATTCGTTCGAAACACGCCGACGCTATGCGAGATTTGACGGGTGGGAAAGCCGTCGAGCACGACGAAAACGACATCGAACGATCTATGAGTGTCGCGAGCAGTGCGCCGAAAGATCCGCCCCGGCCGAAACCAATCGAGATTACCAAGTCAAACACCTTTCGCGAAGACGACGTGAGTGCCGCCGGTATGAGCAACGACGAGGTCCCCGCGGTGGCCGCTGGCCGTCGTGTGCCTCCTGAGCTCGAGGCTGAAGCAGCCGCGTTTTTCGAACAAGAGCACGAAGATAAAGTCGTGAGCGCGACGAAGCAATCAGTCAAGTCGAGCGAGGAAGATGATCTTCCGCCGCTGGCGCCACTGTCGCCGTCTGAGCAAGTCAACGCGGCGCCCATCATCGAGGCGTTTGGGGAAGATGTCATCGTCAAGCTCTTCAGCCAAGCATGGTTACACCGCGAGACTGCGTTGCAGGCCATCAACAAGCGACTTATCGCTGCGTGGGAGAACGCAGACTCCTCTGCCGTGGTCGGAGCGGAGCCTCGCGAGACGTTTCACACGTTGTGCAAGACGCTCGGCGATCGATTATTCAACGACAAGGTGGCTAACGTGACGTGTGCGGCAGCGATCACGCTTGCGTCTGCGGCCAAGGCGTACGCTGAGTTCGTTTCCGCCCGGGACGTGCGCGAAGCGGTCGGGGACTCGATGTCGTTATTAGTCGATAAACTTGGCGACACCAATCCTAGACTTCGCGAGAGCATTCGCGAGGCGCTGCACGCCTTCGCAAGCGACGCCCCAGGAGGAGTGAATATCTTAGCGAATGCGCTTTGCAAACCGGTGCAAAAGTTGAACTTGTGGCGAGTGCTGACTGGAAGGCTCACTCTGCTTCTAGAGCTTGTGCCAACGTACGGATTGGATGCGCCAGAAAAGGAAAATTCATTCGCGTTGGAACAAGTCATGAAGTTTGCGACGAAGTGCTTCGACAGCGCCAACGGTGAGGCGAGAGGCGTGGCCATGAAGGTTGTTTTGGCGTGCGTAGACATCGTTGGTTCGAATGTTCGCACCTACCTTCCGCGAACGCTCAAGAGTGCGATCAAGGATGTCATTGAAGCGGCGATCGATGAGAACGAAGACCCGTATGACATTCGCGGCAGAAACTCTGGGGCGAGCAAATCGCCGAGCAAGTCCATGTGGACGGCGTCCAGTCCCGCATCCACTCGTGGCGGTGTTGTGTTTTCCCCGAGTCGTGGACGCGGTGATGATTGGAATCAGCCGAGTCCGAGCGTGCCGAGAGACGACATATCACCCGAGATGTCCGCCAGCGCGACGACGCTCGAACGCGAAATCACTCGTCGCATCGAGGCGCACGGAGAAGACCACCCAGACGTCGCCGCCGCCATGAACGATCTAGCCACACTCTACAGCGAAAACGAGAACTTTGAACGAGCACAAGCGCTGTTCGAGCGCGCGCTGTCGATTCAAGAGACCACCCTCGGCGCCGAGCATCCCGAGACGGTGCAGACGCTCACGGATCTCGCTATTTGCCACCTCGACCGCGAGGACAACAATCTCGGCCGTCCTCTGCTCCAGCGCGCGTTGGAGCTTCAGACGAATATTTTAGGCCCGGACCATCCCGATGTGGACGCCATTCGCGATGTTTTAGCCTCGCTCGACGCTGAGTTGTAATCGAACGCGCGCGCCGAGATGCGCGCGCCGGCGTTCAACTGTCCTCATTCCGCGCCGCATGGCTCCGAATCCGTCCTCGATCGCTCGCGTCGCGGCGCGCGTCGCGAGCGAGCGCGGGCGAATCTCACGCGCGAGCGCGTCGACGAGCGCGTCCACGGACGATCTGCGCGCCGCGTTTCGTCACTGCGTCGAAATCGTTCGCGCGAGAGACTACGAAACCTATCTCTGCACGCTCGCCCTGCCCCGCGCGAGCGCGCCCGCGGCGTTCGCCGTGCGCGCGCTGAACGCGGAGACCGGTTCGGTGGTCGGGAACGCGGAATCCGTCGACGCGGCGGTGGCGCGGTTGATGTGGTGGCGAGAGACGATGACGGCGGGGAGCGCCGGGACACGGGCGGGTCACCCGGTGGCGCTCGCAACGCTCGCAGCGCTGGGAAACGAGCCGAACGCGCGCGCGAGAACTTGGATGCGACGAATGATTGAGGCGAGGATCGCGGACGCGCGCTCGGATGGACCGCCGCGGACGATTGCAGATCTAGAGCGGTATGCGAGCGACGCGCACGGGAGCGCGTTGACGCTCGCGCTCGACGCGTGCGGAGTCAGGAATGCGGACGCGGATCACGCGGTGAGTCACTTAGGGCAAGCGATAGGACTAAGTGCGTTATTGCGCGGTACCGTGGCGCACGCGAAACAGCGTCGATGTTACTTACCGAGCGACGCGTGCGCGCGGCACGGGGTGAGCACCGAGAGCGTCTATCGCATGGAGCCGAGCGAGGGCGTGCGTAACGTCGCGCACGAAGTCGCGAGCGCGGCCAAGGGGCATTTAGATAGCGCGCGCGCGATGGCGAGCAGAGTTCCCGACGACGCCAAGCCGTTCCTTCTGCAAGCGGTCCCCGTTGGGAGGTATTTAGACGCGCTCGAGGCGAGAGATTTCGACGTTTTCGACGAAGCCGTCGCCAAGGGCGGCGCCCCGCTCTTGACGCAAGGCGCCATCGCCTGGCACGCGTTCAAACGCGCGTATTGATGACGAGTTAGAGAAATACCACTAGCGCTAGCGGGTTGTCGACGATGCGACGAAAGACGACTCGACGAAACGTTTTCAAATTACACCGCGTCGATTCTGTGTTCTAGTCCGACTCTAAAGTCCACGTTCGAAGTCGCTTAAATGTTCGACGGGTAAAGCATGCATCGCACCTTACCACCGATGGAGTTCGACGGCAAATGCGACTTGAACTTCGCGCGAACGACGCCGCTCGTTCCGTGCGCCCGCATCACCTTGCCCCAAATCGTGCGGTACGCCGTCCCTTGCTTCTTCGTCTTCGCCTTGTACACATAGCACAACTTCTTACCACCGTAGAACGCCGTCGACGGGGCGTCAGACACGCCCTCGAGCTTAATGAGCGACGTGTGGTTGTATTGGTTCGTGCGCGCGCGCTTGTACCCCAAAATCAACCCTCGCACATACAATCTATCGCGATTCGCCGAGCGCGTCGTTCGTCAGTCGTCGCGTTCGCAAACATTCCGCATCGCACCACCCGTCCGGATTCCCGCGCGCCCCCCCCGCGCGTCGTCGTCGCCCCGCGCGCCCATCGTCGTTAGGGCTCGCGCGCGCCCATCGTCACCGTCATCCGCCCCCAACCTCCGCGCGCGCGCGCGTTCTCCCCCTTTCCGACGCTCTCGAACGCGCGCGCGATACCCCTCGATCGTTCGACGCCGCGTTCGACCGCGCGCGCGCGTCGCGCGCGTCCCCTCGGCGTCGACATCGCGCGACCGAAGCCCTAACCCGCGATCGCGTCGCGTCGTTCCGCGTCGCGCTCCACGCGCGCGCGCGCCGTCGCGCGCCGTCGCGTCGCGCGCCGCGCGGTCGAAGATTTCGCGCGCACCTCGTCGGTTCACCCTTGGCCATGGTCGCTCGCCGCGCGCGTGTGAAAGGCGGCGCGCGCGCGACGCCGCGCCGGGACGGCGCGCGACGACGTGCGCGGTAACGGACGGGGTTTCATACTCCACACGGGTCGCGTATGGGTAAACAGTCAGACGTCGGACACCCGGGCAGCGATCGCGCGGCGCCGGCGCGCGCGCGCGCCCGCGCGCCGCACACGACGACGCCTCGCGACGACGCGCGCGCGGCGACGAGCATGGGGTACGTGCCCCCGCACCTGCGCGGCGCCGGAGGCGCGAGCGACGGCGCGGCGGGCGCGGCGGGCGCGCCGCGCGACGGCGGAGGCGCGCGCGAGTGGGACGGCGCGCGACGCGCGAGCGACGCGCGCGACGGCGATCGACGGGCGCCGACGGGCGATCGCGGGGGATCGGCGCGCGCGGACGGCGCGCGGATGGATCGCGCGCCGGTGTTCGCGACGTGGCGGCCGAGCGCGCGCGTGGAGGCGCTGACGGAGGCGCAGACGACGGAGATTCGCGAGCGATTGGGCGTGACGGTGGAGATCGAGGAGGGCGAAGCGGCGGTGCCGAGCGCGATCGAATCGTTCGAGGACATGACGCTGGTGCGGGACATCATGGCGGACATTCGATACAGGGAGTACGATAAACCGTCGCCGATCCAGGCGCAGGCGATTCCGGTGATCCTGAGCGGACGCGACGTGTTGGGATGCGCGGAGACGGGGAGCGGGAAGACGGCGGCGTTTTCGATTCCGATGATTCAGCATGCGTTGAATCAGGCGCCGTTGAGGCAAGGGGATGGGCCGTACGCCATCGTTATGGCGCCGACGAGAGAATTGGCGCAGCAAATTGAAGCCGAAGCAAAGACGTTTACGAGAAGCTCCAAGGGGTTCAGAACGGCGATCATCGTCGGCGGAACGAACATGAGTGAACAACGAGGCGCTTTGCGAAGTGGTGTGCAGATCGTCGTCGCCACGCCGGGGCGATTGATTGATCACTTGCAGCAAGGGAACACGAATCTCAGCCGCGTCTCCTTCGTCGTTTTGGACGAGGCCGATCGCATGTTGGACATGGGTTTCGAGCCGCAAATTCGCGAGGTATTGATGAATTTGCCCAAGCCTCATCAAACGTTGCTGTTCTCCGCGACGATGCCGAGCGAAGTCGAGGCACTCGCGAGCGACTACTTGCATAAGCCGGTCAAGGTGAAGGTCGGCACCACGAGCGCACCAACGGCAAACGTGTCGCAGCATTTGGAAAAAGTCGTGGACGCGGAAAAGGTGGACAGACTCGTGACTATGTTGATAGGCGAGCAGCGCGAAGCGATGAAGCTCGGTCAAGACATGCCGATGACGGTTATTTTCGTCGAACGCAAGAATCGCGCGGACGAAATCGCGGAACTCTTGAACGCAGAAAACGTCCCCGCCGCGGCGCTTCACGGCGGTCGTTCTCAAGGTGAACGCGAGGCGGCGCTTCACGACTACAAAACGGGGCGATGTTCCGTACTCGTCGCCACCGACGTCGCCGCTCGCGGTTTGGACGTCAAGGGCGTCGCGCACGTTGTCAATCTCGATTTGCCGCGCAACTTTGAAGATTACGTCCACCGCATCGGTCGTACCGGTCGCGCTGGTATGTCCGGTCGTTCCACTTCTTTCTACACCGACCGCGACTCGTTCATCGTGGCTCAAATCAAGCGCGCGCTGTTGGAGCTTGAAGCCGGCAACGCGTTCGCGTTCGCCACCGGTCGGGAAGCACGCGCCAAGGAACGCGAAGAGGCCAAGGCGTGGCGAGAAGGTCGTACAGTCGAACCATCCGTCGTTGAAACCGACGGTGGCGTCACCATCGCCGTGGAAGACAAATTCAAGCACATGATTGTGAGCGCGCCCGCCGCCGCCTCTGGCGGTGGCGCGGGCGCCGCCGACGCCGCATTCGGTTCCGACTCCGACGACGACTGGTAACCGGCGTGGCACCTACCTTTTATTACGTTGACTCTAGTGATTAGTCCCTGACCGTGAAATAACACTCCTCGCGCGTCCTTCGTCCCTCGCCTCGCCCGCGCGGGGGCGTCAAAGCCGCCGCGAACGCATCTCGCGCCTCACCACGCCGCGCGCGAAGCCGCGCGAAGCGCCAGTCGAACGCGCGTCGCACGCGAACGAAACGCGTCGCAACACCGTGTCGCGCGGAGACGCGTACGGACGCCGCACGCGTCGGAGAGCGCCATGAGCGCGCGCACATCCGTCGTCGACGTCGCTTTTCGAGCGACGACGTTCGGGCTGTTCGCGACGACCTGCGTCGCCGGCGCGTGGTTCACAGCGACTGCGGCGAAGGGATTCTTGCATTACAGCGCGGCGAGCGAGGCGGTGAAGCGGGAGACGAGCGATGGGAAGGGGGGGAAGTGAACGAGCGGGAGGCGAGGCGAGGCCGAGGATAGCACACAAATAGACGACAATTAATTCAACAAAACACGCGTAGTAGACACCCGCGCATTCACTAACGAATTGGATCCTCGTCGCGAACGAAGGACAACAGCTTTTGGACGATGCGGGCGCCGTCTTCGCGAATGCCGGAGTGCATGTATTCGCTGGTGCTCCAGACGCGGGCGCCCCGAATTTTCGCAGCCGTTTCAGAGGCGAGATCGAAATCGACGAACATGTCCTCGACGTAACTCGCGCACGCCACTGGGACGGTATTCTTGGCCAGCTGCTCCGTATCGTACAACACCTTTGGCCAATCTTTGTCCTTTTTGAGCTCTTGAACGATCGCTTTGAACGGGCGAAGCGATGGGATGTCTTCGAAGAATGAAGAGTAAACACACTCCCCCGTAAACGCACGGCGCAATGAGTCATCAGACTCAGGCTCACCAAACGCGCTGTAAAGATCTTCGCCAACTCGCTCGAGCCACACTTGGTCGGCCGCACCGATGGCGCACGCACCGTTGCAATAAATCGCCTCGTGCAGGACCGCGTACAACGGGTTCGTCTCGAAGTGCCTAAACGAGTTTTCCACTTCAATCAAAAACTTGTGCGGCAAGTGAGCTCCAACAATTTCTTCGTCGGCATAATGAATCTCTACGTACTGCATGATGTAATGCAACCTCTCCATCCCCTGCGCTGTGCCTAAATTAGAAAAACCGAGCGCTCGTACCAGCGGAACGGTGAGCAACCCACCGCCGGGCAAGATCCGTGGACCTTCGTTCTGAAGTTGGACATACAGCGCATAGAGGCGGTCGACATCGTACGGAAATCTTTCGAAATATTTTCTGTTTTGCGTCTGAACGCGCTCGAACAATTTTCGATACGCGTTTAACGCACTCGCTGGTTCGTCGATGAGCGGAGGCAAACCGCCAGTAAGCAGCGCTTCTTTCACGCCTTCGGGAGCGAAAGACAAATACGTCGTGATGCAAAAGCCGCCGAAGGATTGCCCAAGCAGCGTCCATTTCACATCTTCACCGAGCACCGTCTTACGGAACAACTCGGCGTCTTTCACGATGCTGTCTGCTCGGAAATTCTTCAAGTGAACGGCCCACGCCTTCGCCGGCGACGTGTTTTTGTCGGTCCAATGTCTGGGGTACGACAAGGGATGTCCAGACGCATCCCGGTTGAGCGTTGGATGGACAATCTCGCTGTCGCTACGTCCCGTGCCTCGTTGATCCATCAAAAACACTCGATGTTCCTTGACCATTTCCCCCAACCAGCCGCTCGCCTCGAGCGGTCCCGCGCACTCGAATCCGGGTCCGCCTTGCAAAAACAGTACCGCCGGCAGCGACTTCCGCTCCTCGCTCGTGAGTTTCCCTCGAGCCGCCGTCACCACTTCTCGAAAAAACACGCGCATCGCGTTCGAATCGCCTCGAGCGTGACACACGGGCACCTGCGTCGCGTCGCCGTCGCCGTCAGTCAGCAGTTTTTCGCCCTCGCGCGCCGCGCGCGCCGCGTCGAGTCGAAAACGCATCGACACGCGTCGGGACGCACCGCGATGAAGTGATCGCGGACGTGCAAACCTTTCACGCGATAGTCTTCCGTGTACAAAGCGCCGACTTCCGGGGCGGAAGCGACCACGTCGGCGGAACTTTGAGCCGTTTTCGCGCGCTTCACTCGACTGTTGGACGATCGCGCGGGGCTGGTCATGGCGGATGAACGTCGATGAGCGTGCGCGCGCGCGCGTGGAGCTTGGGCGCGTGAAACCGCGTGCGCACGCATGGGTGTGCGGTGGGTTCGGGTAACCGCCGCCGCGACGTCGGCCGAGAGCGCGTCTCTCGGAGAGACAAAGCCGAAGGATGCGGCGACGGACGCGAAGGAATGCGCTAAAGTTTTATTTCACATTCAGGCTAAAGCTTTTGAGTCATGAGTGGTGCTGCGATACTGTGTGGACGAAAGCTCGCTCGTCGAATTTAATCGCTCTTCTTCGCCGACGCCGTCTTGGGTTCTTCGTCGTCGTCGTCGCTAGTTTCGTTGAGCCGAATCTCGGTTTCGTCTAGCTCGGCGCGGAGCGCGTTGACGCGCTGTTGCTCGAGCTTGCTCTGGGCTTCCTCGTCGACGCCGCCCGCGAGAGCGTCGGCGGCGTCGGAGACGGCGCCGCTAATTATGCCTCGAACCGAACTCACAGCGGCGACGGCGCGACGAAGGGCCTCGCTTTCATTCGCCGCGTCAGCTTGCTCTTCTGCCATGGCGAGTTGATCCTTGAGTTCTTCGTACTTTTGCATCAACTCTTGCCTTCGCGTGGTGAACTGCGATGGAAAGAGCTGCGGAAAGTACTTTTGAATGAAACCAAACACCAAGACGTGACCGACGGGGGTGATGGGCGTGATGAGGATTATCATGAAGGGTACGAATGTGAAGACGTCCAAAAATGTGCGGCGCAAGACTTGCACCTCGCGCGGGCGCAAGGTGGTGCCGAACGCTGCGCGCAAGAAGAGACGAACCGAGGTTCCGATGTCTGAACCCAGCAACCTAACACCACGCACGAGGAAAGTTCCAGCTTCGCGAATGGTTTCCACCGACTCGTTAACCGTCAGTGACATGCGCTCTCGCATCATATCCAGCGACATCGCTACGTTGGGTTCGTCGGAAATGGCCAATCTCGACTTCATGTCGGGAATTTCCATGGCCAACTTTGATAAAGCTTCGTCGTCGATGAGCTGCGATTGTTGGCGATCGACGAGAGATATTAACCTTCGCAAGGACAAGTCCATGACGCCAAACTCGGCGACCATGAGACGCATGTCCTTCATTTCTCCCCTGGAAAGCGTATCCGGCGGCGCCGCCACTTCTTCCTCGAGCGCCAACATGATGCGCTCCATCTCCATTTGTAACGTACGCACCGCAAAGACACGACGAAGCGTCGATACCTTCTCGTCGCTATCACGTATCTTGTCTCCGAGCGCGACGCGCGAAAGCGCAGAGTTACGCCCTTGCGCCATGATGGCGTCGCGCGCTCGCTGCGCCTCGGTCAACGCCTTGTCTCTATCCTGCACCTCTATAGTCAGGCGTAGCACCCGCGCCTCGCGCTTCTCTCGCGGCACTCTCGGAACGGGATATGCCTTCAAAACTTCTACGACGCCCGAGTCTCCTATGTTAAGCCCGTTAATACGCGCCCAAACTCCTCGCGAGTACTGCGCCGCGCTCTTGATGGACTCGCGCGGGCTCGCCTTGAGCTGCTCTAGACCCTCCCCGAGGACGCCCTCCGCGCTTCGCACGCGTCGCGAGGTGAATCTCCCCACCCTGCGTCCGAGTGGACGTAACCTCGCGCCGACTTGGGTCTCCCCCTGATCCTCCTCTGCCGCCTCGAGCGCGTCTTCGGCTTGCTCCAGCGCGCGCTCGGCTTCGGCGCGAGAGCCGTACGGAAGATACGCCGCCATCTCCCGACACCGCGCCTCCACGCGCGCGCCCAAGTCCGCAAACTTATTTTCCAATTCAGCCCGCGCGGCGTCGGGATCGTCGAACAAGCTGTCCCACCTCCCCGCCATCGCCGCCGGCGCCGCGCGCAATTTTTCCTGTTCAACCTCGAGCTTGGACATCACCTCCACCATCTCCTCCAACGCGCTCATCGCCTCCTCCAGCTCCGCGCTCGGCACCGCGAACGCACTCAACGGTTTCCCACCGAACAACTTATTCGACTCGTTCCCATCCGCGTCCGCGTGCACCACGAAGAAGTCGTTCGCGAGCGACTTTTCGCACTCCACCACCGTCCCGTACAGCTCTCGCAACTGCGTCAGCGACTCCAACCGCGTCAGCCTCCGCGCGGCGTCCGCGCGCGCGCCCTCATCGCTGCTCAACGGTTCCCCGCCCGCGCTCGACGCCGCGCTGAAACTGAACCCGCTCGCGTTCGGGTCTCCGAACCCTTCGCACTCGTTCCCCGTCCCCTCGCTCGGCGTCTTCCCCGACGACGATTCCCCCCCCGCCGACGCCGCGTCTCGGATCGCGCGCGCGCGCGTCGCCCCGCGCGCGTCCATCGCGCTTCGCGCGTCGTCCCACCGCGCGCCCGCGTCCCACCGCGCGCCTCCGCGCGCGTCCTCGCGCGTCCTCGCGCGCGCGCGTCCCATTGACGTCGACGTCGCGCGCGCCGTCGTCGCCCGCGCCGCGCGCGCCGCGCGCCCGCGCGCCCGCGCGCGCGCCGCGCGCGCCGCGCCCGTTCGTCCTCCCGGCGCCGCGCGCGCCGCCATCGCGCGTCGTGCGTCGCGCGCGCGTCGCGCGCGTCGACGTGTGCGCGCGCGTTCGGTCCCCCGCGCGCGCGATCGATCCTTCGACGCGTCGATCGAACCTCGGCGCGTCGATCGAGTCGCGCGCGCGAACCTCGACGCGTCGATCGACCGAACGAAGATTGAATCGAGATCGAGATCGACGCGGCGCGCGACGCGTCGATCGAACCTCGGCGCGTCGATCGAGTCGCGCGCGCGAACCTCGACGCGTCGATCGACCGAACGAAGATTGAATCGAGAACGAGATCGACGCGGCGCGCGACGCGGCGCGCGACGGCGGAGCGCCGCGCGTCGGGTCGACATGCCCGCCGCCGCGTCGAGGACCGCGCTCGGCGCGGCGTGCTGGACGGCGACGGAGAAGGTGAACGCGGAGCTGTTCGCGCTGACGCACGGGGCGTTCGTGCGACAGATTTTGCGCGATCACGAGGACGACGTGGAGTGCGCGAACGCGGCGCTCGAGCGCGTCGGACGCGCGATGGGGGCGAGGATGGTGGAGGAGTTTTTGTCGAGGACGAACGCGAGCGGAGGGGCGTGCGCGACGTTCGAGGAAGCGATGGAGATGACGACGCGGGTGGGATTGAAGATGTTTTTAAACGTCGACGCGAAGACGAGGGATTGGAGCGAGGAGCGAGACGAGTGCGTGATTGAGATGGAGAGTAATCCGTTGGCGGAGTTTGTGGAGTTGCCGGGGAAATATGGGGATTTGAGTTACTGTAACGCGCTGTGCGGGGCGATTCGCGGGGCGTTGGAGACGGTTCGCGTGCGGACGACGTGCGCGTTCGAGAGCGATCCCTTGAGAGGGGAGGGCGAACGATTCGCGATTCGGGTGAAGCTATTAGAGCTCGTGCCCGAGGAGTATCCTTTCGACGATTGAGAGATGTAATGTATGTAGAGCGCCGACGCGCGTAAGAGAACCGAACGACGACGTCTTCGCGCGAAGAAAAGAGGCTTGTGAAGGTGATGGATCGCTACAATGAATCGCCGCTAAAAATGCTTTAAATAATCCCTAAACGCGTTCTGAGCCATGCTGGGAAGAACATACGAGTAAACCCTTCGCCTTTGACGATCGGGAAGATGATCTTGCACGCGCCGGCTAAAATGTTGCCGCCTTTAAACAAGCGCTCGGGCGTCGGAAGCGGCACCATGAGGCGACCGATGCCGAAGAGCGCGACGCTGAAAAAGTGACTGACCAAATTGAGCGGATTCGGATCAAGACCGCCCAAAAGCGCGATCGGACCTCGGGCGTAGCTACCGCCGAGCTTGAGGTACTCGAAGCACGCCTGACGCATCTCCTCCATGCTCGTGTCCCCGCTCGAGCAAAAGACGGCGTACAACGCGTTCGCCAACGTGTTGATAGTCAGCGCCGGACGCGTGCGATGACGATAAAACTCATCAAGTTTCGCCCCGGTCAGCGCTGCGTCTGAGAAATCGGGTAAAGGCGAGAGCATAGATTTGAAGGTGGCGATGTCGTTGAGCGCCACCGTCATGCCGCCGCCGGTGAGCGGGTGACGCATGTTGAATGCGTCACCCAACATCACGGCACCGGGCGTACGCTGCGGTTTCGCCGCCATCGTTTTATTTGGCATGGATCTAAACTGCCCGTTCTCGACCGCCTTGATTAAGTGCGGCTGGAGTTGCTCCGGAACCTGCGGCACGATTTTCTCGAGCACGTACTTGGCCATCTCGCCTTTGGCCACGCTCGGCATCTTCACCGACGCCGGAATGTCAACCAAACATCGCACTTCGGTCGAGGAGATCGGATAGAACAACACGGGCGACGGGTCGCCTAGCACCACGTGTCCGTGGCTGCCGTTTGGAAGTAAATCGCTCGGCGCGCCTTTTAAAATCACGCCGACAAAGTGGCTCGGATGGTCCGGCGACGCCTGCGGGCTCAGTTTGGAGCGCAGACTGCTAAAGTGGCCGTCGCACACGATCGTAAGCGGCGCAAACACGGTTTTCGTGACGCTGGGCCCGGGTATCACCTGTTGCTTCTTCTCGTCCCAGACGTCGCCGACGGTGTACGACACCCCGCCGACGGTTTCGCCCTCCTTCCAATCGCCACCCTCGCGATTCAACAGCTTCTTCACCGTGCCTTGACGCAATTCGACGCCCTCAACCTTCATCGCCGCCTGGCGAAGCTTTTGTACGAATCGCCCGTTGTGAAAACTGCGCCCCGCGACGTCGTCCGACCGCCCCTCGAGCGGGTACGTCATCGTCGCCACCTCGCCGTTTTTAAACATCGTGTATCCATACACCTTTTGCGCGTCGATCCCCTCCACGCACGACTCCAGCCCAAGCTCCTTGAGCTTCAAGTACCCTCCCGGCTGCAGCAACTCCCCCACGATTCGATCCGGCGTGCTCAAGTCTCGCTCCACGCACAGCACCCTGCGACCCTCGCCGCCGAGCGAATGCGCCAGGCTCGCCCCCGCCACGCCCGCGCCCACGATCACCACGTCCCACGCCCCGTCGTCTTCGTTCGTCGTCCCCGTCGCCGTCGCCGTTCCGTTCGTCCCGTTCGCGGCGACGCGCTTCGCCTCGCGAAAGCTCACCATCGCGTTCGCGCCTTATCGCCGCGCCGCGTCCCGATCGATCCCGCGCCTTCGCCCGTCCTCGCGCGTCCTCGCGCGCGCCTCCCGGTCGTCACCGACGACGCCCGCGTCCTCGAGCGCGCCCTCGCGACGCTCGAGCCTCGCCGTATCGCGCGCGCGCGTCGCGTCGTTCGACGCGTTCGCCTCGGGCGATCGACGCGTCGACGTCGTTCCGCGTCGTCGACGGATTCCGCGCGCGCGTCGTCCCGATCCGCGCGGAGCGCCCGCGATGCGCGCGGAGGGCTCGACCGCGCGCTTCCGCGACGCGCCGCGCGCGCGCGCTCGCGCGTCGAGGTGTGCGGCGCGCGCGCGCGCGGAATCCGTCGACGACGACGCGACTTCGTATGGGCAAACAGTCAGCGGTGCGAACGCGCGCATCGTCGCGCGTCGCGAATCCGCGCGCGCGGCGCGACGCGGCCGCACACGCGCGCGCGACGCGCGTCGACGCGAATCGACGCGTCGCGGAAGCGTCGACGCGCCTCGCGACGACGCCGCGATGCGGTCGATGTTCGACGACGCGCCGGCGACGGCGCGCGGCGGCGGCGCGCGACGACGCGACGGCGACGACGCGACGGCGAGCGACGACGCGACGGCGAGCGACGGCGAAGGCGACGCGCTGAAAATCAACGAAAAGTACGCCGCGCGGTTCGAACACAACGAACGAAGGAAGGAGACGCACCGATTGCAGGCGAAGCTGGAGCGGGAGTACGCGCGGGGCGCGCTGCGCGCGCGCGGCGACGGGAAGAGCGAGAGCGAGACGAGCGGGGAATCGAGCGATGGGACGTCGAGCGATGAGGAAGAGACGCTGGAGCGAGCGCTGGACGGGGCGTTCGCGGAGGCGCTGACGAAGATTCGGAGGAAGGATCCGAGCATTTACGACGCGGAGACGAAGCTGTTCGACGAGGCGAGCGAGGACGAGGACGACGAGGACGGGGGGGGGAAGAAGGAGGCGACGTCGACGAAGAGGACGAAGAAGAAGACGAGGGCGACGTTGCGCGAAGTCGTGGCGACGCAGTTGCTGGAGGGTGGGGCCACCGCGCTCGAGGAGGCGGAGGCGGAGGCGGAGGCGGCGCGCGCGAACGACGAACCGTCGTACGTCGAGGAGCAAGCGGCGCTGAAGCGCGCGTTCAAGGACGCGGCGGCGGGCGGTGACGACGACGAAGACGATGAAGACGAGAGTGGTCTCGTGGTGAAACGGCGCGCGGCGGCGATGACGGCGGCGACGGAAAAGTTGTCTGAATACTTTGACGCGAGACGCGGCGACGCGAACGATTTGAGCGCCGAGGATAAATTCTTGCGAGACTACTTGCTGGAGAAACAGTGGATGAAGGAAGACTCGAAGAAAGATTCCGCGGCGGTGCGGTTTCAAACATTAGGGCCGCCATCGAGCGACGAGGACGACGACGCGGGCGCCGACGACGAGTCGAGCGATTCCGAACTCCTCGATCGCGCCGAGGCGTTCGAGCACAAGTACAACTTTCGATTCGAAGAGCCGGGCGCGGATCGGCTCGTGTCGCACTCGCGTCACATCGAAGGCTTAGTTCGTCGCGAGGATTCGAAGCGCAAGGACAAGCGAAAGAAAGTGCGAGAGCGCAAAGAATCTGAGCGAGCCAAGCTCCTCGCCGAGGTGCGTCGTCTGAAGAATCTCAAGCGCGAAGAAATCGCAAACAAGATGCGTCAAATCTCCGCCGTCGGTGGGTTGAAGGGCGGCGGCGCGAAGGTGGCGGATTTAACTGAAGAATTCGACCCCGAAGCGCACGACCGAGCGATGCGAGAGATGTACGGTGACGAGTATTACGACGCCGCGGGAGAGGACGGCGAAGACGAAGTCTTCGGCGAGCTGGAAAAGCCCGAGTTCGGGGACTTGGAGGAGGAGATGAAGGAACTTTTGAAGGGTGCAGGGAAACCTGACGATGACGATTTAGATGATGACGATCATTTCGACGATGACGACGAACCGGCGCCGGACGAAGAAGAAGAAGAAAACAAATTTAGCAAGCGCGCCGCGAAGAAGTGGCGCAAGGAGCTCGAGGCGAAGATGGACGAGTACTACAAGCTGAACGCCGAAGATTTCATCGGTGAAGCGCCGACGCGCTTCCCGTACAAGGAGGTGGCGCCGAAGATGTTCGGTCTGACCACGCGCGACGTGCTTCTGATGGAAGACAAGCACCTGAACCAAATCGTCGGCTTGAAGAAGCTCGCGCCGTATCGCGACGACGCAAACGACGCCGCCGTGGACGCCAACCAACGCGCGAGAGCGCGTCGCATGGCGAAAGAGTTCTTAGAGAAAGCCAAAGACAAGAAGAATCGTTCGTCGCGACGCAGAAAAGACAAAACCAAGCGCGAGGACGACGACGAAGCTTCGGACGGTTCTGACGACGACGCCAAGGCGCGCGCGCGGTCGTACGCCGACTCGGCGTTCGGCAAAAAGCGTAAATCCGAAGCGCCGCTTCGAAACACCACCGCGGATGACGCATCCACCGGCGTGGGTAAGAACGCTCGGAAAAACGCGAAGAAGCGCGCGAAGCGCAAAGCCAAAGAAATAGCGAGCGCCGCCGTGTAACCGTCGAACCGCACATGTCCGCGCGTCTCGCGTCGCCTTCGGGCGCGCTCGCGCCCCGTCTCCGACAGTCGCCGTCGCGACCCTCACCGGTGACGCATCGCGCGCCTCGCGTCGCGCGCGCCTCGCCGTGGAGCTATCCCGACGGCAGCAACCCACTCGAAGGTTTCTTCGCCTCGTCGAGCCCGATCGACGGCTTGGGCGCGCTCACGGGGTACTGGTACCTCGACGTCTTCGCGGGCATGAACGTCGTCTTGCTGTGCGCGCTCGCGCTGACGATGGACGACGAGACGTTCGATCGGCGCGACGGCGATTGATTACGTGCGGGGCGACGTAACGTGGATGACGAAAACCCGTAACTTCGTCGTGTCCGAGGCGACGCGATCGCTCCTCTTCAAGTTTATCGTCATTCTGCTAAGTGTTCGTCATACTCTGGCGATTAAACACCTAGTAAAGGGGATGTGGTCTAGTGGTATGGTGAGTCTTTCACGCCGACGTGACCTCGCGCATACCCACACCTTGAAAAGTCCTATGTACTGACTGTACGCTCTCGTTCGTTGATCAATAGATTCTCCCTTCGGGTAATACCCAGCGCTGAATAGCGCTTGCTTGAACTTGGGAGAGGCCCCGCGTTCGATTCGCGGCATCCCCCTCAGAATCCAATTTTTTGCGGGGTCGGTTCCCGCCGACACCCATGACCCGCGTTTGCTCGCTTTGTAATACAACCATTCTAACGGAGCGCGCTAAGCGCTAAGCGTCGTCGAGCTAAGCGTCGCGCAGATGGACGCCGCGAAGTCGCTCGCGCGCGGCGACGTACGCCGGCGATTTCGGCGGGCGGCGCTGCGTCGGCGTCGCCGCATTTGCTTCAACCTTGACGTCCTCCTTGACGTCGCGAGGTCTTTGATGCCGCGCCTTGGACGCGGTGGCGAACGTGAAAGGTTCGCTCGTCGTCGTCTCGTGTTTCCACGTCGAGCCGTCGAGGCGATTGGCAAGCGCGTTCTTTTCCTCCCGCTGTTTTCGCGCACTTTGTTGTCGCGCCAGGAACGACTCCAAACCTTTCGGCATCACTCCGCTCGACGACGGCGTCGCCGGCGCTGGAGATGCGGTGGAGCTCTCCGGATCGTCTACTAGAATCGTCGTCGAACGACGCTCTCGCGACGTCTGCCCCGGGGCGCTAATCTTTGGCGCGAACGTACAATCGCGCAAATCATCCTCGACTTTCGCCTCGCGCTCGGCCTCGAGAATCGCTTCTTTACGTTGCGCCCACACGCGCGAACGTTCGACGAAAGATCCAGACTTTTTCTTGTACAAAGACGCCGAGATTTCTCGAGACCGTCTCGAAATGTTCGGCGCAAACGTGCACGATTCCAATTCCTTCAATTCCTCGCGCTCGCGCGTCGGCAACGTCGACGCGCGATCGCTCGCCGCCGGTTTCGCGTCGTTCGTTCGTTGTTTTTCCCGATATTTCTTCGCCAATCGTCGACTCGCCTCGCTAATCTTCGGCGCGAACGACGTCTCCGCCTCCGCCGTCGTCGTTTTCACAGATTTCGCGACGCCGCTCTCTCCGCGATACAGCCTGTCCGACGCCTTCGCGATCGCATCCGCGCTCATCGTTTTCACCGCTCGCACCGGCGTCTCCGCCGCCTTCTCGCGTTTCTCCGTCGCCGCCTTCGCCGCCGCTCGCGAACTCGCCGTCTCGCGCGGCGCCGCCGCCGCCGTCTTCGCCGCCGCGCCGCCGCCGCTCGCGCCGCTCGCCCCCCCTCCCGACTCCCGCTCGAGCCACATCGATCGCACGCGTAACTTCTCCCTCCTGCGCGCGCGAGATCGCGTCATCGCTCGTCAGCGTGGTTGCGCATCCACGCACCATCGCGTCGATCGCATCGCGTCGCATCCTTCGTCGCGTCGCGTCCCTCGTCGCGTCGCGCGTCGCGTCGCGTCGCGTCGCGTCGCCGCGCACATCACTTCGCACGTCACCGCGTCCGGCGCGCCTCGCGTCGACGGCGCCACCGTCGCCATCGCGCGCGTCGGTTAGTTTAAACCACCACCAGACGCGCGCGCGCCGCGTCGCGACGACCGACCGACCGACCGCGCGGTAAAAGATGATGGGCGATTTCGCGCGCGATATGCGTGCGACGACCCATGAAAGGGGCAACATGAAAGACACCACAGTTCGACCGCATCCGCGACCTCTGTCGCGTACGGACGCGTTTAATGACGAATTTACGTATAAAAAAATCGACAACGCAAACCAACTGCTTATAAAACTCACGGAAGTCGAAAGACGAACGCGACTCCGCGTCGCGCGTCGCGCGGTGTCGTCGTCGGTGTTACGGGTCGGCGCGCGCGCGACGACGACGGCCGCACTCGTCGCGGCGACGCGGCGACGCGCGACGCGATGGTGTGCCCCAAGGGCACGCGCACCAAGGGACTGACGAAAAAGTACGCGCACAACGCGCGCGTCGCGGCGCTGAAGAAGCGCGCGCGCACGGAGGCGCATCGACGGAAGGCGGCGTTCGTCGAGGCGGCGCTCGAGCGGCTGGCGGCGCGGGACGCCGCGGAGGGACGCGAAGGGGCGCGCGCGAGCGACGCGGGGGGGACGCCGACGGTGGTGGGGGTGATGCCGGCGCGGGAGACGGCGCGGCGGGCGACGATCGACGCGGAGGCGTACAGGGAGGCGACGCGCGCGGCGTCGAGCGCGGCGGCGGTGGCGAGCACGAGCGGAGGGTTGATCGGGAAGTTGGCGTTCGACGGCGCGAGCGACGTCGCGCTGGAGACGAGAGCGAAAGGGGGGGGCGAACGGGAGGGGGAGGGGCGAGAACCGCGAATCGGGACGGCGGCGCGGAAGAAGAAGAAGAAGAATAAAAAGTTGAACGCGCGCAAGGCGAGGCGGTGTTGACGACGAAGGGCGCGCGCGTTTCGAGAAATGTATCATCGCTACTAGTATCTATCGCTATCGCTACGCGCGCGCTTCGCCGTCGTCGTCGTCGTCGTCGTTTTGTTCGTCCGCGACGACGTCCTTCTCGAGCGCTAAAACGCGACGAATGTGCTCGACGTACGCGTCGATCTCGTCGTCGACGTCGGCGTCGCTCAGCGACGTAAACGTCTCCAGGGCGTCCATCCAACGCTCGGTTTTGAAATATAGAACCCCCATCGTGCGCACGAGGGGTGTTCGCAGCGACTCGTACGGGTTACACGCCATCATGTACTCGGTGATCTGCAGCGCGCGCTCGTAATCTTCGCGAGCGAAGTAAATCGACTTGAGATTCACCAGCATCCTCGTCAGAAACGCCTTTTTACGTATCTTTGTCTCTTGGAGAAACGAGCGCTCGATCTGCACTTTGCCGCCTTCTCCGAACAAGGAATTTTTGCTCAAAATATCCTCGACTTCTTCGATGAATAAGACGTCGCCTTGGTTGAACGGATCCACGAGCACCTCCATGCCTTCAGCCAGCGGTCGACACAGCAAGTGTCCGGGAATCCCGACGTCGACCATGTCGACGCCGACGCGCTTGGCGATTTCCATGTACATCAAACACAGCGTGATGGGAATCCCAACTTTTCGCCTCAGCACGTCGTCGACGCACGAGTTTTCCACCTCGTAATAATTCTCTACGTTGCCCTTGAAGCCTAAATCCGTGGACCACGCCCGGGAAATCGTTTTGATCGTGCGCAACGGGAACCGCGCGTCGACGTCGGCGTCCAATCGACGTCGCACGAGCGCGGCGCACGCGTCGATTTCCCGTCGCACGTCTTCGACGTCGATGTCTGGATTCGCGTGCGCGGCGACGTAGCACGCGCACGCCAGCAAGTCTACGTCGTCCTCGTCCTCTTTATCCATCTCTCGTTCGAACAGCGTCAACCCGCGGCGGCGCTTGGTGAGCTCGGCGAGCGACGCATCGATGGACGTCGCCGACGTCGACGTCGAATCATCGATCGCGCCGTCGCCCGCCGCGAGCCACTGCTCGGCGTCGTCGCGTCCGAAAAAGGATCCCGCGACGGCGTCCCGTTCCCGACGACGATTCCCGCGCCTCGCGTCGCGCGTCGCCCGCGCGCCTCCCGCGCGACGCCTCGAAACGCGCGCGACCGTCCGCGCGCTTCTCGCGACCTCGCGCGACATCTCGCGCGCGTCACTCTGCCGCCGCGCGTTCGCGCCGCCTCGACGCCGCGCGCGTCGCCGCGCTCGCCTCGTCCGTCCCCATCTCGCCTCGCGCGTCTGCGCTCGCGCGCGTCGGCACCGACGGTAACTCTAACGCATCCTCGACCATAGCGCGCGCCTCGTTCGCCTCCGCGTTCATCTCGCGCACCATCGCCTCGTACTCGTCCGCGACGTCCTCGTCCCGCGTCCCGGTCGGCGCGTCCGCGCTCGCCGCCGCCGCCCACGCCCTCGCGCGTTCCGCGTCCTCCATCGCCGCCTCGACGTCACCGCACGCCGCGATGACGTCGCGCATCGCGTCCGCGCCGCTCTTGAGCGCCCGCGCGGTCTCCGCGCTCGCCTGCGCGGCGTCGATCTCCATCAGCGCCGTCGCGACCGTCAGCGTCAGCGCGCTCAATCGCGCGCGCACCGCCTCGCGCGCGCGCTTCGCGCGCAGGTGCGCGCGCGCGACGCTCGGGGAGGACGCGTGCGCGCGCGCGCGCGCGACGTCGCGCGCGATGTCGGCGTCGACGCGGCGCAGGTGGGCGTCGAGTCGGCGCTCGGCGCGCTTGAGGTCGAGCACGGCGACGTCGACGTCGGTGACGGCGACGCCGTCGACGCGCGAGGGGGACGCGCACGCGGCGAGGGACGCGCCCATGGCGCGCGCGACGCGACGCGCCGACGCGCGGAGGTGTGCGGACGGTCGGAGCACGGTCGGTCGGTCGGTCAGTCGGTTGGTTGACATCTTACATTCGCGCTCGCGACGACGCGGCGCGCTCGGACGGTTCACCGCGGATTCACGGCGACGCAGACGCGCTCGAGGGCGCGCGCGTCGAGTCTGGTGGCGTCCACGGCGCGACGCAGCGCGGGAAGGGTGAGGGAGACGTCGGCGGATGAGGCGGGGAGCGCGCGCGCGAGGGCGGCGCGAACGTCGTCGACGACGACGTCGAGCGGACGCGGAGGGAGACGGGGCGGCGCGACGACGTCCGAGGACGGCGTCGGGGGACGAATTGTCGACAGTGCGCTCACCTCGGGTCTCGCGGCGCGCGTCGTCGACGAGGAAAAGCCGGAGACTTTGGCGAGCGACGCCAAGGCTTCGTCGTATTCGGCGTCCGTCGCGACGTACTCGTCGTAGAGCTTGGCGACGCCGAGATGGAACCAACTTTCGAGGGTGTCCACCGCGCTGAATCCCAACGACGCGATCGGTTTGTGTATGTTGGCGTGCGTCACGCGTCGAGGCTTCAAAGCTCTGGCGCACGCGCGAAGATCTTTCACGAACCGATTCGGATTGCCTATTTTACGATCCAACGCCAGTTGAATGAGTTTTCCAGCCTGCTCGGAGCGGTTGAAAAATCGATCGAATCGGTGCGTTTTCAGAAGCTCTTTGACACACTTTGCGATTGCCGCGCGAACGATGGCACGTGCGCGTCTGACACGGATTCGAAGCGCCTCGCACGCGGCTTCGTTCGCCGTTTCCTCGTCCGCGACGACGGCGGGGGACGGCGTCTTCGGCGCGCGCCGCGAGGCAATCCTCTTCGCGTATGCGTGATGCCGCGCTTCGGCGTATGCAGACGCGACGTCGACGGTGGCGATCTCGTACACCGCGCGCTCAACACACTCTTTGACGCGGTCTTCGGAGAACTGAGGTTCGACATCCATCGCCGCGCCGTCGCACTCGAAAAAGTGGAGTACGGCTTCAGGAAGCGTCTCTGTGGGCAAGTTGACGAACGACACGACGTACAGGCCACCATCGCCCGCGCTGGGTGCTGCGTAGCAATCTGCAATAGTGCTCTGCACGAGATCCCAAAGCGCGGTCGTCGTGACGCCGATGACGTCGCCGGAGCCATCGGTGGAAGCCGCTAGCGCCCACAAGTCCAAGTCTGGCATCACGAGCGTCGTTTTCGTTCGCGTCGCTTGCCTTAGAGGCTCGAGTAAGGCAGCCGCCACACCGCGCACGGCGTCGCCATCTCCATGCGATATCAGCGATGCAAGATTGATCAAGTGCGTTGAAGTTCCGCTCAAAGAGTTCAGCACGACGTCTACGATTTCCCGCTGGCCGCAGTCGCTTTCGCCCGCGAGCAAGAGTCGACATCCGCTTCGAACGGAATTATCGTCCCCGGATGCCGACGGATGAGTCAAAGGCACGATATCTCTGTCTTCGATTGAAGCTGAACCGCGTTCAAACGCACCAGCGGCGATGAGAGCGTCTTCGACGACTGTGTCGGCGACGTCGGCGTCGGCGCACGCGCTCGCCGCGGAGAGACACTTGGGCGTCATCGGTGCGCCGCGCTTGAAGCATTCGCTCATCACTTTTCGAACCGAGCCACCAAGGATAGGGACTAAAAAGCTTTCGAGCGGTTTCCCGCGCGGCACGAGCGCCGCAGCGGCGCTTCTCGCCGAACACGCGTTAGACGTGGTGGATAAAGCGTGCGTCCAGTCTCGCGAAGACACAGAAACGCCGTCTCGACGACTGTTGCGATACTTCTCGAGTAAGTCGTTCGCGTCCTCCAACGACTCGCGGACCCGCGTGCGTACCGTTGCTTTTACCGGATGTTTTTCTAAATCGCTCGGTACCACTTCGAGACCGACGTTCGGCCGGAAGAGTTGCATCCAAACGTCCTCGCCGTTGAACAAGTTTGAGTCGTCGTATCGCAATCGGTGACTGACCGTATTCCGGTCGTAGCCGACAATCGTGGCCTCGTGATGAGCGTCTTCTAAGGGCCAGTATACTTTGACTCGCATCGCGAGCGCGTCGAATTGCTTGAGCGCCAAAAAAGCGCCGGCGTGTCCTGATTCGTGCGCCACGCGAGCCTCCTCCAAAGCCGTCTTCGAGCTCTCTGGCGGCGGCAGTCGCGCTTCGAGCTCGACCGCCAAAGAATCGCGCGTTGGATCTCCGCTAAGAAGTGATGGACACGTACGCTTGAGCGCACTCATCAACGCCGCGTTCGCGACCGCGCGCAAGTCAGCACCGGCACAACCCTCCGTGCGGCTCGCGACTGCTTCGAGCGTCTCGCGACTCGGCCGAGGCGTCCAGGCGCGCGTGTGCACGGCTAATATGTCCGCACGCGCTTCAGCGTCTGGAAGACCAAAAAATAGCTCGCGATCGAATCTCCCAGGTCGGCGCAGAGCGGGATCGACGGCGTCGGGACGATTCGTCGATGCGACAACAACAACAGACCCTCGACCAGACAAACCATCCATGAGCGCGAGCAAAGTGGCGACGACTGAGGAGTGAATCTCATCCTGCGCGCCCGAGCCGCCACCACCTCGACGCGCGGGTGCCAAACCATCGATTTCGTCGAAAAATATGATGCTCGGCTGGCGCTTTTCGGCCTCTTCAAACAACAACCGGAGCTTGCGCTCGGCTTCGCCGCTGTACTTGCCCAAACAATCCGCGCCGAGCCGGCTAAAAAAGCTAATCGGTCTCGGTCCTCTCGCCGCGGCGCCGAGCATCGCACGCACAGCGGCTGTTTTTCCCGTTCCTGGAGGTCCGTGCAAAAGCACGCCACGCGCGGCGCCCGCGCCGAGACTTTCAAACATCTCCGGGTACGCGAGCGGCAGGAGCGTCAACTCCTTGAGCGTCTTGACGTGCTCCTCCATGCCTGCGAGAGACTCCCAGCCGGCGGAGTACGTCGACGTACCAAGACCACCACCGATGACGACTCGTGGAATCAATTCCTTGTCCTTGTCCAATCGTCTCGACTCGCGAAGCCTGAAGGCTTCGTCGTCGTCTGCGATGGCGCCGGTGCTCTTCTCCTTCTCCGCGTTCAAACGCACCCCCGCCTCCATCACGGCGCGATAAATCGCTCCTTCGCGCGTGTTCATAAACTTATCGTCCGCCAACTTCACTCGCTTCCTCTTCTTCTGTTTCCTACCTCTACTAATCTCCGCGGTGGCGCGAATCCTATTCAAAATGGGCGTCGCTCCCGGCGCCGCGAGCGGCGGCGCCTCCACCGGCGCCGTCGCCCCATTCGACCCATCTCTCGCGCCGCTCACCCCCCTATCGTTCGATCCATCGCCGTCTCCCGACCCCGCGCCCTTTCCCTGCCCCTCCTCCATCGCGTCCTCCACTCCCGCGTCTTGCCATCGCGCGTCCGCCCGCTCGCTCGCCATCCTTCTCGCGTGTCTCGGACACGCCAGCATAAACTCCCCCTGCACGAACGCGCATCCGTCCGCGTGCGCGCACGCAAAGTGATAGCTCCTCGGACACGCCTCCACCGCGCATCCGATCGCCGCGCCCTTCCCCTTGCACCGCGCGCACGGTATCCTTCGCGCGCGCCGCAGCGCCTCCGCCAGCTTTCGCAGCTTTTCCGTCCTCGCGTCGAAGTACACCTCCGGGCACCACAGCGCGCACGCCTGGTGACAGTACACCGGTCCGCGCGCGCCGCCGCGATCGTCGAGCAGCAGCGGTCCGAGGACGACGTCCGCGTCGAGGGCGTCGTAGCACTTCTTCAAAACCTTTTTCGGTCGCGGGTTTCGCTTCGTCGTCGAGCACAGCGCGCACGGTCGTCCGGAGCGCGCGCGCGACGCGTCTTCGCCGTCGCGCATGCCGTCGGGACGACGCGCGCGTCGGCGCGTGACGCCGGCGCGAGATCGACCCAGCTGTCGGGCGGGGCGGTTCGAATGGCGGTGTATATACGTATACATACTAATTACACATACACTATATGTCCGAAACATGATGTATGTGTATTTAGTAACAATCGATATTTAGTTTTATTGCGCGCACATGGTTTTAACGTGACGCCGTGTGCGTGATTCGCGCCGCGTCGACGCCGACGGCGGCGCGCGCCCCGCACACCGCCGCGATGGCGCGCGGCGCGTCCCCGAAGCGCGCGCGCGCGCGCGACGACGGCGCGACGACGAAGCATCACTACCCTCCCTCCGTCATGGACGCCCGCGCGACGCGCGCGGCGGACGACGACGACGACGAAGCCGGCGACGAAGGCGCGCGCGCGCGCGCGGCGGCGGCGGCGACGACGACGCTGGGCGCGCGCGCCAAGGCGCTGCGCGACGCGAGCGACGGCGAGGCGAGCGGCGATCAGAAGCGACCGCTGGACGGGGCGCTGCGCGACGCGCGACGCGGTGATCGAGGGACGGAGCGAGGGACGAAGGCGAGGGCGGATTCGCTCGCGGCGTTGCTCTCGCAGGCGCTGCGGGCGGACGACGCGGCGTTGATCGAGCGATGCCTGAGCGTGAGCGATCGAACGACGATCGCGAATACGGTGGCGAAGTTGAGCTCGACGCACGCGATGAAGCTGCTGAGCGAATGCGCGGCGAGGGCGCAGGCGAAACCGAACTCGGGGGAGCGGTGCGCGAAGTGGGCGAGGACGATTTTGTTGCACCACGCGGGGTACGCGTCGAGCGCGCCGAAGGCGCGAACGACGCTCATGCGGTTGTCGCAGACGATTGAGAGTCATGTGGCGATGCAAGGACCGCTGCAAGCGCTGTTGGGGCGGTTGGAGTTGGTGTTGCACGCGAGCGCGATGACAAAGGGCGGCGCGGACGACGTCGACGAACTCGCGGACGCCGAAGAGACGTTGACGACGGTGTACGACGAAGCCACGGACGCGGTTGATATTTTACAAGACGTCATGGGACGCGAACGCGCGGGAGCTTCGCAGGACGTCGAGGACGAAGAGGGCGACGAGGACGACGAGAGCGAAGAAGAGGACGAGAGCGAGGACGAGAGCGAGGACGAGAGCGAGGACGACGAAGAGGACGAAGAGGACGAGAGCGAGGAAGAGGGTGATGGTATGGTGTGATGTCGTCTGGCGTCCTCGCCCTCGTCGTTAGTTTGCGTCTTTTAATGATAAAACTTATAGCGTGTATTCGACGTAAGACGCCCCACTTCGCGGCGGCTCGCGCCGACGATCCCCGGCGCATGCGCCATGCGCCCGACGCAGTCCCGCGCGGCGCGGCGTCAAGTCAATAGACCACCGCTTGACGCGCGCGGCGTCGAGACGCTCATTCGCGAGCGCGTCGAGGCGCGCGACGCGGAAAATATTGACAAAAAGTGCGTCGCGCTCAAAGGCTTGCGCTTAGAAAACGCCGATGCGTTGCGCGCGACGCTCATTTCGGCGCATCAACACGGCGTGCACGCGCTCAACTTGTCGTGTTCCTTAGCCTTGCTCACGTTCGAGGATATTGCGCGGGCGTTTAGGAGTGCGAAATCGTTCGGGGCGAGCGAATGGGCGTTGGAGGAACTGTCGCTGGCGGGGACGCCGACGCTCGGCGACGACGACGACGTCGATGAGCACGTCGTTCGACACTTCGTCAGTCAATTGTTGCGCGTAAGGAAGCTCAATCTCGCGAAATGCGCGCTTGCCGGGCGCGTGGTAAAGATTTTAGTGGAGATGCTCGAGGCGCCGCGGAGCGAGAACGAACGGCGATGCGAGAGCTTGAACCTTCGCGATAACGACGTCGACGAGGAGAGCGGCGAGGCGCTGTTGAGGGCGTGCGCGGGGAGTGATGATGTGGTAGAGATTATATTGACGAATAATCATCGCGTGCACGCGGAGACTGTGGCGGCGGTGGCGCTCAAGTGTCGGGAAAACTGGAGAAGGAAACGTGCGGCGGAGGCGACCGCGGCGCTGAGAGACGGCCAGGAGGCCGTCTTGTCATTTCGTAAGATGGGCTTGACGGACGACGACGTCGATGGATGTGTAAACAGAGCGCTCGCATCGTGTATGGGTGTGGTCAAGCTGGACGTTCGCGATAATGCGCTCGGTGAAGACGGCATGGTGGCGCTACGAAACGGCGTCACCGCGTCGCGAGTGACTAGCGTCAACGCGAGCGGGAATCCAGGATTCGGCACGGAGTCGTTCAGAAAGCTCTCTGGGCAGGCTGCGGCGAATTTTATTCGATACGATGAGTGTGATGAAGCGTTAAAGAGTGTTTCTGATCGGCATTTAGGCGACGAAGGAGCCTCGATACTTGCAGCCGCTTTACGCGAGAAGGGCGAGAGCGTGCGTGCAGTGGGCGCGCATCACAACGGTATAGGCTCTCTTGGGTGCGTTCATATAGCAGATGCGTTGCGTGAAACGCACAGTAACCTTCGTGAACTGGCAATGTACGCAAACAATATAGGGATTGAGGGTGCGATGGCGTTGGCGCGATTGGTGGAATCGCACCTTGCGCTCGAAGTCTTGGACGTCGGCGGCAACGGATTCGGGGACGCCGGTTGCGTGGCGATTGCAGTAGCAATGACGCGCTCCTCATCGCGTTCAAAGCTCATTGAACTGCATGTGGATCATAATGGTATTACGGACATTGGCGGTGAGGCGCTTTTACGCGCCCTGGTCGCGCGTCGAGACGCGGGTACACCGTTGCGAACGGTATGGATTCACGGCAACGACATCGACGGCGAATTAGCCGCGCGCATCACGCAGTGTTGTTCAACACACATCAACGTCGATGCCGCGACTGTCGTCGTTCGGGCGCTTGAATCGAGCTCGTGTCCGTCGCCGACGGCAGAAGACATTGACCGAGCCGAGCTCGAAGCCGCCAAGGCGAGTGAACGTCGCGACGACGACTCTTCGCGCTTAGCGAACAGAATCGCAGCGAGAGTCGGCGCGGAGTATAAAGTTCGCTGTGCCTCTCACGCCGCAGCGACGAGAGGGACGGCGGTCATCGCTGGAATTGTCCTGACAGATGTGAAAGAGCTCGAACCGCACGACATCACGGTCGTGTCTCTCGGTGTCGGTACGAAATTCATTCCCTGCGATGTCGCCACGGCGATAGAGCGAGCGAGTAAAGACTGCCTTTGGAACGCGCACGTGCACGACAGTCACGCCGAAGTTCTCGCTCGAAGAGGCTTTCTTCGATTTCTATACAGAGAAATTGAATCGTTCGTTCGCTCCGGGGAATCTTCTTGGCTTGAAATAACCACAAAGGGCGCGGCGACGCTCAAACGCGGTGTTGCTGCTCACTTGTACGTCTCCACGGCGCCCTGCGGGGCGGCAAGCGCGGGGCCAAAGGGTACGGTGACGCACGATTGGGTCGACGACCATAGCGAGGCGTATCAAATGCATGATATACCGTTGAAGAATTCACTCTGGTTTGGCTCGTCCTACAAGGGAAACGATGGCGATGACCAAGGTCAAGTTCCGCCGGGGTGCGTTTTAATCCCAAACGCCGAGCTCGCGTTGGGCGTCGCTGGAAAGTCGTTGTCGTGCAGCGATAAAATTGTTCGATGGCACGCGCTTGGATTACAAGGAGCGTTACTCAGTCATTTTATTGAGCCAGTGCGTCTTTCGTCCGTCGTCATCGGGCGTAAGTTCGATTTCGCGCGCTGCACGTTTGCCACGTGTTGTCGCGGCAGAGCGCTCGCGACGGATGCGCTTCCGCATCCGTGGATGATGTATAGCGGTATCAAACTAGAGAGTGGTGGTGGCGACACCGCAAGTGGTGGTCGAGAACTCGCGGGAGACGGTGATGAAAGCATTTCTTGGTCGTTCGGCGAAGGTACGCCTTCCGCGCACGACGGACGCACCGGTGTCTCCATTGGAGGCGGCGGTGCGATTTCCATTTGCTCTCGAGCGGTGCTTTGGTATCAATTCTCAAACTTAGTCAAAGTCGTGCAAAACACACCTGCGTGCGCACTTCGCGCACCAAATGTGAATGGATGGACGTACGATGAAACCAAGCGAGCGGCAACGTCGTACTCGAGTGCGAGGCGAAAAGTTTTTGCCGAGACGTAGATGAGCACGTCGCATGGCGTGTATAGCTTAGCGTAGCGTGGGATCATGATTAATGAATTCAACTCGGTAGTATTAAATCTAAACCTCCTCTAGTACCTATACATGTTCTCTCTCGCCTCAAATCAAATTGTTTTAACCTCCTCTAGTCGGAATCCCAGGCTTCATCGGCCATCCCCGTCATCGATGAAACGCTAGTTATCGTATTTACGCCTTGGGTGCTGATGTTTTCTTCGTCGTCGCTATCGTCCCAAGCATCCGGAATTACGTCGCGCTCTGCAAGCTTCGGTTGTGAGGTGGACTCCTTCAGCTGCCCTGTCGCCCAAGACACGGGCTTGCCCAAAGCGTTCTGGATGTACGTTTGCCCGATGCCAGTGCCACCAATCTCGTTCGCCGCGCTCATGCCGATGGACGCAAGTCTGTTTGCGGCGTCGGAATCGGTGGCGGACAAGCCGCAGATGAGACCGCTCTCTCGCGCCCACTTCAACCATCCCTTCCAGACGATTTCGTCTTGTTGTAAGGTTTTCATGTGCCCGACGATGATCAGACCCCGCTTCGCTCGCGTGAGCATGACGTTGACGCGACGAGTATCCGCCAAGAAACCGACGTTACCGTTCATGTTCGCTCGAGTACACGAGAACACAATGACTTCCTTTTCACGACCCTGGAAGCCATCGACAGTGGCAACTTCAACCGCTTTCATTGATGTTGGATCGGCGGGTGCATCGAAGCGTGTGCGCTCCGGTGCGTTACCGCGAAGAATCTTCTTGATGGCTCGCGCCTGCGCGCTGTAAGGAGTCACGACGCCAATGTCACCCGGCAACACTTCGTGTTGGCCAGCGAGCTTCTTGACAATGTTCACGACGCGCTGGATTTCGGCAGGGTTGGTTTGCGAAGACCCATCCGAGCGTTCGGCTCCCTCTTCAACGTTGACAAAAGCCATAGGTACGGCGGGAACCGGCCAGTCGAAACCGACGGGCGCTCGCCGCTGACTCGGCGGCGTACCAGACAGAAGCTCGCCTTTGTAAAAAGTCTTCGACGGGAACAACGCGATAGCGGGGTGCATACGGTACTGTACCTTCAGCATGTACGTACGAATGCCCGCACGAATGAAACGCTCGAATAAACTTTCGCCTAGACCAGCCGCCTCCGCTTCACGACTGATGATCGTCGGCGGTAGCTGGTTCTGATCACCAATCAACACCACCTGCTTGCATCCTTTCGTAAGCGGAATCACAGTCGCTGGCTCTGTAGCTTGCGTGGCTTCATCGATCAAACAGGCTTGGAATGAGTATTTTTCCAAGATATCGCTCCCAGCACCGGCGCAAGTAGCACAAATCACCTCCGCCTGACGCAACGCGTTGGTGATGGCGGAGCGCTGCTGCTGCTTGGACCATCGACAGTCTTGATCGATGCCAGCAATACTTTCGATCATGTAAGGCATGAGATCTTGACGAACCGCTTCGGGGCGGCCAATTCTAGCGACACGCACGCCAGCTCTCGCTAAGCCGTCGACCAAGTTATCAACCGCGATGTTCGAGTCAGACGTGCACAAAATCGGCGACGTTCGGCATCTGAGCCACATTTGAACAAGAGCGACTGCGGTGTGCGTCTTACCCGTACCCGGTGGACCTTGAATCAACGTCACACGATTGAAAAGCGCCGCCATGAGAGCATCAATTTGAGATTGGTTCATGTGCTGCATCGCGGGAATATCCTTGGCTTGATCGATCATTTTTTGACGCGTCGCGATGTGCATGTGCTCCGCAAGATTGGCTTCGCACATTTCAGGGATTTCCTTGTGCTTTTCTTTGTTACCGTCCCAGCCAGCGATGAGGGTGTCACGAATGTTGACATCAACACCAGCCTTGGTACTGTTACCTTGTTTCACCTGCATCATGTCTTCCATCGCCTTGAGCTGACGATGGAACGATGTTCTGTTTGCCAGCTTATCGATACGCCAGCCCCCACCGTAGACCGTGGCCGCAGTTTCCGCACCAACGCCCACTAGCTTGACCGTGACTTTGTTCATGCTCGACACCACTTCGGCTTCAAATTCAGTCTCCGCGTGGTATCCACCCGTGCGCGAGCGCGAGTTTTCATCCAAGCCGCGCGAACCCTTGGGGAGCTCGCCCAGCGTCAACGAGCGATCGGTGGCGCCGGTTCTGGACAAAAGAAGCATGTCTCCTTTCAACAACGATCGTGAGAGTTCGATGCCAAGCATGGGAATGTTTAAAACAAGTTGACCCGCCTTGGGAGCGGCACCCTTGGGACCGCCGCCCCTGTCTGGTTCTATAACGACGTCCATCGCCGCCAAACCATTCTCTTGTAAACCAAAGGACGGTGCATTTTCGATGCGATCGAGCGTTTGAAGCGCTTCTTCCAAGAATTCCTGAATCACGAGTCTGGCGAAGTGGAAATGGTACTTAGCGATGGACTTGGATTCGTAGTGGATCATTGGTTCCATGGCATTCAAGATTTCCATGGCGTCGATGGGATTCGCCCGCTGCGGGAACGCCATCAAAATCTCTGTGAATTGTCTCATCGTAATCTTGAACTTTTTCTGCGTAGCGTATGAAGCGACGGCGAACCCGTCCAAGAGCGCTCCGGGAGTTCTGATGCAGTAGTGCAGCAACAAGCGACTCGCGTCGGCGTTCACGAGCCCGGCTTCAGAACGAGTGTGGAAAAGCTCCATCGCCGTCTGGATGTCGTTCTCGTCGAGCGCTTTTCTGATCTCCTTCGTCGTTTTCGCGCCGGGCTGCGCCGCTGCTTGCGCCTTCTTATCTTTTTCGTCGCTCTCGATGGTCAGACTCGACGCCTTCGCCGTCGATGTGTCTGTTCGGCTCTGTTTGTCACCGCCGCGTGCGATGTCGTTTCGTACATCGTTCGAGCTTTTGAACGTGGGAACGCCGCCGTCGCCTCGTCTGTAATCGGGATCATCCCTCGGATTGACGAAATTCTCCTTCTGTTTATTCCTCTTCGAGCCCGACTTATCCTCGACCGCGGATCTCCCTCGCTGACTGGGCGGCACGTACACCCCCACCGGTTTCGCGGGACTCAAAGGCGGTTTTACCGCAGAAATGTGCAAATTTTCTATCGGCGGCGTCGGCGACGCCTTCGTCGCGCTTTCGGCGGCGACTTTGGACTCCGTCGCGGTCCCATCCGTCGAATTCACGCTCACCTTCACCCCTTTTGGCGCGGGAATCGTCTTTGCGACGGGCACAACGGCATCTTGAATCTTATTCGACCCCTCGCGCGCGTTGTGTGTCTCCTTCGTCCCTCCGTTCGCGAGCGGCTTCGCCTTGCTCGTCTTCCCGCTCGCCGCGCTCGCCGGTTGCCCTCGTCCATCCTCCACCCTCTTCGGCACCGGCGCCGCGATCTTCGGCGCGGGAATTTCTTTACTCCCCGTCACTTTCGCTCTCCCATCGCCATCACGCGCGCTCCCATTCGCTCCGTTCCCGCTCGTCGTCGTCCCGCTCGCCGCGACTTTCGGCGTCGGGATCTTCGGCTTCGGCAGCGTCTTCCCCTCGTTCGTCTTCGCGTCCGCTCTGTCCATATACTGACTCTGCGCGTCCGATCCACCATCACTCGTCAGTCTCCCGTCGCCCGGTCCCCCGTCGCGCGCCGTTCCCATCGCGCGCGTCCGATCTTCATCGATCTTCCCCGCGCGTCCCGCGCCGCAGCCGCCATCCCGCATCGCGCGCCGCGCTCGCGCCTCGTCGTCGCCGCCGCCTCGCGCGCGCGCGCGTCGCTCGCGCGCGTCGTTCGCGCGCGCGCGTCTCGCGTCGCGTCGCACCTCGCGCGTCGTCGTCGTCGTCGTCGTCGTCGTCGACGTCGTCGTGTGCGGCGCGCGCGACCCTCGCGCGTGGATCGACCCTCGATCGCGCGCGCGCGCGCGACCCTCGCGTCGAGGTTCGATCGCCGCGCGCGATCGACGCGTCGTCGATCGCGCGATCGCGTCGATCGACGCGCGCGCGCGAGGGTCGCGCGCGCGTCGGACGCGGTCGGTCGCTGATATAGGCATTCGTACGACGATCAATGTCGTATAAAGATGACGTTCTGTGGTATGCGTAGGACGCGGGCGACGGCGTGCGGTCGGTCGCTGATATAGGCATTCGTACGACGATCAATGTCGTATAAAGATGACGTTCTGTGGTATGCGTAGGACGCGGGCGACGGCGTGCGGTCGGTCGCTGATATAGGCATTCGTACGACGATCAATGTCGTATAAAGATGACGTTCTGTGGTATGCGTAGGACGCGGGCGACGGCGTCAGAGCGCGGCGCGCGATGGCGACGACGGCGCGCGCGGCGACGCGCGCGGCGACGATCGCGCGCGGGGACGCTCGCGGACGACGACGACGCGACGCGGGACGGCGCGCGACGGCGAGGCGGGCGCGGCGCGCGCGCGCGGGGGGCGCGGGAGGCGCGGACGGGGCGAAGGCGGGCGGGGCGCGCGCGGAGACGCGCGACGACGACGCGATCGACGACGCGGTGGCGCGCGCGAGGCGGGAGATGTACGATTACGACGACGGGGCGATCGCGATGGACGCGGGGGGGGCGCGGGACGCGGGGGCGGCGCTGGAGCGCGCGGCGCCGGCGCTGCGCGCGCCGATTCGATTGATTCGGAGCGGGATATTTCGGCGCGCGTGCGGGGTGGCGGCGATGATGGTGTTCGTCAGGGCGGGGTTGTTGTTGCCGTCGAGGTTTTACGCGAGCACGGGGGGGTACGAGTCGCCGTTTAGCATGTCGACGTTGATGTCGACGTTCGCGGGGAGCGGGGGCGCGGCGTTGGACGCGATGGCGAACGCGCTCGGAGGGGATAAAACGGCGGCGGTGACGCA